AGAAAACCGGAAAAAACGTAGAAAAACCGGGAAAATCGGTACAACATTAAACAAAGAAAGAAAAAGAAAGTATAGAAACAAGAAAATATATAGAGCCTACTTTATTATTTTACTATAATATGGCATATACATTGTTGACAAAGCATCAATATCAACTGAACTCTGCTCATAATCGTTTTTTCGTAAGCAATGGTTTATTGTTGCTTACAAGTATACATTAAATTACCTATAACAGTGACTGCACCCGTCCTTATTATCCTATGACGTCTTCTTCTTGTTAAATATGTATTAATCTAATGTAATATAAAATACATAAACCCGTCGACAATAACTTTTTGCTCAAGACATTCGTTATAATATCAAATAATTATTCGTTTTGTAAATTATTTCTATGAGTACCTATAATTATATTTCACCTAGATAACATTTATCACCGAAGCATTCAAGTTTTTTAGATACCTAAATTCTATACTTACATAATTTCAGAAACAATAGCTGGTTACAATAACGTAATTTCTTTAATGTAATAAAACAAAACATAGAAACTTAATCAGAATTTCTACTATAACATAAATTGAAATTGAAAATCAAAGTACAAATATTGAAGTATAATAACGCCAATTAAATATTATGAAGATTTTATTTTCGAAAACACGTTAATCTTTTAATTTGTATTTTAATTTTCATAAATTTTTACATCAAAAATAAATTATCGTCATCGACATAAATAACTTAGATTGAAAAATCCTTGGTGAAATTTTTAGTGGATTCTTTGAACACGGATTATTATATAACTTTCCCATTTTTTTTTCAGTTGAATACCTGATCAATATTATATGAATATTAAAACAATTTTTTATTCCAATAAATTCCGCGTTAATATTTTAAACCACTAGCACTTAAGTAAATAAATTATGTTTAACCATAAATTATAGTTTTAAGTACCTACTTAACATCCAAGTTAAAAGGAGAATAATACAGTTATTAAAAAATAGAAAAACTGAATTAAGATGTTTACAACAGTTAACATAACAAAATTAAAAGATAAATAAAATTAATATCTAAATACTGCAGGAGTAAAAATTAATACTAAATTACTTTTTCAATTTATTATGAAATTACATCACTGTGCAGTGCCATTATGTCACAAACTGTGCTATTATACAATAAAATAATATTTATCCATTATAAAGAAAAAATACCTTTGAAAATCAATTTTCATAAATAATTTTATACAGTATACAATCAAATTTAAATTTAACACTAAAATTAATTTAATTAAAAAATACGTGTACAATCTTTGAAGAAAATGAGAGAAAGTTCGGGTCGTGTCATTACATTCCAATATTATTGAATCATTATCTGTGAATATACCTATTTACATAAAACGTGAATTACTTGAGTATATTCATAAATTTAAAACTACTGAAATACATTGTAATAAAATATTATTATTTTATTTTATAAGTATTACGGAGCAAATGTAATCATTAGATTTATACAGAACATAATGTATATTTATAAACTTCGAACAAATGGTAAGTTTTTTAAGTGAATTCGATTTCTGTTTTTGCAATTATTATAGAGTCGCTTTATTTTAACACTGTTTTCAAATTTTAAAGCTTAACAATGTTAAACCTTTTTTTAAATGGGGTAATTTTAACGTTTCCAACTATCGTCAAATTTCTTTATAACCTTCTAAATAGCCCATATAGCTAAATTATTTGAATCTTTAGTCTAGTGTTCAATTACGCCTTCCGTTAATTCTCTCTTAATTGATAAACAACATGATTTCCGCCCTGGCTGTTTAACGAACATTTGTAGCTTTATTTTTTTCTAATTTAGTATTTGATGCATTTAACAGTCGTTCTCAGTTTGATGTAATTTATATGGTTTTTTAAAACTTTAGATCACGTAGATCATTTTTTAATAATGGAAGTTTTATTTAATTAAGGTGAGCCTTTGTTGTCTTAGTTAAGACTAACTTAATATGTTGTCTTAGTATCTGTTTTCATTAACGCATCTTCTGGTATTCCTCAAGTAGATCATTTCTCTCCTTTACTTTTTAAATTATTTATTAACAATATTAAACAAGTTATTATTAACAGTCGTTTTCTTCTATTCGGTGATAATCTAAAATTATTTTTGAAAATTAATTCTTTTAGTGACTATTAATTATTACAAAATATTATTTAATTAATTATTTAGTAATTTGAGTAAATTAGATTGAAACTTAATTTCTTGAAATGTCACTCAATGATTTTTACACATCCCGTGAAAAATTATTCCTTCTCTATCAATGTCCTTATTATAGGCTGATAATAAAGTATCTAACTTAAGTACTTATCACATTTGAACTAAAGTAGACGGTTTTCATCAAAATTTTATTTTAAAAGTCTTATAAAAATTTAAAAAAAATACTATATTACACTCAATTTTTTTTTAAATACCAAGCGTAGCGAGGGGAGCTATTGGTTTTACTAAGATGTTTATTTTTTATTTTTTTTTCTCCTAGTCTTTAGACACGTGTTTTCCTAATAAACTTGCTCCGATTTTTACGTGTAGCAACTTTTGTAAAATCTCAGTTTGTCTAGATTGTACTTTATAAAAAGGTAATTTCCTGATTTTCGACGCCATTTTTAAAATAAGAGCATTTAAGTGGGAAAAATCATAGAAAAACGTACAATTTTACGATTTCATTATTTTATAAAAACACAGACAACGTTTTCTACCAGAAAAAATAGTTTAATCGAGTTAGTTCAAACGTACCTAACACTCCATCAATTTATGGAATTTTTAATATAGTATTTTATATATTTTATCAAAAGTAAGGAATGGGATCTAGGCATGTTATCTTTGATATTTATTGACAGGACATACGGGTTTTGAAATCAGTAACTTATTTATACTGTAATATAATAATTAATAATAATATATTATAATCTATTAGTTATTAATACGACATAATATAACATATAGATATATTGTTGACAAAGCAACACTATCAACTGAACTCTACTCAGAATCGTTTTTTCGTTAGCAATAATTTATCGTTGCTTACATTAAATTCCCGTCTGTATCCTATTCCTTCCCAACTTCCCATCTACAACAGTGACTGCGCCCGCGTGCGAAATATGTCAGTCTTTTTTTTTTTAGATTTTAAAAGTATTACAACTATAGCAGTTTTTCCGATGAAAAATATTTTGTGCCTTATAAATATATCACAATATAATAAATATAGCCTTCAAGCGTTTTTAATACTGACATTTTTCTGTAACGATGCGGAAACATAATATTTATTGACGTTGGTTTGGAAGAAAAACTGATAAAATTACTTAAGCCTGGGATAAAACAAATAAACAAGATACAGTAATAATAATATCACAGTAAAATAATATATCATGCTCGTCTAACAGAGAGATGAATTATTCGAATTAATAAAGTGTAAAGTGAACATGAAATTTAAACTTTAAACTCTTTACATCATTTATCGTCAAAGATGAATCCTGCATTATCTGCAACCACTGCAGATCTATACATATTATGCAAATTTATCGATCGTTTATTTTCGTGTAATAACCGTTAAATGTATATAACATTTACGTCTCAGATCTCAGGTAGTTAATTCCAAAAATCAATTTACCATGTAATAATATTTTGTTTGAGACTATATTTATACAAACAAATACATTGTGCTTAAACTATACCACTGTAAGCAACAATCAATATACTTGATGTTTCGGATGTTTTTAACCGATCGCATTAATATTATATTAAGTAAGTACATGTATGGTGAATTTTTAAACATGCTTACACCATTTTTGTGGTTAAATTATGCATAAATTCAAATTCAGAATTTTGAATTTTTAAGTGTAGTGAAAGACGATATTTTCGTATACTTAGATTTTTTATGCACTTAAGGGGTATCCTGAGGCGATACCAACGTTGATTTTTCAAATAAGAACCTACTTGTTTAATGTAAATTACCAATCAGATAATTTTTCTGAACATTTAAGTAGTAATTGAATTTGAACGAAAAGTTTCTGAGTTATTCTGTTTTAAATACATACCAAGGATAATTGCGTTAAATCGGTTTTTTAATTACAGCGTGATTGAAAACAAAAAATTGCTTATACTCGACTTTATGAAACCATTTTTATCTAATCCTCATAAAAGGCATTTACTTAGAGCAAAATAACTCAGAAACTTTTCGTTCAAATGCAATTACTACCTATATATCAAAATGTTCAGAAAAATCATTCGATTGACAACTTGCATTAAAACATGTATGTTCTTATTTGAAAAACCAACGTTGGTATCGCCTCAGGATACTCCTTAAGTTCTTTGAAAAATCTAAATATGCGAAAATATCGTATCTCACTATACATACAAATTTCAAAAAATTTAATTTACGCATAATTTAACCATAAAAATGGGGTGAACATGCTTAAAATATCACCAAGTATATTATATTAGTTGATTCGTGTTCAATTAGTATTCATCGTAAAGCCACTGGCAATACATTTCTGAGGGAAAAGGGTAACAACAAATATTTTATCTCCATAATAGACTTTATTTTATAAACCTATGGAAGAAGAATTTTCAATTAAGATTTGTGATATAATCAAAGATAATAAACATAAAAAAATTGTGTATTTAAAATATTAATTGTAAATCCGTGTCCCGTGATTTAGATAATTGAGTGTTCGTTCGACGTATGTATATCATCTAAAGTGGGGGGTACTACCCCATTTCCTCTCCGTGAGTGGCCTTAATTCACTCTTCATTATTATTTCAACGATATCGATAACGGAGGAATTATCATAGATATCTTTACTAATAGGAACATCACTGTCCATTTCATATTTTCATAATATTATCATTTAAAAAAAATGAATTTTAGGTCCATTATAATTAATCAAATAAATATTAATACAACTTGGTAGCTGGCACGTACCTATTTTCGTTCTATTAGTTCATAGTAAATCCAAATGCTGATTTTATTCCAAAATATATATCGGGTTGATTTGTTTCCTTTTTCTTTTTGTATTACAAAGGTTCACGAACGGTCGAAGTGTTAAAAAATAAACAATTTCAGCTAAGCTCAAAAAGCTGAAGCCCAAACATAATCCCATTATGCCACCCACGTTACCTAAAATAAATCGATGCAACAAAATCCGATACAATATTACAAAACAATCGTATACGGGAAGGTTAGGTTAGGTGATTAGGCCTCAATTTAATAATATTACTTTTATAGTATAATAATACTTACCCATAAATTGACTGAATGTGAATGTCATTATTCGATTTAAACCTATGTAATTTTTATGTTGATAATAAACACTTAGTAATACCATGCTAGAAATCCTAAAATAAATCAATTTAAAATTGCAACATAAAGAAAATTTATTATTGTAATAGGTACATTTAATAGAGTATATTGTTCCGTACATGAAATTATTATTTTTTTTACTAGGTACGTAAAATATGAAAAGTATGAAAATATCAGTTCTAATCCGGGTGTGAGTACTATATTAATACATGGCCGCCCAAACCGGTACCATACGTAAGTACCCAAGGGGTACTATACTTATACATGGCCGTCCTCGTTATTATTTAACCCACGGTTATACCTACCTGCTATAATCTATATCGTTATCATAAAATCTTATTATCATTATCTAACCACGATTATACCTACTGTTATCTTCCTTATAATATCAGTAATTGTGTACTCTTCCCACCAACAATATTCCTTCTTAAATTCTTTACACCAAAAATACGCCCTTCTCAAAATACAAATTTTATTTCGCTTGACTCTACACTGAGAACTAGATATACTAAAATCAGTCTTCGTTCGTCTGTGTCCACATCGAGTATTAGCTGTTTTGTTGTTATTTGTTTTACTAGTTACTGTTTTTAAAAAAATATTTTGGTGTAATATGGCTACATACGCTGTGCCTTCGTCGCCGTATCAACTAATGGACTCTACTACTATGGGTATAACCGTGGTTAAAATTATAACAAATTTGAATTATAATGATATAGATTATATTAGGTATAATCAAGGTTAGAATGATAGCGAGGGCGGCCATGCTAAAATATAGTACCGGTTTTGGTGGCTATGCATTAGTATAAAACCCGTACCCAAATTAGAACCACTCTTTTCATACTACTTAAATTCAACAATAACAAAACATTAGATCGAATTTATATTAGAATTACCATTAATGCATGTGCAGTTATAAAATTATAGGAATTGTCCTCCGAAGAGAATAGAAAGTTTTAGGTGCACCGCACTGTGACAAAGTCACCCGATGCATATTGAAATAAACCTATGACCCTGCCAAGAAGTATATTTTTTTGGAACATGAGAAATACCATATCGATCGAAAAAATGCCTTTATTACATTTTTGGTCAGTTGAAAGTTTTAAAAATGTTTATTCCATTTTTTGTATAAACAGCTATAGAAACTCCAAAAAACTACCTTATTATTATTAATCTTTCGGTCTTTAAAATTGTTTAAACTATAGGTTCAACAAAGTTTTACATTTCTTATGTAATATATATACTATACAGTAAACATATATACATATATATATATATATATATATATATATATTACTGATTTAAAATTTTAGAGTACCATCTTAATGGATTTCACATTACATTTTCCTTCTTTAAATAAGTAGATTGTCATTAATCTTTTGTGGATATTAAACGAGTATTATATTAAATGTATTTGTGATGTAATGTAATTGTCTTGTATTATCGTCAATTACGGTAAATCCTAGTTCCGCAAACTAAAGTAGTTCTTCGGTTAAAATACTCCAAAATATCATAAATTATATTATTTTCAATTCCCTAGTTTATTATGTTAATAATTGCTTAATTTTTAAATCACATAATTCTTACGATACACTCTCGTCGCTTTCTTGAGTCAATGTGTTAAACTGTGCGTTCATTGATGATATTTTGAAAGAAAATTCATTACAGCCTGGTAAACAATTGCATGGGCTTAACGAAATGTCTATTAAAATTTAAAAATTCATTATGATTTGTTTTTTTTTTTTATATATATTTAATACCTCTATAATAATTAAAACTAGTACACACTACAGACTTAGAATCGGCGATAGTTTAATCGATTTTACAATTGGCGTTCGGTTACATAGGAGTACGGCCAAATGATCTGCTGACAGGGTAATCAGTATTGTGTTATATGTAAGTGCGCAGTTCACACACAAAACTACAAATAGTCGAACTGTATTAGCAGGATATCGTATTACAACAAAATTATAATATTTTATTATTTTATTGATAAATTATATTAAATATTAATTATTACACCTATATTAAAAGATTTATTTTTATTATTTTTTTTTTGTTAATAATAGTACAAAATACTATACATTTTTTAAAAACATTATAATTTATACCCAGTAGCACAAAAGAATTTATTTTCGGAAGAAATTATGAATTTAAAAAAGTTGATACTGCTCACATAGGAGAGCACAGTTGTAGGTGGGTAATTAGAAATAATATATAATATATACAAGGTCATTTAGTTTATAAACTTTACCTGTGCAACTATAAACTATTACAAACAAAAAACGATTCTGAGGTTAATAGTAATATAAAAAAAATATTAGTCGTTTTTCCCCCTTACTGTCAAGGTGACCCAGAATCAATTAAAAAGAAAAAGATCAAATATACTTCGCACGATGAATTCTATCGTGTGAAGTATATAATCGCACACTGCACGATACCAATCAAACTGTTGGCCGATTAAAATTTAAAAGTCTGTAGTGTGCTCTAGCTCTTATTAAACTTCAACTTACGCGATATAGTCTCCCAACATGATATTTTAGCGGGTCCACAAACTGGTGTATTCTTTATCCCTATATATACAATATACATGTATGTTTGCTACAATTTTGTAATAATAAGTAGTGCAGATGCTTTATAATTTATTAGTGTAACTCAATCCTTACTAAAATGATGAAAAGGTACACAACCACAATGTGTTAAAATGAGATCGGTTCGACACTCTAAGAGACAATTTTTTTGAGTATAAACTTTGAAAAATTTTAATTTTTTCTCATTCTGAAAGTAGCAGCTTCTTAATTCAGGATCCCAATTCCTCAAATAATTGGAGGTAGTCACCACAACTGGTTTGACGGACGTTGTCATTAACGTACCAACGGTGCCTAATAATGTGGGATGTGATTTATCCGGCCATTCACCTGGACTATGGATCAATATCTAAATCAATAAATTACATTGCTAATTATTATTATTTTAGAAATAATAAAACCGTTTATAAAAATAAAAAAGTGTAGGTACATAAAAAACATCCAATCCTTTCGCACATTCTTGGTTAGAATCATTAGTGTGGAAATCTAACTGCATAGTGGCGCTATGGTAATCTTTATCGCCAAATGTCCTTATCGGCAAATGACTAACTAATGCATTTTCACTATACCCGGTATCCGGGTGCCAACTACTTTCATAATTTTTCCAGTGGTGATTGTTCTCTAGTGACCATTCACTAAAAAACATACATACCAACGATTAACTAATATTTAAATTATATTCCTAATTATTAAGCCTACATCAATATACACTGAGAAAGCTTGTATGATATAATGTCTGAATTTGGATTTCCAGCAAAATGAATAGCACTAACAGAAATGTGTATGGAAGGTACAAAATACCAGATAAGGGTAGACCAAACCGCATCAGAAGAGTTTCAAATTATTACAATCCCAAAACAGGAAGATACATTATCACCCTCGCTATTTAATATAGCATTGGAAATTATGATAAGAAGTGTACAATAAAATAAATGTGGACTGGGGGTGCATTTTTGCTAGATGTGCTGGAATAAACTAAACCGAATTGGAGACAATAAAGAAATGGTAGTGTAAAATACAGTAACATTAATTGATAAAGCGAAAGCAATAGGCTTAGTAGTAAACGAAAAAAAACCAAAGTGATGTATATGAGTTATTGGGTAACGTTATGAGGTACTAATTGCAACAGAAGGACTGATATTTGAAAAAGTAGACCTTGGAACTATCATTAGAAGTAATAATAACTGGATCGTCAAAATAGTAAACCGCATACATAAAACAAAAAAAGGTTACTGTGTGCTATTAACATTTTTTAAATCCAAATTATTCTCGAGAAGGACAAAGTAACACTATATATAACCGTAATTAGACCTATGCTAAGGTATAGATAGAAGTGAGGACGATAACAGCGCAAACGGAGAAAATATTACTATCCTTATTTAAGAATAGGATATTGAAAAAAAGTGTGGTGCACTATATGATAAAGAATTGAAGTGCTGGCGCAGAACAAACGACGAAACCTAAGAAATTACGCAAAGTCCCAAAGTAACAAATTATATAAAAGCTCAACAATTATAATAGTTCGGTCACGTTATGAGGAAAGATAAAATAAAGGCTGTGGGGAAAGATCGATGACAGATAAAGCGATAGCTTGACGGGGTGAAGCAAGACTTAGAACGATGGACGTAGAAGATTGGAGAGAAGCTGTTCAGGATAGGTATAGATGGATAAATGGAAGGCTATGACGGTGGCAACGAAGACGATTGGAAAGTTATACAGCCAAGAAGAAGACAGATACCAATTATTTATAAATTGTATTTACTCCATTCCGTTCAATAAATCTCCCATAGGCATCATATTAAACGAATGACACAAGCCGTATGATGTATATGTTTCTTGAAACCAAAGATTGCAGGGATCAGTTTCTAATGTACGTAACCAATAAAATGACTTCACAATTTCTTCGCATGTAAAAGACAAATTCTGTTAACACAAAAGACAATCAGCATATTAAAATAAAACTTAACTAGGTAATAGTAAATAAAGCGGTTAGGTTAAGTTTTAAATATGATATTATATCTTAACAGCGACGTATTTACGCCTACAACATTTATGCCGACACGCGTCTACGCCAGTATGTATTTACATCAATGATTAGGTTTATTAGATCTCCTTTTATTTTTATTCAATTTGTCTTTTATCATAACCTAAGTCCTTAATTTGAATTCAGTAATCAAATTGGTAAGTATAATATAGTTTGGTTAAAATTAATTGTCATAATAATAATATATAAATACAACTGTTTAATAATAAAATATATTATGCATAATAGACATTAACCATATTGAACTCATCATTTTAGATTCGGAGCATAGCGAAGGATCTATTGATTTTACCATGAGTATGTGTATTTTTTTAATCTTTTTTTTTTTTGTGCCTGTGAATAACTTTTCTACCAGAAAACTTGCTCCAAAAAAGATTATAGCACTTTTTATGAAAGGTAATTTTATCTCGTTGATGAATTGAGAGGTCATTTTTAATTTTCCAAGGTGTTTTCAAAAAAACTGGGAAAACCCCGAAAAGAAAATTATAGGTAAAACGGCAAATATTCACGACGAAAAATATACATTTTTCAAATTACAGTACAACGATTCCTTTGTTTAAAATTTTGATGGCTTGTTTTTTACAAAAAATATTGCTCCTATAGAAAAACAACATAAGCACTTTTTTGTTCCATTTTTCTGAAAGGAAATGTTCTCTGGGTGGTATTTTAATGAGATCATTTTTTGAAGTTCTCAATCATAATCGAGATAATGAGGAAAATCTAGTTCATTAGGCTAAAAAAATATGGAAAGATTTAAAATAAGGTTGTCATTAGCAACCGTTTATTTTTTGTTATTATTAAGTTTTTATTATTTTAAAATCTTTTTTAAACCACCATTTTTGTCATGGAAACGCACATTATTGTTGTAATAATTTTACTATAATATATGACATATATATATATTGTTGACAAAGCAACACTATCAACTGAACTCCGCTCCGAATCGTTTTTTAGTTTGCAGGAGTTTATCATTGCTTACAGGTATACATTAAATTCCCATTTATATCCTACCTTCTCAATTTCCCACCTACAAAAGTGGCTACACCCACGTGCGAAATATGTCCATTCTTTTTTTTTTTAAATTTATATTAACATATTATCAGCTATTAAAATTAATACATTAGTTTGGTAATTATTTTAATATTTTATAAACCACGTTCATGTAAGAAAATACAATAATTAATAACATAAGTATAAAAACAAATAAATTATAGTTCTCGCTATATGCTAGTATATAATTATAATATTTTATTTGTAATAGCACGACAGAAAAAAAACTTAATATGTGAACACACATAATAAGTTACACATAAACCCTTAGGTATTGCAATACTTCCTTTTAAAACTTTCGATACAGAAGGGCCGTCTAGAAATTCTGCAGTGAATTTCGAATTTTTCTTCGGTGGATATTTCTCGCAAACATCGTACATCGTGTTCCGAATAAGTCTTACCCGGAAAAACAAAATATTAACAACACATTAAATAACCAAAACATATATTCGTAATAGTGTATGTATTAATATATAGAAAAACGTTTACTTGTCATTAGGGTCGATATTATTTACATCGGCCAATGTGTAGTTATAGACGGATAGACGGGCCCTGTTTGCACTGCACACCGTAACTGCCGGGAACGGAAGCGTCCAAACCGACGAAACGGAATTGTCCAACGATATTATGGCCGGCATCTCCCAAAACATAAATATCAGCATGTAAATCGCCACGCCACACAGTCCGTATATGGCTAACAAGCAAATGGCCCAAAACCATCTGAAATGATAATAGGTGTATTAAATATTAAGATTATTGCCCACTGTAGGTCGCTACAGAACGTTAATAATTTTCTATATTATAGAAAATAATAATAGAATCTATAATATACGAAATTGACAGTAAAATAATGCGTTGAAAAATGTTGTTTTGTCTGAGCCTTTGTGGCCCACAACGTTTTACAATTTTTTATTTTTGCAACAGATTAGACTACCTAAGTACCTTCTATTAATTCTTAATTAAAATAAAGAATGAAAAGAAAACATAAAAATAAGACAAAAATATTAATTGTTTTTAATGATAAACTGATAGATTTTATTTATTTAACTAAAACTAACCCGTAACTCGTGAGATTGTTTGAATAATGTAAGTTATCTGCCAATTGACTGACAATGGTGTACGTGGGAAGTTTTAGAAGGTAGAATAAATAAGATAATTTAGTTTATATCTGTACGGAATACTAAATTTTTAATAACGAAATATTAAATACATAAATTAATAATTTTATATTTAGAAATAAATAAATGTTTAACCGGGAGTATTATGATGGGTAGAACACAGTTGCGTACGTTTGTAGTTGGGTTGAAAAATACCTTTAAAAAAAAATAAACACGATTGCGTATGAAATTGTAAGCAATGTTGTCAAATTTATTAATTTCACCTAATAAATATTCAGTACAGTTCTATAAGAATCAATATTAAATAATACAATTTAGGTAATAAGAATAACTAAATAATAATCAATTATTTTAATTGAATTCAAATTATTTTAAATTTAATAAATTTAATTTGAATTTCCGGAAATCTATAACCTACCACTTTTAAGTTTTGGATTAAATTTGTATGGATTTTGCATTCATCGTAAGCGTTTATAATATGTTGAATTATATTTAAGTCTTTTTTTTGCTATTTTTCTTGTCTGCATATTTTAAGTTTCTTTTAATATTTGAATGACATGTTTTGGGAGATGAGCACTATGAAATTGTCCGTTATAAATTCTATGAAAACTTTCAGATCCATTTATAGTACTAAAAATTAATAGATAAACGTAAGTAATAAAGGCTTAATGGTTATGGAAATACGCAAAGTTGAAAGTATTTATAAATTATTTCTACTTCACTCGTGTAGTCGTGTGGTATATACTGGTATGAAAATTGGCAACAACACTTAATACTTGGTACGCAATCGTATAGGTAAAAACGTACGTAATCGTGTAGCTTAAAAAGGTAACACTGATAACGAGTAAAAGTCTAATATATTTTATATCGATTTACTTACTTTTCATATCGGTTAAATTTGTTTTCTACGATATGGATAAATCCGTGTAAGCTAGTCATGGAACAAAACGTCTTAAACTCAAACGTGAAATCATCATTATTGCTATATTTTTGGTGAACGGTATTATCTTGATTGCATATTATGGATGATTTATCATCCCTAATGGCTCCATACGGGAAAAAAGATCTCTAAATAATTATACAAACAAATACATTAAAAACAAATATCTACAAATAGGTAAGTAACAACATAATTTATTAACTTTGAATGATTTTTTCTAACAGTTATTATCATATTACTCGTAAAAAATGTAGATAATATCAATAAATAATTGTATCAGTAATTTTTTATTATTATTGTCTAAAGGTTTCGCTTGGTTGTTGCAACTAATTCTCTCTTTTATCTGCTAATCTTTTCACTTCTTCGCAACTTGCTAAAGATAGTAGCTTCTTCATATTCCCCAGATTTGTTTCCCTCGGGCGACCTTTTCCTCTTTTTCCATTTATCTTCCCTTCCATAATATTTGTAATAAACGTATTATGTCTCAAATTGTGTCCAAAAAACTTAGTCTTTTCTTATTTCCGTCGTTTTGATAATTTGTCTAGATTCGTCTATCATATTTAACACTTCCATATATTAGATTTCCCTTCTATCCAACTGATCTTCATAATTTTTCTCCGTGTCTATATCTCTAATGCTTCTATTCTTCTTTTGTATAGGGTGCTTAAAATCCAGGATTCGATAGTTCATAACATTACACTCTAAACATACGTTTTAATAAATAGCTTCCTAATTTTAATCGATAAGTGTCTACTTATTAAGAGATTTTGATTCTTAATGAAGGCATGCTTAGTCAAAGCTATTCTCTTTATTATTTTTGTTGTGTATTTATTGTCCTGCGTGATATGGTTACCTAAGTAGTAGAATAAATTAACTTCTTCAATACCTATACCATATATTAGTTGTTTATAATAACTAATTTTAACCTCATTTAATAATAAGTTATTATCAAATGATATTTCTAAAATTTAATATTTTTTGATGAATTGTTATGTATTGTTATGTACTTATTTTTATATATTTATTTTATTGTTATGTCTAAACATGCAATTTTAGTGAGAAACGAGGTCGAAATTAAATGTTTGATTGTATTATTTCGTTTGAAAAACGAAAATAAAAAATGATACACTGACTAGAATTGTTTTTTTTTCGATTTACAAGGCATCAAAATTGGTAATTCGAAAAATGATTTATCTTACTAATGTATATACCATTTATATTGGTTTATCCATCGAGTTACTGGATGAAACATTTTTTAGAAAACATAGTAGATATTATTGCTTTAAAATAAAATAAAAAATACCAAGCAATGAGCACTATATTAAATTCTAATAAAACATTAAATCCGAATAATTATTCTTCAAAATAGCATTTAAATAAACCAATTTATTATTTGTTAATGGATTGTTTGGCAAAATATGAAAAAATTAAACTGACTTACCAGTGTTTTTATTAAAATCTACTAAGTACCTAATTTATTTGAAAGAATTTACTGAAAACTATAATGATTTTTTAGACTCTTAAAATAAATTTAAACTGATAATTAATATATTAATAAAATCGACGAAAGTTAGATACTTGATTTCATATAAATACTTGGGTCATATATTATAATATACAAATTAAACAAAATAAAAAACTTTAGTTTATTTTTTTTTCGTAAATCAAATTGTTTAATATTCTCAAAGAGATTATATTGATTTAAATATGTATTTTTAAAAGTGGGAAAAAATGATGATGGTCATTTCAAATTTAATTTTAAATTTTCGCAAAAATAAATCCAAAGAAAAGTTGTATCATATTATACAGAGTGATTCAAAATTCAAGTTACAGCCATTTTATCATGTAAATATTCAAAATAGAGAAAAATATATCTAACACAACAATTTTTCAATTTATAACACTATGCGCTTGTTTGGTGGCATGGCACGGCACGGGATATTTAAATAGTGTCCCAATATTCTCCCCCTACTTAAACTAAAAGTGGAATATTTCGTAAATAGGTTAAAGAAAATCAAAAGTTTACAGCATCAAAATGTATTTTAACCAACACTCCATCTAATTGCGGAATTTTGAATATAGGTTCCCATTTGAATTTCAAAAATTAACCTCCAAAACATCTCTAAAAACGAGTGTAACAAGACAAAAGTAATGTCCTTAGTATTAACATTAGACACAATTTCAGACGACGTCAAAAGTATTGGGGAAGACACCATTGCTACGAAAGTCAACTGTTCCGAACATAATAGACTACTCAGTCGGAACAATTGCATTTCATCACCGTAACATTGCTCCGAATGTGCATAACTACGATATTACATTGGGCCGCTTAACAACTACTCCGAAATAGTTTTATCAAAATTCAAAATTCATCATTAAACCTCGCGTTTTATTACCTTCATATTGATAATCGGTTGTAAATTTTGTATAATTTATGAATATTTCCCATTAAAAACTTAACATATAAACTAAAATATCATTATGTAGGTACCTATAAGTACTTTTCAAAACAAATTTTCCAACACTGACCTAAATTCTTTTACTTTTACTTCAATAACTATAAAAACTAAGTCATATGCAAAGAAATGTTTTTATCGCCCAAATATATAAAGAATTTCAATCAAAACAAGGTAGTTGAAAATATTATGGTATTTAAGTCACTGAAAGAACTTTGTTTAAAAATGTTTTCCGCAATAGGTACACAATTATATGTCAACAATTGACATACACCTTGTAAAATATTATAAGATATTATCAAACACCGTTTTTGTTCTTCGATAAGTAAACTTTGAATTTATTTACTTAATTTAATACATATTATTACGGGTTATAGTTTTTCAAAACAATCATCAAAATCAAACACAAAACAAACAACAATCACAAAACAATATCATGATTTTTAAAAACCCTTTGGAAAATCAAAAAATGACCTCCCAATGCACCAACGAGAGAAAATTATCTTTCAGAGATACTATAGTCTATACTTCAGAGCAAGTTTTCAGTTAGAAAAGTTGTTCACAGACACAAAATATACAAAAAAAAAAACCTGCCCTAGGAAAATGGTGATGGGTTCAATCACTGTTGTAGGTGAGAAGTTGGGAAGGTAGGATATAGAGGGGAAATTAATTTGTATCTGTAAACAACAATAAACCATTGCTTACTAAAAATGATTCTGAGCGGAGTTCAATTTATAGTGATGCTTTGTCAATAATATATATGTCATATTATGGTAAAATAATTAAATAAGCATTTCATATTTCCTTTAATATTTTTTTAATATAGTACTCATTTTCACGTTTTTCTTGGTTTTCCCATGTTTATGCACAGTTTTTCATATTTACTGAGAACTCTTGAAAATTGAAAATTAACAAGAGATCGTTATGTTCCTTTTAAAACACATTACCTTTGACAAAGGGGTTAGTTTTTAGATACATAAAGTATTTTTAATAATACATGGAGAAAACCAAAATAGACGAAATGTATATTTTTTCAAATTACAATATAATGATTCCATTATTTTAAATTTTTACTTTAATTTTTGCTTAGGTATTGATTATTTTAATTTTTTTTCTACACTTACTGATCTAAAGTATTCACTCAACAAATTTTCTAGCTGCACATTTTCAGTTTTCCTTGGATTCATTTTGGACTGCTTGAGTCAATTGGTTATTTGAATGATGACAGCACAAATAAATGAACTGAATGCTATAAAGTTCAACATTAACATGAGCTGATGTCCATGATGAATAATATTAGTTATACCAACAGGTACACTATCAGACTTTATTCATTCATTAATTATTAAATAAACAATTTCAGTAGGGTCTTTTTCCCAGGAGTATTGACAGTTACATCTATATAAATACATATATAATTTATGTTCAAGGATAATAGTTGAAAGTGGGCAAACAAAATTAATTATATATTGATTAGTAATATATGTTTTATTGTTTTACAATTATTAGTGATACAATAATTTTACATGATATTAAGGCACGCAATGTATTCACCAATATTTTATAAATGTTCGTAAAAATAATTGACAAATTTACCACCAATAGAACAAAAATATATCTTTTAAATTTAAAAAAAATAGTTATCTAATTAAAAAATATAAAGTCATACAATTCAACGATTAACAAGACAAATATAGTTTCATATTATAAAAATAAGTTAAATATAAAAAATTCAAGCTCATATATTAATTTATAACTACACCACTTGTTTTGTCCCCTACATTGATATGTATACAATTGCCAATTATTATTTTTATTTCCAAGAAAATAATCTAGATTTTTAATACTAGTTTTTTTTGTTTTTATTGAAATTACTACAGTCTTATTTAAGTTTATGGATATTTATCATTTGGAAATGAAATATTACACATTTTAATGAACTTTATAATAAAACTAATATTTATTAGATCTATTGTAATGGCTGTTGTATTAGAATTACACCTAAAATTAACAATTAACTAAAATATATATATACAGTAAAGATTTAATAGCATTATTAACAGAAATTTAACAGTAATAACATACAAATGTTCAGATCTGGCTGCAAAATATAATTAAAAGGGATTTCATCTACAAACTTGTTCAGAAACTTATGATGCACAGATAACGTGTTTATATAAATTATAAAAACTATAAGTAAAGAGTACCCTATAAAAACTGTATGGTTCGATTGAAACTATATGTTTACAAGAACAATTAAATAGTATTTGATTATTAATCAAGTTTACATAAATAATTAACATGATCAATCTGGAAACTGAAAAACACAGAGGTGTAGTAAAAAACCTATTAAAACATAATATTTAATAATTAATAAAAATTAGCTAATGTTAATAAATAGCCAACATCTAAGTCTTATTAGTCTGTATAATACAGTAGAAGCTCACACTGGAACATAATATAATTGTAGTACAAAGTATTAATACTGTAAAAAAATTAAACAAACATTAAACATTTAAATTAGTGTAGAAAATATTAATATTTGATTGAGTAGAGTTTGATCATTTCTATAATGTAAATATAATTTATATTAAAATAGATATAACTGGACCTTGCAACAAAATATTTATGTATTACATATATGCATATAACACACATTAAACTTAACATTATTATATTAATACACTGTTAGTTTAATTATATTACATAATTTGTTTTAAATAGTATTGAAATGGAATTAAATTTTACTAAGTGACTGCAATAAATAATTTATTGTATTAAACAGTGATCACAAAAAGCATAAATCACTGCATACTTAATTGTTCATTATTAACAACAATAATGATGAAATTACTTTAATAAGAAATTTATTGAGGTTCCAAGTATGTTTTCTTCCAGTTTTAGCACTCAGAATATTTTTATTTATTGTATTTATTATCTTTTCATTTTATCCAAAATTGGTAGCACCATATCAAATGTTGGCCTCTTGCCCGAATCCTCATTCATACAAATTTTAATCAATTTGGTGAGATGTGGTGAAATATTTGATGGAATAGTTAATCTCAACCCTTCTAAAACTACCTACAATTTAAGCAAACAAAAAAAGATTTTTTTAATTTCATTTAAATTACAGTAGTAAATAATTGTTTTAAATAAATTACAAAAATCAACAAACCTTCATTCCTATTTCCATTGGTGAAAAATTAGCAAATGGAACATCCCTAGTAGCTAATTCCCACAAAAGTACCGCAAAACTCCACATGTCACAAGCTTCTGAATTAGTGTCACTTCTCTTTTTTTGTAAAGCTAAAAATAATCAGTTATAAATGATGAATTAATTTAAATTAATATAGGTTGTAAGAAAAATTTTACAAATTAAAATATTATGCAACCAAATTTGTATACACATTAATAAACATAATATTTTAATTTATATCAAAATATTTACCTTCCGGTGACATCCATCCTGGATAATATATCCTTCCTTTTTCTTGGAATGAAAATTTAGCATCTGCCATGTTTATCCTGGCTGTTAAGTCTTCGTCAATCTATAAATAAAGTCAATTATTATACTAGTCTATGAAATATATAGAAACAATGTAACACATAGGTATGTCAAAATTTTTTTCATGTAGGTGCAACCTAAATTTGTTCTAGTATAGAAAGTTAAATTTGAAATTCTACTGAGTACATTAAAACTAGGGTAAGCTAAAACCAAATAGATTTAAAATATCACCACATTTTACAAGAGGTGCAGGCATAAACTGCCTCTTCCTTCAAGGACAAGCCTATAATATAACACCATTATTAAATTACTATACCATGATATGATGACTATTCAAATGAAACTGTGGTATAATCCTTTCCAGACTATGCAAAAACGCCATAGCTCTAGCAACATCTACAGCCAGTCTAAGCGCTAAAGCAGTATCCACTGTAACTCTAGCCCCTTCATGTAGTAAAGTAAAGAGTGATCCCCAAGGCATATACTGACTAATAACCACCAAATTGGGAGGCGAGTTACAACAGCCTATGACTGGTAACACATTAGGATGTGAGAATATTCTACAAACAACAAAACAAACGGTATATTATTATTCAATTTAATAAAAAAAAAAAAACCATATTTATTAAAATTCCTATTCAAATATTCAAAAATTATAAAGTACCTAAGTTTTGGGAATTCTTCATTAAAATCCCTTGAAATTCGAGGACTACACTGACGAACAGCCAACACTTTGGCGACAATGTCATTTTTTTGCCAATGGCCGCGCCATGTTTCTCCACTAGGGGAAGTGGCCATTTTCGTATGCAAATAAAGGTCACTCAAGTTAATACCTTTGTGCCGTGATAATGTAGCATCTCCTAAAATATTTGTAAAACAATAAATAAGACAAAAAATATAACAATGTATTATTAATAAATTATAAAATTAAAATACTATAACTTGTTTACAGGGCTTGGAAGGAAAGAATTTAAAGGAACTTTTTCCATTGATTTTGTTTACGTTTTAAGAATTTATCAGGAATGAATCTATGAAGAAACCTATTAAATTTCATTATTTTTTGGAAAAGCATGGACAATTTTTTCATTCCATTTAATATCTAACCACTAATAGTGAAAGTATTTTTTTGATATCTAAAAAAGCTTTCATAATAATTGGGAAAAACTAAAAAAGACAAAAAATATGTAATATAAATTTTTTTCAAATTATAGCACAATGATTTCATTATTTAACATTCTTAAAATTATATTTTTCTACCAGAAATCTTAGTCGAAATTTCAAGAATAGCATATTTTCTGAAAGAAAATTAATGTCTTGTTTGTGAGTAAGAAAGTGGTTGTTTGATTTTTTATATAGTTTTCCTAATAATTACAAAAAACCGGGAAACAACTTAGAAAATACGGCAAAGTATCGCCATTTAGGTTTTTTGTTGCAATTATGTTAAAAATTATTGTACTCGTAGTTTTCTCAAAAAATTTATAAAACTAAAAAAACTCAAAAAACTCAAAAATGATATGTAAAAACTTGAAAATCCAGATTCTACTTATAACTTATAATATAATACAGATATTTGTGGACTTCAATATTTCATATTTATAACTTATAAACTGATGAACTATGATGTATTGGCAGATTAATAAGATTGTCAAAAACTATTTTTATATTCTAATAATTTGAATATATTTGTAATAAAATATAATACTTGTTTTATTTAGGCTTAGACTATTGAATAGGTTGCGATTGTGCATTTCTAAAATTTAAAATTATCATTGTACATAATTCTTAAGTATTAATAGTTACTGCTATACACTAAAATTTAATGTTGTTGTATTAATAAATAGCTTAAACTTTAAACAGCTTAAACTTTAGTTACAGAATCCTTGTATGTTTGTATTGTGAATGATTTTTAATTTAAAATTATGTAATAGTAAGTAATAAATACTATAAGTTCAAAATTGTATACAAATTAGTTTATATAAATATTTGAAAAACTCACTGCTTCTAGTTTTCAAACCTAACCAACTTTGATCCTTAAAGTTGATTTTGGTAAGATCTTGTCCAGATTGTAAAGCCAAATCTATAATTTAATACATGCAAAATTTGTTTTAAAGATTACCAGATATAAATGTATGTTTAAAAATACCTTTTAAATGTTTCACAATTAATCCTTTCCCCTTGTCTAATGGAGTATCTCCATCTTTATTTGCCAAAGCTGCTAATGCCCCGTTTTCAATAAGTTCTTCGGCAATTGCTTCATAACCCCAGAAACAAGCATAGTGCAATGGAGTATTTCCATGTTCATTTGTAAAATTAATATCTGCACGATTTTTCAACAACTAAAACACAATATATTGTGTTTGAATTAATAATCGGAAACAACATAATCCTAAAAAACTCACCAAGTGTACAATATCATGATGCCCATGCGCGGCAGCTAAATGCAGAGGTGTGTCATCACCTCGATTAGTAGAATTTATACGAGCGCCTCTTTGAACGAGCATTTCAACAATTTTCAAATGGCCCTCTTTGGCTGCCCAATGTAATGGACTGAAACCATGATCGTCTCTAGATATTAAATAAACATTAAATGTCAATTGAATGATAATAATAATAGAAATACAACAATATTCTTACCCCTGGTTCATGTCATGTTCAGTATCATCGAGCCAAACCCGAACTTGCATGGCGACGCCTTCTCGACACCACTGAAAAATATCTTCCATTTCGTCAGTGAAAAAACAGTGTGCAAATTTAAACTTCAAACTTAAAAATGGATGAAAATTGGCCTATATTAAGGCGGATGTTATAAATCCTACGCACGACACAATCCGTCGTTTGCACTCTCAAACACTCCAAATTTGGCATTACTTAAATAAACAGAGTTATCTCTAAACAGCTGTTTTATACTTTTATCACTGCAAGACACAAGCTAGGTTTTCCATAAACCAATTAAGATAGATAAAAATATACTTATTCTTATCTGTAAAGTAAATTCTTATCTATCTCAGTGCCATAGACAACGGCCTTAGACCAAGCCGGTGCAACTTGCATGAAAATACATATTATTTTATAATAAAAACACTTTTATTACAGAACAAAACCGGAACAGATGCTCTGCTGCGCTCTAGCGGCTTAAATCAAAACCAAATAATATTTGGTATTTTGACAATTTGATATCAATACTCAACATTTAAGTTTAAAATTTTTAAATTTTTAATCGTTTATAATTCATGTGAATTAGTTAATAAAAATATTAGAATATTGTATACAATGTGTTATAATGTAAATACAAATTATTAAATAATAGGAAGTACATTGATTGCGATGACTTTATAATAGTTCCTAATAATATGTTGTTACAAATTATAATGTACAAAATTGAGTAAAATATTAAAATTTTCAACTAAGTTAAGTAACGAATTTCTAGTTTTGCAATGACATTTACCAAAAAAAAATAATTAACAAAAATGTATACTAATGTATAATCATTTTTTAAAAGAATTTTAGCTTTTCTATAAACATTGAAGTAGTGGCAACAACAATTTTGATTTCTTGGAAGTTTTGGCAATAATGATTAGTGGCATTTAACCAAGTGCCCCATCTGTTTATAATTGGTTGTGGAAGAAGGCTTAAATTCGGGTGCATGTTTTTAAATATTTCGATACGGCTAGGAGCTTTTAGAAATATATTTTTGACCGTAGATATTAATTCGATTACTTTTGTAAATTTTGATCCGATGGTTTCTGATATTCGATGAAATGCGTGTGCTAAACACGTTAAATAGATTTATTAATAATTTATATTAATATTTTAGAAATATTTATTATGGTACACTGATACGATATCTGATATTTAAGCCGATAAAATTGTGTCAAGAAATAAATTGATAAAATATCTGATACTATAGTAGTTTAAATTGCCAAACTTGACTAAATATAATTCAAAAAATGCAAAATTGAATAAATATGTAAAAAAAATATAAAATCAAATATAGGTCATTTAATTGAAAATTACTTTTAAATACTACATTAAATCTATTCCATTCGGGTTTTTTTTTCTGCAAAATTTAGTTTCAACAATAATAAGATTTAAAAATCATTTCAGATGACGAAAAAAAAAAAAACTCCCAAAGGATGGTGTAGATTACGGTTGCGGTAGATACATTTTCGGTGTAAATAGCGTACGACGTGAGTTCCAAAATTTCTAAAAACTTTACTTCTATTACTAACAATTTAAAAAAAAAACCTATCAAAATTTTAAAACTATTTTATAATAAAATAATATCATTATAATATACGTGTTTTTAGATTGTTATTTATTGGTTTCATGCAAGCATTATAAAATCCTAAACCCGAATTCATTAATTTATTATATTACTTGTCTAAGTTTAATACATTTTAGATTTTGACTTAATACGATGTTTAGTATTCTGTGATATAACTGTATAATTAGTGTATAATATATTATTAAATACATGGAATCTAGTAGTATTATTTGCATATTTTTTAGTAAAACATTCACGCAAGAAAAACTTAATGATTTCATTGTAGGAAATTGTTCAACACCAATATTTTACCGGTTAAAATAAATTTATTTTTCAAAAATTTTAAAAAGACAATTAATTTTTGATTGTTTGTCCTTTCAATATTTTTATGACAATTACTAACATGTACTGTTAATGTTTTTTTAATGGAAACTTGAAAATCACGATCTTCGCATTTAAAAGTTTTAACTAGTAAAATATCAGTGTCGTGAAATTTCCCACAATGGACATAATATAAATTTTTTTTTTTGTATAAATGTTTTACTACAAAATATACCAACAACTAATAACAGTGGACTCCAAATTTCGTAATATACAAAAGCATTGTAAACTATAAATTGTAAACTATCTATATCACAGAATATTATGTTGGGCTGGCCCACGGTCTTAGACTAATAGGTCTGGCAAGTTATATTTAAAATGAACGCTTTTGTTACTGAAAAATTCGGATCAGACATAGTGCTGCACTCTATACGACTAAGCATTTTTTAAATAAAATTATTTGTACACTGAGAATGTAAAACTTTATAATAAGTATAATAAGTAAAAAATTATGTGTTAAATTATACATGTATATTTCATGAACCTATTATATTTCAAAATTCCCAAAGCTAAATACATATAAATAAATATATATTTAATAATGTATAATAATAATACGGTGAGAACTTTAGTGATATTATTATTTATTACGATTTATCGCATTTAATCAGGTGATAAAACATTTTCATGCGATAAAGGGTTTATCACTACCATTACACCAGTAGATATGAATGATTTTTGTGCAATCAAATTATATAATATTTCAAAAATAGGATTTTGTTTTTCTTGTGACAAGGCCGAGTTTCCGACATCTAAGGACAGTGTACTTCATAAAACAATTAAGTTATTAACTTTGGTATATTACTCTATACGTCATAATGTATTATAATTTATAGGATACGGCGGGAATGCAAGACTGATAACTTACTGTGTAATTTATACTTTATTGTATGAATGTATGATGCTGTGATTAGATCAGTATTATTGTTTGTGTTTAAAGTTTAGATTTTTTAATATCTCATTACTCTTAAGTTAATTATTTAAATCATTTAGATTATCGTCTTAAATGCTTTACTTGTCGTGTTAATTTACTCTCACTTTAAGTCTTGCACTCTTATTTTAATTTTTTTTTAGTGCCTACTCCAACCAGGTAACTAAACACACATACTTATACATTATACAATACTTAATACATGTTTTGAAACAGAAATTTTGTATTTAGTTAATTTTAGTATTTGAAAAAACAAATGTCCATGAACAGCACTCAGTAGTCAAATTTCCACTCGGACTTTTTTAGTATATTTTTTTTGTATTCTTAGACACCAAGGACCATGTTTATCCAAATAAGTTATAATTACATCTATTTCCCAATATACAATAGGAATTTAATATAATACCTGGACATATTACAATAGTCTAAAATTTGACAATTTTGATAAATTTAAAATAATTAAAATGTATTATTTAATACAAAATAGTATAATAGTTATATAATTTTTCACAATGTATAATATTTATTACACTAAAAATCATCATCAGTCTTAAAAATTTAAACTTATAAAAATATTTGATTTATATCATATCATATTTTTGGATTAATGCTATTGTGAAAATAAGTTTATTGAGTGCATTGACTCATTAAGTATTACATAATTGAAATTATGTATTTTTACTGTTTAAATAAAATTATACTATTTATAATAATATAAAATAACAATTATTAGGTATTCATTGTAAATAATGATAATACTTGCTATAAGCGTATAATCCTAAGAAAGTTGTATATCTCTGCTACTGTGTTTTATCATGTTTATTATGTATATAATTCTAATAATCAACTGAATGTGTAACTTATAAATTTAATAATTTAATTTTAAGATAAGTAGTACATTAAAGTTAGGTATGATAATTATAAACAATTAAGTAAAACAGCTAAAAATGCAAAATAAAAGATTCACTTTTGTTGTTATTCATTTGAGTCAGATGACACACCACAGTTATAAATAAAGATGTTATCGAAAAACATAAATAGAACGATTGAAAATCTGTATTATGAGAATGCCACATTACATCTACTGTCTTAGTCTAACTACCAGGAATCTGACCGAGAAACATGCAAAAACAATGCTTACGCAAACTAAGTAAAATTAATTTTAATTTTGATTTTTGAATAAAAGTATTTACTATGAAATTTATAGAGAACAATATTTTTGAGGGAATTTCATAGTTTTTTTTTTGAATTATGAACTATTTTAAGTATTCAGTTATTTAAAAAACTAAAAACAAAAACGTTTTTTTGTTTTTTATACTGAGCTATATATTTAGAATAATACAAAAACCCTGAGGTTCCCTTCAAAATATTTGTCTCTATAAATTTCATAAGTACCTTTACTCTAAAATCAAAATTAGGCTGGTTTTATTTAGTCTGCGTAAGCAATAAGCACTGTGTTTGCAAGTTACTTGGTATTTTGACTAAAACAGTAGTTGAGCGTGTGAGGTCATCTTAAGGAAGAATACCTAAATCCTATTAAAGCAAATTTTATGAAAACTAAATTTCGTAAGATATTTTGAATTACCAAAATTTAAACTATTAGTTTGTGTAATACATAAATCTGCACCTATCAAAATGCTAAACAATTGCTCTAAAGAAAAAAAATGAAATTTTCATTTTCAAAGTATTTATTACATTAATCAAATAACGTATTTAGAAAGCATTCTTAGATCAGCCCTCCCCCAAGTACATTTTGCATTGAAATTCAGTCCCTAGCAATAATGTATTAAATACAAGAGTGTGGTGAGACCGACTGTGTTGCAAAGTTCATCGTGTTAAACGTTAGGCAAACAAATAAAACAAAAAATTAATGTAGCAAAAATGATAGTGCTTAGATTAATGAGTAGAGTGAAAAGAGAAGATAGGATAAGAAATGAATACATAAGAGGTAACTTTTTGATAGTAGACAAAATAGGAGAAAATAAATTGAGATGGTTTTGGACATTTCATGAAGAGAGATAAATCAGAAGCAGTAAAAATTGTAATGAAAATAAACCTAGAAGGAAGGAAATGGAGAGGAAGACCGATTAGAGGTAGTTGATTGTGATTGAAAATGATAAGAGGGTGTATTCTAGGACAATGTGGGTCATGTGGACATTTAAGACAAGAGTGGCCGACTCCAAATAGTTGGGATGAATGCGAAAGAGAAGAAGAAGAATTCAATATTAATTAAAAAGATAATATAATAAAATATGATGTTGTGTTACCCTCTCATGGTTCAATTTCTTTAACAATATTATGTACCTAAATTAATGTGTTTTATATTAGACAACTAGTCATGTATGTTTTTCTTTAGTGCATGAAGATAATATTATTCTTTCATTATCATGGCCAAAATCAAAAGTGACTGTGAAGATATTAATGTATCAAAACCAACTTTATCAGTTGCCTTAACAATGATATCTATTCCATTATCAATGATTTTATGGATAAGCAATATTTTATTCAAAAAATTGTATGACGATAGTGTCAATGAACTAGATGGTAAACTTATTAACTTAAAAATATAATTGTTATTTAACATAGTATGTAATTATATTAAAATGGTAATGTAAATAATAATATGTTATGTTGAACATACCTTCCTCTTTTGGTTTTCTTTCATTGGGACCGTCCATAAACAAATTCTGCTTCACCTCTCCCTGTCTTTAGCTACTTTTCTCCAATTGGTTCTTGGTTTTACATCTCTATTCACATAATCTTTCCATTTTAAGGGTGGTCTATGTAATGGTCTTTTACCTATTGGGTCTTCCTTGATTACCTTTTATCATTATAGAATTTTTTTCACGTTATTCTACTTAACTTTATTTTCATTGTACTACATGGCTTTTGAAGCAGATTTTGAGTTCTTATGTTTTTTTCTCCGTTCTCCCATTTGTGGGTGATGGTACAGCCCTCATATATTGGCTTTAGTATTTTCCTTTTAAAAGTAACCAGCCTCAATTCTTCTGTTTTTTTTAATTCCATAATTTGAAACCATAAATGATGGTAGGGCGTATAAATATTATATCAATTTGGTCTTATGTTTTTAGAAATGTTTCTTGTTCTTAAAAGGGTTCTTGTTTTAAAATACCATTGAATTGCCATTTGAATTAATTTTTATTTTGATTTATCCATTTTTATTCATTGTTTTTTTTTCTAGAAGGTCTCATAAGTACTTAATTTGTGTATCTGTTAAAGATATTTCCTTCTACTTCTAGGCTCTTTCCATGGCGAATTATTCTATCCGTAAAAAGTACTAAATAGTTTGTAAAACATAAAATTAAAAATTAAAATTACAACATAGATATATTTATAAAAAAAAACGTATTATTTAGATTTACATTTAGTACATAATAAAATATAAATTGGTAAAATAAACAATAGTAAGCATTTAATAACATAAAATAGGTCTTTATTAAGTCCTGCGATTTCAAGTTCTAAGTCCGATGATTCAACCCATTTAATTGCTTCAGGGGACACTGAAAATATTATCCCATGTCCCCAACTCCATATTATCTCCTATAATAGCAATATCATCTGCATACGCAAGAAGGCCTAACATTGATTGACCTAGAACAAAGCCTTTCTATCACTTAATAAAAATAAATTAATAAATTATTATTATAAAATAATACTTTAACAAACTTGAAGAAATTAAACAATGCTTTTTAAGGATGATGGCATACAAATTAGATCAAATGGATGTCCCCCTAGATACCTTGACTGTATAATTTGGTTAAGAAACACTTTTTATCTAGAAGGTTATATAATGATATAACTTTTGTCCATAAATTAATAAACGGTAAACTATCCTGTCCAAACTTCCTAACGAAGATAAACTTTAAAATTCCATCTTTCAACAATCTTTTTTAGTACCACAATGCTCTACAAACATAATTAAACATAGTCCGGAGTGTCGCCATTAAGATGCTTATAACAATGTACCTAATTTTGATTTTTCTTTTGATCCACAACTTAAATTAAAGCATATAGTAATCAATACTAATTAACCTACATTAATTCATTGCATATTATTTATTTTTTCTATTTTTTTTTTTTTTACAATCTAATATTCAATATTTAGATTTACATTGTATAATCTTTTGTGTAACTGTAATTGTACTCTTCACCCCTTGGGCTGTTTAAACTTTATATAAATAATTAAATCACAAATAGTATGCATACATAATTACGGTAACAGGCGTGTTCCTGAGAAGGGGTGGCGATCGCCACTCCCCCCCCCCCATAGAATTGACCTGAAGATGCCCCTGAGCAATACTATTAACCAAGCTACACTCAGAATCGTTTTTTTACTAACAATGTTTAAATTATTAATTGATAATGATTTGGTCTACATACCTAATTTTTTTTATAGTATTATCATTACATATAAATTATATTATTTATAAAGGAACTGTGTTCCACTTATTAAATGTTGCACTTTGAAATATTTTAGAAGGGGTTCCACCTTTTCGATGGTTTATATCCATATTTATTCCATTATTTATTGCTGTATATGGTTATACTAAACGCAGCTTAAACTTAAGTGGAGCATTATTAGGTAAGAATTCCTTGCAAGTATTCTAAACAAATATAAATCCATGTAAATTAAGCTAACATAGTTTTTTTTTTATTTAGGTGTTTTTGTTGGTTTTGTATTGACATTGAGTAGTTATGGATTTCTGGCTTGTTTGTTAACATTTTTTGTTACATCATCTAAAGCTACAAAATTTCGTGCTAAAAATAAAAAACAATTAGAGGCTGACTTTAAAGAAGGTATATTTATAGTGTTGTTTATGATAATTAACATATTTTTAATTGATTATTTTTCAGGAGGACAGAGAAACTGGATACAAGTGTTATGCAATGGAGGTATGGCTACACAACTAGCACTCTTGTATATTTTGGATGTTGGGTGCGGAGAATTACCCATTGATTTTAACCGCTTTTATCGACCTTCTTGGTTGTCAATTGGCGTTCTAGGTAAAATTTTAGTTTTATTAACTTTTTATTGAATAATCAATGTATTTTTTATTTTTATTTTTACAGGCGCTTTTGCCAGTTGTAATGGTGATACATGGGCATCAGAATTAGCCACAGTCATAGATAGTGGTTTGCCTATATTAATAACAACTGGTAAAACAGTTCCTAAAGGTAATCCTTTAATTTTCCAACTTATGAAATTTATTAGTTACTTATATGTTATAACTGAGGTTATGACAGTCTGGCCAACTGGCCAAGAAAAGACTGGCCAACTATACGGATTTGACTCTATATGTGGCTATAAGAATTGGTTTTTTGGAATTTTTGTTTTCTCATCAAAACTTTGGTTTTACCCGTTTTATTTGTAAAATACCCATTCCAAATAAAAATAAACCATGCCAGAGAATTTATTGCAAAATTCTCTTACGGAATAAGGGGTCACTCGAATTTTTCCAAAAATAATCATTATCACCACTATTTTTGGCTTATCATGTCCAAAATCGTAATTTTTGTGTGACATATGAATTTGTATGTACATTTGTCAGGGATTTCAATGGAATAGATTATTTTTTATTTAAGTGTTAATTTAACGATCTTATCCGTAAAATACGACTCATTTGACTGTAAAAACACTAAAAAAATGCATAAATTCAGTTGTTTTTATTGAATTGTTTTATAATTAATTATTATCAGATAATAAAGAAATAATATTTAAAGTAAATGTTCAATCTATGTCCAGTCTTTTATGATACACCTGTATAATCAGAAGTTATGAATTAAATAATCGCATGTTGGTAGTAATATATATGACATTAATTGTTCAGGTACAAATGGTGGTGTATCAGTCATTGGATTGATTTTCAGTTTATTAGGTGGCATTACTATTGGATTAGCCAACTATGTGATGCTTGTTTACACAATAGATGCAGACATGTTAGCTGCAAGTTCTGTGCAATGGCCAATAATAGTAGCCGGTGGTTTTGCTGGAATTGTTGGCAGTATAATAGATTCTATATTAGGTGCCACCTTACAATACAGTGGTAATTATATTTATATGTATTTTTTTATTTATTCAAAATATTTTAACATTTTATCTTATAGTTTCTAATATATTTGATTGAAAATCAAAGACTTGCTTAAAACAAAGGAAAACTCAGCTTTTATATTTTTATTTTGATAATAAATTACAATATTACATTAAACATTATAAAAATAAACATTCAATCATTAATCATGTTTTAGATTTTAATATAGTAACAGTTAATTGTTTTGTAAGTCTAGTCTTAGTGTTCTTTTCGGTAATAAAGGGTTTTGCAATTACAGCCCTTACATAAATATTACCTTTGTGAAGCTGCCGTCGTGCAGTTTTTGTCGAAACAGTATTACTTAAGTAAGCGTTAAGTTCTGCTGTAATTTTAGCCGCTGTAGTTTTATGTTGTCTTGTCACAAATCATTTAATTTCCGTTGGTCCCTGTTAGTCAACTTTAGATTTCACCTATGATGTTTTTCCATATTTTGTGTATACTGTTATTACTGTGGATACATTGACACGTTCAACAGTTTAGATGTTCCCGTAAAGGTACGGTTTCCAAGGCGCGACCGGTCGCCGCTCGACAGTTAATATGTAATTCCTATAGACTGGTTTCTAACGCGCGACTGGACTTTATCATCGCGACCAGTGACACTACCGATTCGAGAGCAGTCAGGTTGCGCGACCGTCGATTTATTTTATTCATAAACTAAATTTTGTTTCATTTCGTATTATATGTCTACTTATTAAAATTTCAATGTATCCATCTTTTCTATTTAGAAAAATGTCATCAAATTTTTCTCTCTTTTTATATCGTACATTAAATAATAATTTATCGTCCTCTTGATTTTCCTCAAGAAGTAACATTATTTTATTATTATTAATAAATATTGTATAAATATTGTATTCATACTCTTAAATAGTAAATATAAAATTTAACTTGAAAACAATAACCCTCACTACACGAAATCTACAATAATACTGAATACAGATAGAGAATTTGACGTTACCAAAGACGGGTCTTAGCGACCGGTCGCGCCTTGGAAACCGTACTGTAATAGATGCTCCCGCTAATCGAGCATCCACGATTTGCCCTCTTTGGAAGTCCCAGAGGTCAAACATTTGATTCGTTCGTAGTATTACCTGCGTAATACACTAACATATAATTAATAACAACTATACTCTAATATTATACTAATATCACGCCTTATTATCAAAAATAATACAGTGTAGCCAACATGCAACAATATGTAATTATGTTGCATGGTGTTCATATTATTTTATCTACCCCCTCTAGCTATTATATGTATACTCTGTTCGTCGTAAGAGTTCAACTGGGCGACACCCAAAGTTCATTCGTTATTGCCATTCTCACCACTATTCCAATGTGAACACTTCGTGTCATAGGCCATCGTCATAGAAACGGCCACGTGATTCAGATATTGGTAACCGCGTGGTGGGGGATGCGCAGATAAGTTATGGTCTTATGGCAAACGGAGTATACGTTTAATTTTAAATTGAATTCAACTGATTTGTAAAGATAGTATAAAATATAAATATTATAATTTAGTATATGAGCAACTACCCACAAGTTTTTCATTATAAATCATAATTTTGTTATTAATAAATTGTTTACCATTTCAAAAAAAGGTATTATTAATTATTATAATAAAGAATATTTAATTTGGATGCTGGATCCAATCTAAATCTGTACATATTCAATTTGTTTTGTTTGCACTCAGGTTTTAATCGTAAAACCGGAGTAATTGTAGAACAACCCGGAAAGGACGTTGTGCACATTTCTGGAAGAAGAATACTGGATAATCATAGTGTCAACTTAATATCAAGTGTGATTATGGGGATTTTGACTCCAAAAATTGCATATTTAGTGTGGCCTTAAAATGTATACCAAACTTTTAGCTAATGTGACTATTTATTTTATTCTAATAGGCAGGTATAAAAATGTATTTGATTTTAATTTTTCTTGTAAAAATTAAATTTAGATTGACAAATATTTTTGTGTATATGTTAAATTATTGTTCTTTTAAACTTTAAAATGTATATTTATTTGGTATAATTTATAATTATTTATTTTATTATTACCATTTGTTTAGTTTTAATTAATACAAGACACGGTTAAGGTTAACACATACATATCAAATACTTAAATAAGATTGTTACTTAATTATTAAAATATATTTATACAATATTAATTGTTTTGTTTATTTCCGTAGCAGGAGTATATTTTGCCATCAATTGCAAATATTGTAATCAGCGTTTATCAGAATTTGGGATACCAAAAGTTGTGTATATCAAATAAACATCTAAAAGATCCAAAATTAATTATAATATATGACAAGCAGTTTTGACAGGGACTCGGGTATAATAAAATACTATAGATTCTACAGTCAAACATTGTATTTGGTGTATATTTATACAGTGTGATCAATCCTTGATAATATCAAGGACTCATTATCTCAGAGAGTATTATTTTATTTTTAGAACATTTAAAAAACAAGCAGTTCTAAAATGTTATATAATCATTATTTTTGTGGGTAAAACCATTACCAACTTTTGATTTTCAAATAACAACCTAAATTAAAAATTCCTTAAATAGATGACATTTCATTTAAATATATTTGATGTAGAAATTTGTTATTTCCATTAAACCTTTGACAAGATATTTAGCTTTTAAGTTAGGTATCCATTTTATTGCTAGAGAGAGTAGTAGACCAAACGAAATCCATCCATCATCCAAACGATGTTTACTTCACCGCTACACAAATAATACTCCAGGTTCACTATTTTCCTCCTATGCAAACATTAAAGTGTAATATATCATTAACAGGTTAATGATAATACAAAATGTTAACACCAAAATTATTCAAACTGAAACTGAAATATTTATGAAATTTTTTATGAGTGTTTTATTGAAAATTGATTATCCTGTATTGTATATAGCGGCCTGGCTGCTTGGGCCATACGAGTATAATTTTTATATGAATTATAAATGCAGACTATATATATATATAAAAAAAAAACATTATTTTGAATCGAAAATTTAAACACTAAACCATGAACATTATGCAAAATGGAATCAAAATCAAAATATAATTCTTAATAATATTAATATTTTATCTGTTATGAAATTTAATAATAATAGTAAATAAAATTCTTGATGTAAATAATTCCATCTCTTATTTGATATAGTTTATTTGAGTTTAGGAAAATAAAAGAATTAACAAAAGAAACCAAGGAAAAAAATTACCTATATTAAAACATTTAAAAATGTTAATATTTTTATGGCATAATTTTAGTTTAGCTCTTGATTTTGATTTTTCAAAATGTGTTTTTGCGTGTATATTAAGAATATAAAAAAAAGTCTGACAGACTTCGAAGTTATTGGGGAAAAATTCAAAAAGGTTCGTGTTTTCTTTTCCGCGTATTTTTTAGTTAGAATTAATATTTTTTAATTTTTTTTTCCAAACATTATGTTTTTTAATTTTTAATCCGTTGATATAAACAAAACTTGCCTATCATATCTACTTTTATAGTTTTTATACATACACCTTGAAAAATAGTACCGTTGGAATTTTTCCAAAATATTTCAAATTGTTTTTAATATTTTGATAATAAATTTTTTTTTTTACTGAAGTCAAAATAAGTCTATAGTTGGCTTAATTGTATAGTTACAAACGTTCAAATGCGCTGTGTTTCGATGGACTCACTCTACAAAATTTTAATGGAAAATAACTCGAGACTGTCAAGAGTAACCACATCGGGTCTTTTATTCCATGTTTTTCATTCCTTACTCCCGACGTGGTTTTGCACAACAAATTGAGAGTTACGATATTATTATTTACAGTCACCTCTTTCGGATTATAATTAGATAAAACCATTTTATTTACACTTTATTAAGTGTATATGAATCCCGGACATACATACGTAATAAAATAATAAAGTAAATATTAAATGATTAATAAGTACTCGTAAATAAATATATAAAAAATAAATAAAAGAATGCGTCGACTGGAGTATTATGATATGTGTTATTGTATGTGCTCATATGTTCCCGATTTCATGGTTATTAATTTTTGCACGCGATGTTTTCTACCAGAAATATTGTATTATTCAAAAAATGCCAAAGGGACCTTTTTTTGTTCCTTAAAATATCTAGCCACTGACGTCTGACAATGAGTTACCTTTTGATACCCAATGTAGTTTTGTTAATTGTTTTGAAAATAAATTAAAGGCATACACAATTATCATTAAATCTTATTGTATAATGCAAGGTAACCACCTATTAGTGTCAAAAATACGGAATACATTTTTTTTTGACAATATTAAGTTTGATGTATAAGCATACTAAGGCATAGCCCCCTTAATATTAAAAATATATATATAAATTGAATACAAAAACTCTTGGTATACAAACTGAGGTAGGCTTGGAAAACAATTCTAATGAATGTATATTTAAGTTATTAAAAATAAAATAATTATAAAAGTCTCACTTGTATTATAATAGTACGATATTTGTAGAATATTTACAAACTTAAAAATTCTTTTGTTAAGCCAACAAGATAAAATTTAGGAGAAAATGATTACAATTGTATTTAAAAAAGGGGTCTTACTTTTATAGTATTATATTATTGGTTTTTTTTTATATATTTATAAATAAACTAATTTGATTTAAGATAATATAATAAAAACAACAAGTTGATATTTTTAGTAACTTAAATTAAATAGTTAAAGGGTAATAATCATTACTATTTTAAGTAAGTTTTTATCTAGCTTTATTTTTTCAATGAAATCTGAACAGTTTTTTTCAAAGTTCAAATTTATTTGAAGTTCTGACTTGATAAGTTTTATTTTGCACCGCTTCCTTTCTTTTGATCACTTTTGATTCATGAAACTAAAAGAAAAATATTTTTTAAATTTTCTTCAGTACCTACAACTTGAAAATATTTTTGTCCACTTAGAATCCACATTTTGCTATTTACTTTAAATATTTTTTGAAATAGATTTTATTGTGCAATACTCACTAAAAAAGCAATCTAAAAAAATATTTTCTAATTCTATAATAAATATTTGCATAGCTTGAATAGAGCACACTAGATGGTGTAAATGGTCTTGCCAAAAATGAGAAGGTTTGAGATAATCTAATAATAATAGTGATAATGTTCATGATCGTGGGTTCGAGTATACCTGTGTTCTTGGATCGAGCTTCAGTTATCACAGGGTCACTCGGTATCCAGTGTACACTGAGATACATAATAAAATGATATATTATTATCTATCTTAGTGCCCGTATATCTTTAATCATGGTCTGACCTTATCAGCTCTTATACCCGTGGTTTGTAAGATCACATTCATGTCTCATGTGTTTACCGCATTTTGTTTTCTCCTGTTTGTATTAAACTACTGTCTGACATTCGTGTTTTCTCTTCTATACTCTGTGATTCGATTACTGCCAATGCTGTCACAAAGGCTGATAATCGAATCAGAATATTATGAGCTTCGTGTTTATGACTTATGTACCTACCAACATAAGAATGTTTACCTATTTTGGGTAATTGATATTTGAATTTAGTAGGCGTTTAATAAGTAAGTGAACATTTTTATATTCAAAAATAAGCTATTACACATTTTTAGAAATTCTAGAAATTATGTAAAAAATATGCCAAATTATCGAAATGCATATATTTCTATGTGTCCCATCAAACCATTGTCCCACTATTGGATTTTCGATTTTTCTTCTCTGTAGTACAACCACAGAGAATTTTGAGGTTTTCAGTTTGATTCTTTTGAATTATATTCCGTGTATAATTAGGATTGGCCACGATTATTTTTAAAATGTATGATTTCAATTAAAATAAATGTTTTCTTATGTATACTTGTTGCTATATTGGTATGCTTAATGTTGGCATTTACTTGGTGTTTTAACTCTTTCCCCTACCAAATATTGATCATATAGATAATCTAGATTATAATTATTTTATTAAATTACATTTTCATAGTAATATACCTAATTTAAATTTTGTATTCATCTAAAATTTAACCTAATTTAATATAATATTTCAGAATATCATATTTACTTTAAGTACTTATTCAAACATTAGAGCATATAACCTAAATTCTGAATAGTGGGTTCTTACTATCTATGTAGGTACCAAAAGGTTTATGGTATCTAATATTATTATTAGCGTATGGCAAGTAATAAAACTGTATCCAATAATTATGTGTGGTTGGGAAATATCCTGTTGGTGAAACCTATGTCCAATTTTTGTCTTTAAGGACGTTCTTAAAATGCCCCTTAAAATAGTTGGTTAATGCTAACTGTAAATAAATCAATAGAATTTTACCAGTGTACAACATATTGAACATCCAGTTAACAATAATGGACATTATAAGAAAACAGCAATTAGTATCATACAAAAATGTAATATTTATAAATAAAAATGTATTAATCTTCATTAATTTTATTATATTTTCAGGTTAAAACCATTCTAGATTTGTTTACAACTTAAGGTACAATAACAATATTACTTCAGTAAGTAATCATTTTATAAAATATAGTATAGAAACCTAAAATATGACATGAAAAAGTGTTAAACAAATTTTAAACAATTTAGAATTGCTCATTAATAAGAGTACCAAAAAATGAACTTTAAACAAAAGAAAACAAAAGAGTCTATTAAAATTATTGAAAATTGCAGTTCTAATGAGAATGAAATTAAAAAAAAAAAACGTAAAAGAACTTTGCATGCAGATACCCCATTGGGGATTTGTTCTGATATAAATAACACACATTTTGAGATAAATTCAACAAAAAAAAATAAAAAAAGGAAACTGAACATAGATAATTTAGGAATGATTCCAGATAAGAGCACAGAAGAAATTGCCATTAAAAAGGAAACAGTTGGATTTATTAAAAAAGTTGAAAATTGTAGTTTTAAAGCAAATGAAATTAAAAAAAAAAAGGGTAAAAGAACTGCCTTTCCAGATTCATTATTTGAAAATAATTCTGTAAAAAACAATACAAGGTTTGAAGTAATGATACCAACAAAAAAGTCTAAATTTAAAACAAACATAGATAATGTAGAAATCAACATCAATAATAGCACAGAAGAAATGACTATTAATCAAGACACAGAAGAATCTATTATAAATAATGAAAATTATAGTTCTAATGAAAATAAAAAAAAACATAAGATACCTGTTCCTACAGGTGCATCATTGGAAAATAATTCTGATATAAATTATAGAAGTTTAGAAGTAACTCCCACCAAAAAAAAGAAAAGAAGTAAAATTAATTTAGATACTTCAGATAACAGGATAGAAGATACAACTAGATTTCAACAAGAGACAGAAGAACTTATTCAAAATGTTGAAAATTGTAGTTTTAAAGCAAATAAAATTAAAAAAAAAAAGGGTAAAAGAACTGCCTTTCCAGATTCATTTTTTGAAAATAATTCTGTAAAAAGCAATACAAGGTTTGAAGTAATGATACCAAAAAAAAAGTCTAAATATAAAACAAATGCAGATAATGTAGAAATCAACATCAATAATAGCACAGAAGAAATGACAAATAATCAAGAAACCGAAGAGTCTATTATAAATATTGAAAATCATAGTTCTAAAGAAAATAAAAAAAAACATATGACACTTGTCCCTACTGGTGCATTATTGGAAAATAATTCTGATATAAATTATAGAAGTTTAGAAGTAACACCCACCAAAAAAAAGAAAAGAAGGAAAATTAATTTGGATAGTTCAGATATTAAAATCGATAAAAGGATAGAAGAAACAACTAGATTTCAACAAGAGACAGAAGAACTTATTCAAAATGTTGAAAATTGTACATTTAAAGCAAATGAAATTAAAAAAAAAAAGGGTAAAAAAACTGCCTTTCCAGATTCATTATTTGAAAATAATTCTGAAAAAAACAATGCAAGGTTTGAGGTAATGACACCAAAAAAAAAGTCAAAATATAAAACAAATGCAGATAATGTAGAAATCAATATCAATAATAGCACAGAAGAAATGACTATTAATCAAGACACAGAAGAATCTATTATTAATAATGAAAATAAAAAAAAACATAAGACACCTGTTCCTACAGGTGCAATAATGGAAAATAATTCTGATATAAATTACAGAAGTTTAGAAGTAACCCCCACCAAAAAAAAGAAAAGAAGGAAAATTAATTTGGATAGTACAGATATTAAAATCGATAAAAGGATAGAAGAAACAACTAGACTTCAACAAGAGACAGAAGAACTTATTCAAAATGTTGAAAATTGTACATTTAAAGCAAATGAAATTACAAAAAATGAGGGTAAAATAACTGATTGTCCAGATATACCATTTGAAAATAATTCTGTAAAAAGCAATGCAAGGTTTGAGGTAATGACACCAAAAAAAAAGTCTAAATATAAAACAAATGCAGATAATGTAGAAATCAACATCAATGATAGCACAGAAGAAATGACAAATAATCAAGACACCGAAGAATCTATTATTAATATTGAAAATCATAGTTCTAAAGAAAATAAAAAAAAACATATGACACCTGTTCCTACCGGTGCATCATTGAAAAATAATTGTGATATAAATTATAGAAGTTTAGAAGAATCCTCTACCAAAAAAAATAAAATTAATTTGGATAATTTAGAAATCAACATCGATAAAAGCATAGATGAAATAACAAAATTTCAACAAGAGACAGAAGAATTTGTTAAAAATGTTGAAAATTGTAGTTTGAAAGCAAATGAAATTACAAAAAATAATGGTAAAAGAACTGAATCTCCAGATTCATTATTTGAAAATAATTCTGAAAAAAACAATACAAGGTTTGAGGTAATGACACCAAAAAAAAATTCTAAATATAAAACAAATATAGATAATTCAGAAGTCAACATCAATATTAGCACAGAAGAAATGTTTATTAATCAAGACACAGAAGATTCTATTGTAAATATTGAAAATCATAGTTCTAATGAGAATGAAATTAAAAATAATAAACATAAGAGGACCGTCCTTACAAGTGAATCATTGAAAAATAATTCTGAAAAAAGTAATACAAGTTTTAAAAAAAAATGTATATCAAATAATACAAATTCTAATAATTTGTCTAATAGGAAGATTAGAAAGTTAAATAATAACATTACTACTTCTGATAGTCCTATATGCCAATTAGATAGTGATCTGAGTGATATACTAAATTGTATTGAAATGTTAGAATCGAATGAAGAAGTTAATTCGTCGGATACTACTGAAATGAAATTTAATTATAATTATTATCACTTAATTGACTTTCTTACTTCATCTGATCCTTCATTAGAAGCACGTTCAGATTCTGCATTTATACTATCAGATTTATCTAACCAAATTCGGAAATGTATTAATCAGCATTACAAAGTAGTAAAAAAATGGGAAATTGAACTATTAAGATTTATTGGACAAAAAATATTGACAAAAATTTTAGCAAAATATAATAGTGCTGAGGTATTATATTATTGTATCTAATATTGTAGAATATAACAATATAATTTATCATTTGTATATATTATGTTTAGAATATTATGGATTTATGTATTCAAGTGGCAAATACAAATCCACTACATTATGTAGAAACTAAATTATCAAGACAACCAAAAAAGGAAGAACTAGATAAAATTAGAAAACAATTCCCATTATTAAAGTTAGGTGTATTCAATAAAGATGAAGATAATATTATTCGAGAGTATTGGTCTAAATTTCAACAGGTAAATGTTTTTTATTTGTTTGTTTATGTGATAGCGTTAATATGGTTTGAAATGAAATCGTTTTGAAACTAAAACTTATTTTTGTCATCTAAATACCAAACCAGTTAAAAAAAAAAAATAATATAATTTTAAAATTAAAATACTCACATTAAATATAGACTTATTAACTAATGATTTTAAAAAATCAAAAAAGGTGTTTAAAACAGTTTGTAAAATAAACATATAAATTTGTTTTTTAAATTTTATCAGTTTATGTTTATGCATTGCATACTTAGATCTATGGGCTCAAATACATATAGTTGCATGGTCAATTATTATTATGCATTGATGTCACATCTCAATTTCTCATTTTAATATTACATTATATACTTACTTTAAAATTAAATATTAAATTATAAATAAGATTTTATTATTACTAGATAACATTTTATATGAAATCTGTTAACAAAATATTCCCTCAATTGGTTATATTGGTACCTATATAAACAGACAATAGATATTGAGCTAAACTGTATTAATAAATTCAAACCATTTTAAGACAATCATAAACATTTCAATAATACCTTTATAAATATACCTGTGATTCTTTTATCCTTGAACACTCATTAGTTCTAAAAGTATTGACTATGTATGAATGTACGAATGTATTTTTTTTTTTTGGAAAATTAAGAAACAAATATTTCCAAAATGTTACATTATCATTTTTTTTTCTCCCTTATTTTAGGGGGTGAAACCTAACTTAGGACTACCTACTTATGACAAAAGAACACCGATTATAATTAAAAATGATTTAATGCAAATTGTTCATCGTACTATATTTTTATATTTATTTTACAAAATGTATATTAAATTAAATTGGTTTTCTAGGAATACAATATTTCAGATGTTAAACCATTCTTATTAAATGGTTTGAAAATGGCTTCTTTATCTTCTCATGAAAAATTCAATTTTTTTCGTTATATATCAGCTGGACTTCCTAATCGGTTATTATATTCAGTATATAATAGGTTCAATGTACTGTTCGATGAAAAAGTAGATCGTTTAAGGTAAATATAGTAGTTGTTGTATATTTATTATCAAAAGTTTATAATTTCAGTGCTTAACTAAAGAACCTACGAGTCAGTTTTTTTTTTTATACTTATTATTTGTCACATTTTTTATAAAATATCGAATTTGATTACTTTTTTCATTATACATATACATACATTTTAAATTTTTAAAGGAAAAGTTATAAAATATTACTATAGGTAGTATTTTTAAATTTAATTCCATTAAATTATTTTTTAAATCATTATCTTTTTTTATTTATTTCTATTTTCACACTAACTACCTTAATGAGTGCTATTACGATATACTTACACATCATTGATCATGAATTTAATAATACATTTTTGTTGATATGAGATACAATTATCTATTCAGATAGCTAAGGTAACAATAAATATACAGAGAATATACATATACCATCAATTTTATTTAATATTGTATGTGTTATACTCTTATACTTATAATAATAACTAATTTTTATATAGTTTTTTAAAATTTATTGTAAGTACTCAATTTGCTCCTTATATTTAGTCATAGTAAATGGTTGAAATAAAATATTGTTAAATTATTTCAAATATTAGTTCTTATTATTTACTATCTATTTTAAATTCTGAGTGTAGCAAAAAATATATTGATTCTAAAAAGATGTTCATTATTTTTTTTTATGTGCACATTTTTTGAAAGTGTACTCTGGTGTATATGACCATTTTTGTGAGCAAATTTTCTTGAGGTGGTACTTTAGGGGGGTAATTTTTTAATTTTTTCAGGATTTTTACCAATAAAAGGGAAAAAACGGGAAAATAGGTATAATATTAAATATTATTAAAGAAAATATATAATACCTATGTAATTATTTTACCATATTGTTGACAAAATAATACTATTAACTAGCAGCAATAGTTTATCACTGCTTATTGGTATACATTAAATAGTCCTCTATTATTTTCTTAACTTTACACTTACAATAGTAGCCCATTCATATGGGAAGTTTGTCTGTCATTTTCGATACTGATATTGGAGCCAAACAATTTAACAAACCCACACATACTAAACCAATATATTTTCTACATGTACATACTTAGGATCAAAAAAGTAATCTAATCTTTAAAAAAATTATTTTGATATTTTTCAAATTTTGCTCTATATAATTTTTTTAATTTCATATATACATTTTCTATTTATAATAATTGTTAATGTTTTTTATTTAAAGTTTTTCAGAAGAAGAAGACAAAATAATACAGAGAGTTGTTGATTTTGATGCAATTAAAAATAATTTTTCAGTCTTAAGTTTACTTTTAAATAGAACTAGGCTACAACTTTATAGAAGAGTGAATACTTTAAAAATGCAACCTTTACGTCAATGTGAGCTAAGTTATACTTTTTAGTCCTTTTTATAGCATTCTAAATAAATATTATTTCAATTATTGTTGTCTTTATATTTATTAGATCGCATATATTGGAATATTACTCAACACCAAGAATTATTCACAAACATCTTAATAGAAACAGAGACTGAAAATTGGAAAGACTTAAAAAATATGACTATAAAAAAAAATACATGGATTGCTATTACAGAACGTTGTAGTAAAAATATTAATAATTATGAAAAAAATAGAACCCAATGGAAATTTTTATCGACTATGTTGTTTTGTGAAAAACCAATAGTATACTCGACCTTAAAATCTACAATATTTCAATAGTAAGTAAAAATTTTGTTTTAAAACACTTGGCCATTTATATAATATTCTGCTAAATTTTAATTATTATATAATGGGTTGGGTGTTAACTTTTAAAATTCAAATGGGAACCAATATTGAAAATACCATAAATAAATTTTGGTGTTGAAATTTTTGATTTCCGTCAACCCGTTGATGAGATATTCAACTTCTTAGTTTAGATAGGAGGAAAGTGATTGCTTGTGTAGTGGCATGGCAAGGCGCGTGGCGTTTGAATATTATAATTTTGATTATGATAACATGAAATGTTTTTTAAACAAAAAAGGTATTCGAAAAAATATTGTTAAGGGAACGGCATTTCTAAAATCTTTCATCTGGGGTCTGTAATCTACAAAAGGCAAAGCACCGGTGGTCTATGGTATGTCTTCGACAAAATGGCCGCCATTCGTTATCTAAGAAGTGACTGTTTACAAATTAAACTGATATGGTAAGTGATAAGATATTATTTTGGAGGGCTGTAATTTAGTTTTACTGTTTAATGTACTTAATATTTAGATATAATATCATTTCTTATCAATACTATAAAACATAAAAATTCACCTCTTAGATGAAGATGGCAGCAATTTTATTGGCGACAATAATAGTACCTAAGTCAGTCATCTAAAAAAAATTGATACATAGATATTTTTTCATGGCTCCAAATGTAATTATTAGGTCGCGAAAGTCGCGTTATACTAGCGCCCCTTATACGATACCCTCAATTTTCAAAATATCCTAATATTTAGCATATTTATAATATAATATATCCGTGGTTATAAAACAAACATTTATTACCAAGTTCACCACATAATTAATCATATTATTAATAATATTATAATTGATATAATTTGAGTATTTACGGCTATTTTACATTAAATTATAAAATTATTTATATTCATTTTAATTAATCTGATATTGTTAATACATGTTCAAGTGGTGAAGGAGTAAATAAGTATATGGTATCAAATGTTTTTATTATTTTTTATTTACATTAAAATATTATAAACACATGTTGAAGGTTAAATAGCAAAAAAAAAAAAAAACATGATACATGTATACCACAGATATCTGTGCTGTATACTAAAACAAACTCTGTACCTCAGAACCAGATGAATGCAAATCCAAAAATTATTATTTAGATTATTACATTTTTTTGCTTGCAATATGTATTTTCTACCGAGTCATAATTACGGAAGTCTTATAAAAATACTTCTATAATTTTACCAGGGTTATACGAGTGTAAGTTCTGATATACGGCAGGAAACATATTCATTTTTTTAGTTTTATTCTAAAAATATATTTACAATTGAGTTAAGAATAATACTGTTTCTTTAGATATATTTGAAAAAATTGTATAAGACAACATAGTTATGCTAGAAGTAATGAAAATTAAAAATTACATTAGGGTATAATAGTTATCTGTATTAATTTTTCAAATAAATTAAAGCCAATGAATAATATTTGTATTTATTTAGTTATTTCTTATTGTTAATACTAATTTACTACGGTAGTATTATGGTATAAGAGTTCTATAATGACTGTAGAGAGCGCTAGTATGATGTGACTTTTAGTCAGATTTGATTAGAAAATTTGTCATGATTCAATATGAGCGGTCTTGCAACCATAGTATCTATATCCATAGATAATATATAATGGATAGGCTATGTATATACAATCAATAATACATCATATCTTCTATCCTACTTTCCTTTCCTTAAGTTAACTTATTCCAGATTTTCTCCTATTGAAGTTTCATAATCTGCTAACATCATGGACCCATGGTACCTCTTCTTATCTGTTGTCTTCACTCACATCTGAAATAAGATAATTCGCCCAAGTCTTGTTAAAAATTACATATAATCTTTGTATGTTAATTTTTTTTATGGGTATTAAACCTCCAATTGTTTGTATAGCCATATTATATTTTAGTCCTCAATTACCATTCTATAATTTAAAATTTTGAGATATCAAACCAAAAATTACTGTTTTATTAGTTGTTTCTTTTAATTTTGTTTATATTACATTTTTAATAATTTTATAATTTATATTATTTGTTTGTTTGTTTTAGCTTACTTAAATTAAATCCTGAAAATTGGTCAGATATAGATTGGGTAAAAATAACTAATACATTTTACCCAGGCGCATGTAGTAAAGTAATTGTTACATTGTATTATAGATTAGTTTTTGAAAAACTTCCTTGGGAAGAACGAACCAATGTTAGAGGTAACTTTATATTTAGTTTAATTTTTAATTTTGTTTGAAATATTACTAATATGAGTAGTAAAATATACAATTTTTTTTTTATTTATAGATTGTTTAAAATATTTATCAAATAATGCGGATGATTACATTAACAATGAAAATAATAATAAAGTATTTCCAAGGCTTACAGTTGAAGATCATAATGTATTAGTTAAGATTGAATAAAATCTTATCAATGTTTATATTATTTGTGGCTTATTAATTTTTCCAAATTAAAAACTAAAATAACTAATTTAATTGATATAATATATTGCATCAATGATGTGTTACACGAGAAGAGAATATTTAAAAATGTAGCACATCCATATTCCACCAAAATGATTTAAAAAAATACAAAAACCTTTTTCTCAATCTTTTTACTATTTACTGTCATAATCCTCTAAATGAATATTCATTGTTTTAGCAACCCGTAAATATATATTTTATCTACTTAACCAAAAATTTTTATATTTGGCAACCCTAAATAATTAATTAGCAACCTCCAGGTTGAGAAATACTGGTATACTACCAATGTTAGAAAAGTATTGATACTTTTATTTTGATATGAGTATTTATTGTATCTTACTCAGATATATATGTGCGGTACCATTTCTAAAAGGGAATGTTGTCTGGGTGGTACTTTTGAAATTTACTTTTTTGATTTTCCAAGTGGTTTTCATAATATCTGGGTAAAACTCAAGAAAAACGTGTAATTTACAAAAAAAAAATGCTTTTATTATTTGTCAGTTTTGTTATTTGTTGTAATTAAAAATATTCTTAGAGACCTTCTTAGATATTTGCCTTTTTTAAAGCAGGACAAATTTTTGAGATATTTATAGACATTTTAATTTTGAGAGTTTTGTATGTAATATTTATTTGGTAAGTACTCTGTAGTAAAATTGTTAAGACTTGAACAGAAATGCTTCAAAATTCAACAAGAGGTTCATTAAGAGTCTTACTTTGTGGTTAAAAAAAAAATTGAGTTTAATGTAATATTTTTTTTTTTTTTTAAGGGAATTTTTATATCAAATTTTGACAAAAAAATTATGTGAAACAAATTAAATTTTTTAATTATTTTTTTTTGAATATATGTATATTGCCTACTTAAGAATGATGGTGAAGTTAGTATTAATTGGACTAAGTTTTGAAATTATAGTTTTTTGAAGTTCTGATATGCGGATATTATATATTATGTTAAATAACTATATTGTCCTCAGAGCATGTTTATCATGATCTAATGGTTATTTATACCTATTATCATCCAAGGAGTTCCAAGTCCAAACCAGTCTGACAAAAAAAAATTATTTGTATTCTTTTTACTTTTACTTAAACAAGGTAAATCAATTGTAGCTTATTTTCTGAAAGGAAAGTTTATCTCCATGGTTTATTTATTTATTCGTATGGCTTAACAAATCATTTACAGCAAAATTATACAGTAAAAATAAAATATAAACATAAAGCATAATTTAATTAAATTTAGATTGAAAAGGTTAAGGTTTTATAAATATATAATATAATATAACAATATAACATAACAATGCGTAACAGTTTATAGGTGTACGTCCAGTTCCCTTATCCACTTTACTGCTTCAAATAAATAAATCTCCATGGTAATTTAGAGAAGACGTTTATTGATTTTTCAAGCGGTATTCATAAAATCTGGAAAAATTGGGAAAAAATGTCGGAAACACGGAAAATGTACATAATGTAGGTATTAGTAAAAAATATAGCCTTTTTTTTCTGTGTACAACTTTTTACTAGATATTTTGCTCCGATTTACAATGATAGCACTTTTTCTGAAAGAAAATCTGACTGGGAAGGTACTTGAAGTTGGTAATTTTTCGATTTTCTTAATTTTCGATAAATGAAAAAAAAAAACGGGAAAATCTGTACACTATTAAACAAATATTAAAGAAAATATATAATGCCTATTTAATTATTTTATCATAACATGACAAACGTATTATTGACAAAGCATTACTATAAACTGAACTCTGCTCAGAATCATTTTTAGTAAGCAATGGTTTATTGTTGCTTACAGATATACATTAAATTACCTATAATAATGGCTACATCCGTCTCCATTATCCTAGGATGTCTTTTTAAGACTGATTAAATTATCCCACCAGTGTTCTATAATAGACTCCAGCTAGTAGCTTATTTGGAGTAGATAGGTACCTATTACTCTAGTTCACTAGCTTTTATATACTAACTATACTAATGTACCAAGTTTTTAATAGGATCATTATAAAGCTCTATAAAGACACACAAGACATTTATTTTAGTTATAGTTAAATATTATTTTACCATTATATTCTGTGGTTTTACTTAGTCACCCCTTGATATTGAGGTAATAATTATTACTTTTTTAGAATATTTTATTACCTCAATACTTAAACTTTTATAATAATCTATGATTTCGAAGGTGTAGCAACGACAACTTGAGATGGGCACAACCGACTAGGTAGGAACTAGTATGGACTAGGTAGGTGTACTGTGTAACTAATTTGGTCAACTAACGAGAAAATTTATTCAACCTACGTTTAATGACCATTAAGTACTACTGTACTGTACGACTTAGAATGAACCTGTCTGTTTAGTCTATAAATGTTATCCACAGAGTACCAACCAAATAAAAATTACGTAAAAGACTGACAAAATTAAAAAGTCTATAAATAGCTCAAATGTTTTGAAAATGTGTATCATTTCTAGAAAAATCCTATATAAAGCCTATTCTGTCAAAATGTCAAGTCTATGAATATTTTAAACTGAATTGCAACAAAAAAAACAAAATTAAAAATAATGAAAATATTGTTTTTGTAAACTTTTTCATTCTTGATACAGTGTTTACAGATTTTCTTAATACTCAAAATACTAAAAAGGAAATCAAAAAACAACTTTCTTAATCACCAACAAGTTTAAAAATGAAACAAAAAAAACCTTTTGATGATTTTTATTGGAGCACAATATTATGTTTAGTAGAAAACTTCTGGGTTAGTCCCGATACATATATAATATGTATAAATAAATAAATATATAACTGAAATCCGCATCTGTAATGAACCATCTTTCGTTAGCAATGATTAATCATTGTGTTTAGATGTACATTAAATTCCTCTCTATATCTTTGACAAAATACAAATTAATAATTATAAAATAGTTAATAGTGTAATAAGGGTTAACACTGATATGAATTGGTTAGTTTATATTATGAATTTGTATTTATTGGTTAATTGGCAAATTTGTAGTAGTAAAAAAATGTTTTTTCCCAAGTGTTGGGTGCACAGGTTTTTGGAACTTTCGGATACTAACTGTGGGGAATAATGGATGTGTTTTTACGTTCCTCACTTTCATTATTTAAAAATAACTAATAATATATTTTGTTTGTGTATAATGTGTTTATTTGAAAGAGCATGAAGAATGTAAATGATGTAAACATACAAATAAAATTAGTTTTTACATAATGAAAAATGGCAGACAACATTGACAATTTGTCTGTTTAAAGTTTGTACAAAGTAATAGTAAATAAATATATAATTAATGATAAACACAATTTAATTATTTCACTTATTTTAAAAACAAAAGTCCACACAAAATCTATTTAAATATTCACGTTTAATGTTAGCACACAATATTTTTAAGATTTAAAATTATAATTCTTTTAATGTGAGTACAGAATTAACAATAGAATTAGTATTACAACTTTGTCACTATTTTGATTTTTATAAATTTAAAAACTTTTTAAAAAAATATTTCTAATTGATAAAAATGCCTACGTAATTACATTATTTAAGACAAATTAATATTGAAATCTAACTAATAAATTATCAACAGAAGTCAAAAAGTAATAATATAATTTATAATACTATACCAAATGGCAAAAATCAATATAATAAAATAAAATGATCACTTAAATTATAAGTATACACACACATAATAAAGAATCAAAATTTAAAATAAAAACATATTTACTTTATTAAAATAAATGTATTAATTATTTTTTGAATAGTCTTTGAAAAATACTACCTCTTGTTAGTCCTTTGGATGGACCTTTTTTAATTTCACTATTTGGACCTTTTGCTAAAGAATGAATTTTACTTAAAAATGATTTGTTTGGACCTTTGGCTTTCACTTTATTTTTTTCTAGCTTGTCACATTTGGATAAGTCTTTTTTGCTATAAATAAAATGTATAATTAAACTAAAGTGATTAATAATTAAATACACAATTTACCTTAATAAATCTTTATTTGGACCTTTCGCCAAACTAATTTTTGTACTAATAGGTAAGGTTTTTTGGCCGTCATAATTTATATTGCTAAAAAAAAAAAAAAAAATGAAAACTTATTATATTATTAGTATTCTAATAGAGAAACAATTTTATAAATTGTTTGCCTACTTATAAATAATAAATATAATATACTTTTTGATTGTAAAGACTAAAACTTAATAAACAGATAAAAAAAATTTAACTAATTTGTATACTTTAAGATATCTTCATATTGTATATAACAGTTATTACTTTATAAGTCATTAATTTTCTTTTATTTCTTAACATAAAATAACACAATTATAATTAAACACAATTTATTTTGTCTTTGTAGTCTCCTTACCAATGAGAATGTTCAATAACAGTTGCTGCATCTTTTATGTTGTTTTCATACATTATGGTATTGTTATGAGTTGGCACATTAGTAGAGTTTTCATTTTCAGGTTTACTATAACAAATAATTTTACCGTTATAATTATGCTATAACAATTAAGATAAAATTAAATTTTTTCTAAGTCTCATGTTAGCATCTGTTTGATATTTTTTTTTACAGACTTAAAACAAGGTAAAATCAAATAATTGATTCAACAAAAATTTAAAACCAAAAACTTGTGTATGTTCAATCTAGTCAATTGTTCAAAAAAGATAAAGATAAATAGTAATGGTCTGAAAGTGTAATTTCTATACTTATGTTTAATATTTGAAAACTCAAGTTTTATATGCTTATATCTATATATATCTGCCTCTTTATCTGTGCTACTGTATTTAATTATCAAATTGCTTTGTTCAGACCTAGACGAAGAGAAGCAAGTGGAAAATAGTAATATTTTCATTACTAGTTGTGACGAGACTGTAAATACCACAAATCCAATTGGTTTTTTTTAACCATAGTGGTACTGTTTTATGCATTTCATAGGATTTATAAAACTAAAACACACATGTAGCATTTTTTTCGCGCAATTAAAATAACTAGAGAGAAAAATGTATTTAAGGTATTAAAGTACATTTATAAAAAGATTATGTATGTCTTCAGATGATTTTATTCTCTATAGTATTAAAATTTGTTTTAAGTTAGTTTATAGGAATGATTAAAAATATAAATATACTAAAAAGATAAAATAATAATATATTCTGTTATTCAGAGTTTAAACAAAAGATTATTATTATTTACAATCTAAGAAATAAAATAAATGTATAAAGTTGAATACATTTTGTAGTAGATGATTAGAACTGTATAATTAACGACTTACATATTTTATAAATAAAATAGAAAATAAATTAAATGAATTTCGGATTTTGAAAAAAAACATAATACAACAAATAATCCGTTCTCTTCAAGATAACAGTAACTTTTTTTAAACACACATGATGAAATAATAACTCTTCCCCATAGTATAAAACAAACACAATTTGGAATAAATTATTAGATTTTTTTACCTACCTAAGACTATTACTGTTTCACTATCGAAAATCAATTTACCTACCTCTTCCAATTGCCATTCACAAATTGAAAACCCAAAGTGTAAACTTTTTTTTTGATTTCGTCTTTGTTTTTGAAATCATGTACCTACTATTTGGTAATTCTGAAATGTCTTATATAATTTTTGAAAATAAAGTATTTTCCGTTATGCACGTATTGTTTGTGCACATTTTAACAATATTCATAAGTTCAGAACAACAAATACATCACGATCATTAATTCGTTTTCCACATTTTTCACAAAACCAATTAGTTTACAATTAATTACAATAATTTAGAATTCCTATTGCAACTAAATTAACTACTGTCTCTGTTACTCTTTGGCGTCTCTTCACATTCAGAGTAATCATAGTTATTGAAATAGGTAACCAGACTAAACATTTTACAGAATTATAGAAATAATAGGGTATATAATATTCAATTTAATAATAAAATTCAAAATAATAAAAAAACAAAAATTATTTACTGTTTGTTACAATCGTAGTTCAGTGAATCAGTGCACACTGCATTAGGTAGGTACTGTAATAGTAGACATTATGTAGTTGTATGAATGTAGTATATTATTCATGGTTTATTCTAACTGCTAATAGTATAATATTACTTATTTAATTAATAAAAATAAACAACATCATTAACATTACATATAAATAGGTACAAATTGTATCTCAGTTGACAGTATGTAACCAGAGTGTCGAAGTATCTGAGTGTGTATTTTTTTATTTATAATCAAATTTGACTTAATGTTTGGTATTTGGTTGAATGTCGAATAACGGTTGGTTGTAAGCGTAAACAAGTTGATAATTATAATACTTGACATTTTCATACTTTTCCAAAACATAAAAAAATCAGCAATATAGCATCGAAAATAGGAAAATTGTTGTAAAAGAAACAATTTTAAACATAGTGCTGGATCAGTTATATATTCTAAACATTTTCTTTTGCTTGAGATAAATAAATCGGGTATTTTTTTTTTTCAAAAAAAAAAAAACATACCAAAATCTAAGTATATTGTAAGATTAAATTTCAGTAAGAATCATTACATATTTTAAAAAAACAATACTGAGAGGAGTTCGGTGGATAGTGTTGATTTGTTAACAATATATATTTCATATTATCGCAAAATAATAACATGTATTATACAGTTTCTTTAATAATAATTGTTTAATATTGTACCTATTTTCCCATTTAATGGGAAAACTCCTGAAAAAAAAAAAATAATAATCTCCTTAAAATACCTCCAGTCATATTTATTTTTTAGAAAATGTACTATAATTGTAAATCGGAGAAAAATCGCAAGTAGATAAGTTGTCCACTAGAAAAAAAGATAATAATATTATACTAGAGCTGCGTGATTATATCGATTATGTTTTACGAATTCAATATAATTGAATAAAACCAAATAAATAACAGAAAAATCAAAAAAACACCTGCATACTTAAGTAATCTAAAGTTTTAAATATGCTCAAATATCAATAACAAAAATTTAATCATATTAACCATAGTCTATAATGATACATTTGCCATGAATAAATAAATAAATTATTTGGCCATAAAACTTGTAATTAACAGGCCATGATGTACAAGATTGTACTCTAGATGTATGAGAACCCACCCACCCCTATTTGAAGATGTTGCTTGAGCAACACCTTGACTATAGGATAGCCGTCATTGTGCATAAAGATCTGAACTCTAGTTATCAGGTATATTATTTAAATAAATGAAATTTGTCAAATTTTGGATTTATGTTTTTTCAAAATCATAAAATATTATATTAAATCTGTAGTTAGAATATATGGATTTATCACAAACGAGATAATATTAATAATTTAAAAACTAATATGATGTTTTTAAACATCTGACTGGCCGGAGATGCCCAATACAATTCTCTGGGATTTTTTGCAAATTATTAAATTTATTCAATTATAGATTTAAATATTAATAAAATGATTAATTTTCAATTGGTCCAAAACAGGATAGTTTAGGGTGATCAAGAAAGAGCAGTATGTAAAATGTAGTTACACAAATTAATTGTAGAATATGATTGTAAGATTCAATTGTGTAAATCTGACCGCCATAGAGGTATTCAATATTATTTCAGGTCCAACACCCTAAAATAAATCTTTGATATATGGGACCTGTCAAAGAGTCTCATCAAAAGGATGAAGACATTACAGAAAAATTATCCCAATATATAATCATGATAATCAAGTACTTATTAATAATCACTTAAGGTGGTCAGTACAGATGTGCGAAGAAAATAATGATTTATTATTTTTTTTTTTTAATAGATGAATTTCTTTGTATTTTATATTGTAGTGCTAATATTTATGAATGGACTGATGAAAACAGAATAATAAAACAATATGAAACTGACAGACAAACAAGTAAAATGTAAACTTTGTTTACATACAGAAAGTAATTTCAATAATCCTTCCAACCACAACGTGAGGCTCAAGAAGTACATGCCAAAAAGGATTCATTTACAGTTTTAATGGCATGTTTGTATAATCTATATTAGCTATTAGTTGACCAATAACAATAATACTGAAAAAACTTTATAATGAAAAAGTTGTGGTTTTTAAACAACTAGGGTAACCCCGCAAATTATTTTGATGTTACATGCCAACATTTTTTTTTTCCGAGATTGCCATTTAATTATAAAAGATACACAGTGGATTTTGCTAAGTGTTACCATCAGTTAATGTGGGCAGCTGCCTAATATTGACATAATGGTGTGGTCCGAATTCTTATATATAATACAAATTTTTAAAATAGCTATTTTGTAAAAAATATTTAAACAATTTTAATGTAACATTCATATCCGGTAAATAATTTCATAGTTATTGCCATTTTATTAGGTGTGAAAACAATTAATATTTAATAAAATAACACGTTATGCGATAAGGAATTACAATCGCCACGGTAATTCTTTACCTTCTATTGAATATTAATCGTTTACACAACTATTTTTATTCTAGAAATTAAAACTGCTATAATTAAGAAACTAGGAATTAATCCAGCGATCCCCACTACGCGGCCCGCTAGTGAATAAAATTAACGTTGATTTTTATCTTGTTATTTTTATTTATTTTATCTTTCTATTTTAAACTTGTATTGAATTATCAGTTGGACAGATAAGCTGGTACCTACGATTATGAGTTTATTATTTTCCACCGCGTAGTCTTTTATGAACAGTTCATCCGTTATCGTTTATTGTCCGTCAGTATTTTATCACGTATTGTTGTTATAATATTTAATTATTCTGCGAGTAAACCGTTATTTTTAATTCTATATCATGGAAAAACGTAAAATCGAAGAACACAGAATATTTCAAGATAGTTGGGAGATTGAATTTGTATGTATTTCTGGTAAGAAACACGATGCTTTATGTTTAATTTGTCTTAAAACCATAAATATTCCAAAACGTTATAATATTAATCGTCATTATACAACTAATCATACTGAATTTTCTAAAAATTATTCACACCCATCTGAAATAATAGAAGAAAAACTAATTGAATTAAAAAAAAGTAATTTTTTCTGAAAAACAATCAATGTTACAGTTCACTAATAAAATGAACTTGCAACAAAAGCGTCGTATGAAGTAACATATATGTTAGCCAAACATATCAAACCATTATCGGATGCCAAACTAATAAAAAACTGTATGGAAACAGTTGTAAAAACTCTATTTGGTAATTTTTTCAATATTAAAGAAATACCTGACCAAATTTCAAATCTGCAGTTATCTGATGCTATCAAGTATTTGATTCAGTGATCAACGAATTAAAAGATTGTTGATTTTTTTCTTTAGCATTAAATTCATCAGTAGATATAAGCTCTACTTCTCAATTAATACTTTTAGTTAGATTTTGTTCAAAAAATAATATTATTAAAGAAGACTTTTTGAAAGTCGTACCAATAAAAAGACAAACTCGTGGCGTGGATTATTTTGAAACAATTTCTATATATTTAAAAAAAAAAAATAAAATAGATTGGCAAAATTTAATTTCCACATGTACGAATGGTTGTCCTTCAATAATTTTTATATTTTTAATTATTATCATTAAAAATATATGCAGCCCACAAATAATATTTAAAAATTATATTTGCCCTTTCTAAAATCCTAATGAGAACCGCTGTATTAATTGGATATGAATGTATGATACATTAAAATTTTTAAAATATTTTTTACAAAAGTGAATAAATAAAATTATTTTTTTCATGTTTAGGGGTTGAAAATCAAAATTGTATTTTTCTCCACATTAATGTCCTCCTCGAAGAAAAAACCGATTTAAAAGAAAAATTTAAAACATTTTTTTTATAATAACAGCACTAGAAAAATTCAAACACTGTGGGATACACTGCCTATGTAAATATTATAGTAAAATAAATACTAAATAATCTATTTTCTTTAATAATGTACCTATTTTCCTTAAGATTTTTCATATTTATTAGGAAAACTGAAAAATAAACATCTTTGTAAAACTATAAGTTTCTTTGCTCCACTCAGAATCTAAAAATGTGTGAAATTGTGATGATATTAATTATTAAAAATAAAAACATAATATAAATATTTTAATTTTTCCTGTACCCCCAAAATGTTTCACGTGCCATCTTGAGAGCACAAGCCGTGGATTTGAATTCCTGAATTAGGATGATTAACAATAAAAATTTCTCATCATAAAACAAAAATAACTGGAAAGGTTATGTAGAGTCAATAATTATCAATGGCTGAAAAGAAATTTCATAACAAAAGCTTGATGTACAAAAAGAATGTAATATCAATGTCCCACAAAATATTTATCGAACACCCCACAGTCCTTATGAAGAATTATAATCGATAAGATATACCTAAATGTATAATTGTAAAAATTCTATTATGTATATTATTTATATTTTTGTTTAAATGTATACATTTTTTATTTTTCAAAGATTAATTTGAGTTCTTACATTATAATTAATTATAATTACACATTAGTTTAAACTTTAAATAACAGAATATAATATTATTTTATCTTTACGTTTTAGTATATTTATTTATTAATCGTTTCTTTAAATTAACCTAAAACAAATTTTAATACTATGGAGAATAAAGTTAACTGAAAAAATATAAAACCTTTTTCTAAGTGCATTTTAATAAGTTATACCTTAAAAATCAATTTTCCCTAGTTAATTTAATTGTGCTGAAATAAATACCATACATGTGATTTTATAACATCATGTGTTATATTAAAAAGTCAGTTCTTTTAATTAAATCTTTTTCTAAATTTAAGTTAGAAATGCACTATATTACAATTTGTATATTATAGTATATAATGTGTTTAAAAGATTATTTTATTATTTCGTAACATAAGGACCATTACTGACAATTGTTATAATCAACATATCAATTATCAAAGGTATATTAATTAGTCCTACAATGTTTGATTTTTTATTAAGCCTCTAAAAAAAACGAAAAAAAATCTTTTAATTTGTTGGCAGTTATTGACAAATGTTAAAATATAAAATTGTAACATCAGGGAATACAATAATAAAATATTATGAACAAATGTTTAATTATTTACCTACTTAGTTAAAACAAAATGAAAAATGGTACAAACATACTTTCCATGATGGGTGGACAATTATTGTTTGTAAGAAAATAGTAATGTAGAGGGAAAATTTAATGTATATCTGTATGCAAATGATATTAATCATTACTAACGAAAAACAATTCTGAGCGGAGTTCAATTAATAATGTTGCTTTGTCAATAATATAATATATTATAGTAAAATAATTACATATGTATAGCATTTTTTTTTTTTAAAGTATTTGTGTAATATTTTCCTACATTTTTCCCATTTATTATGAAAAAAAGTTGGGAGAATAAAAAAAAATTACCTTCCTAAAGTACTACTCCTGTCAGATCTTCCAAAAAAAAATGCTATAATTGAAAATCGGAGCAAAATTGCTGGTAAAAAAGTGCATAGGTAAAAAAAAAATTAATAATAATACAAAATACATATTATTGTAGAACTAATACCCATACACATAATACATTTTTCAGAATCTAAAATGAAAATATTATAATAATCATATTTAGAAAATAAAAATTTTGTTAGAGGTACTAACTTCTCCTTTCTGTTTACCTTTTTTTATTTTATTTTTTCAATATTAATAATATACCCAGCATAAATATCTTTTCGTGTTATCATTTGTTATAGCTCTATAGTTTGTTGTTAATAAGTTTATTATCATTGTAATGCACTACTTTTCTTAAAAGGTTTGGAAAATATTTACATTAAAATAAAATAATTAATAATATATTACCAATCATTTTCATCTTTTGTTTTGAATTCATTATCTAAATAATTCTTTAAAATTTGATCAGCCAATACCTCATTATAACTTGTACTTTCTAAAGCAAAAGTTATTATTTTCTCTTCTTGATCATTAAATTTTTTATGCAATCTTTGTTTAACTAAAAAAATATACCTTGTAAATAACTATTTTATATTTACATTAAACTTATTTAAATGTTTACTTTTTATTTGCTCATCTGAATTTGTTTTATTATTTAGTGTAGATGTTGCATCAGGAGAAATTGGCCATGATGAACAAACAGATTTAGTTTTATCATAATTATCACATTTTTTTTTTCGAATCCAAAATATATCATCTTCATCATAATCATTTTTGTTGTTTGTTAATGTAACTCTAGGCAGGTTGGGAACTATATTGGAAATATTATTTCGCTTGTTGAATCCCATAGTTAATAATGTTTCTGTAGCTTGATTAACATTATTATCAGCACTACACAACGTATCCAAAAGAACAGTTTCTTCTACAACCGGAAAGACACTCTTCAAATATCTAGATAATAAAATTATAATAATAGTATCATGATTGAATAATCTACCAAAGGAATAATTTTACTCACAAAATAATAAAAACAATAAAATAATAGATACTCACCAATGTATGCAAAAAAATAAATCCATCATTGTAAAATTTTGACCATAAAAAATATTTTCTATCGTCTAATTATATCAGACAATTATCAATTTAACTACATATACTGAAACATTCAAATTAAAATCCATGCTAAAAATAAAAATAAAATAAATAATAAAATCAAAATAGTAAGAAATCTAAGCAACAAACACAGTCACAAAAACAGTTATGTTTATATTACCATGAATGTCAGAACTTTGTATATATTAATTTGTATTGTAAATTATATTTATTAATATTATAATGAAAACTTTAGTTTACTATCTCTACTAATGAACATGATATACATAAATTAATTAATAAATAGTAATTCATTTTTAAAAATCAAAAAACTTGATTAGAGAAAGAGCAAAAAAAAAAGATTTAAATATTATGAAATATGATAGAAATAGGGACTGGTGGGTCTGACTGCTAGTTATTTTTCAAGATTGGATATCACTATAACAGCTAAAACTGTTTTTTTTCCATTATGTTTTATTTTTCTGTTTTATATTATTTTTTATCTATTTAGTTTAATTTTTTTGCAGTCGAGTTTATTGATTTTTTTTTTTTTGGTTTTATGTAATTGTTTTTTTTTTTAAAATATCTATTTAATTAGAAATAATAACTCAAAAATATGTGTTTTCAAAGTATATTATTGTATAAAAAGTACACCATTGTGTAAAAAGATTTTGTAAAACAATGCAAAACAAAATATTAATTATGAGTAAGGTTTGAACCCATGGCAAATCAGTTGGTACCTCTTGTGGACAATACTACACCAAAATATAGTCATATCATGTCAGGGCATCAATTTTCTAACATATTTAACTGTAGATACAGATATATAATGTATGTTTTTTGTTTAAATAAAATAACAATAAAAACAAAAATTATTTTAGTGATTGATACTTGAATAAATAATATATAGATAATCTAAATATACACATTACTAAAATACTTTAATTGAGTTAATACTATATTATTTTAACATTCACCTACCATATTTTGAAATGTTGTGTATATCAACAATCATCAAACAATTTCCAAAATATTAAAAACCATAAGGATTTCAAACATTCAAAAATAGATTTAGTAAATTTCAAGATTTACCAGTTATTAAAAATAATCTACTTTTTTTAGAAATTCATGGTAACATAATCTTTATCGCGTAGTACTAAAATTAGATTAAAAACTAAAAAAGTAATTAAAGGACTTAAACATAGGGTAATGTTAAATTTCTACAAATATATATGAAATCTACAACAATAAAATTATTTACTAATCATTAATAAATACCCATAAAAAGAAAAGATCTCTACTTTTCATGTGTATACCTAATATTATTCCAGATGAATATAAGGTTCTAGATGTTTACTTAATTAAGAAAATATAAGTTTTCACTATAGGATAAATTCAAATTCAAAAAAATAATTTTTGGTACTTTTTATGTTACCTATATCTTTTAAATACAAACAAATTTTCTGGCAATTTTAAAAATACAACTTCTTAATAAGTTATTGTATTATAATATAATTATGTATAATGATTACCTCAACTTCATTTTTGGTGAATAATGAGCAGATTTAGGTAATGGACTACCTGCGGGTGATGGATTAGCTTGGATATAGTGACGACTGACTGATGGTGGCGTGTAAGGTCCAGGTGTAGTTATTGGATGTTTTTCAACTTGCAAGGCACTAATAACAACTGCTTCTCTGTTATGATATCTAAATCAATTTGTTTGAATTAAATTTTAACTAATGATAATTTAAATATAATTATACTTATTCAATAAAGCTCTAATATGAGATTCTGAAGCGGTAGGAAACATTGAATTAATTTTTGATATAGATTGATTAACATTATAACTGCTCATTGGTGACATATTAGGGTTGATTAATACACGATTTGTAGCAGTTGATCGAGCATAATTAATAGCGTTAGACCCCATACGTGGACTGAATCTGACTGGTGTTGGACTTGAATTTTGTATAGTCATTGAATCCTTAAACAAAACATAATTAGTATAACTGACCTACTGATTATTTCTATTTATGTTTATAATACCTTTTTTAACATGGGATTGGTTTTTATACCTGACCTAAAACCAAACATCCCTTAACCCCTGTTAACCCCTTAATCCCTATTATATGATTAATAATATTACAAAATAATTTATATTATACAATATCATATATCTTATAATAGTACTATATTGTCAGAATTAGATATTGAAGAATTTAATCTATTCATAATATAATATCAAATCTAATTGAGAATGTACATTTTAAAAACATTATGTAAATAATAATTTGTAATATGTAATATAAATAATAAAAATAAAAGTAGAACCTCCAAGGATAAACAAAAGTGCCACAATGCAAAAATTGCTTAAATTTTGGTTACACTCATAACTACTATTTTAAAATACCAAAGTTTGTGTAATGTAATGAAGGACTAAGCTGCATCAATTCTACCAAATCAAAGGCTAAATACGCAAACTGTGGTGAAGGTCACATTTCAAATTGGAAAGGATACTCTGTTTATAAAAAAATACAACAAAAGCTGTCCAAGGATAATAAGGGCGGGGGTGCAACCACTATTGTAAGTGGGAAATTCAGAAGGTAGAATATAAATGGAAATTTATAGTATATCTGTACACAACGATTAACCATTTCTTTTAATCATTGCATTCAGAGCGGAGTACAGTTGATAGTGTTGCTTTGTCAACAATATATATATCATATTATCGTTAAATAATAACATTCATTATATATTTTCTTTAATAATATTCGTTTAATATTGTACCTATTTTCCTATTTTTTTTACTGGTTTTCCTATTCATTGGGAAAACTCTTGGGAAAAATAAAGTAGACCTCCCTAAAGTACTTTCCAGGAAAAATGCTATCATTGTAAATTGGAGTCAAATTGCTGGTAAATATGTTGTTCACATGAAGAAACGATATTTAATATTTTACTATTTCATTTCAAAGATATATTCAAAGATACATGGATATTAAATATACACAACAGAATATCCAAGCAACCACATTCACAGAGGGACTTGATAATAAAATAATGGGTAGTACAGTACTCTGGGTAGTAGATCCATTGCCAAAGGTGATTATAATGCCAAACATACTTTCTGGGGATTGAGATTGACGACCACCAAAGGGAGTGAAAGCTCACAGTGAACAAAAAAAAAGTAGATATACACTCAACACCTTGAATGTGTATTTCTACCAAATAGACCAAATAGAGTGTGCCTGATATTGTGAAATGTGAACAGCTTAGTGAACACGTGAAAAGATTAAACATTTCTTACCAATAGAAGTGGTCAAAGTAATAGATGACCAATTAAACCTAAAAACGGCACCAAGCTATGATGAAATAAGTTCAAAAATAATTAAAGAGCTTCTAAAGAATGCTATTGTATGCACACATACAATGCTATTTTGAGCATGGAATATACATTCCAGAACAGTGGATACGCGCATAAGTGGTTATGTTGCTCAAATTGAGAAATCCACTAGAAGATGTCACATCATACTACTTCCAAGTTTTTCTAAACCCTTCAAGTGTTTTACTTTAATGTATAAAACCAATCATAGAAGAAAAAAAATATTAAACTGGACCATCAGTTTGGATTATGCAACAAACATTTGACAATCAATCAAGTCCGTCGCTTCACTAAGTAGATAAGTAAAGCTCTCGAAGAAAATAATTATTGCTGTGAAGTATTCATTAGTATAGCCCAGTGTCACTGTTTTAAATGAATACAAATATTATAATTGTAAAATTATTTTAATATTGTTGTATCAAAGAATTAATCCATTTAGAATTAATCTGATATGAACTTCTTAGGACAATCAATCGAAGTATTTACTTGTCAGTGTAAATTCATAATACTGTATGTGACAGATTGCTAAAATAAAAAAAAAAAATTACAAAATTGGCCGTACCATGAAAAGAACCTCTGATTTAGATATGTACATCCAGAATTCTAAATTCCAGTTTTATGTTTTTTTTGAGCCTTTTACTGGTATACAGTGGTAGATAGTTAAGTAAGATACAGTAATAGATAAATACAAAGGGGTGGCACAAGTAAAAAAAGGGGTTCTTCGTATTCAGTTGTTATTACCAAATATTAGCAAATCAACAATTTTTCACAATACATTTTAAAATTGATATTTTATAGGTTTTATATCAAAGTAGTCTATTAATGGAATTCAATTATTACCTGATGAATATGATAAAATGGCTGAGAGGATTCATTTTTACACGGAGAATCATGCAAAGTCTGAAACATATAAATCAGATGTTTTAAAAATAACTAGGTAGTCATAAAATAATGTTAGGTATATTATAATCATTTATTAATTTGTCAGAAATTATTGTATTTTTTTCATACACACAAACATAAAATGTATTATTATAATTATTTTATAGCTACATGGGTGCAATTAAAGAGATGGACAAAGAATTGCTTACCACTCTCAGTTATTTCATTTTGATACATAGAATTACAAATCAATATTGAGTGAATTCATTTTTATATTTATATCACTAAAGATTTTTTCTTTTATTTCTTATGAAATCATTACAAATAATATTATATTGCTACAATCCAGATGTTATCTTAACATTAATGAGATCCATGATCATGTCCTTATATTTTCTTGTTTGTATTTACATTAATTGAAGATGTTTTTTTTTTTATTTTCATAGGAAAGCTTAGCTTAACATGAAATTGATTACTATAGTATTGAAAAAGAACAAAAAATACTCTGTTTAAATCGTGTCCACCTAAGGGAAATTTACTTTCTTCAAAGATTCCATATCAGAATTAAACATCTAATACAAACATTGTTAAAATTAGTTATACAGGACCACTGGGGAGGTTTTTATTTTTGAACTTAAATAATTTTGTGCGACGAACTCGAAATTCTGTTAGGTATCTACATTGTAAAAGATATTTGTGTACATTTTGGGTATGAGAAGTCAACTGCTTCACGTGCCTCAAAAAGATTAAAGTATATTTAAAAAGGAGATGTTTTTGGATTTTTTAAATTTTTAACATACAAAACATTTATCAGAAACTTTACTATAGTAAAAGTTGTCGTAGGATAATGGGGTCAAGTACAGACATTTTAAGAAGTAATTTATACCTATAAGCAACAATAAACCATTGCTAACGAAAAACAATTCTTAGTGTAGTTCAGTTGATAGCGATGCTTTATCAATATTATATTTGGTAAAATAATAAAATAGATACTATATATTACCTCGCGTTAGTAACAGACTTAAAATATTTGAAAGAAGAGTGGTAAGGAAAATGTATAAAGCAGTGAATGAGGAAGAAAGGAAGAAAGTAAGATTAACAATAAGATTTAACAAATTTTAGAAAATGAAAATATTGTGAAACATATTCTAGAGAAAATTCGAGTATTGTATTTGGACATTAATAAATTGATTAACAATAGTAATATATCAAGTATCTATTTAAAATTTAAATACACATGTAACTTATTTCGTTTATTCAGGAAAAAAAGTTTTCCTAAAAGGACCATTGAGAATAAATTAATACAGTAAAGAAATGGTGGGTATACCTTTACCACCCGAATCTATTATTACAAAATGGGGAACATGGTTAAATGCTGTTCTTTTCTATGCAAATAATTTTGAAGAATTTAAAAACGTGAATGAAATTTTAACAGATGATGTTACAAGTGTCTAAAAGTTGAAACAGTTTGTAAAAAATANTGAAGATATTTTAATGAATATTCTTGGTCCAAATGGGGAAAAAATTAAAGTAATTGAAAAAAATGAAGGGTATAAAACTTTAGTCATGTTAGGTAAAGCAAATGTTAATTTAGATACTATTAAATTGTTTTAAATATGCAACAATAACTAGTGTAGACATAGAACATATTGTTTTTTTGTACATACATATTTTAAGTAATAATAAAAGATTCAATTTTAATGAAAATAATTTAGAAATGTATGTAATTATCAATTTTAATTAAGATAGTAATATTTATCTAATTTTTTTTATTTAACTTTTACATTTTTATATTGCAATTTATTATACAATTTTAACATATTTTTTGGTGCAATAATATAATTTTAATTTGCAATTTTTGTGTGTTTTAAATGCAATTAAAATCGGTCTTTACTTATAACCAGTGGTTATCGTAAAAACATTTTTTTAATACAGTTTGGTATTTCATAATTGATAATAAATAACTATAACTAATTAGTGATCATTAAAACTATTGCTTTTGAAATATTTGAAAAATTATTTTCTGCCTATTGATTTGTTACAAAATAGTTTTTCTAATCTTTCAAAAATATGTGTTGAAGGAGACACAGGTAGTGATTAAAATGGACATGAAGTAATTATGATCACATTTGATATAGTTTGCTATATATATCTAATTGACTATATACTATGATGTAAAAAAAAAATTTATATTTCATTTTTTTCTGTGTGGTTTAACATTAAATTATTCATAAAATGACGGTTTAAAGAATGTAGTAGTAAAGCTGTTAGTGTTTCATTTCATATAGGTAACGATTTCTAGCACTCAAAAATTGTACTTTAGTTGTGCCTATGTGTAGCTGAATATTTTTCAGAATGAAAAAAAGTCTAAATTATGATACTTACTTGAACAGATAATGGTACTGTCATTTGATAATGTCGATATTTTGTATGCGACTCTTCATTATTGGTAAAATAATTAAATAAATTATATCTAAAAAAAAAAAAATAATAATAACCATATATTTTAAGATATTTTCAGGTATTTTTCATTATATTATGTAGTATAATATGGTATTTAATAATATAGGTAATTACGGTTTTCCGGATTTATAGCTGTTTTTATTGTGCCATGCAAAAGTATTTTTAATCATATCGTCAACAGGTACATCTACCATGATTGAAATAATCAGAAATATTGACCAACACACCCAAAACACAACTAGTTTAATCAATTAATAGTTATTCAGTGAAAGAAAATAACTAAACAAAACAAAACATTTCATATTTATTTACTTTTATAATCAATTTACTGCCATTTTTCAGGGACTAATTTTGCATAAACAAAATTTATACGAATACACCACTGTTGCAAACTGAACAAAAATAAATATTCAACCGTTAACGGTCAATTAATAATCTTCTAAATATCAATAAATAATAAATAATTCTTTTATTCTTTAGTTTTAATTTTATTAATTCAAAACCCAAAATAAAATAAATTGAAATTGTAATTTTTAATTTTTTAATTATTCATTGTTTGCACTGCGTATAGACGCCAGCTGATTTTAAAACTGTCCAATGGCCGTGCGTATGTTTCCGATGGATGACAAGCCCCTTCCACTCTACTGACAGCATCTTCACCTCGTCTAATGTTTTTTTTTTCTTTTCCACTCCAATAGTCCATTTTATTACATTTAATATTAATATATCGGTCTCATTTTTTGGCGTTTGGTAACTATTAAAATTCTTCTGTTTTATTTATTAAACTCGTAAACCACGTATTCGTCAAGTTATACAAATTGTGTGCGATATAATTACATTGCCGTGCGGTGAATTTCCTCAGATAATCGGCATTGATGGTAATGCATGCGAGGAAACTTCAAAGGATTAGTGATGGGTAAGGCCTACTTAAACTACCTCAAAAATTTAATTTGAACTCATTTTAAATCTTAATTACATTATAATTGTTTAATTAATTATGTTTTAGGTATTATGACAAGAACCCGTCCCATCAGTATCAGGTAAATATTGGATCCTAGTGATAATTGTATTGATACACAACTATGTCCTTCAAATTTTGGTTTTAACTTAATGGTTGTTTAAAATTACATAAAACTGTATAAATTAATAAAAATCTGCTCCTGGGTAGTTGCTAGTATGAAATATTCGGTTATTTTTCCTTAATTAAACGCTTTAATAATCATTGAATAACAATTTTAAATAGATTACTAATTAAATTTTACTCTCTTGGATATCTATTCTAATAAATCTAAAGTGAATTTTATTGAATATACCTATAGGTAATGAAAAATTTAATATTATTGAATAAGTACAAGTGATAACACTTATTGAATTCTGTTAATTCTTCTATAAATGTTTATTAAAAATGTTTGCTTTAAATATGTAATTCAACTTAATGGTTTAATGATTTTATTCAGTGGTTTACAATATGTTAGTTAAATTAATTTTATTTACATTAAATATTATCTTATTAATTTATTATGAGCACTCAATACCTACAATAAATTGTCTATATATTTAAATATGAGTTATTTTTATTTTTCGTATACTAACTTAATTTATTGCTAACAATATTTAAAATTAATTTTATGCACATAATATTGTTATTTTTACATTTTATATTTGGGTAGTTGGAAACTGTTATGAAAACCTTATTATAAATGTGTTTAATGTAACTTGTGTTTTGTTGAGTGCATACGCAAGAATAATTCAGTATTACATAGGTATTGTAGTTTAAAAATAAATAACATTTTAATTCTTGATTAAAACTAAGTATAATTATATATTGTACAAATATAAAAAAAATATTAGCTATTTACCACCAGACAAAAATTTTTTAAATTGTGTCAAAATGGACCTTAGCAGATTTGTTGGTTTCAAAAAGTTGAAATGGATTTTTAGTTTTGGAAGTATTGGCATAATTTTATGTATGAACGGATCTTAGGAGGTAGTGTGACATTTTATATTTTATGTCATAAGTTTGTCATTTTAATTTTACAAAAAAATGTTTAAAACTATATCTTTATTAGTCAATATATTTTAGAATTCATCTGTAAGGAATTAATTTTTGACCAAATTTAAATAGCTACTGATACTAGTATACTAGTACCTACTGTAAATTATAAATATTTCATTTAATTAAAAAATTATTTGTTTATTGTACTTTTGTAACTGGTCTAATAAAACTTCAATTTACATTTTAGAATTCCAAATATTTAGTTTCAAAGAATTCCAGCAGTGATCAAAAATATGGCAGTGTTAGAGGAAATGGTACCTCGTATCCAAGTCCTGGTCGGGGAAGCCCATCACGAGATCGATCATATTCTAGCAAAAGTTCTTATCACTCTCAAAAAAGTCACAGAGATAAGGAGAGAGATTCTCGAGACTATAAATCTAGAAATAGTGATAAATATTCTGGTAAGTCCTTTAAATTAAATAATTACTATTTAATTACAAGCCATTAAAATTTCCCTTCTAAGATTCTTAAAAATGATGTTTGTTTTATTCATATATAGAAGAAAGATTATATATTAGTATTGCTTTAACTTATTGTCCGATGTCAGTATATGAGTTCCTAGTTTATTTTGCATAATCTATATTATAAATAATATGCTTCATGCACAATGTTTGTTAGAATCATTAATGAAAATATTTGCCAGCATTTATTTATAATATAGTTTTAATTAAATTACTTATTTCAGAAAATAAGCTTGATAGGCACTGAACAGTTTTAAATAATAAGTTGATATATTATTTTGTTTACGCATTAGGTAGTAAAGAACTACATATAACCCATATAAGTTATGTGAACAACATGACGTAGGTGTTATTTTATGATATTCAAATCATCATTTATTTTATATGGTAGTTAATTTTAAATAGATTCATAACTTGAATTATGTTAAACAAATTATTGTAAAAGTATTTCGTATTGGTGTTTGGTTTAAAACCTATGTTCTCCTTTATTTTATATCCAACTAGAGTTAACACTACTACAACAATTATATTTGAATATTAGGTACTGTAAATACCTAAAACATTATAAATATTTAATAGACTTGTTTCAGCATCAAAGTCCTGATAGTTCTGAACTGGATAATGCTCGAAAACTTTAAGCTGTATTGACCAACTTTGCCCATGTGTGTATACTATGTGTACATAATCAATTATTTATTATTAACTATAATATTATATAAAATCTGACTGATTTAATGACATATAAATACAATATTTCCTACACTGAATTGAAAGAAAGATTTTATTTATTGTAATATAGATTTATAAACGATAGGATAGGATAAAAATTATCTTATGTGTTTTTGGAACATATTCTATCTACGTGCCAAAATGTCGTCCAAATCCATTAGGCCGTTTAGGCATGATTGAATCACAAACTATTATACTTTTTCGTAATTTTAGTAGGATATGCTTATTATTGTAAAAGAAAATAGACTAATAACGTAATAATTTGTTGTTAGTAGGTTTTTTCAACACTATTTTTTTATATGTATATGTGTGTGTGTAAACAACTTTTCTACCAGAAATAATGCTCCAATCAAAAACTTTATAGGATCGTTCTTTTTACATGTATTTATATTATAATATAACTAAACAAAAATATTATATTAGACAGAAAAAAAATAATTCCGTTATAATTTAATTTTTTTTATGGCTTTAAATATTGAATCACTCACATATCAGTGGATAGTTTTGTTTAACCCTAGGTCAATATAGTTCTATAAATAATTTTTTTGGCCTTTCCTTCAAATAAAATACAAAAAAATGTTTGAGCCTATAAACATCTAACAAATGTAGGTATCTGGTGTGGGAGGATTCTTAAAAAAAATTTATAGTTTTTAAAATTTGCATAAGACTCATCCATACTAATATTATACCCTCACCAGAGATTGATTTGTTTTTAATAGTCCATTCTGAAATTTAAAGCTGTCTCCATATTAAATTTTATAAACATCCATTCAGTAATTTAATTATGACTTGGTAACATACAAAGTTACTTTTGCATTTATAATATTAGTAAGGATACTTGTTATCAAATACATTAGTCGGAATTAGTTCTGATTTACTAGAATATGTACAAATTAGTATAGAAATTAAATTTTTGATTGATGAAACACATTTTAAATAACTATTTAGTGCTTGTTTAAAACTGGTTCAATTAGTCTGATGGAACAACCTAATCATTAATTATATTTGTTTAAACATTTTTTTCAATTTTGGCACTAGTTTGGTGTGCTCAATATGTTTCCCCCTTTCTACACTTTTATGTTTTTAATTTCAATCTAGAATTTACAAAACTGGTAAGTATTAAAATGTCAACAAAATTATATGAGTGAATGGTATACATTTACAGTAGTTAAGATTACATTTACAGCAGTATTGTTAAGATTCGAGTTAGGTAAGTGACTATTTCTCTCCCCCTCACCTAAAGGTGTGTGCCCTTCACTCTTCAAATGATTCCAGATTTGTTGTTTACATTCAAAGTTTATAACAATAAGATAAGTGATTTTTATCTTTTAATATATATATCGAAGGAATTAAATTATTATATAGTATTCTATATAGTATTTCAAATCTATACCAAAGTCGAAAATGTAGGTATATAGGTCACATACCAAAGTAGCACCGTTGTTTTTCAATATGTTAAAAAAAAAATCAGTATAACATAATTAGTTTTAATTTTATAGATTTAGATATACTTTACTGTCTTTAACTTGTGTATTTATTTTACTTTCAGATTATACTAGGTCTCCGAAAGATAGACGAAGTAGAGATGAATATAGAACAAACCACGATAGGAATAGTCCGGAAGTAATCTAACATTTTATTAATTTTGTAAATTCGTTCACTATTAACAATATATTATGTAATACAATAATATATTTTCTTTATAGAAAATGTCGGTTCATTCAGTAAAGTGGACAAGTTCTAGAGAATCTAGAGAAACTAGAGAATCTGGTCCACGTAAAGTTGTTCATAGCTCTTGCCAGGTAAATATTGATCTCTAATACTATATTTATTATTTATACTCACAATTAAATAATTTTATTTATCAATTTACCGATTAATCGATTTGGTTATACTTGTAGAGAATACAAGTTTGCAAATAATATTATGAACAACACATTAAGGGTCCTAGGCTACTGTTTTTCAGCTTTAAAACACTAAGGAAAAATTTTATGAATCTTGTTGAGCGCACACCTATGCTGATATAGGTCTATCTTCTTTGCCTGCATAATTGTGTACAGCCATAAACCTATTGTAACAGCCTCATAAATTGTGTCTTTAAAAAGCAAAATATATGTCTCAACAATTATGTTACATCTGCTGTTTTTGCACAACGCGTCCGAAAAAATAATTATTAGATATTCTATAGGTTTGATGATGTACTCATTAATATTAATTTGGTTTTAGCTAGTTTAATCAATTATCAGTACTTTATTTGTAAATATCACTTAACAATAATTTATTGTTGAAAATTATTCTGTTTGTGTTAATCTCAGTGAAACTGCAATCTTTTAAATGTATCTGATAATTTTAAATTTCAACTACAACAATATAATAATAGAAATTCACAAAATATTTAAAAATTAACAATTATATTGTATGTATTAATTACAAATTTGCTTTCCAAAATGTTTTTGTTTCTGAGTAAAGCGAGAAAAATATATTGGTTGTACAATGATGTTTATAACTTTTCTACCAGTAATTTTTGCTCCGATTTTCAATTATAGAACTTTCTTTGAAAGAAAATTTCACTGGGGTGGTACTTTTTTAAGGAGGTATTTTTTGATTTTCCCAGGAAAGTTTCCCCAAAATGGGCAAATATACAAAATGCATTAGTAAAATATTACAGTACTTTTTTTTTCTATTAACAATTTTTCTGAAAAGTAATCTGATTGGGTTGGTACTATAGGAGATTATTTTTTGATTTTCCTAGATGTTTTTATAATAAATTGAAAAAAAAAAACTTGAGATAAATGGGAAAATAGGCATAATTTTAAGTAGATTTTATTAAAGAAAATACATAATGCTTATGTAATTATTTACCATAATATGCCAGATATATATTGTTGACAAAGAAACATTATTAATTTGTTAACAATAGATAATCATTGTGTATAGATATACATTAAATTTTCCCTCTACTTTCCCAACTTCTCACCTACAACAGTAGCCCACCCATTGTGCGAAGTTTGTCTATATATTTTATAATACTTACTTAATACATATTTCTATAAATGACAGTCATAGATAAATAAAAGTTTTTAGAAAATTATGTACTTATCAATTATTAATGAGGATTCAACTTAGACCTTACTTCACATTATGCAACTCTGACAAAATCCCATTTTTGGATGTAATTCGATTGCGCTGATTATATTTTTTGTTAGAAAGAACTTCTTACAGCCCTCATTAAACTCCGTTTTTCAGTATTTTAATCCCTAATTGTATAACTTACAAAAAGTCAATTTTCAGCATTTTTTATTCTATTATTTGAACCGCTACACCAATAGAACTCAAATTTTCTTGAATGAAATCGATTTTTTTGAACACTGAATTTTGATTTATCCAATTTTCCTCAATCAACTGAATTATACAATGATTTTTTTTTTCTTATTACTCAGTAATTTAATACTTATGTTTTTAAGTATAAATACATACACAATTTTGTCTTGCTCATAATTTTTAATCGAATGGGCCTAGATTTCACTGATAGAAAGCCAATATCTGATATTCGAAATCAAAAACTATGAATTAATATTGAAATAAGTCAGTATATTAGTTGAAAACCTGATTTATTAATGCTTTTTTCTTATAAACCACAGGCATAATAGACATTTCTCTCTCTAAATATCTGTTTATAATATGTTCACACCTTATCACCTTCCAAAAAATGTATTTTCATCTTGCCAAAATATTTATTGTTCTCTGAAAAAATTATCACAAATATGTATGTCTGGCTTGACATTTTCTTTGTTTTTATAAGACCTTTGTATATTAATGTTATAATTTAATATTCACCAAAAAAAAAAAATTTGATATATTCTATTTATTTTAGTACATTAAAGATACACAAAGATAAAATCATTTGTCTATGTAGTTTTGTACTAATTTACATATATTATATAGAGTAATAGCAGCAGTAGTAATAACCGTGAATCCCGGTCTGGTGGGGGGAGTTCAATAGTTACAAAAGTTGGTGATTGGTCCGAACACACAAGTTCTTCAGGAAAAAAATACTATTATAACTGCAAAACTGAAGTATCACAATGGGATCAGCCAAGAGAATGGTTAGAAGCTTATCCTGCATCGCAACCTTCTCGGACACAATACCACCATGGTAAGTATTTTAGTTAAAAAGCTATTGTTATAGTTTCCAAAATATAATTGTAATTTGATTTTTACAGACAAACATTCCAATAACTCTATAATGAGGTCATCATCTATGAGCAATCATGTGAATAAGGTTTCGCAGCAGTCTTCACAACAAGTTAATTGTTCAAGTAGGCAAACCCATCATCAAAAAGATCCGTATTGGAATCAAATGCGAAGTAATAATCTTCCAATAAATGTGTCTGAGTGTAATAATATAGATAGGCTTGAACAAGATGGGCCAACAATAATCAATTCCTGTAAGTTAAACCAAATATTTTAATTTTTTTACAAATCCATACTTATAAAAAGTAGATAATGTATTTCTGTACTTTTTATTTATTTAAATACAAGTGAGACCAGACATTTGAGTTTGTATGTACATTAACATAAATTATCATTATCATAAATCTAGGTGACTCGTCACAAACACAAGATATGGAATTGTGTAGTGGCAATAGCACTCCTACTTCAGAAAAATCCTTTCAACTATCAAATGCACCATCACAGAGGCATACTAATTCTACTCCTCAATTACAAGTATTTTATATTTTACATTTTTATATATGTATATGTGTGTATATATTAATCAGATGTTACAAATTAAGGTTAAGGCAGCAGATGTAAATAGTGAACCTTGTGAAAGAACAAATGTTGATATTGGATCAACAACACCACCATTATCAAATGTAACTCAAAATTTAGTGGAGTCAACTACCAATAATGTTGATCGAGGTCCACCTACTCCTACAAGCACAGAAATTAATAATACTCAGGAAGCTAATAAAGGTAATAAACTATCAAAAGAATATTTATTTTATTTTTTGTTATACTGAAATCAGGGCAAATGTTGTAAATATGTTTATTTTGTGTTGTGTTGTATGTATGTTAAACAATTTGTGCAAGTTTGGATGTGTTCGCCACATATCAGCACAAATGATCTGTCGGACATGGGTATTGCACCACAACATAGATTTACACTGTGAACTTGCCACAGCATTGTTCTAGTGTAAAAATAACATATATTATTGATATAAATTTATTTTTTTAGTTAATACATTTCTGTAGAGTTGTTAAAATACAAGATTTTATTTTTATATTGTATTTAAGGTTTAATACATGTAGTACTTGAGAATTATTTTAGAGTAAATTAGTATTTAAAATCATGGTACCAATCCTGATATATCTATTTAGGGATTATAGCAGCAATCGTTACGAATAAAGACCGAATTTAATTGCATTTAAAACACTCAAAAATTGCAAATTAAAATTATATTATTGCACCAAAAAATATGTTAAAATTGTATAATAAATTGCATTATAAAAATGTAAAAGTTAAATAAAAAAAATTAGATAAATATTACTATCTTAATTAAAATTGATAATTACATACATTTCTAAATTATTTTCATTAAAATTGAATCTTTTATTATTACTTAAAATATGTATGTACAAAAAAACAATATGTTCTATGTCTACACTAGTTATTGTTGCATATTTAAAACAATTTAATAGTATCTAAATTAACATTTGCTTTACCTAACATGACTAAAGTTTTATACCCTTCATTTTTTTCAATTACTTTAATTTTTTCCCCATTTGGACCAAGAATATTCATTAAAATATCTTCAATTTTTCTAAAAAATATCTATGCTTTTCAGTAATTCACTATTAGATTCTTTCAAATTTTTAAGATTCATGGATAACTTTGATGAGTGTAATTTAAAGAATGTTAAATCACATTTGTTTGCTTTATTTTTTACAAACTGTTTCAACTTTTAGACACTTGTAACATCATCTGTTAAAATTTCATTCACGTTTTTAAATTCTTCAAAATTATTTGCATAGAAAAGAACAGCATTTAACCATGTTCCCCATTTTGTAATAATAGATTCGGGTGGTAAAGGTATACCCACCATTTCTTTACTGTATTAATTTATTCTCAATGGTCCTTTTAGGAAAACTTTTTTTCCTGAATAAATGAAAATTAGTGGTTAGGTTAGGTTGGAAGAGCGCAGTGCACAAGGGAGTGTACCTATTTTGCGTTGTACATTAATAATAATAATTAATAACTAATATTTTTTATATTTATACATACCTTCTGTTTGAAATAATTTGGTACCATGTGGATGACACAATTTTAGACAGATGTATAATACCCACTCATATTTTAACTTCTTCGTGACAATGTTTAATGTATATTTTGCTAGTATGAAAGTGGCTTAAGTCTAATTCAAAATGGATTGAAATACAAATTTTTTTTAGTTAAATCTAACTTATATTATAGATAAAAGTTATCAATATTAGTGATATTTTGTAAAATATGAATAGGTTATTGTTTACAACTTGTCACTAATAATCTCTTCGGAAAGAAGATACAATTTTTATTTTATTTTTGCTTCATAGGACTTAAAATTTTAAATATAAATAAAAATAATAAATTACAACATTCTATTAACCTCAATTTACTAGTAAATTTAAATTTGTTAAGAACAGATTTTATAAATAACTTGTGTATTCTTTATTGAATTATATATTAACCAGTTATTTTTAATTATGCAAGAACAATTAAACTTAATTTGAAAACAATAAATTTAATAGTTAAATTAGTTAATACAATATATTATATTGCATTTTCAAGATGTAACAATGAGTGTAGATAAATAGTAGAGGCCATTAATTCCTAATCCAATATGGACCAGCTGAGTTGTAAAATATTCATGTTTGGTCTGGTTTTTTTGTGTACATATAAAAATCAGGTTTAGTTTGAAAATATCGTTCAATGCCAACCCGACCCAGGTTGGGTTGAGGGAGGCCTGTGTGCCCCACCAAAAATATACAGTATTGGGGCACACAACATAGGATCTGGTGATTAGTATAAATACTATAGAAGAGTTTCCGAGACTCAATGCCACCCATTTATTTAACATAGGAAGATTAGGAGTAATATATCCTCAAAGCCCTGGTGGTATAAAGTTAAAAATTAAAATTAAAGTAATGATCAGCGTGTTTTTGTAGAAAAAAAAATTTAAAGAACCTAGTCCTCGCTGGTATTTAATAACTAGAGTTTATTTATTCTTTTAATTCTTAATCAACTCAAAAAAAAAAAAAAAAACTATCTGAAAGATAAATCAAATTTATAATGAAAAAACAAGGAAAAACTTGAAATTTAATTCAAGTTTTTTTCTGAAAATTATTAATTGACCATAATTTTCTTATATTAAAACCTATTGTATAGTTAGTCATACTAGGTTTTTCATCATTTAACTAATATGTTATCTGCGTTATTCAATTTTTATCGATAGACTATATGAAATTCAAGCCAAAAATAATGTTAGAAACTCAAAACAGTTATCTCTTAAATGCTAAACAATAATTAAAGGAACAAATGAATTTCAGTCATCTTCACCTATTGTTGCATCTTAAAAATGCAATATAACTTAAGAATAAATGTTGTTTTTTTTTATGTAGTTTTGGCATTTAGAGATTTTAAGGTTATTTATATTATCTTTATATTTTTAGAATAAAAAATACATTCATATTTAAGTTGTATTTATTAAGTAAATGAAAAAACACTTTAGGAAGTCCTGTAACGAGCCATGCGGAACAAGTGGCTCAAGCAACTGCTGTTATGACTTATAGACAGTTAAGTACAACAACGTCTCCTGCAGTTTCAAGTTATGTACGGGAAGATTTGACATCGCATGTCAAAACCTGGCAAGCAGATATATTGGCAAAACAGGTATTATAGTATAATATGTCTTAAAAAATACAAATTAAGAATCCTTGAGAATATCTAATTAAATACTTATGTAATTTTTAAGGCCCAAAAATTAAGCGAAGAAGCCCATATATTAGGTAGTGTACATTGTTCACGTGTATCTGCTGAACTAAAATATGCACGATCTATTGTTCGATTAACTGAAGTACAAGCATCCTTATTAGAACACAAGTGAGTTTTAATCATACTAGAATTTTAAATTATTTCTTAATATTTTATTTGGTTTCAGGGTGTTATTTTTGCAGCAACAAATTAAAACTTTAGAAAAACTAAAATCTGAAAACTCATTTATGGGTGAAGGAGATGAAGGAAGGATAACCTAAATATTACTATGGCAAGTGTTTTTGTTATTTAAATAGTTGTCAACTTTACCGATATGATCACCAAAACTTTTTTTTGTTATGTTGATTTTTTACAAACTTTTTATAATTTTGTTTCAAAGTCTCAAAGACCAAACTATGTTCCATTTATTAGGTATTTGGTATTCTTCTATTCTATTTGATATTCTTTATTTATCATGCAAGTGCTGCAGTTATTCAATATAACTGTAGCTGTCAGACTTTTTCATATTATATTTTAAATACAAGTAGTTAGTAAGTGCTATAAGGTCTAATTTGTTTCTTAAATTATTTGCTTAATGCCTTAAAGGTCTACATTTAAAAAAATATATAATTAAACAACATTTTTAGTGCCGATAAAATGTTGTATATATTATTAATAAAACATGTACCTAGATAGATTTACTGATATTCAATATACATGGTATTTATGAAACAAGGCCTTTATTCAAATTTTGAGAAAATGTTAAGTATTCATTTTTTTTTTTTTTTAGTGCAAATATTTAGATTATATTAATTTATTAATTAATATTCAAATATTCAGGGTGGTTTTTTTTATCACGAATCAGCCATTTTCTTCTCAGGAGATTTTTAGTGAATTTCCATTTTTTTTTTTCTTAATCCCTAGTCTATGTACCTTAAATAAATCCACTTTTGGAACACAGATTTAAATATTTTAATTTTCTAGAAATTTTGATATGCATAACACTAATATCATTTTTATTGTTTATGAGTTATAACCAGTTACAGATAAACAATTATTTAGCCTTTAATGCTCTTCCAGTCTAAACTTTCAATGGTTATATGTTTATCTGATGTTAGTGTAAGGCATTTCAAAAAAAAATGTCTAGAAGAATATTCTCTATTCACATCTGTTTTCAAAAAGTGGAGTTTCTATTTGAAAAACTTACGTATATACTTATTTAAATTACATGTGGTAGGGGTTAAAAATTAAAAGTGATTTTAAATTAAAGTTTAACCAATTCTATAAAAATAAAAAAACAGAAATCAATTTCACATTAAAATCTTCTAAGAAAATTAGTTCGTGATATGAAAAATCACCTCGTATAGTACAAAAATGTTTAAAATTTAGATTTTAATAAGTGATGTTTAAGAGGACGTTATACCCTCATCTTCTGTCTAAATCCAACCTCCGAGTAGCATAACATAAACAATACTTATGCAGAATAAGTAAAACTAGCTTAATTTTGATTTAAGAGTAAAATTTTTAGAGAACAATATTTTGGAATGTCATTGGTGTTTATTGAATTAAGAACGATTAAAAAAGCAAAAAAATTAAAGTTTTGTATGTTTTAAATACTATCAAAACCTTATTACATTTCTTTCTAAATATTGTTCTTTATAAATTTCATAATAGATACTTTTACTTTAAATTCAAAATTAAGCTAGTTTTACTTATTCTGCATAAACATTGTTTTAAACATTTTATGTTACTCGGTAGTTGAACTGAGACAGTAAATGCGGGTATAACATCCTATTAATAATTTAATTTAAGGACCAGTTTTTCAATTGCTTTTAACTGACACTTTATCCCAATTTAACTATTTATTAGCTCTCATCTATGCTAACTACTAGTTAATTTTAATTGGTATTCATTTCTCTGGTTATGATTAACCCTAAATTGAAGTTAAAATTAAATACTTAACATTTTTATACAATTGTTAAATTAATTTTTTTTTTTTGTTATTGTCTTTTATTTATTCATTCCGTTATTTGTGACATTTAATATATACTGGAGCTTCTTTTCATAAAAGCATTTTTCTATTAATTTTCACTATAAGACTGCTTGAATTAAACAATTCATTTTTTAGTGTTCACGTGTGTCAATAATATAATAATATTTGAACTGTGTTTGATATTTGTTATAAATAATAGTATTATATAAAGTATAATTTGCATGAATTATTCATGCTGGTTTGTTAATCTTTAGTTAGTAACCTGGACTACTAAATTAATAATTGAAACTTAAATAATATATAATTACTTAGATGATGTACTATGGATAGAGCTATAAGCAATAAAACATATTGCCAATATATCAAGAGGGTATTTTAATTTTGCGCATGCACAAAGTACTATTACCAATCTTATCACAACCTACCTAATTAAATATCACAGAATTGTAATACAATATAACTCAGTAAAATATAATGTATTCAATATAGGCATCATGGTAGGCATATAGGTTTTAATGGTACTATCACAGATTATTTAATTTCTGATATTATGAAGAGGGCGGCGGCAACGCATGGGCAGTAGATACTTGCCCTCTTGATATGTCAGCGATCAAAATATAATTAGTTAACTGATAATGGCAATTGAAAAACTGGATTTAATTAAATAAACAATACAACATTTAATTTATACCAAATGTTCAATATAAAGTCAAATACTTGATAACTCTGAATTTTGTTTTAGAAAATTAAACACATAAACAGCTCTAAAATGTTAAATCTTGTGTTAGGGAATTAATCCACTACCACATTTTAATTTTCAAATGGTAATTTATATTAGAAATTCCATTAATGTATGAAGTGTTTGTTTAAATATAATTTAGTGTTGAAATATATAAAACAATATTTTTATATTTTTATAGAATTTATATACAAATGATCATTTTTAAATTAAAATGTGGTAATAGTGTCACTCCCTAACATCAGTATAACAAAAACTAATGGCAATATTACATTTTTAGAGCTGTTTAATTCTTATATTTTTTGAAAAAGTTAAAAAAAATTTAAGATAATGGGTTGTCTTCTGTTTATTTATCACCCTATGGAATAAATATTTTTAAGGGGATTCTATACTATAATGTCTTAATCTATTTCAGTGGCATGCGGTAAAAGCAAATTAGGTAAGCGCCGCAAGTGTCCACACTCTATAATGTGTACTGCAGTATTAAAATTATATAGGCAATCATATTGACAGAATTGCTCATAATTTAGAAAATACTTTAGTTATATTTTTTTTATATTTATTTTATTTTTATTTATTTATTTTTTTTTTTATGGTTCAGTGTGGTAGGATATGGTGACTACAATTTTACGCGGCTATTAGAAGTGATACACCAAATGATTATAATTATGTTTCGAAGCAGTTTATCTGCTAGTGAGCGTTTGGTAATTGTTTTTTTTTCTGATACACATAATAATAGTTATTATTAAAAAAAATTGTTTACATAACTGTTAGATTTTTGTTATTATATACTAACCATAACTTGCACGTAACAAATTGAATGCCCATAGATTCAACCCCCTTTCCCAACTCACCTTTACCATTGCGTACCTAAATTATAAACAAAACTACTTATTTATTAACACCTTTAAAAAATTATGCTTTTTGCCTGTGGCATCTAAATTGAATATTAGTAACTACCGTTGTTTTTTTATTCCTTTTCACTGAGATAACCTAAAAATACATTTTCAAATAATCATAATATAAAAAATCAAGCATGTGCCCCATTTGAGTTATTTGGTTTTCGTGATATAAATTCTAAAATGTTAGTTAAAAAAGGCTACATATTACTGAAAACCAGATAAAGTCCCCTCAGTAATTTTACTTATTGTGCACACACAATTTTTGATACAGAATATATTGATTTTACATTGATGTTTATTTATTTTTTTTCTGTGAATAACTTTTCTACCTGAAATCTTAATTTGATGTGTTAAGTGTAGCACTTTTTCTGAAAGTAAATATTATTTAATTGATACTTTAGAAAGATCATTTTTTAATTTTCCAAGCAGTTTTCATTAAAATTGAGAAGAAAACAAGAATATTTACATACATGTGTACAGAATATTTTGTTAGGAATCATTTTTTTGTTTACAATGATTTATTGTTGTATACAGATATAAATTAAATTTCTCTCTATGTCCTACCTTCCCAACTTCTCATCTATAACTATGTAAAACCCATCATGTGAAAAATATGATTTTTTATTATTATTTAAATGTATAGATTAAAGTTTCCTTATAAATTAAATTAAATTAAATTATCTTAGTAAACAAAAATTTGTATCACGTACTCAGCATAAAATACTACCGCACGCCACTTATATATTATCATTTATAATCTTACTCTAGTTCTAGTATTCTATATAAAATGTCTAAAAGTGATTTAAATGCATTATACACGTTTTTATGGCCATGTTAATTCAAATAACTATTTTCTAAGACAAATAATGTATATGAATTTGTTTTCAAAGGGAAAATTCTAAAATATTATTTAATTAATTGAACCATAATATAGACTGACCAACTAAAATTGTAATCATTTTATTTTTAAAAAATATCATGTTTGTACAGACTAAAATAAATTTGTGTAATTTAATATTATTTGATTACATAACCAATTCATTTTTATAAATAATACCAGACATTAATTTTTATTTTTTTAATTTATATAAATTAAACTTAAAAGTGTTATCAAACAGTTTACAATTTTTATAAATTTTTTTTTTTATATATATTTTTAAGCAGTTTTTACTTGAGACTATTGTATTAGGATTAATATAGAGCTTTTAAAATAAGCTTTGTATTCTATTCTAAAATATTATCTACCTCAATATTTTCATTTTTAACAGAATAATTTGTATTTTATATGAAAAATATTTAAAATTATTTGTTTCATGAAAAGAAATCATATTATAGAATTTAAAAACATCATAGTTACTTAATGTGGAAAATTTTGCATACAGAAATGTCTTATATAATATTTTTATAATATATGTATAATTGACCATGATTTTCTATGGATGTATTAATTTTTCTTCGGACTAATAATGTATTCAATTTATTTATTCAATGATGAATTGACAGTTTATGCTGCTTAAAAACATAATATGCAAATTTGTTTTATTTACATGCATATTAATATTAACTATCAATTTTTTATGCGCTTTTACCATTTATAATTTTAATAAACTACATTACGTTATATTTTTTGGTCAATTATATTTCATATGTGAAAGAAATCTGCTTAAATAATTAATGTTAAAAATCATTTTAGTAGTTATTCATTGCTATACATATATATATATATATATATATATATATTAATTTTACACCGCCTGTATGGATAACTTTTGTGAATTGGTTATAAAAAACAATCTTAACATTAATAATATGTATACATTGAGTAAATGTTTTGATGAATTGAATATCAACAATAATTATATCAGAATAGCATATGCCACCTTATATATTTTATTGCATACAAATTACAAAAAATAGATATGGTTGTTATGATTTTATTAGTATTTTCTCTGTCTCAATAAGAGGTACCCATAATTATATATGTGGTATTTGTTTTTATATAATGTTATTCAATCCATTCTCTAAATTTTATGAAAACTAATATTAATACCTAATTATCAAATTAATTCTGTTTTACATAATGTTATTAATAAAAATGTTTTCAGTCACTTATGATATTATTATTGTAGGAAATATTTGTTTTATTTAAATATTTTGGTTATTTTTTTATTTATGGTTTTTTTTTAACTTTGATTGCTTATTTTTGCTTAATAATGTAATTTTAAATTTATTGTGGTATAAAAATATATAAGAGTATGAGTTCAAACAAATTTGAAAAAAGAATCTGGTCTAGAAGATATCGCTATACAAGGGCACGGCGTGCAGGCTCTTACCATGCCTCCTTTTAAAAAGAAAAAATGAAGTAACCAAATTTCTTATAAAAATAATCAAACTTACATTTTTTTTTTTCTCCTTACATTGCCTGCCACAATGACAAGTTATATCTTACATTTTTAATATTCTAATCTGTTATCATATCACCTAACGCAACAAAAAAAGGTCATAACTCCCTTTTTTTAACTTCTTGTCTAATCTAGTAGAAAAAGATACTTTTTACAAGTGCTGTGCTGTTTTATGTATTTATTCAATATCTATGTTGATGATAAGTGATTACAATCTGAGTATGGTCACTAGTATAGACCTGTAAATTATAAATATGTGTATGTATATTATTGTGGGTATTATTATTTTTTTAATGACAAATTATATATTTGAGTTAGTAATAAACAGAAGTATTTATTTTAATGATTTGATGAAAAACAAACAATTTATTACTTATTTAAATTACTCATTACTAATTTGCATAGTATAATTGTAAGCCATACTCATTTATCATCAAATAAATGCATAAAACAAAACCACACCAGTAATAAAACCCGCTGGATCTGTAGCATTTATAGTCTCGTTTTTCATGGTAATACCTGCATACTTGTATACCTACTAATATTAGTTTATTAATATCCAATATCTATACTATTATCTATTTTATCATAATATTTTTGATCCATTTCACATAAGTTACCCATATGGTGTAAATTGAAAATACACAACATGTAAATTCACAGTTCTCATTTCATGAAATAAATGATATTTGTTTCGTTCAAATTTTGTTACACTATGTAGTTGCAACATATACATATATATGTGTATATCTATACTTTTTTTTCAATATAAAAATTGTTATTAACAACTCCCTATTTTAGATTTTAGGTCCCAACTACTAATGCAGTTTTCTATCAGATCTCAGCGTTACTATTATGCTTTAATTCTGTGTTATTAAAAAGAAGATTTTGAGCAATTTTGTAATAATTTATTTAGAAATTAAGACTGATAGATGTTGACAATGATTAATTAAATTAAATTTATTTTCTCCAAATCATAAACTAAATTAGACCAATTAAGTCATGAAATAAAAAATGTATAATAATTAAACAAATTGTTCTTTGTATCCAGTAATAATTAAATAATTTTAGGAATATTATGTAAAACTATTATTAAGTTCTGGTATAGATTTAAACTATTTTTATTAAATATTTTATTTTTATCTTTTGACATTCAACAAAATTATTTGTACTATTTTGCAATAAAAGGGTATATCAACTTTATACAAATCTAAAATAATGTTATGATTACAAATGATACTATTTTAATTTAATAGTTGTCAATATTTATATCAAGTTTAATAGTAAGAAGAGAATAAGTATTTTATTCACAACTATAAATTGTGATTTTTCAGTTTATCTAAATCTAAAATTCTTAAATTGAAGAATTTGCATTTATTGAATCATTTTTTTGTTGCGTGCAAATAAATCTTGGTTATTTATTTTAAATTTAATTTCATTAGTATCTTAAAGATATGAAACAAAGTATTAGATTTTAAACATAATATTAAATGTAACTTAAATTTGAGTCATTACCATCCTACATTTCAATTTAAAAAAATTTAAGATTGTTTTAAGAAGTATCATAACATCAGACAGTATTTTGAAACATTGTTTATTTTATTTAATTTAGACAATTAATAATGGTACATAAATATGTGTATAGATTAACTACATATAATTTTAATGAATGATTTTTTTTTACTTAAAAGTAATTTTGAGTACTACTAATTTATATCAATTATGTTTAAAAATCTGAATAAAATATTCAACATAACAAGCTATTTAAAAATTCTTCATGTATTAATCACTTGCATTTTATTCTTTTAATAAAAAAATAAATAAATATTAACCAGTTTTTCATGATTTATTTAACTAACAATTAATCTATACACTATTTGTTGCACGCACAAGATCTGTTTGTATCCAACATAATTTATGGACCAGAACAAATCCAAAGAGTAGCTCTATAAATAATGTTCTGACCTGCAAATCATGTACAGAATGATAATTATAATTTATACCTAAGTTTTATGTATTAAATATGTATTTTTTTTCTTTTGTAAATTTTATTTTATTTATTATACATTAGGTGCATTAATTTATTAAACATTTCCTATTGTACATATTTTTTTAACAATATAATAATTTAGTCTGTTATTGTTTTAACAGCACCTCTTAATTGTTATTAATAGTAATTATCCAATATATTTATTGATGGATAGGAAGGGTTAATGATTTTTATCAACTCGGTGATATATTGTTTTTATTATATTTCTTTTTAATGGTAAAATATATTATTTATTTTCAATGTTAACACAATACATTGAATGTATATCTAAATAGGTGACCTATGAACAAATTCTAAGTGAAGTGGTAATTTATGCAATACTAAAAATAAATGGAAAATGTATGTAAAAAAAAAATTTGATCTGCAATAAACTGAGCCGCTTTCCAAGAACAGATATATCTGTAGCCAGTGATTCATTCTATTTCAAATAAGTTTAAAATTATTTAAAAATATTCATTACTACCAACCAATAATTATCCACTAATTATGACTCTTGGATATGAAAATATGGATAAATATTTGTATAATTTTTGTAAACTTATTATTAAAATACACGTCTGTTTTTAAACATTAGTTCAATATAAAAGAAGGTTACTTCATGATAATATTTTTCTTTTTGATTGAAATTTAGTTCTTCTAAATTATTATATTTACTCTGGGTGATTGATTCACTTTGAAAATATTACTGTTAGTATAAGTATTTTTGTCAATTATCTATTTTAAAAAAAAAAAAAATGTTAATTTTAAACAATGCTCACAGCAAAGAATGAAAACAAAAATTATGAATGAACATTATGAAATTAATGAAATAATTCAATAGTACAGATTATTTGTTTCCGCCCATTGACCATCATACAAAATACTTTTGATATTTTATGTGTTCTGGCATAATAAGTTCACTGATATCTTAATATATCTAAAATTTTCTATGCAAAAATGACCAAAACCAAATACTATTAATGATATATACAAGGTGATTCACTCAACTGGAAACACTCATTATCTCGGATAATATTGACTTTTCGAAATTTTTTTTTTAACTTTAAACAAATAGATCGAAAATGTTACATTATCATTTTTTTTTTCGTTCTTCTTATTTTTGGAGGTGAAACGACTATCATTTTCAAATAAGAACTTCCTTTGAAAATGTCTTAAATAGATGGAGTATTATTTAAAATTAATTTTTTTGATTTTCGTCCACCTGTTAACAAGATATTTCACTGTTAAGTTTAGGTTAGAGGAGAGTAGTGGTGCATTATTAACAAGCCGCGTGCCGTACCTCCACTACTCTTCTCCAACCTAAACTTAAAAGTAAAATATCTCATCGACGGAAATCAAAAATGTCAACACTTAAATTCATTTTAACTAATACTCTATCTATTTAAAACATTTTCAAAATAAGGAGTACAAAAAAAATGTTGAAAAGTCGATATTTTCTGAGACAATGAGTGGTTCCAGTTGAGTGTATCAACCTGTATTAATGATGAAAAGGCCAAGTTGTGTAATCCTCAGAAAATAAATGTTATAAGAGAGAATAAAAACCTAATACTTTCTTTGAAAATTATCCTAAAATGGTAAAATTATAGATATAGACAAAAACATAATAGATATATTTTTTTTTTTTACGTGTATGTTCAATTAAGTTTTGTGGTTGTAGATTAATTTACATTGTAGTTAATAATTAACCATTTTTTAAATTAATTATTTATAGGTAAGCTGTAAGTTTTAACAATTATTTTAAATTTGCATACCTACCTAATAACTATATAAAATTATAAGATTAAGACAAATAAGTATTAAAAGGGCCAGTTTTAGCAGAGGTTTGTAATTTTATAAAATAAATGATAGTTACTATAATAAAATACATTACTTATTAACGTAAATAATATTGTAATTTTAAATGTATGAATTATCTGATGATATATCTAGAAAATTAATTGTTTTCTTATACCTATTTTATTTAAAATATTAAATCTGGAAATTTATTTAAATTTCAAATGTTTTTTTATGGATAGAAAAGTCTATTCACATTAGTTTGGATTAAATAAATTAAGCAGTAGTAATAATTTAGAAGCTATTCAAAGATTATTCGATATTACTAATATTTGCAAAGGATATATATTAAAAGAATCATTACTATACATACCAAAACAATATTCACAGATTCAACCGGTAATGTTAGGTGTATTATGTGTCCACTAATCTTGGGTCTAAATAATGATTGTAAGTTTTAAAACAAAGCCATTCATACTTTACTTAGCCCCGATAAATAGATACTAATACAACAACTCTACAAAAAAGCATAATGTAACACAGCAACGAAAATTTAGACTGGAGAAACAATAAAAAGCTGAAAACTTAATTATTTGTTCTACAAAATATTTTATTGAAAAATATGATGTCTTCTAATCAACGTGTTTCCCTACACGAAATTCTAGCAGCATCTCAAGTTTGTAATCTAACAGGTTGCAGATTGAAGTTGAATTCTGTTATTGTTCAATATCCGTTCACCATGTGGTTATAATTTCAAGAGGAATAATGATATTTTGCCTCTTCCTTCTGTTAGAACAATTAAAAGGTAAGAATTTCTATTAAAATATAGATTATGTATATGATATACTAATATTTTATTTTACAACAATCTAATTTAATTTATTGTACAACTCATGTCATATAAATATTGTTTTTAGCTTCATGTTGTTTATTGTCTTCTATTGATAATAAATTTAAATTTAGTTCAAATTTTTGACCTTCATTAATCCCAAAAACCAGAATTTCAATGCCACAGCATTATAGTGTTCAATGAAATATCTACATGTGAAAGTGTAGCAGTAAATTCACAAAATCTCACATATACAGGTTAACATGGTATAATTATTAGATAACAAATTATTAAAATAAAAATATAAATTATTTTTAAGATAAACATACATACATTTAGGTCTCATAGATTTTGGTGAAAATGGAAAAAGACCTATCTTTTTCCATTTTTGCATCCAAAGGTCCTACGAAAAGGTATAATATTAAAAATCATCACTCTAGTCTAGAAAACAGGCTCTTTGATTCATAATATTGTTTGTGATGGACTATACCAAATAAAACATTTTGGAATGAAATTAGTATAAGCTACACAACTTGTGATTTTAAAAACTAGTTAGAGCATTCAGTTAATAATAATACTACAATTTGTATATTTTTTCATTTGTTTAAAAACATAAATTGGTTGTATAACAATGAAGAATTACAGGAAAATTTAATCCACACTTAAAATCCACCTATTCTATTCTATATTTCAGATTCATATTGAATTATTTTAGGTATATCAAGATGAACCATTTATAGGATGAGGCCATTTTGTTGTATATAATCAAGACACATTAAACTCTGAAAAACTAAAAGTTTGTCTCAGAATATCTACATCTCATTTAATTCTGAATAGTTCAGCTAAGATGAGAATTCGCCTGGCTTCATATTAGTAGGTAGGTATGGATTTGAGTTTATAATCATTGTCTATAAACATGTTACATGTTAATTGTTTATAGTTTCAAATAATTGTAATATTATGTGTTTAATTAATCATGCAGGTACATAACTAAGATAATGTTTAAAAACAATAATAATAATTTCTTTTAATCATCAAATACCTACCTATTTTTTTCATAAATTACTTAAAGCTATTTTTTTTTTTAAAAGACAGTTTTTATACATTAAGCATTATTTTAATAAATATATATTGTCCTAGGTATTTAGTAGGATCAATGGCAAAGATCCTAACATTTTATAGACCTTAGTGTCCAGAATTAAAAGATTCTATTGTCATATAGAATTTTTGTTTGATATTAAATTCTGCATTTGACGCACTTAATAAAAAGTTGTCAGGAGATGGAATTAATATACTGTTTTTTACATTATTTAATTAATACTGATAATAATGATTATATTGTAAGATTAAAATTTGATTAAGTTTTATGTGATTATTAAGGTTATTAGCAAAGATTATAATAATAATTTTTTTTTTTTTTTAATGCCTTGTAGTATTTTTCATATTGACTCTATTTTTATTCTACCTTTACAATATTTTAAATAAAACATAATAAAATATAGGTAACAATATCCGTTTGTCGAGAGAAATTGTTAAGGTTTTGTTATAACTTATAAATATTACATCACTTACTCACTAAAGTAATATCAGTAAGATTTTCGGCAAAATAATATACTATTTCTTGTTGTTTACAAAAACGATGAGTTATTATCAATAATATGTTTGTATTTTTAAAACATATTATTACGAAACCCTGCCTTGTTTAAATAGCTTTTAAGTTAAAGCATAAAGTAAATACTACTATTTTATCCATTAGCTAATGTTTTAATATCTACAAATGTGTTAAGAGTTAATTTCTAGCACTGTTGGGAAAATTTGTTTTATGCGCTAATGTAGAAAAAAGATGAAAAGAAAGACGCTGAAATAGTTAAATACTATGACAAATAGATCCCAGTAAATATTCTGAATTTATACCAGACATTCAGATCTCTAGACAATATGGTTCCAAGACATTTTTGTAGATCTTGGCCATATGGATACAATTATTATTGATGTAATTTATTGACAGTTCTATGTTAAAAATGGATATAATGATTAAATCTCTACCAATGACTAATGCCATACAAATTAGGCAACTTTAAACTTACAAAGAAACGTCATGCTGTAGATTCAAAAGTATAAGTAAAACAAATACCTAATGCTATTCAATTTAATCCACCTAATGTTAATTTAATGTTGTTTATTATATGTTGTAAATTATGTTGTTAACATAATAATTATCTAAGAAAATTTAAAAAACTTATTCATGCCATGATTTAATTATTATCACCTAGGTATTGGATTTTTCGAAAATTCCATTAATCCTTAACCATATTCTTCTAACTTCATGACAATATAACACATTGTGGCACCTAAATGATACATGAGGTTCATATTGTTAAAATCATTATGATAATAATGTTATATAATACCTATTTAAAAGTTCAAACAAATATTAATCTACGACAACAGCTATTTTAATAATTTTATATACTGACAACAATCAGATATCTGGTATGGTTGGGATCTAAATGTCCCAGATCCTATTTGTTCCTACACCAAATAGTTGTAGCCTGATAACCCGAGGACCCAAAACACTAAATGCAGCCCTGTGTGTAATTGTTTAACTTGGATAGAATTAGAATTATTCAAAATTCAGAAATATTAGAAATAAAAATCGATAAAATATGTAACCAGACTAAACTGCCCCGACTCGGGCTCCTCGTTCTCCAACTGATGAAATTTGGAATTATCATCCGTAGTTACATGTCGACTTTATATCCGAAAATCAGGTTTTCAATACCATTACTCTCCAGCTCAGGGGTGGGAAAACTAAAAATATTGATTAATTTCCCCAACTCGGGTCCTCGTTCTCTGACCGGGATGAAATTTGGATTTGTATGTACATCGTCAACCTTATGTCCAAAAATCAGCTTTCCAATACCATTGATTGTATTAAATGAATTATATACACTAATATTAGACTTTCGCCTATATGCATTATTGCATAATACGAACTTATACTTAATCTGAAAATCCGAACTGGTGGTACTTTTAATATCAAGTGCACTTGACATATCTATACATGGTATATATTAATGAAGATCCCGCACGAGAACGTTAAATAACTAGGGAGTTATGGTGCTTATATTTTTAAGAATTTCATACCTCCCTAGAAGGGTATGGTAAATTGGGAAATATATAAATACTAAAATTATGGTACCACGAGGTATGATAATGTCACCCCCGTCAAACGGTATATATCTTAGCATTATGCTACCGGCGGTGTATGATTTGCCAAAGAAGTAAGATTTTCGTAATATAATCTTACTCCCCCCCCCCACTCCGGGAACATTATCCGAGGGTATGATTATTCTAGCACATCAGGACTTGATGAAAAATGAGTACAGCGTACTTAAAACAGTATCCCGGCTAAATCGAAACTAATGGTAGCTTTACTATATAAATACTGTTGCGGCTAATTGGATAAATAAAAAATACTGGGGACGGATGCAGCTTAAAGATATATATATATATATATATATATATATTGTGTAAAAACTAGATAGCCGACTCCTCATACAATTATGATGCTAAGCGCCATTTGTCACTTGGGCAATGTTTACAAAATCTTTTGTTGCCAGATAATATTTTATGTTAACGTAGTTCATGGTTATTACATTTTTCTGCGATTAGGACAGCATACAAATGATAAGAATTTGTAAACATTACCCAAGTGACAAAATAGCGTTTAGCATCATAATTGTATACAGAGTCGGCTACCTAGTTTTTATATATAACTGATGCAGCTTCTGTTGCGCGTTAGATACTTAAAGTTCACGGCCGGACTGGTCTACTGTGCTACAGCACAGTAGGCCGCAGCTAAGAAAAAAAAAATTCGCTGAGATTACAGAATAGTTAATAAATTAAATTTGCATATATCTTCAGTACCTTTAGGAATTATATTTTAAAATGATCACGATGCTCGATAATAGAAATTTCTATTTCTATAATAAATCATGTTACTAATATACACTGAAATCTGAATAAACAGAAAATTTACGGTGCTTAATGCATACCATAGTGTGCATATGTGTGTATTTATACCATATATATACACAGAGCAAGGATTTTTGAGGCCTGAGTCAAAATAATTCGAGGCAGGCGTGTAACTAAGGAATCGCCTGAGGTCGCCTTGCCCACCCAAAATATATACAGGCCACACAAATGGCAACCCCCCGTTATATTTTTGAAATTCCTTTTAGTATAGATAATTATTTTTAGATTCTGAATGTAGTGAAGACCTTATTGGTTTATTTTTTTTTATGTGAACTCTTTCTACCACAAAGCTTACTCCAGTGTATACGATGTAGACCTTTTTCTGAAAGGATGGAACTTTAAGGAGGTCATTTTTCGTTTTCTTAAGAGTTTTCTCATAAAATTTTAAAAAAAGGAAAAATATTAGAATTGTAGGTATTATAGTTAAAATTTCTTTTTTTCTGTGCACAACTTTCCTACCAGTACTTTTGCTCCATCTCTTAATGATAGCGATGTTTCTAAAAGGAAATTTGATTAGAGAGGTCGTTTTCCATTTTCCCCAGAGTTTTCTCAACAAATGTGAAAAACCGGGATAAAATATGACAAATTCTGAAAAAATGTAGGAAAACTGAGAAAATCGATACAACATTAACCACCAAGCTGTATAAAATAATTTAGTGATAATTTAAGGATATACAACAACTTATTATAAATAAAACAATAGTTTAAAAATGTGTATCAAGTACTTTCAATTCCGATTTTTCGTATTTGACGAAAATTTCGTAAAATATCTACCTGCTGTCGTTGCTGCGGCGACAACGGTAGGCCATCTATTATCAAGCCCGGTTTAAGAGAGGACACGTTCCCAGAGCCTATAATCTTATCGGCTTAAAGTTACATTGAGTAGTAATTTGTACTTTGTATAGTGCACAAGATTATATTTTTCTTGTTTGAACTAACAACCTGCCTATCATGTTCTACCACCGCGTGCATGGTAAATGGTGGTACATGGCTAGGTTTGTGTGTATAGGGAATAGGAATATAATTTGTTATCGCTGAATTTAAAAATAAAATTATTGGGAAAATATATTTATGTGAGTATATGACCATCCTTGGTACTCAGAACTCAGATACCTACTGATTACTACGGTCTTCTGTTTACATTCTACACTGCATTAGTTGTTGCTAATTGTACCACAGAGGAGAGCACTTTCAAAGTTGGCCAAAATAAAAAATAGATCTTCACAAAATCAATATAATCTGTTATCATTAATGATATTGTCTACAGAAAATGATATTCAACTTAATTTAAGATTTATTATAACCTTAAAAGCATTTGCTACACCAAAAGCAAGAAAAAGGCTTACAAAAATACGTACTTAATTTTATTTGTATTAATTCAAAAAGTTGTTTTCATTAGTGGGGGCCCACGACTATATATTAGCCTCTAACCCCCTGAAGGTCTAAATCCGGACTTGTCTGTTATTAGGTTAATATTTAACGACCAGTTTCAAATTCAAAATTCATCTTCTGATTTAACTAAGTTAAATAACATCGAGGATTTTTTTTATAAAAAATAGCTAATATCACACCAAAATCACTTCGTTATATCTCCGCATAAAAAAAAATTAAATTTAGAAATGGTTAAATCTTATAGAGACGTGATATAATATAGAAACTAAGCAAAAAATAATTTTATAATATTACAAATACCTATGACGACAAATAAGATCAATTGTAAAGTTAAATACTTAGTCAACTTATTGTTCATAAATTATTAATTAATTTACGAAATTTACTATGGTGGTTATTTATTTAAGTAGGTATACTTACATGTCCTGCCAAATAGTTAAATAATAAGTTACTAAGTATTTAACTTCACAATTGATCTTATTTGTCGTTATAGGTATTTGTAATATTATAAAATTGCATTTTACATAGTTTCCAAATTATATCACTTTCTTTAAAGATTTAATTATTATTAACTAAATTAAATTTTTTTACACAGAGTGTAAAAATATTGATAACATGCCCAAAATAAAAATAAATTAATAAATTAATCAACTTAGTTTCAATTCAAATTAATTATAAGTAATAATTATTTATAAAACTGGTTTTTGGATGCAATATCGATTATGTACCTAGTACCTACCTACCTGATTGTTCCAGATTTCAGCCCAGTCGGAGAAATTAATCAATATTTTCTATAGTTTTCCGGCCCCTGAAGAAAGAGTATTGGTATTGGAAAGCTGATTTTCGGATATAAGGTCGTCCATGTACTTATGGTTGATTGTTCCAAATTTCAGCCCGATTTAAGATCGAGAAGTCCGGTTCGGGGCAGTAAATTAGCACATCCCAATGTTACCACAAAAAAAAATATATGTAATAAAATACAAACATAAAAAGCGAACGTAACATAGTAAACGTATTTTCTTTTGGAAAATTTCGACCTTGACAAGTTGTATTGGGAGGTATTTCTGTATGCTATACGTTCTTCTATTTGGAAACTAATTAATGCACATAAACGAGACGAAAATCTGACAAGGGTGAAAATATATATATGATTTTATCCAGAAGGAAAATGATTTTCAGAAGAAACGTTATCAAGTCTTAAATTCAAGAATAGAATATTTGTTCTAAATTCCAAGAATTTACTATCAACTATCTGCGTGGGGTTCATAATTTGCAATTTAGTGTTTAGAATTTAAATTTAGTGATCGCCAACGATATAGATATTGCGATGTTTATTTTACTATAATATGACATAGTTATATTGTTGAAAAAGTACTAATTTTAACTCCGCTCAGAATAGTTTTTTGTAAGCAATGATTAATCTTTACTTACAGATATACATTAAATTTCCCTCTATATCCTATCTTTCCAAATTCACATCTACAATATGCGAAGAAACTGTCTTTTTTGTTTTTAATAACAATAATAAAAATTATTACAATTTTTTTTAAAAACGAGTAGACATATGGCCGTGATACTAATAGGAGTGATAATTATAATATTTAACAGAGAAACAAAGCATAATCATTAAGTTCATTATTTGTATTTTAGTAAATTGTTAATTTGTTTAAATTTATAAAATTAATTTCTACTTTGTAAATATTTATATATTTAAATACTATTAATTTCTAAAAGATCAAAATTCCTAATAAAAACACGATGAACCTGAAAGATAAATAAATTTTATCAAATATCATATCGATGACTTTTAGCGCAAATAAATCCATCTAAGTATATAATCAACTAGACAAAAATTAGTAATCGCTGATAAAGGAATCCGATTGACCATGTCCCATAGAGTTGTTTTACGTTATGCTATCTCCTTTCAGCGGAAGTCTATTAGCGAATTTGCTATTTGCTGTTATTAGGAACATCCATTGAACATTTGAATTATAAGATAAATCATTTTTTAGTTCAACGGAAACATTTTCATCTCTAGAAAAGGCTTCTTTGATCCAAATCCAGCAGCTCACCAATTTGATACATACGAAATAAAAAAATAACCCCATCCTTGCATTATACGTCAAGTCTAAATAAAGGATGTAGAGTTGTTATTGATAATATGGCTACACTGAACATCTATTGGGTTTGGAAACGATATCTTGTAACCAAAAACTGGGAACATCGATCGATTTTTTTTTCGTTTGTTCCGTTTCTCGTTTCTGTACTGTGTTGTGTATTATTTTCTTTTGTTCTGTCCGAAAATTGATTTCGATAGACAATATTTATCACATTATCGATTGTCTACCTACAACTTACTACAGTTGTAGATACAAGCGTGAGTTAAACATAATATTTTGGAGGCAAATTTACCAGTACAAAAATATTATTATGAATCGAAATAATAAAAAATCAATTGGAATTAATTTTTTGGAATCTACATCGACTACATCTCAAACGTCTTCTGGAGTAATTAATAGTAAGAGTTTTATGGATTTACTTGGATTTAGTTATAATCTTTTATTTTTGAATAAAAAAGGTAATGCAATGTGATTTATTAAAAAATTAATTAAATTTATTACTATATTTTAAAATCATTTATGAATGGTTATTTTCAGATGTTAAAAAAAAAAAAATTAAACGGCCTTATACAAAAGCACAACCTGAGCGTACTAACGTGGAAACTATTAGTTACCAAAAGTTGGTTGTTCCAAAACGTATGCATAGTCCTTATTGGAAGTATTTTGGTTTTCCTGCATCAGAATTGGGCGTTATACTCTCTCAAGATCGAATTATATGTATACTTTGTAAAAAACAATTTGCCTACAAAAGTAATACTACTAATTTGCGAGTACATTTACAAAGTAGGCATAAAACTGAGTTGATGGTACTTGAAATGAGTTCAGCAAAAGATAGTAGTCCAAAAAAAAGGCACGGAAAAAATGAACTTATGTTATTAGAAACATCAGAAGGCCAAATAGATGTGAAGTCAAATTATAAGGGAAAACAACAGGATGTGTATATACAAGGAGAAATGAATGAAAACTTTATAGGACACAATGTTACTAATAACTTCGAGCAAACTGATACACCTCCACTGTCTGTTGTTTTCCAAGATATTGATAATTCAGTTAGTAATTCATTATTTTCATTAGTTTTCAATTTTTCCCCATCATTTTAAAATTTATTTTTTTGCTAAATTTTTACTAAATATAAATAAAACCTAATTTATTTTATTTTATATAAATCAAGAAATAACTTTATTATTTGAGAAAACAACATTTTAACAGTTATTTATGTTTTTTAGTCATGTGATATGATCAGTAAAGTTGTATCTGATGCAATTACTGAATTTGTAATTACTGATCTTCATTTGCCAGATGTTGTTGAAGGTAAAGGTTTTCAACGATTAATTGCTACATTAAGGTCCCCTTGTGAAATACCTGGAAAGTATAAATTAGAACATGAAATTATACCAAGAATTTATGAATCAACTCGAGCCTCAGTTCTTAATAGCATTGGGAACAGTTGCAGCACTTTTGCTTTAGGCATAGAGGAATGGAGATGTTCTAGTTTAAATGTTAATATTACAATAAGTGTGTTTTTCCAACAGGTAATATTATTAAAAATTATTAATAACTTAATCTAATTTTATTGATGTTTACAACATATACAGTTGGACAAAGAAGGATTGTGCATCAAACAATTAGAAACAATTGTATGTAATCCTAATACAACTCCTAATGAATGGTGTGGAATTTTGGGTTCATTATTTATCAATTGGAATATCAATATTGATCAAGTAAAAACGGTTATCAAGGCATTTTCAAATTGTAATTTAGAAGCTGCATTACTTACTCAAGGTTTAGTTCTTATTCCTTGTCTTATTTACGAGTTACAAGTACGTATTACCTACATAATTGTGGTTTTAATATTTATTAACTTATTTTAATATATTTTTTAGAAAATATGTACAAAATTTTGTTTTGAAACTGAAGATGTATTGAATGTTTTAACAAAGTGTAGAAATGTTTCTGAAAAACTACTTCAGCACAATGCTTTAACATCAGTCACTGTTCAGGATAATGTTGTTCAAGTTTTTAATTCATTTCTTAGCAGAGAATACCCCCAAATTTGGACATCAACGTATCATTATTTGGAACGTTTTATTCAACGGAAAGATGACATTAAAACATTATGCACTTCTTTGAACATTGGATTTTTTCCCCATGAACTATTAACTGATAAAGATTGGTCAATTATTGAAGATATTGTTTCAACACTTGAACCTTTAAAAGTCACTGTTACTACTCTAAGTGAAGAAAAAATACCATTGATATCATTATTGAAACCTTTAATCAACCAGTTAACAAGTCACCATTTAAAAGTAAAACCTGGTGATTCACAGCTTGCTGCTGACTTAAAGAACTCTTTTGCTAATGAACTTCTCTGGAAGTGAGAAAAATAATGGTATAACTATGATTGTTTTTAATATTCTTTGTTAATTATTTATTTTAATTTGCAGATATAATGATATTAATGTACAAACATTTTTGCATATATCTACATTATTAGATCCAAGATTTAAAGATTTTCCTATGACTGAAGGTGAAGAACATCTTCCAACAATTAAACAAGAACTGGTCAAAATGGTTGAAACTGAAGGATCTGTACCTTATGATACCAAAGTTAATGTTACTGAAGTTAATACAAATGTACCTAAGAAGTCTAGAATATCAGGTTTGTGTTTTTTTTTTTTTTTATATAAAATAAATAATGATTTATATCTGTTGAAGATGAATAATATTTTATTATAAGTTTATAGTCTATGGTGGATAGTAACAGGTAAAAAAAGACACACTAAAAAAAAAAAGATGGACATACTTCACTCATGAGTGGGCCACTGTTGTAGGTGTGAAGTTGAGAAATTTAATGTATATCTGTATATAACAATTCTACCGTGCTAAGCAAAAACAGAATAACTCTACTTTTTGTAAAAATTATACTTTTGTTATTATGTGTAAAACTAGTGTTTTACAGCGATTTTTGAAGTTAAAATAGCTTATTCTCTTCTAAGGCCAGTCGTTATATTTGATGTTTTGGAATAACATGGTGAATCCAAATACTAAGCAAAAACTCGGTATATATCACATGAAAAATAATGGAGTTTCTGTGTTTTGGTTTATGTTCATACGTTGAACAAAGTAATTTTGGATGTATTGACATGACATAAACTTTAGTCACATTTTATAAATTAAAAATGATAACTATATTTTGGTATACCTATCTATTATTTTGTAATTTACTAACCTGATATTGTTAAGAATATGTACTCATGGTCATTACTATATTTATCCTTATCGATTATTATTATTATTAATGGTCATAGACAATAAAGAAACTTATAACTTACTTTATTATCTATCAACAGTTTAAAAATTTAAAATATACTTATAATACTTACTTTCTTACATATCATTATTTCTTATATTCTATAAACTGTAATCACGTGTGCTTTTATTATATAGTTATCATTTGTTCGTTTAGTACTCCGATATTTATTTTAATAAAGTCCATTTTTTCCTTAAGAAACTCAAAAAGAAAATGAAATGTTCAATCAAATCTAGATGTAAAATTAAATTATTAACACAAGTTTTAATCAATTTTTTGAAAACACTGTTTTAAAGCTTAATTTACTGTTGAAAACATTATTTGCTGTTTCTCAATAATCATGTTGACTAGAGTTATCCTATTTTTGTTAACACGGCAGAATTAACCATTGCTAACAAAAAAAGATTCTGAGCGAAGTTTGGTTAAAATGGTTGCTTTGTCAACAATATATGTGTCACATTTTGATAAAATAATTACATATGCATAATATATTTTCTTTAATAATATTTGTATTATTGTATATATTTTCCCATTTTTACTATGTTTTTCCTATTGGTTAAACTGGGAAAATCAAAAAATGACTTCCTAAAGTACTGTCCCAGTCAGATTTCCTTTCAGAAAAAGTGCTATCATTGTAAATCGGAGCAAAACAGAAAATTAGCCATATTTTTTACTAATACCTACATTTCCCTGTTTTTTCACAATTTATCCCATTTATTGGGAAAATACTTAGAAAAATAAAAAAATGAAAGGAAAATTACTCTTCAGAAAAGGCATTATACTTGATATTTTGGAGCAACATTTTTGGTAGAATTTTTGTACTCAGTATAAAAATATAAAACAATAAACATCTTTATAAAACCAATACATTCTTCATTACTCTCAGAATCTAAAAAACAATAACGATATTAATTTTTTTACAAGTGGTTTAATTAATTAAAACAGTTCAAAGTTAATATTTTCAAAAATGTCTTTATTTATTATAATAAAAATCTGTATAAAAGAGTACCTATAAATAGTTTAAGAAAATATGCTGAATTGATCGGTTTCCCTCTTTGAAATTTTTATCACTAGAATTCAATGATTTTTTTTTTAAATTTTCTGTGGTATTTCTTTGTTTTGATTTCACGTCATTTAGTTTCTATTGAGCCAATTTTGGTGGGTCTACACAAATTTCAAGTCTAATTTTTTTTATTACATTCCCTATTTGGATGGTTATGAGTTAATGACTCACTAATTTAGAGAAACAGTTGTTCCAACCTTTCATTTAATTATTTGTACCTTCAATATTATTTAATGTAGTTTCATAGACATTCAAAGTAGAAAGAGATTGACATTGTCTTAATTATTTTGTTTTTTCTTTTATAATGACATATTTATATGTACCATTCAAGTTATATCAAAATAATCCACTTAATATCTTGAGCATCTTTGTGTTTAATTTTTAAATAAGTCTACCATCTACAACTTTATTTTCTGGTAAAAATTTTAAAGAATCAAGTTTGGCACAATAATATCAAAATTCATTATCTTCTATCTTATATAAAGTTTCCAGTTCAAGTTTTTGAATTTTCCGATCAGTATTTTGTGTGAAATGATAAAAACAACCATTGATTTGTATGTTATCTCCTAAAATGCTTTTTACAGCTTAGATCATAGATTGTTCAAAATCCATGTGCAATTTTGAAGGATGTAGGTATAAATTTCTTTCTGAATACATATCTAGTATAACGGATAACATTTGTTCATGTTTTTTCCATAATACATACACAACAGTAATAAATATGGATTTTTGGTTTTCAATATTAAAAGCATATAAATATAGTACCATATTATTACATACCTATATATAATATAAGGATTAGACCTATTTATACTTATAAAAGTTTTAATAGAAAACCAAAGTTTTCTGTTATTATTGTTTTTTTTTTTTTTTTACCTTTGCCTATAGGCCTCTGTCCATTATTAATTATGGGACCCTTGCTCCTTGAACTCCAATAACTGAATATCTTAGAAAAATACCTTTTAACAAATCTATGGTATCCAGAGGTGCCATGTAAGGGAGGCTCATTGCTAAAACCACCCATAAGGTTAATGAACCAGAGAATATGTGGCAAGAGTTGGTTAAACTGTATAAGAGTATCTAAAATTTTAAAAACCTGGTGTCTATAATAGTATCTATAAACAATATCAGTATCAACATTTTTGATATTGCTCTTAGATCATGTTCAAATATACAACGGATGGAGCCATATCCTGTTTTACCTGTATAAATAACATAAAATACATAGAGGTTTTGATTTGTCAGTTAAGAATTGTACATGGGCAAGTATGCTTGTCGCATATTTATCTTTTTGGTGAATTTAAGCATATTGTAGAATAATTATAATTCATGTTGGTGGGTTTTTATTATAAATTGTTATGGAAAATGGTTATTTGAATATGTATGTGACAAGTAGACACTGATGAACTGATAGTGACATGGTCCCATTCATAGTATGATGAGATATCGTCCATCTTTCAATTATATTTTACTAGAACGTGACTTAAAATTATTTTTAAAACTGTCAAATTTTAATAATTAGTTAAAACTCAATTATCTTTTTGTATAAGTAAAATCAATTATATATTGTAGTATAAAATAAAAAAATTTGCCAAATTTTAAAAATGTGGATCACTCTAAATACTCTCAATTAAATACAAATTAATCTAATATATTACTCTGATACAATTAATGTATTGTTTTAAATATTATTTTTTAAAAAAATTATAAAATTATTTAGGTATTGGATTTCTACTTGGAAGTGTTGCAAATAAAAATACTCCTATTATTAATAAAAATCCAATGTCACTTGAAGATAGACTTAATTTAGAAATTGCTCAATATGAATCCGAACAAACACCTTGTCTTGAAGAATGTCCAATTCATTGGTGGTCACGAATGTCATCAAAATGTCAAAATCTTATTAGGCTAGCAAGAAAACACTTTGTGTATGCCTTAAGTGGGTCGTCTAGTAAATTACCACTTGATTTACAAATACTGTATTACATGAAAAGATCACAAATACATCGAGAACTTGTAGATAAAATGACATTTATCAATGCAAATATGATTGATAATAATTGATAATATATTATATTTTTATCATATTAATATTTTATATTTATAGTTAAATATTTTTATTATTTTTATTTAAAATATATATGTATTATATTATGTATATTGAGTTTCAGCCATTATATTGAACAATTTGTGTTTTATTAAATATTTAATACTTTGAGTTTAGCTGTGTTCTTAACACAGATTTTTTTAAAAATGTCACTTAAACCCCTTGTGTTCTTGGTGCCTCATTTCATACTTACTTTTATAGTTTTCATACTTTTCTGTTCAGGGCACAATTTAAGATTTGATATACCTTAAACTGTGGTTCGGACGGACGAATGTTGATTATTGACATTACCTCTCATCATTCTCAAGCTATTAAAATTCCATGGTACCTTGTACCGTTGATTATAGAATATACCACAGCTTTAGATACTAGTATTTAATATAAAAAGCCAATAAACAGATAGCAATGTTGTAATACATGATGCAATGTTAATATTTAGCGACCACCCGTTATGTAGCGCTATAGTGTAATTTGGAGGCGAGGTGGTAGTACCATTATCATAGATGTTTGGTCATAATTGGATGGTGTGGAGGGGTAGCTTATTGTGTGGTGTCGTTCTAAGAATAGAATAATAATAATGGTGATAAACTAATAAATCCACTGGGAGCTCTTGCAATAAGCAGATTTTGGTAAAATTTGATAAAAACATTTCGTATTTTCATCCGTTTTTTCTTGCAGCACACTATAGCCTATCACGCAACAATATTATCTACAACCGTGCTTAGAATCAAAATCATTGGAAACACCTAATAATATTATTTTATCTCATTAATCTTTTACCGTACAACAATCCACAGCCCACATTTTCTGATTCTTATATTCTGTAGAGTGTAGACCACGTTTTAAGATCCAAAGATATAAACATTTATATGCAGAGTAATCAATCTATTGTAAGACAGTCGTTATCTCGGAAAGTATTAACTTTTATTGGAATTCAGAATTTATTTTTTAGAAAATTTAAAAAACAACTCTACAAATTTACATGTATGTTATTTTTTTGTCACCCTTATTTTTAGGGGTAAAACCACTATCTACTTTTAATTTTCAAATGGTAACCTATATTAAAATTTATTTTAAATAATACCCCATCTATTCATTGAACTTTTAATATAAGTTGCCATTTGAAAATCAAAACTAGGTGTTAGTTTAACCTCTAAATATAAAGATGACAAAAAACATAAATATAAAATTATAGAGCAGCTTGTTTCATAAATTTTCTAGAAAATAAATTCCAGAAAAAATTAATAATTTCCTAAATAATGAGTGTCTTAAATTGGTCACCCCCTATAATAAAGAATAATATCTTAAACCGTAGTGTAGACTGCTTAATTAATCTCAAATTCGGAAATATGTTGGAAAATAAATGCTATTATTTAAATTTTGGTAAATTAAAACAAATGTATCCAAATTTAAAAATGTATAGGTTTCCAAATGACAAAAGTAAAGAAGTTTGGATAGTACATTCAGATAAGTAAATAATTTATAATATTTATCCAAAATATATAATGTAGGACATTTTTCATAGTATTGTGAATATTATTTTGTCACCTATTTAAAGGCTGTCCCATAAAGATAGTCAAGTTCTGTTTTTTTTTATACATTTATATATTATTCACAGTGATAAGAACTATAAATATTTATACTTCGAATAAAATTGTATTTTATTGTTTTTGAAAAAATTAAATATAGCCATTTTATAGAGTTTATTCTTCTGAAAATGTTGAGGTAACAACTATTTATTTTCATTAAATTTTTGATTTTTTATAATTTTTTAAAGATCAGTGAATAGTATCTATAATTATACAGCAGACCGTAATCGCATTTGCTAATTGATTATTATTATTTTAATTGCTCTGTATATATTAAATTTAGAATAAAATAAATGATTTATAAATTTTAAAATATATCATTTTCCATTTACCTATAACATTATTTATTATTTTTTATTCACTTGATTTTGTATATCTATACAGGAAACACAGGTTCAACAAAAAATATATCGAACCAGATAAACTTTGCAATAGGTAGGAGGTAAGTACATTTGTCAAGAACATTTCCCTGTTAAAATCATTTCATAAACACTGTTATGCCCTATTATTATAAATTTTAGGCACAGCCATCATTCACATCATCAGACTGACCAAAATGGTAAATCTAAACAGGAGTATAAAATTTTAATATTAACACCAAGTAAATAATCAGCATCAAGTGTTAGTAAACCGGTAAAAAATGTATTGGTATACCGGTTAGTGCATACAAATTTTTAGCAGATATAAAATATTATAATAATATTATGCCAATATTAACTACAAATTCGTTGAGTCACCAGTCACAAATTGATAGTAAACCATTTTGGTACAATTACAATTCATAGTAACCGGTGAGGTTGAAGATATTCGTTTAACTTTCATCCTTTATAGATGACTTACTCCTTCCTAGTGTTGCGAACTGATAATCATTTATCAACAACTTGTTATAATGAAATTCGTATCCAAACAAATCAACATTCAAAAGTCTTCACTTACTATTAGTAGTATTTTATATTATGTAATTGTATTACTTACTTTTGTTGTCAGAAATATGGTCACCCGATTCAATATCATATTCTAAAGTTAAGAAAAAAAATTTATTTAAACATATTGGTATAAATAAATATTTATTTAATAATATAGTCATATAGAGAACTTACCTTCAGTTAAATTAAAGAAAACTCATTTCTTACGATACAACGAAAATAATGATAACAATAAATATAACATGTCCTAGACGCCGCGCTGATGGTTTAAGGAGGAGAAATAATAATTATAGAGGGAATGATGAAAAGTCACCCGCTATCCGATAAGGTCACACAATTTTGTCACCAATGTAACAACGAATTTTTTGTGATGTGTATCACGATTAAAGATATACTGGTTACCCAACGGGCTATACATATTATAAGCGTTATCACATAGCAATTGTAATTGCTCTCAGGAACAGCCGCTTAATTAACTTACTGCGCTCTCTATTCGTGAAAATAATGTTTTATTACAATATTATTATGTGAAATTATATTCCCGTCTAATTTAAAAGCACCCAACCATTACGATTACGATTAAAGATAACTATATGCGAACCATATTATTTTTATAGTGTTTTTAAAAAATATATTTATACACGTTCAAAAGTGAGAAACTGTCGTGTTGTTATTTGTTTGTCCTTCTGCTCTTATGAAGGTTTAAAAACCAGTACGTTTAGGGCACCAAAGAAAATTACTTTAAAGGTTGAATAGAGGAAAACTCTAGAATATGTCAATACCATTTTCTAAACAGTAAACATACACTATTCTGCCATACAAACGTTAATTATTTATTCGAAATTTCACATTAATTTTAATTTTTGATATTTCATTACTTTTTTTTTTTGTAATTTTGTGCTTTAGTTTGTTAGTTGTGACTTATAATTGAAGTTTTAGTCATAAATCTAACCGGAAATCATATTCCCTAATGATTTAAAATTTCACATTCACAAACATTTTTGTGAATTGCAATAATGATATAATATAGTACATACATATTCCACTACCATTACGAGCGCTACAGAATTTTATCAACAAAGTAATATTGCAGTCACAATTTCATAGCCCGTTAGTCAACCAGTATATCTTTAATTGTAACATAAAATATGTAAAAGATTTTGGTGTTATAAAGTCGTTTTTTGGCGAGTGGTATTTGATCGGATTCTGATCCGTAGATTATTATCGTATGGTTATTTATCAAATGGTTTTTTGACGTGGCTTTTGTCCATAGCTTGGATTATATACTATGGAAACAGCTATTGACTAAATATTTGAAGCAAAATAATTAAGGACATTGGGATCACGCGAAATTGTTCAAATTTACGCAATCAAGTGTGACGTACCCACTGTGGCGGGTTTCGCGCCACATTTCTTCTTCCCGCTGCGCGTCGCTCGCGGCGGACGTCGGCCACGCCCCTCGACGTCGGCGTTCAACGGTCATCGTCCACAGCTCCGCTCAACTCGATTTCTCGACCGCTCCGCTCGCTCTCTTCGTACCGACGCCGTTCGCGAAATACTGTTTTCCGACTCCGAATAATTATTATGTATAATTGTTTTTCTTAACAAAAGTTGTTTTAATTGTTGCGTGCTCGCCTTTTCCTCCGTCAAGCCGTCAGCTGGCGATCACTTGTATTATGTCTTTATGTTGTAAATGTATTATGTCTTTATGTTGTAAATAAACGTTTCTTTTTACCTTATCATAAACCTCGTGTCTTGGTGTAACCCGCCAAACTACCATCACTATCACTGCCTGGTGATATTATAATGATTATACGATAATTATGCGTCGAGTACTGATACGCATGCGCAATAAACAATCTTAACATTCGTTAATTATGCGGTCTTCAACTCGTAGTAAGCGTTTACCATGCATTAGCCTTATCCATAGTATATGATTTAAGGTCCATAGATATGCTTAAATCTTGCCCACGCCACACGGTAGATAATCAACATTGAAAAAGTTTTTTATTTTCAGGCTAATAATTGTGTTTAATTTGAAATCAAATTACCTTAATGGGCTATTTTCTTATCATTGATTGAATTCTGTAATATTGTAATTATGGATAATTTAAAACAACCAAAAGTGGGCAGTTTAAAAAATAAACAGTAAGTTATGAGGAAGTTGAATTTAATTTATATTTATATATAAAGTAATGTCACCAATAGGCGTCTTCTATAAAAAATTAATATCACTATTTATTTCTGCACATTGCACATATTCATATTATGCTCTTAATAGATTAAACATTACAAAACAAAAACAAAAACACCTATATTTATGTATTTTTGTAATTTTTAGAAAAAAGAAGATATCTTCAAACAATTCTATGTCTACAAATGCTTTAATTAAAAAAAAAAAGGAATGCGAGAAAAAAGCATTAAATATTGTGATAGAGTTAATCGATGGAAAGTTGGAAGAAAATGTATTATTAGAAAAAGTAAAACTTAAATTATGTTTGCATTATTTTTTTGTATTGCTTATAGGTACTAGAAGATGATTTAATTTTTACATTATAACTATTAGTTAATACCTAATATTAATTTTTTAATTGACCATATTCAAAAAAGAAAAAAAAACTGTTATACTAAGTCTCGTTTCTGTCTTAGTCTCTTTTTACTATCCCAATAAAAAATTAGGTATTCATCATTTAATAAAATAATATACCACTAATTTCAAACACCTATCATGACACTGACACCAAAGTCTCAAAATGGTTATCCTGTAAACTAAACTATAACTGAATTTATACCGCTCATGTCATTTATTATAAAATCATACCAGTATAGAAATGTTACTATGAACGTGTTCTAATTTTTTTTCTAACTCAATATTTTTGAAAGATTCATATCCAACCCCAAAGGTTAGTATTAAAGGTTATGACAGTAACACGTAGATCATGGTATAAATCTACTTTATTGAATCTTTTTTTTTTTGAAACTTATGTAGGTAGTTAGGCATGCTGAAATTGTTGATGAATTTAGAATTTGAGACTCAGACTTAGTTTTTGAGTTATAACACTTAAAAATTATTATATAATATATATATTATTAATAATATTATGTATGTTATGTTATTATCAAACGAGCAGCAAGTAACAACCCCTGATCTCTAGTTCTACCTATAATACATTTTGACTTTACCCGATTACCTGTGGTTTTCACAACAAATCAAAGGTTATTTTTGATTAAAATTGTCTGCGTGAACGCAGGAAGCGAGTGACACAAATTGGGTCTATAACCACCTATATTTTTCATTTTTCAATGTTACCTTCCCGACATGGCTTTGTACGACAAATTAAGGGACATTTTCATTTTTAATTGTCCAAACGAGTGGCCATCTCGAGTGTATATGTGCATAATAAGTTATAATTCAAGCGAAGTTACCACTGCACAACATTTTGATTGGTTATAACTTTGAAACTAAGTTCGTCAACGAATTCCGATTTCACTTAATTTTTTATCGTTACAAAAATGGGGTGTCCCGTAAAGTTAAAAAGTTCTGATTAACGAACTTCCATTATAATTACAGTTTTATTAAAAATATTTTTATAAAAGGGAATAATGATTTTCTTTTAATTTTTTCATTATTTAATTTAAAAAAATTTTATATTTTATAGTGTAATACTTTTTACTAGAATTTATGCACAGTAAGCACTTGTAAGCATTTTTTTAAAATAACCTATCTATAATATAAGTAATTGGATGCAATTATACATTATACAATTTATAACATTTAGTGGTGTTATAGGTTATAACTATTCTATATTCTAAAATATTTTACTGTTTCAGAGTTCATAGAATTTATGCATGTAGCTTCATTAGAAATATTTAAATAACATCATTTCATTAAGTATACAAATATGTTTAAATAACCTTTCAAAATGTTTAAAATATGAATATGCAATATAATTATATATATTTATAGATTAAGGTTTTATTAAGTGTGTATACTGAATCTTTTTTTTTTTTTTTATATATAGTTACATTTAATTAATGCTTGTCACTATGAAGATGTAGTAGAAGAAAGATTTATTTTGAAAACCTGTGGATATGTAATCTGTAATCAACAATTAACTTGTATACCAACACAACAATATAAAATTTCATTAATTAAAAAAAAAGTGTTTGATATAACTGAACGAAAAGTAAATACATTTTAAAATTTATTTAATTATGAAATTTTATAATTAACAACTTATTATTATTCTTAATTTTCTTACACCTACCCATTATTTTCAATAGTTAAAGTATTAACTATTAAATTAATATTAGTTTAACTATTCAAGCTTTTAACATTTGTATTTAATATCCATATTATTCACAGTCTAAACAATTTTGAAAAAAGACTTATATTATAATATACTCTAGACTTTAGAGTATACAGGGTCAATCAAAATTTGAATTACAGCCTTTCTATAATGTAAATATTTTGAATAGTGAAAATGTATGAGACAAACATTTTTTTCGATTTATAAACATATAAAATAATGTATACATTTTTAGATTCTGAGCAGAGCAAGGAATGTATTGTTTTTACAATATTCTTTTTTTTCCTTGAACAACTAAAATGTTGCACTAATTTTCAAATATAGCACCTTTTCTGAAAGATTTTCCAATGGATTATCATAATAACAAATGAGAAAAAACTGGAAAAATTCTAAATGTATTATTTTATATCACAGTCTTTCAAAATATATATATATATATATATAAAAACTCTGCTCAGAATCGTTTTTCATTTGCGATGATTATTCGTTGCGAAAAGATACATTTCTCCTCTATCTTTCCAAATTCTCACCTACAACAATGTCAAAGAATCTCAATTTTTTTTTTATAGTTGGGGGGGGGACAGTTATCAAAATTTAAATGTTTACATAATAAAAAGGCTACAACATAAATATTTAATTAACCTGTATACAAAGTGTCCCACGGATAAATACCCATTACAATATCTCCCTAGATAATTAAGGTAATCATATTCTGTTTTCTACGCTAGATGTTTTATTACACGAGATTTTTTCTTCATCTGAATACACTTTTTTTTTTAGAAGTTTTGCTCTAATTTATGTTATAAAAGTTCAAAATATCTACAAAGTCAACTATTAACAGGTCCTTTGTGGATTCGCGACACAGAAGAAATACCCAAATTTAAACTTTATAAAAAAGTTTTAAAGTAAATTAACTTATAGTGATTTTAATATGAACATTTTTTTTTTTATTATTTTTTATTTACAGGATATTGCCTAAAGATATTATTAATCAAGATGCCACTAATTGTAATGGGCCAAATAAAAATAACAATGAGAATAGTAATGAAATTTGGTCAGATGAAAAATTGCAGGAAAAAGTATTAGAGTTAAAAATTTGAGATTAATTTAAATAAAACATTTAAAATTTTTGATTCGAGTATATATTGTTTTATTTTAAAATAATAAAGCAAAAAAAAAATATAAAAATAAATTATATATTAAATATCTTATTAGTAATCATTTACACGTCCCCATCTTAAACGTTCCTTTTTAATTTCAAGTTTTAACCAAGATGGAGTACTTTTTTTAAATGGTACTGCATTTGGATACTTCAGAGGAGGTTCTGGTTTTTGGAAGGGGTGAGTTTTTTGTAATTTTTTCATTAAAAATTCTTTCGCAATTTGTTTTTCATCGCGATACTTATCCATGTACCTAAAATATAGGAATTTAAATATTTGTAATATAAAATTAATTTTTTTTAATCTTACAAATTAAACGGCTCTTTAAGTGGAAACCATTTTTGTGGTTTAATATATGGAGCTGGAAAATCATATTCATAAATTGGTTCAGACATTGATAGTTTATCATGATAAAAGTTTGTCAAAGAATTGTCCCAATCTGTTTGATAAAATGCTAGTCCAGCTGGGGTTAGAATATCTTCTTTAGAACGATAAAATTCATATGTGCTGAACGTTCTTTTGTTTAAATCAAATCTAAAAAAATAATAAGATTAATTGAAATATATAATAAAATATTCAGAGTTTATTAGTGATATGCCTATTGTATTCAATTGTAAGAAAAATAAAATAAAATAGCCATTTAATACTATTAATATTTATTTAGATTTTTAGAATAATGAGTGATAACATAATGAATCTAATAAGAAAATTTATTATACAAAAATTCTTTATTAAATGTACATAATATGTCTTTGGCCTACTTAGAAAACAAGTTACCAATCCCATATATATGTGTAAATAGACAGACCAAACGTATGTAATTACAATTGTTTAATATTGGTATGTTTATTTTGCCACTAGCTGATTATATCAAAATATTAATACAATGGAGAACAAACATAGGAAATATTTTTGAGTATTGTGTCAAATGCGATTTCAATTTTTGTTTGATTTACATTGCTTTTTTTGCCTCATTAAGCGCGAACCTATAATAAACTGCTTTACACAAATACATTTTCATGTGTGTTTGGAGTAAACTTGCCTAAAGAGTGGTCTTAATTGCATTTATAGCGTATCAAACTGTTTAAAATGGCTGCACATGCCAATTGTGCGTGTTTTGCCTTTCTTATAATACCTACATACCAAGTGTATTCGTATAAGGGTCAAACAAATTCACAGACATTATTTATAGAACGTGAAATGAGTGCATTGCACGTGATTTTGTGGAGTTTGTTACCAAACCTATTGGTTTCTTGAAGTCACTATAGTCATAGTGCCATAGAACATAGTGCATAAAAAATTCTAAGCTAAGTTTTTTTTTAATAACAAAATTAAAAAATATATATAGATATAGCCTAATGCCATCTATCGCTATTTATATTTATAAAAATATAGAAAATCACAAGTGGATTAAAAAAAATTGAAAATTCGAATTGACCCAGGAAAAATTTAGTGACTAGGTATTATTACAGGAATTCTGCAAAAATGATCTGGATTAAACAATTTTTTTGGTAGAAATTTTAAAAAAATATGTTATAAATTAATAGTACGAACAAGCTTAAAAATGTTATTTAAAGTATCATCTAAAAATAAGTGATAAGGAATGCGTTCCAAATCTTTACATACTTAGAAAAAATGCTAAATCTATACGCAATTTATTCTTTGAATGCACTTTTTATCACAAATTCTTGGTGCATCTGCTTCAATCGCACCCAAAATTGTGTTTGTTGAAAGTGTCCAATCTCTCAAATTAATTTTACAAGTATAAACAGAATACAAAAGTTAGTATGATACTAAAAATCGGAAATTGAGATTTCATAATTTATACAAAAATGAAAAACAAAAAAATGTTAAGTATATTGGTATATCGCGAGCATTCTCTAGTGGTGCTGTGAAAATTATAAGAAGAGCACAGTGTGCCTTGTTTAAAAAAAGGGTTGAAAACCACAGACAGACAGTGGTCTTTATGTATGTATAACACAGATTATATAAAATTTATTTTAATTTTCATATTGGTTCGTTCACTATATAGCACTATTATAAAATGATCATGCTATCACTTATATGAAAAAACCTAATGCATGTAGTTCAATTTGTATATCAACAAATTATATTAATCTAGCAACTTCACTATAAAATTTAAATTTATTCATAAATTTTATAAAATATAATAAAATTATGTCATAGAGCTCTTTAAATTTGTATTAGTTTTTTGATATATAATGAGTTACTTACTTCTCAGAATTGCAATTAATAGAAGAAAAATTTATTTCACTAGACTGCTGGTAAAGAATGAAAACCATTCTTTGGTAACCTGTACCTTTTGCTGGAAACGGTTGTAAGTAATTAAATATAGTTTCACCTTTACTAATATCTCCGCCAGGTATGTTTCCTCTAAAAATAAAGTTATGTTTATAACAAAATTTGATTTAAAATACATATAATTATTTGTTAATTTATTTAAACTAACATTTTGTCTTTATATGGAATTTTTAATATTAATTCTCATTTGAATTTCAAAAATTGATTTCTTACCCCCTCTTAAAAAAAATGTATTAATTATTTTCAATGCTTATAAATCAAAAAACTAGTATTATACATTTTTCTTTCTTTTGAATATTTACATGATAAATTGGCTACAACCTGTAGTTTTATTATTAATAAATTTAAGAACTTTATCTACTAAATAACTACAATACTTTGATTGAATACTTACACGAGCCAATGAATATATTCAGAATTTTCTTGATTTAAGTGACCATCTGGATTGGTAAGAGATAATGTCCATAATGTCTTCTCTGGTGCCTCAAAATTGACCTCAGGATTATTCATAGCCTATCAAAACTAAATTATTTTAAATACAAATCAAATAAACCGTATATTTATAATTTTTATATACCTCATTAGGTTTAATTATATTGCCTCGATATACAGGAACTTTTTTAGAGTCGTGGTCATAACTGATATTTATCTGAATGTATGGCGTAAAATCAGCATCTCCAAATAAATGTTCAAAAACACCATAATATTCTGCTACTTTTTTGATATGTAATGGAGCATTTGTTTTTGACCATTCATTTGATATCTCATCCAATGATACTGGTACTAAATAAAATTTATATTTTCATAAGACAATTTATCAGATCAAATATTTTTAATAAATAAGTACAATTTTATTTCACATTAATATTATATTAAATTTTCATTTTTAAATAACTGATTTTAAAATACTACAAAATGTGATGGGTATTATACAAAATAATATGCTAATACAATTGACTCCGCTTTATTGAGACACATATGTTGGTTTCTATTTTGTTTCGATAAAGTGGTTGCCCCATTAATCCAAATTAAAGAAAAAATTAAAAATTTTGATTGGTTAGTTAATTTAATTTATTAATATAAGGGAGAAATTTTCCCAGAGAGTGAGGAAATTAAAGGATTTAGATGAGAAAACAGTTTAGATAGGATTCTAAAGTACTGTATCATATAAAGTATCATCTAAAGTACTATATCATAATAAAATAAATTTAAAAAAAAGTATTAAAAGAGAAGTACCAATACTAATCCTCAGTATACTCTACTGAACATATTGATTTAGATACCAATAAACTTGAAATTTCTATTTTTCACTTGCCTAATAATGCTACCTTTAGTGTAGAGGATGTATTTCATAGTTTATCTGCGTTGAAAGACTATTAGTCCGGATGGCTTCTCAGGCAATTTATTTTTTTAATCGTAATAGATTATTGCCTTTCCACTTAGGCTTCTCTTTACGAGATCACTTGATGAAGATATTTTTGCTTCTATGATCAAATTCAGTTCAGTAACACCGATACTTAAATCAGGTGCCCATCCTGTTGTATCCAATTATCGACCCATTTCCATCCAATCACATAATTCTACAATTTTTGAATTCCTAGTTCTAAATGCTATTCAACTTAGCATAAACTATATCCTCGCTGAAGAACAGCATGGGTTTTGCCCAAGAGTTAACTACTACATGAAATCTTGTATTTAATAATTATGTTTACAATTCTTTTCAACATCGAGCACAAGTTGATGAAGTCTATGTCGATTTTCAAAAAGCTTTTAGTCTCAGTCGATCATATGATACTTGTAACTCCTTTCTTAGCAACAGGGATCAAAGTTTTTTCTGGCTTCTTCGGGTGTCCCTCAAAGGAGTCATCTGTTGCTAATATTATTTTCACTTTTTATTAATAACCTCCATCATGTACTACATCACTGTTGTTTTCTTTATTATGCTGATTAAATCAAATTATATTTTTGTGTTAGCATACTCTATTATTTCACTAAACTTCAATCTGATTTGAATTATTTATCAAATTGGCTCAATACCTTAGGTTTATCACTAATACAAAATTATGAAATTCACTCGATCCCGCTCCCCCTTAATGTACCCATACTTCTTTAATGGTTCTGCTGTTTCTCACCTTGGATACATGCATTGTAAAACCCTTGATCTTGTCATGAATTTGGTTAAGGACTTCTGGTTAAAATCATCATTAAAAACAATTTTCTGTAAACTGGTGCACCCCATTTTAGAATATGGAGCTGTTATCTGGGATCTTCGTACTGCCGACTATGCAAGACAAATTGCACAAATTCAACGTAGGTCCCTTCACTTCATACTAAAGATACCTTGTGTGCCTCATAACTATACGCTGTGTGCTTCTCACCTTAGTTTAGCGTTGCTGTATCACGAGAATTAAGTTCCTTGCGAACAATTGCACAATAATATTGATTTGCCTATCCTTTCTCTAACCTGTTTCACAGTTCATCATGTTCCGCTGTCAACTTCTATGTCCCAAAAGCCACCACCAACAACATGGCTAATTAGCCTCTAAGACGTCTAATATTGTCTGTCAATGCAGATTCTGCCTTTAATAATTTATTGATCTAATTATGTGTAATTTCTACATAAAGTTATTGTAATTGTATATTGTTATTTATTACTTTTTTAATGAATTCTGTTATCACAAATATTTAATGTTGCATGTTCAAAAGGACCCAGCCCTTATAGTAATTAAAATAAAATAAAATTTAAATACTACATTACAACATTATAAATGTTGAATTGTATGATAATAAATTGAATAATTTTGATGTATCAACACTAGTCAAAGTATTAATAACTAATTAGAAACAAATATATTTTACTTTATTTGACACAACTATTTTCTCTGCAGGTGGGAAGGAGTAATTTCTAATTACAGTGTTAAAATCTGAACACTATTTAAAAGATATTTAAATAAAATTATGTAATTATATATTAAATTACATTTTTACAGCATTTTAATCAAGATAACATTAACTTTAAATACAGAAAATTATTACCATAAACACATACATGTATTGTTTCTAGATAACTTTTCAAGTTCTGCATTAGTCTTTATTTTTTTTATATACTCAATTCGCTTGATCGTTTCATTTTTTTTGTCTCTTTGGGGCATTGGCAATCCAATATCAACTTTAAAATAAACTTTTGGATCCTTAAAGTTTATTTCTAAAACATAAGTAATATAATTGAAGTGGATATAATAATTATTATACTATGCTATAATTTACCTTCCAATCTTTCCTTCAATGTTTTTGCAACACCAGGAGGTTTTCCTAAATTTTTACGTGAACTTCTGAACCGTACACACATGGTATTCAAAAACAAGTAATGATTTTTTAGCAAACGAGACATATTGGTAATTTGTTTGAAAAATATTCAAATTTAACTAGAACAATTTGTGAAACTACTCATTTAATGTAATTTTATAATTCTAAAGTAATTTGTCCATAAAAAAATTCTATGATTGAGAACACAACTTAGAATTTTGGACATGAAATTATTTATTATCTATAGTTTAAGAACATTTAATGATTTGAGATAATCAGTCTTTTTATGGCATCTGATAGCAGTTGTCTAAAAATGATAATAATTTAATATGAGAATTCGAAAATCACAGCCTGGTCGTAGAGTAATAACTATAGTGATAATTTGTTTTTATTAACTGGATGGTAAAAAAAACAGACCTTAATATACTATATAGTATTAGTATAAAATCTATGAAAAAGAAAAAAAAATGGTTTCTATCACCCTTAAATCATTTACTAGTATATGATCCAAGATATCACCAATAAAATAAATGGTTCTTATTAGTACCTGTGTACTTGGAATAAATGCCAGTTACCTTACTATAACCCTATTTATTTTTTTATAGAAAATATAGAATATTACTCTATGAAGAATATAACTTTAACCAACATCTTAGAACGAACCTACTACTTAGATTTAGAAGGTCCGATGACTTATCCTTATCAGGTATCCACTTATTGAGGCAATTTTAGTTCAGATTTTACTCACAAGCGTTGCTGGTTATACTTATAAAGGTTATGAACTAAATAATATTAATTTCATGAGCCGCTTAAATTCCACAAATTTTAATAATTGTTGTATATTTAGAAATATACACATGGATAGGACATGTCTAATTGAAACCACTATTTTTTTGCGGGCCTGAACTAATAAGAAATTGAATCCGTTTGTTTACATTACTGGATATTATCTTATTTAGATTATAAAAAATAAATTCGTATTTAATTTTAATTAATTAATAATTAAAATTATTAAATACCTCACAAAACCAAGAGAAGATATAATCACTGTATGTTATATGACTGAACAAATATTTAGACAGTACACAAGCCAGATTTTTTTCATCGCTAAAGTTAAAACTGAATTGTATAAAAGTAAGTCATAATGTGTTTATTAATTTAAGTTGCAATAATGACCCATGGTTTTAAATGATCACAAAAATAAAATGGTTAATTCAATAACAATAAAATATTTGAACGTTCATATAAACCACGAGTTCAAAATAAGAAATTTAAACAAACGAAAAACTAGAGCGAAGTTAACCAAACTAATTCATTTTAATCATGGCTATTATTAAAATTTTATTAGAACTGGTTATTAATAAAAACTAAGAAATTAAAATTACTCTGTGTTTACTCTTTTTATATATATATTAGATTCTGAGTGGAGCAAAGAAGCTAATAGTTTTACAAAGATGTTTATTTTTTATCTGCACGCAACTTTTTCTACCAGAAGACTTTCTAGGATTTTTACGTATAGCATCTTTTTTGAAAGGAAATCGGCATTAGGAAGGAACTTTAAAGAAGTCATTTTTCGATTTTCTCAAGAGTTTTTTTATCAAATGCAAAAAACTGAAAAAAAATGGTAAAATTTACAAAATATAATAAAAGTATAATTTTAACATTGGAAAACAGGAAAACTGGGATAATCGATACAACATTAAACAAATATTATTAAAAAAAATATATAAACTATTTAATTTTTTTTTTTACTATGTAATGACATTTATATGTATTATTAATCATTATCTCTTCCCAGTTATATCCGGTTATGAGTTTTTTTTTTCACCATAATACTGTAGAACTTTAGCAGCATTTAGACAGCATTAGAAAAAAGTTGAGCCGCTATTTCCACTTTCTGTCTTTGAGTACCAATAACATTTATATGTCGGTGTTTATATGTACTCACCTTATATGCCAATCGTAAATCTGACCTTAGGGCTATTTTCAAATACTCCTTAATTAATAAAATGGTTCTTTATCAATTTTATGAGTTCTGGTACATCTGCAAATTCATGAACTCTTGCATGTGATTTTCAAAAACTGATTTTTCAGTTATTATGCCTAATTTTTTCCTAAGCCGACAATAATAAAGACATAAGGTCAAATCATCCAAATTTCGTACATATTATTTTAAAATGAATAACAAGTTAAACAGATGCCCCAAATAACCCACTTTGTATGTTTTTTGAATTTTTAATCAATGAAGTTAATTGGAAAATATATTGTTTTAGTTTTGATAATAAATCCAACATGTGTAAGTGGATGTGTATCTACACTTAAATAATTTAAATATTTACAAATGGTTGAAATTACATGGTATTTTATAGTATTACATGATACTCAAAATTGTGTTGGAATTAAAATTCAAAATGTACACGTTCTTTTAAATTTTTGTTCAAGATATTGACGATCAAACATCTAAGTTTTCTAATTCAACATTTTCTGATTAAAAAAGATGATATGAAATGTAGGTAAATTGATGCTTAGTAAAGTTTCGGGTACTTTGGCTGAAATACATTTGGTTTTTTTTTCGGCCGAAATATTTATCTGCTTAAATATTTCTTGATTATTTCATGTTCGGTCGATTGAAACGTTTTCGTCTAAAATAGGGTATGGCTGTTTTATAACCTCCCTAAGTAACCGATCAGAAATAGAGGGCCCTCTTCACGTGTGACTTATGGCTTTTACATGGTATTATTGTACATTGTACTACATGAACTATGATAGTAGGGTGCCCCAGTTCCCTGAGATATTTCTCGAGGGCTTAATGAGGGGATCAAAAACATTATTTTGGTACATAGACCGTAAAAGGGAGTCCTCAACTCACCATGTCGTTTTGTTTCGTATGAAATACTCTTTTTAGATTGACTCATATTATCTTGGTAGATACATTTTGATCGTGTCTACCAAGACATTACCGCGGATACCGCAGAGTTGAATAAATTCAACTTTTGGACGTGATAGTTAAAGCTGGTAACGTCATTTTCTTGTTTTCATTTTAATAATAAATTATATTAGTATTAAAATTTTCATTTTTTAATAATGTAAAGGTAATTTATAAAGATAAATAATAACTTATGTTATGTTATCGTAAAATGTACATTTTTTCAGGGTTAGATATGCACTTTATGCAAAAAGTTTGTTGTATTAAACACTTCAAAATGTACTTTTTTACGATATAAAATCACAAACTAGTAATTAAAATATCAAGTCATTTTAAAATGGGTTGTATTATTGATTTTAAACAATAACTACTAGTAGAACGTAGCTATTAAAAATAGCAATATATCAGTAATTAAAATTAAATAAAATAATTTTGTTGTTTTTATTATTATTATTAGTTGATCGTATAATACAAGTAAACTACATTAATAAAGTGACTACTATTTAGGCAATAATTCAATGACATCGCCTTTTTTTAATGAAAATAATATGAATAACAAAAAACCTGAAGAAAGAGTAGACGAATAAATATTGATGGCAAAATAAATAAACACCTATTCATAAATAATATAATATAATAATGATATTATATTTTAAGAATAATAATGTCAAAACACGAAACGAAACGACACGGCGAGTTGAGGACTCCCCTTAACCCTCCCGGAATACATTCGGAAATACGTATGAAAACGGTACCTACTATAATAATACGCGGCTGAAATTTTAATTTATTGAAAATTTGAAATCCTCGTTTTTCCGAATTGGCTATGCATTTTACAAACACCTAATTTTATATTTATTTAACGATTTAAAAAAAAAACCGATCAAATTTAGTTGTATAGTTTCTGTGTTTAGCTGTGTGAAACGTTGTGTTTGTGTAAAATATTACCAAATAGATCAATGTTTATTGGACACAAAAGTACTATTTAGTGTTAAGATTTATACTATCCTGTACCTATTGCTTTTGCACTATTACTTCTTTAATTTGTATACCATAGAAAACTGAATCACACGATGCCATAACACTCATTTTTTATCAAAAAAGTCCCCTAACTTCATACCTGTCTGATAAGACCATAATAAACCTTATATAGCTACCAAATATACGAACGTTTTTAAATATCGCTGCGTATAGTGAGAACAACGACAATAGTTTTAGCCTTAGGTTAGAAAATATGGTAACGGGAATATCTATATTATTTAAAACCAACATCGGGCACTATCCAAAAAATGGGTGAATGTTAATTAAGTAAATACCAAGCCATTTTAATTTAGAAGCAGAATCAAAATTTAAGTCAAAATTGACGAGTTTATTACATGTTTTAGGCAAGCGGTATAACAGACATTTTATAATGTAATTTCGATTACTGGAAGGAACATAAAACATAATTAATTCATTGCTTGTTGGTGACTGACGTCTTTTCATGACACTCCCTAATTGTTTGACCAACCTTACTTTCATTTTCATCAAAACATTTTACTGTGCCATTTTAAAAATAAATATTTCATCATAATAAATTGTAATTGTTTACATGAAGATTGAAAATCTAAGATATTTTATTATTTTACTGCACATTTGTATAATTAATAGTTATGAATATTTGTATAATCTATTAGTATTATACATTGAATTTTTAATTTACTAATATAATTAAAACATTTCAACAATATAACGATGAAATGGTGTCGTTGATGAAAAAAAAAAAAAATCAAAAAATGAAACGATGTCATTATACTTTCGATGATTAGCTTATGGTACGAGACTAATACGGTGAGCAATATCTGAAGAAAATATACTTAAAAAGCCCATTTTATAACTAAACATATGTATAAAAAATCTTTGGAGTTTATCAAGCTTTTCGATTTGACCAGACTAAGACAGATTCCAAACTACAGATCCAAATTCTAAGATAGATCTCACTTATGTACAGTACACTGCAGTAAAACAGTTTATAACCCTTAAATCGGCACAATTCCTTTTTAAAAAGCCAAGTACTCTAAACGCTTTTATGTAAATATATATGAGCATTGAAACTTAGATCATTTAAAAAAAAATGCACAAGTCACGAACTTGATGGACCTAAATAATCTCTTTATTATATATCAGGAACTTACAATTTACAAAAAATTTGTAACGAAAAAAGAAATATGGACACATTTTTAATTATTACTGGAAAGACCATTAGCTGTACGCCAGTTAACCAAATGGTTCAAATCAGATTGTAAATTGTAAGCGTTAGAACTTAAAGACACAGTTAAATAAATCTTAAAATCGTCCACAAAAAGTGAAAATTTACAATGTCTGAAAATTTTACCTAAATCATTTATAAAAATTAAAAAAGAGTAAAGGTGACCTTCCTGAGGTACTCCAGATGATATGGAAACTAATTTGGATATTGAATTGCCAATTTATACCATTTTGGACTTGGTCTGTGAAATAAGAATGAAGCCACGATACAAATGGATCACATGTATCAATTTTCTTAAACTAGGTACCAATTAATTTATTGTGGTCAACAGTGTCAAATGCTTTTTTCAGATCTATATACACTAGACCGACTAGGTATTCGACTTGTTTATTACAAGACACTTCATTCACTAAAATTAAATAACATACTAAGTAATAGATTAGTAGTACCTAATAGATTTTTCAATACGAAACTCATGTTGTTAAACATCGTAAACTAAAAATCGTAGACATCTTCAAACAATCTGTATTTCAAATAACTTAAGTAAGATACTAAATTTCGATTTTGGTATATAATTGTTAATAATAGAGCGGTCCAGATTTCTAGATCGGAGTCACAAAGCTAAATTTCCATTTCAATGGTAATTTGCCTGTTTTTAGCGAAAGTGAAAAAAGGTAATAAATTGGTCGAGTTATAGCATAACGACAACAATTAACAAAAATAGTTGTGTCCTGCACGAGTTATATTCATCTGTTGAAGATAGTCCTACCTATTTATTTACGTATGCATTAGTAATAGGTACACACAATAAATTATAATATAATATATTATCAATATCTTTCAATAAATATTCATCCCAACTCCCCTAGTTATGTTTGCTTCAAATATTTAGTCAATAGCTCTATCCATAGTATATGATCTAAATGAGCGTTTATAAAACTATGGGTCGTGACCCTCTGGTGAGTCCCAAGTTAATTTTTGATGAGTCGCGAAAATTGTTTTGAATTATATAGATTCCAAGAAATTTATGCTTTTAGATTCTGAGCGGAGCGAGGGATGTATTGGTTTTACATTGGTGTTTATTTATTTATTTTTCTTTTTTACGGTGAACAACTTCTCAATCAGCAATTGTACTCCGATTTTCAAGTTTCTGAAAGGAAATCTGATTGAGGTGGTACTTTAGGGAGGTCATATTTTGATGTTCCTAGCTATTTACATAAATTACTTTTTGAAAAGTGAAACTATGTGGGTCGCGATCGTAAAAAGATTGAGAACCATTAATCTAAGCCTAAAGAGTATGACAGTTTGGGATTTTTTGTTGATAACAGTTACCTCTGATAAACATTATTTATAACTATAGTTTGTAGTTAGTAGCACATCGTGGTTAATAGTTAGATTGTTCGTTATTTTTAGTTATAGTTTTATAAATGGTGATCTTATATTTTAGTTTTTCGGAGTTGGTGGTACCGATAAAAATAAAATTCGTGTTATTATTTGGAAGAGTTATCAATTTTTGAAAGAACTGATTTTGACAGTAATTATATATAATTTTGTGCCACAGATATCTTTACTATAATAGTACTAGATTTCAATCTGTGTTCTGTGCTATGAGTTTTTTTTTTGTGTATCACCATTTATAATTTTGAATCATATCGTACGAATTATTTTACTAAATCTTTTTTACAAAAAATTGGTAATGTAAAATAGAAACCTTTTGGGCATCAACCCGTTGTTTAGAACAATATAGGGAACTCTTGTGTTTAAAACGGTAAAAGGGCGATTTTGTAATATATTTATAGTAAAGCTTATGTTTATGATTAGAATTATTGATTACCTGGCTACACTGGTCTTGGGTGTATAGATAATATATATCATATAATCTATTCGTTTGCGTACGATACGTCTCTATTGTTTATATTTAAAATTTCAAAATCAATATTTTTTTTAACAGTTCCGATTTTCTGATTTTCAGGTTCAGCTTTAAGTTAATGAGAATAATTATTTGCATCCAGTTACCATATTTATGTGTTTTACTAGAATAAATAATTAACCTTTTTATAAGCTCATTATGGAAATTTTAAATCCAAATTAGTTTGGCTTTTTTAAGTGTACCTACTTATTCATTTGTAAAAATAATATACAATTAAAGATTTATTATAATTTTAAATTAATCGTCAATAATGCATTGTATTCCCACATGGCTACATAAAATTCAAGATAAAGATAAAGTTCAACAGTGGTAATATTTCTCTTTTCAATCATTAATATAAGAATCATTTATTTATGCTAGGTTTATTAGAAGTAAACAGTGGCGTGGTGAGTAATATTTGGTTTGCAGGCAATTTACGATAAGATTTAAAATAAGAAAATCAGTATGGTTTTTTGCCAGGAAAGTAGATAGTAAATTAAATTAAATTTAAGGCAGATAATATTAAACTAATAATAGTGTTCATACGTAAAATGTATACTAAAGTATTGGACAACCATCAAGATGATGATATATTCGTATTTACTGTCTTAATCCAACTACTAGGTAATATTTGAAAACAATGTTTACACAGAATAAGTAAAACTATCTTGATTTTCATTTTAGAGTAAAGGTACCTATTATGAAATTTATAGAGAACAATATTTTGGAGGGAAAGTCTTAAGGTTTAGTATTATTCAAAATATACAGCTTGATATAAAAGACACAAAACCCCCTTTTTTTTCTTTTTTTAAATAACTAACTTTTTAATATTTCATAATAAAAAACCACCTATGGCATTCCCTCCAATATATTGTTCTATACAAATTTCATCACAGGTACTTTTACTCTTAAATTAAAATTAAGCTTTATTTTTGTCAAATAAGAACACACCGTGCGGTGGATGAAAACTGGTTGAAACTCATGCCCGCCCTATTATAATTACTAATTTTGTGGTAGGGGTGTGTGGTTTCGCCTCTGATTACGATGCTTGATGTGGTGCATTCTCATTTGAAAAAGAGTATAGTTAAACTTATTCTATGTAAGTATTGTTTTACCCGGTAGTTGGACTGAGATAGTATAAGTTAATATAATGTCCTAATCTCTTTTTAATCAAAGTCCATATAGTTAAGAGGAATAAATGGCATTCCTTATGCAAAATTAGTTATCGTATTAGTTTATAATAGTGTAAATTATTCAATTATTGTATTTTAACTTTTTTTTTTTTTTAGCATTTACAGTTTATGTTTTAGTATTGATGGTTCCAAATTACTTGCAACAGCAGGCCATGATATTCTTATCTATCGATCTATTGATGGGAATCTATTACATACCTTAAAAGGTATAATTACTAGACATTTAATTAATACCTATTGACAGGTTAGCTTGAAATGGTATTCTATCTAAAACAAAGTTAACATTTATTTTTATATATTACCCACCAAGTTCATTCACAGTATAAATAAAATAAAAATTACAATACAAATTAAAAAGTATATAAATTATGAAATTACTAACATTGATCATTATATTAAATAATATGTCCTTAGCATTTAACCTTGTCTGTATTCTAATATTATTTCTTATTTAAGTTAAAACACTTAACTCTTAGTTTTTAATACATTCACATAATTTTTGGAGCTTGAAGTTTTTAAAATTATTCTGTCTGTCCCGTACTATTTAATAATATCTTTGCCTTATTGGGTCCAACCTCAAGTTTAATTTATCGAATTAGCTTTACATTGTTAAATCGCTATGTCATATAAAGTATGTAAAGCAATTTTCAGAATTTTCAGAAGAGTTTACTACATTTATGGGAGTTCTCACCTAAAATACCCTTTTTTGAGGTATGCCCCTGACATATAATATAGTATGGTTAAATTCCTTTTACTAAAAGATAAGTAAATATTAGGTAACCTAATTTATTAAAGTTGCCTACAAACAAAAACAATAATAATATTTATTGTAAAACAACCTTTTTTGAAATGCATACATAATATAAATTTATTGACGCTGAACTAAAAATATAGCTTGTGGTGGGTGCAGCTGTTCAGTTACAACATTTAAAATTTAAATAAAAAAGTAAATAGTAAGTAATAAAATACAAAATATTTGAATGCAATAATTATTAAATAAACATCCGAGAAAAATTTACAAATTAATTTTATCTAAATTTAATACATTTAAATATTTTTTTAAATGGTACTTGATGTAAAACAATGACAAATTAATATTAAGTTTTATGCATAAAGAAATAACGACATTAACAACTGTTTTCCTACCACATTTTTATGGGTTACTGGCATATTCAAAACAACCCTTTGTTTATTGCGAGTTTAGTAACTATGAAATGGTGATTAATTTTTTAGGTCTAAATCATAAATGTAGTTAAATACATTTAATAAATATAAACCATTTATATTTATTACTTTAAGATTTTTGTAAAAATCAATTATACTTAAATCATAAGATTTATAATGAATAAATCTTAAAAGGAATTTAATTATTAGTCTATATTATGAAAATGGTTGACCTAAAATTAATCCTTGTAGAATACCATAGTTTATAGATAAAAAATTACTCAAATCATTATTGATCCTAACAGGGTGATTTCTATCACATAAAAAAGATATGAATAGATTTAATGCTTTTTTTCGAACACCAGCATACTCAAGTTTAATAATTAAGATTTATGGTTTAAATGAATGGTTACTGAATTAAAAGCTTTCTTAAGATCAAGAAATGCCGATTACTCTTCTGTTACCATTTAGATTATTTTTAATAAATATATCTACCTGAACTAAACTATTAATTGCTGATTTACATGACTGAAAACCAAATTGATCACTAGCAAAAAATTTGTTCTTTATTAAAAAATCATTTGAGCGCTTTTTTAGACATTTCTCAAAAATCTGGTTATAGACAGTGAGAGCGAAATAGGCCTATAATTACCACAATCTTTTTTATTGATTGATTTAAACATATAAACAATAATACATTTTTTTAAACAATCAGGAAACACTCCATTTTCAATTGGTATAGCTATATGTTTGGAAGTTTGTTTTAGAAAAAGATTTGTTGTACTAAACTCGTAATAAAAACACTCTGAAAGGATTCAAATAATTCTCAACTTCATTAATAGAAGCAGAATTTAAAAATATGATTATCATTAATATGACATTAATTGTTCAAATAGATTGGCACATCTAATTTTTTGAAAATTATTTTCATTAATATGTTTTGATATAAATTTACCGACATTAGTGAAATGATAATTATTATTAGTAATTAAAATATAACTAAAATTGTACACTAGGTAATATTTGGGTTGCATTAATATTACCTATCTATGTATTTAATATATATTTTTATTTTTTAGGTCATAAGGATAATGTATTTTGTTTATCAACTACTAATAATGGAAAGCTATTCGCCTCTGGTGCAGCAGATAAAACGGTTATTCTTTGGTCTTTTAAATTTGATCCAGTTGGAAAATACAAGTAAACATTAATTGCATAAACATAGAATTATTTACTGAATTTTTTAATGTTTTTCAGTCACAATGACACTGTACAGTGTATGTCTTTCAATTCAATTACCAATCATTTGGCCAGCTGTAGTTCTATGGAACTTGGTTTATATTCTTTGGAACAAAAATCAGTTCAAAAATTTAAGACTTTGTTTAAGATAAACACTTGTGCCTGGTCAACAGATGGCCAAGCATTAGCACTTGGCTGTGATAATGGAAATGTGTCCTTACGTAATCGAAGTGGAGAAGAATTTGCAAATATAGAACAGTTTGATGGACAATCAGTTTGGGCAGTTATTTGGTTATCGTCTAGGTACCAAACAAATTAAAGCAATTTATGTAATTTGTTGAAATTTATTTTCACCTACTTTTTTTCGTGTAGAGATAATGAGGATGATATCTTATGTATTGCTGATTGGGGAAAAAAATTATCATTCTATAATAAAAATGGTTCTGAAGTAATTAATTATATTTTGTATATAAATATATACTTTTTTTTAATGGTATAACTAAAATTAACAAACATGTTTACAGGTTTTAAAGAATAAAAACATACATTTAGAAGCTTTGACTATGAAATCATTATGTAATGATTCCTATTTATTAATAAGTGGTTGTAAGGGAAAATGCTGCATATTCTCTGTTGATGGAATTATGTTATATCAACTTGAAGACCAAAAAAGTTGGATTTGGGCTTCTGCGGTACATCCACAATCAAAATTCTTAGTAAGTTTCCATTTATGAAATAATTGAATTTGATTGAATAACATTAAATTTATACATATTGTTTTTTTGTTTTTATATTATATTTTATGTTTATTTTATGTTAATTAAAAAATATATTTTGCGTTTAAACAATTCTGAGGATAGGGTATTAAATCTTAATGAAATGCGATAAACACATACCTACATCTTGACAATTTTATTATCTTAATTTATCATTTTATCTTTATACATTTAGGGCATGATTCTTTATTTTTTATTGAGCTAAATTTGCAGAAGATTTTAGATAAAGTAGTCAATATTGTATTATATTTTTCCATTTAGCTACAAATATTTTGATTAATGTATTAAATTTTCATAATTTGGTAGAATTTTGTGTGTGTCCCTTGATCATACAAATGTATTGTCAAATACAATACAGCATTTACTCAGTACACCTTGTAATTTTTGTGTGGAAATTAGCCAGGTATAACTTGAATAAATTTGAAGTTTTTGCTGCCATTGTGGTATAATATGCAACTAGTAAATTTAGAATTGTGTATAAGTATTTTTTTAAAAAAAATCGTATTTTTTGAGTCATCAATATGAAAATTTATCTAAAATAATTTTTTATTATTATTGATATAAAATAATCTAATATATAACGAATAATTCTTAGACATTTCATAGATATTTTATTAGTTTTACTTTATGGAGTATTTTGTACATTGTTTTTAATTTTAATATCTGGAATATTATTTGTTTTTGTTTTCTACATTATTTACAACTTTTTTCACACTAAAGCTAAATTATAGTAAATAATAATGATTGATCTTTATTAATTTTCACTTTTAAATTGATTTTGTAAACTAAATGTTGGATGGAAAAGGTTAAATAGTAATCCAGACAATGAAGTATAAAATAATAAGTAAATATAATTAAACAGTAAATAAATACTAAGTGTAAATTAAACAATGTGCATATACAGCAGTGAACAATAAAAAACAATTGAGTTGCTTGACTGGATTGTATAACAGTACTATACATACACATATATATTATAATATAATAGTATGTGACACCTGAAGATTGAAAGATTGAAATGTGCAATATAAGTATTCTGTATATCCTGTGTAACTATGTGTTACAGTATGAAAATATTACCTATGACTATGTTATATAAGGTGTCTTGTTCATAATTTTAACACTAATAATGTTTAAGAATTTAATATCATACATACTATATTACTATTAACAACATAGGTGGAAAAGTATTTTTTAAACTATACTCTCATAACATCAAGTATTAAATATAAATAAAGTATTAAACAAATTATGTTTCTCTACATTATAACTGTAGGTTAATAGTTCTTAGCCTGTGGTATGCAGAGAGCTCATAAGGTGTACGCGAAGACATTTTTTGATTAGTTAAAATAAAATGCATTAGTTATAATATAGTTTATTAATCCATAAATAATAATACAAATAATAACTACGTATTTAATTTTACTTGTATGTATTAAATGTTTATAATTATGTTGATTTAATAATAAAAAGCTAGATACATTTAAAATAACATACATATTTTATTTTTTAATAAGTAAAAAAAAAAAAAAGCTCATTAACCTCGTGAACAATTTCAAAATGTGTAAATAGTATGCTAATAACAAAAGGTTGAGAACCATCATTTTAGGTAATACGTATGATAGTGTATTGTTATTTTTATTTACTTAATTAGATCTTAATTTTTTATTGTTATCACAATCAAAATTGTATTGATAACACTACTCCTGGGGAGCGGTTTTAGAAAATGTGAGTCATCCAATTCATACCACCACATTCATCTCATTTCACAAACTTTCTAATCTTACATTGAGAATAATTGTTGATATACTGTTGTCACTGATATCATAATCATATCACTGATACCACACAACTCCCTTTAAAAATAATCTTTCTTTGTAATTCCATAATTTGGTAACCCAAAAATAAAAATAGAATTATCTGTTCTATGGACAATCTAAAATCCTTGACAAATTTGTTGTCATTCAGAGAAATGGATCTTCAGTATCTCTTGAAAATTAAATGATCAAAAATTGAGATTATGAGTAATTTAAATTATAAAAATATGAATTCAAGATAAATAATAAAGAAGTAGGTATTTATATTTACCTCATTTGTTGTCTATTTTGTATTCGACATTTTCTTGGGTTTGACATTCCGAAAAATAAAGCCATTATAGCCTAAAGAATACTTTTAGGTATATTATAATGTAATGTACAACATTTTATTATTATAATATTAATGTAAACAAATTTATCAAATTTATTCTTAATAAAATATTCAGAACATTCCATCACATCCAAAAATTTATATTGACATATTATATTGAAATTTATTACTTGTGTAAAAACGTAATAATTACATATAAATATAAACATCAATATTAATAGGCATTAGGTAGTCAAGATGGGACATTAGCCTATTACAAAATCAAGTTCAGTATAATACATGGACTTTATGAAGAAAAATATGCTTACAGGTACCATTAATTACTCAGTTACTCTTAACTGTATTAATACACAACACTAATGTATAAGGTTATGGTGCACAAAATCTTAAAGACATGTCATATTATTTTTGTCACTTATATAAATAAATGGCACTGTTAATAATTTAATTTGTTGAATATGTTTTACTAACATTGTAATGCTAACATTGGTTTTTGTATACATATTAAATAATAGTTTGTTTTTTTTATTAGAGAAAATATGACAGATGTTATTGTTCAAAATTTAGTTACTAACAAAAAAGTACGCATCAAATGTAGAGATTTGGTTAAAAAAATTGCAATTTACAAAGATAGATTGGCTGTAAGTTTTTAAGTTTATACCTATTATACCTAGTTTTTACATTTCATATTACAGTCAATTTTTCCATGAGTTACTTATTTTTCAGTAAAGAACTTATTTAAAAACTTTTTATAGATAACCATATATTCTAAAATGTTTTATTGTCATTATTTTTGCCATCCTTAATTTTAAGGGTGAATCGGCTACCTACTTTTGATTTTCAAATAGCAAACTATAATAAAATTTCCATAAATAAACGTAATACTTATTAGTTTAAATACATGTTGGTGTTGAAATTTTTGATTTAACCCATTGATAAGATATTGAATATTCCACCTTTAAGTTAAATAGGGGAATAGTAGTGGAGCAGTATTAAAACCTCTCACACTGTGCCACAACACTAATGATCTACTATTCTCCCCTTATATAAACTTAAATGTGGAATATCTTGTTGTTGGGTTAACTGAAATCAAAAATAGGTAATGGTTCCAACCCAAAAAATAATTGTAATGTAATAATAATAGAATATATAACTTCAAAAAGGTTTTATATAAATTATTTTTTGAACAAATAAGTATTTCATGAACAATTTTACTAAATATTAATCATTGTGTTATACTGAAATTGTATTATTTTAATAATTATTAACTTATAAAAATATCTTTAGGTTCAATTATCATCCAAAGTTGTAGTATATGAATCATCTTTAATTCATAATTCTGAAATGCACTATCGGATTAAAGAAAAAATGTCAGAAAATGCTGTTTGTAATTTATTAGTAGTTTGTTCAAATAATTTAGTTTTATGTCAAGTAAGAATTAACTATTTTATTAACTAACTTATTAACTAAGCGATTATATTTACTTCAATTAAATTGCATTCACTTTAGGAAAAAAGACTTCAATGTTTATCACTTTCTGGGGTATATGTACGTGAATGGAATATGAATTCTGTAGTTAAATACTTAAAAGTTATTGGGGGCACTGCAGGAAAAGAGCAAATTTTAGTTGGGTTACATAATGGAGAGGTATTGTATTGCATTTTATATATGTATATAAGGTGATTCTTTTATCGTTTAACACTGATTATTTTGCAAAATATTCACTTGTTTCAAAAAAAATTTTTTGACAATTTAAGAAACAAGCAGATCTTAAATTTTATATTAATATTATTTTTTTCACCTTTATTTTTAGGGGTAAAATGACAACTAACTTTTGATTTTTAAATGATAACCTATATTTAAAAGTTCCATATATAGATGTGGTATAAGTTTAAATAAAAATTTTATGTTGAAATTTTTTATTTCCTTCAACCCGTTTATAAGATATTTCACTTTTATATTTAGGCAGGAGAGTTGTGGAGTATCGTTTGTGTGGCCATTTGAATAGTGCTCCACCATTCTATATGTGGAAGTTTTCGTATGGGTTATAATTTCAAAATCAAAAGTTGGTCTTTTCACCCCCAAAAATAAGGGTAACAAAACTTAACAGTAATGTAAAATTTTAAATCTTGTCTCTTAAATTGCCAAAACATTTTATTTTTTTAAAAGGCTATACATTACTTTGCGATTTAATTAGTGTTAAATGATAAAAGAATCACATTGTTTGTAAAAATTAATTTAAATATTATATATATCTAGGTTTTAATGTTACGAGTTAACAATATATTAGTCCAACCATTATTTAACGTTCACACAAGTGTCCGTTGTTTTGATGTGAATATATCAATGGATAAAGCTGCTGTTGTTGATGATAAAAATAAGTGTTCATTTTTTGATATGCAATCTAAAGAGCTACTTTTTCAAGTAAGTTAAATAATAGAACAGAATAGAATTTTCAAACCTAAAATGTTTTAGATTCTAAATGTATTGAAGAATGTATTGGTTTTTAAAGTGTTTGAGTTCTAATTACTGTATGAGGAATGGTAGGAGGTGTAATTTTTTAATTTTCTTAATGGTTTTAAAAATGGCTAGAAAAAACTTACAAATATTAACACCAATAACAATTCCATTAACTATGATTTTGTTTTTTTTTTTGTAATTTGGTTAATAATAACAATTGTAGTGACCTGAAATCTTCATAGAATACATTATCATTTTTTAGATATAGCTTTTTGGGTATTTTTAGATTTTTCATAGTAGATTTTATGTGAATAAATTTGTTTGACCAAACAGAAGAAATGCTTTAAAGTTTAACATGAGGTTCATTAAAAGTTGTACTTATTGATAAAAAAAAATGATTAACTAAAAGTAAATTAATAAGTTAAGTCATATTTTGACAAAAATCATAAAAATTACACCGCTTTAAAACATGTATATTGAACTTTCCTCAGTACTATTTTAATTTCACAATGATTTTTTTTTTTTAGGTATCTGATATTACAAGTGTAGTTTGGAATTCAAAATTTGCTGACATGGCTTGTTTTTCTGGTAAAAATATATTCAATATAAAAATCAATGAATTTCCAGCGCATCAACAACGTATTATGGTAATGATTTATTTAATAATTCATATAATATATTTCATGTTAATACTTAATAGTGATACCATTTAACAGGGTCATGTAATTGGCATGCGGGGATCCAAAATATTTTCTCTTAATGATTCATTAGTATCTGTTATTGAAGTCGCTTTATCAGTGCCATTATATCAATGTATAGAAAAGAAATGTTTTAGGTGTGTAAATACTGATTCTGTATTGTAGTATTATATATTAAAATTATATTAATTTATTTCCAGTAAAGCATACCAGATTGCTTGTCTAAATGTTACTGATTCTGATTGGAAAATTTTAGCTCATGAAGCATTAGAAAATTTCAAATTATTAATTGCCAAAAAATCTTTTGCTCATGTCAAAGAACTTAAATACTTAGAATTAATTACACAATTTGAAGTAAATATATATTTGTTATAACAAAAAACTTTTCTAAAAAAACAGTTTTTATATATATATTATGTATGTGACAAAAGAAAAAAAAAATATATATATACAATTTAAAGGAAAAAGGATCACATAATGATAAAGATAAACATTGTCTGTTAGCTGATGTACTTGCTTTTGATGGAAAGTTTAAAGAAGCTGCTAGAATTTATCAAAAATGGGGTTTCGAACACAAAGCTTTCACAATGTATACTGATTTGAGGATGTTTGATTTGGCACAAGTACTGTATAAATGTTTTTTTTTTTTTTACTTTTTTTTTTATTAAATATTTGAAAAAATTAAACTTTAGGAATTTATTGGATCAAATACTGCTGGTGAAAATAAAGAATTACTTATTAAACGTGCTGAATGGGCTTTGAGTATTGATGAGCATAAAGTAGCTGCTGAACTTTATGTTTCAGCTGAAGAGTTTGATCGTGCAATTGATATAATGGTTCATAATTGTTGGACACAAATGTAATTCTCTATTGTATAAAGGGTTGGGTAATAACATGTATAAAAGATTTTATAACGTCTTAGATATAATATGTTTAAAACGTATAAAACTAGAAATAAGTGAATTTGCTTAAATTTTTTTTTTTTTTTTTTTTTCATAGATCAGTACAATGTTACATTTATAATTAATTAAGGTAACATTTTGTGTGTAACGGTTACCCTAAAACTCATACAAACTACTTCATCTATTCTTATCGAGCTTACAAACCTTAACAATCTCCCCTGTCTTTCTTAACAGACACTGATGTCATAATTTTTTTAATGGTTAAAATTTAATAATGGTAGTTTTGCACTGTTACTACTGTATAGTTTCTTCCATAATGCTATTCATATAACTATGTCCATTACCACATATCAAATTACTGTTCCCTTGGGAACAAATTGTACATATCTTTAAATAAAAACAATAGTAATTTATATACAATAGTAAATTTTGCAGGAATATGTGAGAAAGAAAATTATTTAATTAGATCTCACCTCACTGATAGATTACAAATTGACAAAATTAATGACATATTTAATTCCCCTTCAAAAATAAACCATGGTGTTCTACGAGGGACTGTTCTCAAACCTATCTTTTTTATTATATACGGAAATGCTTTGCTGAATATTAATATCGGTTTAAAAAATAATTTGTTTTGCAGTTGATACTGTTATTCTCTTTCAAGAAAAAAGTATTGAAAAATTATACTATAAAGCTAATAAAATGTTTAAAATTGTAAGAAAATGGTTTAATAATAATTATTTATAGCTTAACTTAACTAAAACTAAGTATATTATCTTTAATATTCAAAATATAAATTGTGATATAAAATGGAAGTTAAGTGCCCAAAAAACTTCTCGTCTTAATAATATTTGGGCTAGTTGTTCTTGTAATTATATTGAAAGAGTTTATTTTATCAAATATCTAGAAATATATATTGATTCCCAATTAAAATGGAACATACATTTAGATTATATTATTATGAATTTAAGTCGTAAATTATTTTGTTTTTAATGATTTAAGGTATATTCTCGATAAACATCAATTTAGAATTATTTATATTACCTTAGTTCAATCAGTAATTTCATTTGATATTGTGATATAGAGGGTGCTTATGATATTCATTTGAACAAATAAAAATTGACTAGTAATAAAATTATTAAATTTATTTTAAAAGTTGATTTTCTTACTTGCACTAAATTTATTTATAATGAGTTAAATGTCTTAGACTTTGATAACCTCCTAACTAATTGTACTCTTCTATTAGGTTTTAAGCATAAAATGTATTTACCATCTTGTAATCATAATTATAATACAAGATATAGGAATAATTTAAGTACAATTGTTCCTAATTGTAAAAAACAATTTGGGAATGAAAGTTGCTTAATTCGTACAATTTCGCTTTGTAGGTTAATGGAAATATATATTAGTTCAATAACTATACAAATTTTAAACATTCTATAATGAGGAAAATAAATTTGGTATAAACTTATTGAATTATAATATGTTTATAATATAATATTATTTTAGTATTAATTATGTATTTATAGAGATTTTTTATGTATCTATTTTATGAATTCAACACCCTCAACTCAAGCATTTGCTTTAAGAAAGTGTGCGAACAATTTTAATTAATGTTAATATTAATTTAAAAAACTGGCATACTGTGCACAATGGGTGGGCCACTGTTATAGGTGAGAAGTTAGAAGAAAGAAGGGAAATTTAATGTATATCTGTAAGCAACAATTAATCATTGCAAAAAACTATTTTTTGTATGATATGTATAACCGAACTCAGTTCGGTTATAAATGTTTGAAAGGCTGTAATATAAACAATTTGAAAATAATCAATTTCATAAATTTTCCATTTTTTTATTGTTTTCCGGTATTTCCAATTATGAAAATCAAAAAATGATCTCCCTAAAGTACCACCCAAGTCAAATTAAAAAAGCCTATCATACCTACATATTATACATATTATATATTGATGTATTCTATCTATCCAACCCTGATTGTATTATATTGCAATATTTATGTTTAATTGATTATTTAGAACAAACTCAAATGTAGATGAGAAGTTGAAACAACTGAGAAGTTTGAAAAATATTTTAGTTTTATTTTTAAAATTATATAATTATGTTTTACTATTAAAGGAAAATAAATACAATTTAATACAATTCTGTATGTAGTGAATTTATTTAAATTTTGACGAAAAACATTTCATTTCAAAATATGATTAATTGAACCTTTTTCGTTAGAAAGAATTTATTGTTACGCACACATGTAAAATAAATAACCCAATAATCCTACTTTTCTACCTATAACAATATCACACTCATTAGGCGTTTCAACTTTTTAAAAATACTACTATACATTAATACTACCAATTACAATTACTTGTATTAACAACTTAGTAGAACATTTTATAATTTTTGATAATACTTTTTTTAAAACTTAATTAAATATCTGATTTAAAAGTAAGAAATTTGTTTCGTAAAAAAGAAAATTAATATCTTGCTTAATCTGATTGTAGAATTTTTTTGTCTAAATATATCATATTTATATTATAAGTTACATTTCCCTAGGCTTTTAGAACTTGGACGCCATACAGATAAAGTTGAAGAAGTTGTGTTAAGTAGGATTGGTGATGAACTTCGTAAATTAGGTGATACAGATAGTGCTGTTGAAATATATGCTAAAATGGGCAAAGATATGGGACCTGACATGGTAGCTTTACATGTGGAAGCTCATAACTGGGATGAGGCTTTCAGTTTAGTTGAAAAAAACCCAATTTTTGCTCCACTTGCATATTTACCTTATGCTGAGTGGCTTGCAGAAAATGATAAATTTGTTGAAGCGCAAAAAGGTATTTTAGTAATGACTTTTAAATGAATGAATAAATTAACAACATTATTATTTTTTTCAGCATTTCTCAAGGGTGGCCGACCGGAACGTGCATTTCAAGTATTACAAATCTTAACTGAAAATGCTGTTGATGAACAAAGATTCCATGATGCTGGTTATTATTATTGGTTATTAAGTAGACAGTATTTAAATATTACTTCAAACAGGTAAATTTACTTATTCTTTATTTATTAGAATTTAAGTATTGTACAAAACAAAATATAAACAATATTCTTATTAATACCTTTTTTTTGTTTTATTAATTTTAGTGATGATAATTCTAAAATGATAAATCAATTTTATTTATATGATAAATATGCTTCAATTTACTTTGCATATAATACTATTCACCGTTATATGGTATGTAAAATTATTATTTACCTTATGTCATTAAAACTAATCATCTAATTATATATTATACTTTTTCCATATATTTAATGTAATATTGTATTAGTACTAAGGGTTGTTTCAATTTTTAATTGAATTATATTTCTTGATACTTCTATTAAAATACTAGTTATCCCCTCAATGCTTTACCAAGATTTAAACCAAAAATATATAAATAATAAAAACATCTCCCCCTCAAATCTCCTCATTTTTAAAAGAATGCTACATATGCATGTAGTTTCCATTTTACCATACAACATAGCAAATTTATATTTAGCAGAAATAACTTTGTGTTGTTAGTTTCGATATTAATATGAATTGATTTAAACTGTGTTTGTATTTTTTTTTTTTTTTTTACATTAAATTTTAATTATTAAGCGAGATATAAGCTTTTAAAAATTGTGATATTTTGCTCAAAAATTAAAAATACAAAACGTAAAAATCAAAACACAAATAATTTTCTAATCTTTAAGTTTATTAGTTTAATAACAGGTTATGCATTCTAATAATAAAACTTGCAGTACAAAGTTGTCTCTGCTGAAATCAAATTTGTTGTGTTGTATATTTCTAACCTTGAGACATCAAATGCGTGTGTGTTACTCTTAATAGTAACTGTTATTTTCTTTTCATACTGATCACTTATGGGATAGTTGTATGTCTTTTGCTCTTACTATCGTAAGTAATCCACGTTTCACATTAACTGTGTCAAATTAAATGAAACAAACCCCACCCTATCACTACTATCTACTTTTATTTTAACATTCTTCCGCCCTTAATAATATTGCATTTACTTACAAAATTGAAAGTGTAATATGCTAGAAAAAAAATTTAAATTCCACCAACATTTAAAAACTGCTACCAAACTTCAAGGGCTATCTAACACGATACTATGCTGATAATAAATTAAAATTCATCAGTTGTATCAAATGATGATTTTACAATTTGGGTTAGATTAAGTAGATATGATGCAATCATAACACAAAATATTATATTATTCATGTATTATAATAATATGATAATTAGTATCCTAATTTAACCTTTTTAATTATTATATACAAATTTAATTATTTTTCAACTTTTTATTTGTCAGGAGGATCCCTTTATGTCATATCAACCAGAAACCTTATTCAATATATCACGATTTCTAATGAATGAGACAGAAAATATACATTTAAAAGGTGTTTCACAATTGTGAGTGTTTTATTGTAATTCAGTAATATTAATATAATAAATAAAAACTGTATTTAAATTAATGATACAAAATTAGGAAATAAAATGTCAACCATATACAATACAAACAATGACAGTAAAACATGGTAGTCTAGTTTAATAACAGCAATAAAATAATAGTTTGTATTATTTAATAATATATTAGAAATATAAATGTTTATGTATGATATAAGTGTGTCATACATGATAGTTAAACACATTTCTTTCTGTTTTCTTAATTCCAGTAAACTAATCCTAACCCCTTGATGCATAATAAAATCTATTGATTTCAGGAATGGACGTTCCAATGGAGTAGTCTGCATTGAATAGACTAGGAAAATTTTAGAAACACATACTGTTCAAATATATTTATTTTTTTTTCACCTCTCAATAGATGTAATTAGCATGCTAAATTTTTTTTAGGTTAGGAATGAATTTTTTTTATCAAACAATACTGTGTAATTAATTCCCAGATATTTAATCTGTTCACTGGGTGTGATAACTCGTATGATGGATTTGTCAGATTATATCAGGTTATTCGGTGAAAACTGGTCCTCTCATATGTTTATGGCCAGTGATTTTTTTGGATAAATCAATATTCTTTTTTATTTGAAAGCAAATTTCAGTGACTAATGCTATTACGCACTTTTCATCAATGTACTATAATAACAGTATTGTCGGCAAAAGCTAATTCAGACAATTTATCTAGTTGGTGAGAGCTCGAGACCATATCTATATTGGAAATTACCCTTGTACCACACTGCAATGTAGCGTAATTTAGTCAGTTGTCCACTTGTTCAACTTTACATTTTCAGTTGAGTTTAGTGTGGCTAAAGATCATACAAAGTTCTGCAGATTGTTCAATAGTGACGAAAACTGTAACGAGCAATGTAATCGTGTCCCATTGGGTAGTTCAAGCATTACTATACAGCAGGGATGGCAACATTAATATGTTTGCGAGCCACATATATAAGGGCAATGATATCAAGAGCCAAAATATTTGTAAATACATTTTATAAAATAAAAGTAATAAAGATATCTAACAGCCGATAAACATAGTATCAAATTTGTTACCAGGGATGTAGATGTAAAAAAAGATTTGTTAGATCTAATTTCATTTATGGAAACCACTGGTGGTGTTGATATTAAGATTGCTCTCAATGAAACACTAGGAAAAATTAAAACAAAATTATGAGCATTTAAACTGATGTAGCTCCTAGTATTGTGGGTTGTAAAAATGGATTAATAGGACTTTTAAAAAATGATACTTATTTCCCAGATTTTATACCTATTCATTGTATTATCCACTTAGCTGCTAAATATTTTAAATATGATCATGTAATGGATGTTGTTTTAATAATTTTAAATTACATATGTTCAAGTGCAAAAACAAATCCTCAGTTTAAAAACTTCCTAGATGACACATAGAAGATGATATTCTTAATGATGTCCCATAATATTGTCTAATTAGATGATTATCGGTAAATAACCTAATTTTTCAATTACTAGAACCGATCAAAGTATTTTTAATAGAAAAAAATAAGTTTTCCTCAACTTTCAAATTCTAATTGATTAGAGATAGGGCATTTAGCTTAAGGTTTATTTTCTTATTTATTATTTATATTAATCTGTATTCTATAATCTTATATCTAAATAATAAAAAACATTTGTTTATATATAAATGTATGTGAAGAAAAATTTAAATTAATAATAAGTAAATTTTGGTTTTTGTAAATAAGACACGGGGCCGTATATGACTATTACTATTTAGTATACAGCAATTATGTGTGCTCCAAGCATTTCATTAATGAATTCTGTCAGCATTTGGCTAAATTTTATGCGTGCTTATCTAGACTTTTCTCTATAGTTTACATATTACACCAAACATATTAGCCTCCAGCTATGTAAGTTTTATTCATCCTCTTCTTCTTTCATAGAAGAATGGCACACCCCATTTGAAAAGCATGTAATTGCATTCAAATATAATTTTTCTGATAGACCATTTAATATTAACACACTTTACATTTGAAGTTATATGAAGAATGATTCTCCCCCGAGCCTCTCCAAGCTATAGATATTTTTTTTGTTGAATGTTCAATATGATTTTTTTTAGTAGAAATGGCCAATTAGTCTCTGCTGGATTCATATGCCTCACATATTTGATTTTTAGAGACCTCAAGAGGGAACAATAATATTGTTCTATAACCCATATTTCCATTTTAAAGCTTGACTGATTTTTTTGAATTTAAGTCAATCACCTTACGGCGTTGGATTGCACATTGCCACTGTGTTAGATAGTAATTGAACTGATCACTGGATTTGATGTTTGGCTACAACCCCTATTGCAATTAATCCCTTTTTTTTTATGTATTTCCTTTATTAAACTATTGAATAAATATTTAAGAAGTTGATAAAATATAAATGATTTATTTTATATAGTATTGTATTATAATATTTTATTTATTTTTAGTGCAATATTATATACATTATCTAAACAAGCCCTTAACATGAGAGCATTCAAATTAGCACGACAAATATTAACAATATTACAAAAGCTAAGAATTCCATCTAAATTTCAAGTAAAATTGTTTGATTAATGAATATATTTAATTATAATCTTGAATTACATTTATTTAAGGACTATGTAGATCTTGCTTCATTAAGTATTCGTGCAAAACCTTTCCATGATAATGAAGATCTATTGTCAATGTGTTATCGGTGTTTGACATACAATTCTCCAATTGTTCAAACATGTGTCACGTGCAATCACAAGTTTATATTTTCACACATAAAATTTGGTTTGTATTATACATTAGATTTACTTTAATTTAATAAATTATAGCTATTTATTTTGTTGACGTATGAAAGGTAACACAAATTTAATGTGGGGGTGTGAAGATTTATAATAAAACATAAACAATTTATAAATTTGTTGTTAAACTTAGTTAAATAATGTGCCATTAGGTTCGGTGAAAGAGACAAGTACTCTTAGGACTTAAATTAATTTAATATAATACTTGTACCATTTTTTTTTTGTTTTAAGAAATTTTACCATTGATTGAATTCCATTTAGAGGATAATATAACTGATACTGATGCATTAAAATTGATACAAAGTTCATACGATGAAAGCGAATTGAAAGAAGACGGTCAAAATAAATCTCAAAATTCAAATACATTAATTTTAGACGTGGACGAAGAAAGTCGAGAATCAGTCGACCCATTTGCATTTAAACTTATAAATTTTGAGGTAAAATAATACTATTTTTTTTTATTCAAATGTCTAATTATTAAATAAAATAATTATTTTTTAATGTTCTTTTAAAGAGTGCAGAAAAACAGTATCAACCTATAATAGTTAATAAAACAACATTGCAATCAATGAGTACTAACAGTATAATAGTGTGTAAATGGCCAAAACCATTGAAATTTAAATACTACAGAAATTTACTACCTGGATTTTTAGTTACAAACTGTGAAAATTGTTTTAGGGTAAATTTTAACTTAAAAACCTTTCACAAGTATACATACAAAGTATTAATTTTAATATGATTTAGATGTTCCACTCAGACGAATACGAAGTTGAAGTTTTAAAACAAGGTTATTGTCCATTTTGTAGAACAAAAGACAGAAGAGTAGTCGAATAAAAAAACATATTTCAAGATAAAGATTATTTATTTTAAACAAAATTTAAGCATCAGGTTTTTTGCTTTTACCCAACTTTTTCAAAGTTAATGCGGCTCGCTTTTGGGATTCCAAAATGGCACTTGCTCTTCTCAAAGAAGCCTACAAATTTCATACAAATTGTTAACATATTATTTTAAGAACATTATTAAAATAAACATTTATAGTACCTGAATCAAATCTTTTCTGTAGCTGTTACCCAGTAAATACTTTCTCAATTTAAATAATGATCTCCTTGGGCCACTAGTAAAATTCACTTTGATAAGAGATTTTCCAGGCTTATTCTAAGGAAACAAATTTAAATGTTAATGTTAATAATAACTATGAATTATACCAATTTTTCATAATAAAAATAGATAAATAATAAAGTAAAAACAAAATTATTAAATGATTAAAATTCCTAAATAAAAATAATTACTTATAATATATTACATAATTTACTAACAGATTGCATACTTATATATACTCTAAACATTTTGGTTTGTTATCTTTTAACCATTTTCTCATATACACATAAGCATATTTTGATTGTAAAACAAAATTTTAGATTGAGAAATGTATATTAGTTTTACAAAGTTTTTTTGTAATATGTAAACAACTTTCACCGTAATCTGCTCAGGTTGTAATGCGTCCTTTTCTGAAAGGAAATTTTATCTGGTTGGTGCTTAAGGAAAGTCATGTTTTGATATTCCAAAGGGTTTCCATAGTAAATTGGGAAAACCATGACAATTTACACAATGTTTTATTTTTAATTTGTTTTTTTTGTTACGATTCAGTTAGAAATATTTGTAGAAACTTGAATTTGGAAAGATCACTTATATTTGTCTCTTCTGGATGTGATAAAATGTCAAAACATTAGTGCCATTTTTGAGCTATTTATAGACATTAGATTTTGAAAGTTTTTTTAATGAAATTTTTATTTGTTAAGTACTCAGTGGATTAAATTGTTAGATCAAGCAGTTTTTCAGAAAATTAAACAGGAGGTCCATTTTGAATAACAAAAAAAAAAAAAAATTAGTTTTTATATCAAATATTGATGAAAATTGTAAATATTAAAGCTTGAAAGGCTGTAATAACATGTAAGACCACATTTTTCTCAGAATCGTTTTTCATAAGTATACAAATGATGTACATTAAATTATCTATATCATTCTTTTAACTTCCTACCTACAGTATTGACCCATCCAGTCAGTCGGAAGTATGACAATCTCTTTTTATATGTACTTGTACTTAATACTTTATATACTTGTATACATACAACAATATACTTCTTCCAAAAACAATTCAAATAAAAAATTAAAAAATCAATATTTTTGTACAAAAATTAAGCCAAATACTAGGAGTGTTGGTTTGCATAACGAATAAAGTTCTACTATAAAAAGTTAATGCGCTCATCAACAGCAAACACTCCTATTAAAAATTTGCTTTTCTTACTTGAAAGCATCAATTAAATTTATACACTAGGCAAATGTTGTATATAGCTAGTTTTTTCAATAAATACAAAATTTTAAAATGGCTAGTCATATACAGCACTGTACTAATCTCAGTTGAGGTTAGTACAATAAGAGAAAATACAAAATATAAGGCTAGAAGAGAGACCATGATTACTATGGACAGAGAAGATATGATCGTAAAGAATATTCAATGGTGTATCCATGAAAAAAACCATAATTTTTAATATTAGCTGGACTACATTGGAAATTTCTTCATGGACATACATTAAATAAATTTACCCATCATGCTACACATTAGTATAGCTATGATTTGATCTGAGGGTAAGTGAATAATTTATGAAGTAAACAAGTAAACTTTTTATCCTCCCGGATAATCTACTTTTAAAAATTTATTTATTACGTACTATAAGATGCAGATTTTTCACTGATAGAACTTTATTTGAATATTTGTTTTTTTTTTAAAATACATTGGTTATGGTTATATTATAGTTGATTTCTGAATTATCTTGGCTACAAGAAAAAACTTAATTTTTGATTACAAAAGGATTACAAATTAATATTAAAATAGAATAGAATCTGAATAGATGTTGATTCAAAAAGTCAATGTAAAAAAAAAAAAATGCATTTTCAAAAAAATCAAACAGTAAAAATATTCAATATTAGGTTTGTTTTCAGCATAGTGTTATAAATGTGTTGTCATTATTAACACTATATTATAGTGAACACGTATACACCTAAAATAACATGTTTAAAACTAGTGATTCACTAGAACTATTTCAGCAAATACTATAAGTAATAAAGTAATAATACCGGAAAATCAATGATAATCAATATTTATTATTTTGACAGGCTGTTCTTGCACCAAGCCATAGATATATTTCAAAATTTAATTTTTGTTTTAATGTTTGCTCTTTAATTTATTTAAATGTTAATTTCTTCTTATTGGGTTTTCCGGCCATCAAGACCATCTCATCACACATCTAGTCATTCATCCTTCTCTATCCATAGCTTTTGTTCTCCAATCTCATCCTTTATTCAGTGTTTCCACGTATTTTCTTATCATATCCCCCCACCTCAATCATACCAACTGGGTTTTCTTTCACAATCATCCTTATAAGATGGTTCTGGATTTGCATAGCATGTTCAGCCCATTGAAATCTTCGGTTTCTGATTACGCTTAAGATGTTTTCTTTCCGGAACATCCTTTGCAGTAATTCATTTTTACTTGTTCTCCACTGTCCCATTTCTCTGTCTTTAACAGATCTAAAATCTTTCTAAAGAGTTTCCTTTCAAAAACCAGTAATTTTCTTTCCTCAGTCTTTCTTAATAGCCAGACCTCAGCCTAAGTGACAACTGGACATCTTCATGTTGTATCTTCATTTCTATGGACAGAGATTGTGATCCTAGTAATTTTGTGAGTCCATAAAAGAATTTATTTCCTGACAGAATTCTTGATGTTATTTCTTTGTCGGTTTAATTTTTTTCTGTTAATATTGAACCCAGGTACTTAAATTGTTTAGCTCTACTGAAATCTACCAACTTTTAGGTGTGGAAAAACGGACGTACTATCTCTTTTACCCATACAACCCATACAATTAGATTTAGATTTTAACCACCTATGTTAATTGTACACTATAGTTTACTATACCTTATACTATAATTTTTATCATGCTACATAAAAAGACACATATTTGTAAAAACAAAAATATTTTGTTTATATTAATTAATTTGTGCATAATTAAATTTTATTAACCAAAGATTTATCAGCTTCGAAAAAAAAAAATTCATAAATAATTCAGAGTTGGTGAAGCATTATTCATCATTTAAATTTTTGGCAATAATATTATGTAATTGTAATTCAATTTAAAATATATAACAATAGTTATTTAAATGAATAGAAAAATATCTATATTTACGACTTCCATATCAATTTAAAATTGATCTACTAAAAAGAATTTAATAACGAAAATTAAAAATTTCAAAACCAATATAAGTAATTATAAGCATAAGAAATGCGGTCAAGAGAGTCAATTGTAAGTTGATATAATAATTTGAAAAATTTGTATTAAACTAATAACGGAAAAAGAAATATTCATAAGATATGAAAAATACTAAAAACTAAAATTTGATTTTTGATCTTTAGGTTTACTATTTTAAAATAGATTTGAGATGATCAAAATTATTTTAAGCAACAAATTTTAGGTATGAATGCAATTTAACTCCCATAATTGTTTTTATTTTCCAAAATGTATTTTAAAGCACTTCAATGGAGTGTAAAATTAATTGAAAATGGGCTTATTTTATTTATATGTTATCTCACAAGTAGAGTGAACTTATGAGTAAAACCAGAAAGCATAACGAATAGTCATTATATCAATACGAAAATTTTTTTTTGTTCTTTTATTATAATCTATTTAACAGAGATTTTGCATGATTAATTTATGGGTAAAAGTCAAATATGAATCGCAAAATAAGAGGGTAATTGAAATCCAGTCTCTTATAATGAAATAGAATTTACATAACTTGGATTCTTTAGGTCAGTGGTATGTATAAGGTAGCAGACATAAAGAGTACACCATCACTTTTGGTATTAGTCTTTTAAAAAAAAAATTAGCTAGTTTTTTAAATTTAGATGTTTTTGGTATTTATACATTTTGCATAGAAAATATTGAAAAAAACAAAAACAGAAGCTAAAATACATATTTTAAATTTAGAAGAGTACAAATTCAACTCACTGCTAATTTGCGTCTTTTGGTAATGACAGTGAACCCCTTGTTGTTAGGAGCTGTTTCAACACCAATACTATTGTCATGCACAAGACCATTGTAGCGTTTTGAAGCCAAGTTTGTCAAGTTCATTGGTTCCTATAATTTATATGATAATTAAGTCATTAAATTTGTATAAAAAGTAAATAATATTCCAGATTACATACTTTGCTGAATGGTTTTTTAATATTTGTTTTCTTTGACAAGAAAGCATTGCTATTTCTGATTATCATCCAACTTAAATCAGCAGACATGATGAGCAAATCTAAAGTAACAATAAAATATGAAATACAATTTGTCATAAAAAATGACAAAAAGTGAAAAGATAAACATTTATCACATGGTTACATAGGTTTCAATTTGAACGGTCTACAAAATAACTACAAATTAATAGTTATTTATAAAAACTGATAAATAATTAAACTTCAATTATTTTCAATAAAAATTTGATATACTTACATTTGGTCAAAATTCACAGAATATGAAAAAATTAAATTTAAAATATTAATAAGAACTTATTACAAAATGATTGCCAGTTGCCACCAACCAGAACTCAAAAGTAACCTAAAAAGTAGAAAGAAATTACAGAACTGCCAGCAGACATCAAAATAAAAATTAATTGTTTTCCTAATATTCATGGATAAATTATTCAATAGGTTGGTGCTACTGCTTTTACAATCTTGATAAGCTTTGATACGAATCATATGTACCCTTCTAATGGTATAAACACATCTCGATGTATAAACATGAACATTAAACACAAACCGATCGTTTTGAATCTCCTTACCAATTTGTGAAGAATTAAAAATTCAGATTAAAAAATTGATTTCATTTCCGCTCTTAATGTGTCCATAAAATAAGATTCCTGAATTTAATCAAACATTTTTCTTTTTTTTTTTGACAACCCCTATTATTATTGTATTATAACCACGAAAATAGATAAAAGGTTGCGCAACGATCCTCGAAAAAGTGTCTTTCAATGTTCTTATCTATAATGACAAAAACCTGCTCACGGTGGATGTTAAATATATAATAGTAATAATATAGATAACAATAAATTAATATATCCATTATAATGATTATATAGATTATGTATGGGTACACCACACACTTCTTATTAGCAACATAATAAATATATTAGAAATTCATTGGTAAAAACCATAGACCTATTAACAGATGGACTGCGCTTCCTTAGCCCACTGCCTACATAATCGTGTCCGCAACATAAACTATTGCTCGCGGAAGAAAAAAATGATTTTAACTCTGTTAATAAATCTATGGTAGTAAAAGTGTAATGGTATTTCCTAACACTTGATAGTTGATACCAGTTATTTTAGATCAGTATACACATTTGGAAATTGGTGTATCCCCACTATTGTCCAAAATTAACAATAATAATACTATCAGTTAAATATTAATCAATTATTTAAATGATTTTTTTATAAATTGAGTCAGCGTTCATAGCAACCCATGTTGGTACGGTTACAATGTATAGTAATCAATGAGGCGGTTAATATATTCGTTTAACATTCTTTATAGATGACTTACCCCCCCTACTATTATTGCAAAATAATAAAAAGTTACTTATTTTGTACGATAGACAACAAAATAACGACTTTAACATCTTACACGGATACCATAATATTGATAAGTAATAACAAGAGGAGATGCCAAGGGGAAATAATAATTCTGGAGGGGATGATGAAAAGTCACCGATATTCAGTGACATTAGTATGGCTGGTGAAACGAAATTAATTTTATCATTTTGTAACCAATTCCAATTGAAGGGAAATACTCACCGGTTATTCTCATATAATTTATTACCTATACTATACTTCCCGTTTCCCGCTAACTAGTACTTAATAAAAATTAATTTGAATAGGTATTAATTCCTATTAATTAAATTATTATCATTTATTTATTCGTTTATTATTTTGAGGAGGAAATGTGAGGGGATAAAACTGGTGTAAATAGTTTGCACCATATGCATGTGGTGGTGCAGAAAAATTAAACTGGTATTGTTAATTTTTAACAACGGTTACTCCAAACATTTTTTTCAAATCCACACCGATTTGATTTTTAAGATGAAATTTACATCGATTTGTACCAACGTATTTTTTGATCAACTGTTTTTTGGTCACTATTCATGGATAAAACAAGAAATGTAACATTTTCTATTTCCGAACATCCAATTTTGCTTATCAGAGGTTGGCTGATTTTTGAGCCATGAAAAACATATACAAAACGTGGTCCACTAGTAATATGTCTATAGTAAATTAACAGTAATCAGTATTATAGTCGTAAACAGGTTATTATATTATGGAATGCTAAATTAACTCAACCATATTTAATATCTGATTTAGTGTGTGCTATTTTTAATAAATTTGACCTATCAAAATGGCGAATTAAAACCTCACATCTTATCACTAGTTAGCAATTTTTTTTATTATCTGTATCTATTTGTGATATGTACTATCTACGGTGATAAAAAATAATTTATTATCAATTGCAATTTATTTCTTCTTATCAAAATACATTTTTTTGGTTAAGCACATTTTTGGTTAGGTTTTTGTGGTTTTAAAAAACCAATCGAATATTAATATTCTTAGATAAACGATAAACATTAAACTTATTTACTGATTAGCGTTGAGTTATTACTTATTAATTAATAGTTAATTATGTGTCTCCAGTTTTATCAGTTAAATCGTGATCGATATGAATTATTTAAATTAATATAAATAATTATAATGATTTATATATTCTTGATTTTAAATTATAAATTAATATTTTGAAATTTGCGTAATGTTTTGTGTATTCAAATTTAATTAAAAACCTTCATGTTGTATAAAAGTTAAACTAATGTACAGATATGAGGTAGCATTAATGATGAATGAAAGACGATTAACAAATAGTTTTAAAAGTTACATTGGCTTAGATGATAATGAACAGGTAAAGTTTATACTTTATGTATAATTTTTTTCAAATGTAGCCTAAATATGTTTAATTTGAATTAAAAATTAGAACCTTAAACTTCCCTATAATATATTAACTTGCATCAAGTTTATGATGCAAATGCAGTTTATAGTCTAATAAGACATTTTGCAGTAAATACCATGTTTCTTTTCATAATAATCAATACTTTCAAGTAATTTAATTTATAGCTTGCGTTACTACAGTACTGCTAGGTACATACAATGAAACTAAAATTTCATAACTAAAATGGTTTAACATTTTGAAGAATTAAACTAGTATATAATGAGTTTAAAGTCTCATTTTTCAAATTTCGAGAATTTGGTAAACAATAACCCAAACACATAACAATATTTCAATATTATGTTATGAAAAGTACAGTACCTCAATGACAATTCACATTTGTTGAGATTATTACTTTATTTAGAATCAGTTAAATATGGAGAAATTATTATAGGTACTACAATAATATATTTGGTTCAGGGAAGGCGAGCTTAAGTCAATTTTTGGTATTTTTAAAAAATAATTTTGTTTCCTTTTTTATTTATCTAATTCACATAAATATATTTTAAAAATTGAATTTGCTTGTAATTACACAATACTAACGTAAGCTCTTTTGTCTTGGGACACAAATTATGATTCAATAGTTTCAGTACCTAAAAAATGTGAATAACAATTTTAATTTATTTTCCCTTTTAAATAATATAATAATTCACACATAATAAGAATAAATAGGTATACCTAAATAAACTGTGTAACATATACTTCTAAACATTTCATTTTACAATTAATTGTTTTATTTATAGCTCACATTTTCTATAATATCTCAATAAAATCTATTAAATCTTAATAATAAATTTAATATTATATTTTTCAGATTTCAAGCTGTGAAACCTCATTTATTGAGCAAGAATTCTCACCTAAACTTCATCCAGGTACTTTTATATATTTGTATTGAGAAATAGTTCATAGCAAATAGGGTCTTTTTTATGGTTAGATTAATTGCTTTTATTTTGGGTATACTCGTCTAATCATAATAACTGAATTATTCTGTTCAGAATAAGAACGTACCGTGCAACGGACTTAAATCGGTCCGTGTGCATGCATGTCTCTACTAACTTATTATTATTAACCAATCACAGAATGTCTGGATTCGCGTAGCAGTGTGTTCTTATTCTCAACGGAGTATAGAATTGAAATTTATTTGAGTCATATGTAAATAGGATGCAATATTTGTACTGAACTAAATATAAGCACTTAAAATGATAAAATTTTTTTATTAATATTTAATAGGTATTAATCTCAATTATTGTGTTTGATTGTAGTTTTCTAAATGTTTAAAACTAGTTGAATAATAAATATTTAAAATTAAATCTAATTATTACAAGTTTAGTTTTATTTAACAGATAAAATGCTTTTTGTTTATAATAATATAGCATATAATACAATAATACAATTAAAAATAAAAAATAATAATTAACATCAAAAGTTGTAAATATTTCATATATATATTTATTATTTTACCTAAGTATATTTCATATTTTCATATTTTAGGTGAAACGATAGTTGCAGAAGCCCGAAATGTGTATCTGTTCACTCCAGTCAATGAAGAAAAAATTAGTCAATCAGGTGTTTTGTTTGTCACAAATTTCCGACTTTCATTTGTTACCTGGCGTGAAAAAAATTTTGAAGTAAATTTTCATTAAGTAATTAATTTCTTATATTTGTAATATATATTTTATTGCATACATTTGTTTCAGGAATCATTGTATCAAGAAAATTTGCTTTTGGGTCAGTATGATGTATGCCTTTCCAATATAGATATTATTTATTTGTTAACAGGAGATAAAAAGAAAAGAATCATGACAGATCATTGTTTTAATGATAAAGTCAATGGATTACATATTTTATGCAGAGTAATAGAAATAATATCTCATTTTAAAACAATTGGTTTATTTTTTAATTATTATTTTTACAATTATATATAAAAATAGAATATGCGCACCCTGTCATATAGCTTTAAATCTTTGACAAATGGGCATGGGAAAAAATTAGCAAATGCATTATTACATCATGCATTTCCGAAGAGACATCAACTATTATTTGCTTATGATTACAGGTAATTTCTTATTAATCATAATTAAAAAATTGTACATTCAATAAATTTTATTAGAAAACATTTTACAATCATGAAATAAATAAATTAGTAACTATAAAAACTATACATCAGTTTATAATAGTAAAAAGAAGTCTCTTAACATTTATAAAACTTGAAAAAGGGGTAATTTTAATATTTTTTTAAACTTTACTAGTTTGAAAACCTAGTAAAAACTATTAAAATTGTCTATAATAGGCACTAAAATTTACATTTATAATGTAGAGGACCAAATGTACAAAGAAGGACGTATTCAACACCATCATTTAGATGTCAAGATGATTGGGAAAAAGAACTTAAACGTACAAAATGTTTTGGTTGGACATTAAATTCATCCAATAATAAATTCCAGTTATCAACTAAGTAGGTTATATTATAGTTTTCGAATCAAAAATAATTATAATATAATGAAATATTTTGTTAACAGCCTACCACAATTCATTGTTATTGGATCCGCAGTTATTGACAATCAGTTGCGAATAGCCATGCAACATTTTAGAAATGAAAGATTACCAACTTGGTGTTGGAGCACTGTAAATGGAGCAGCATTATCTAGAAAATCAGATGTTGTAGATCCATCAAATCTGACTCAAGAAAATGCTATGTTGGAAATAGTAAGAAAATCGCATCCTTGCCTTGCAAGACCTTTTATAATGGATTTAACTAAAATTTTACCATCACCAAAAGATGTTAGTCAAAGCTTTATAAAATTACGAGAACTATGTGCTCCTGGTTAGTCAACATTTCTAATAAATTATTTGTGTTAACATTCAATTAATAATAAAACTTAACAATTGATTAGAAAGCACACGACAGTTTTGGGTCCAGGATAATCATTTTTACTCACTTTTGGAAAAAAGCAAATGGTTACAATATGTCTCCAGTTGCCTTGGCTCTGCTTTTGAAACTGCCTATAAACTTAATGGCAACACATCTGTTGTATTACAGGGTATGTATGCATACTTAAATTTAAATATTATCATTATTCATGATAATTAATGAAAGTTTGACATTAAAACATATACAAGGTGATTAATTATATTTGCTCATCTCATTTGTACAGTTAAATTTTCCATATGTTTAAATTATAATTTTAAGATTTAATTTAATTTAAGTGTACTTAGATAAAATTGATATTTTCTTATACAATAGTTTTTAAAATAAAAACTTACACGTTTTAATGCAAATTGTAAAACAAATGATTTTTTTATAAATGTTAACATAATGCAATTGAAATTTGAATTAAAAGTTTCTGAGTTAATCTACCTTAAATACTTAGGATAACTGCAATCTAAAAAGCATCAGGGCTTTGGCGGCGTGGTGAGTGGTGTTTTCATAGTGCTCTGCTATTCTTCCCTTACGCAAACTTAAATTGGAGTATCTCATCAACGGGTTGATGGAAATTAAACTACATTTATTTAAACTAATAAAATATGAATAGAATATTTTATATAGGTTCTCATTTGAAAAACCAAAGTTGGTGTTACCACAGTATACTTCTTAATTGCTGAGAAAATATTGGTTTTGACTACACTTAAAAATTCTAAAAATCAGGGTTTAAATATTTGCAAAATATAATCATACAAATGGAGTGAGCATGCTTAATGAATTACCCTAAAATACTTAGTAGTTTAGAAAAAAACGCAATTTATTATTTAATATATTTACAGTTTATACTGACTTAATTAATGTTAAAACCTTATAAAATTCCAACTATCTTATATTTTGATGGGTAAACCTATATTTTATACTGGGATATTACTAAAAAATGTTCGTTTTACATGGAATTTTGTTTTATTTTAAAAAGTTTTATTAAAATTTTATATTAGTTAATTGTAGTTTTTTAAATCCTAAACAATTAATTTGTTTTTCTTGGGTTTTTCAACTTTAATGTTAGTTCATTACAGGTTTGTGTATTAATAAGGAAATTATTTGAATGAAACTTTATTTTTACGGAAAATATTTCTTATCATGCTATTAAGAAAATGACATGCCCACTTGACGACACAAAAAAAATTGCATTTAACTGGGACATTTCAGTGCTGTGAATTTTAATATTAGAGTAAATTTATTTATTAATGTTCTTATAGGTAAAGTATTTCATATACTTACTTAAAAATAAAAATATCATAAAAAAATAAAAATCATATACTCAAATTTTAGTTTGATAATAGGTCAATTTATTTTAATATTAAAATTAATCAGATAAGAGTTATTCTTGCTGAATGTAAATCTTCTATAAAACAGTTCCTAAGACAGGAATGTAACATGACAAAATAATGTAATCATATTTAATTTTTTTTTTTTTTAAATAGTAAAATTAGATTTTAAGTTTAGTTTTAGGTAGAATTTTAATTTTAATAAAGAAATTATTTTTGTTATATTTAACATTTTATTCTTTTTAGAAAGAGATGGGCGTGATTTGTGCTGTGTGGTTTCAAGTTTAGCACAATTGATGATAGATTCATATTTTAGATCAATTGTGGGGTTACAAACATTAATCCAAAAAGAATGGGTAGTAATGGGCCACCAATTTTGTACAAGACTTGGACATATCAATAACACTGATTCACTTAAAGTAAAGTATTAATTATTGAATAATTTCATTTATTTAAATTAGTGTATTACACGGTAAAATTGTTTTACTATTAAATAGTAATAGTAAAATTTATGTTAAAAAAAATATATATATATATATAAATATGATGCAATATTATATTCAAAATGAATAGAATTTACAAAAAATGAATATGAAAATCTTAGATATGCATAATTAAATTACATAATTGAAATTTTTACTTTAATAATTATAATGGTTTAATGTTTTCTCATTTAAGAATTGTATTTTTCTTCATGACATGTAGTCCAATCAAATATAAATTCATCACAATCATGTTCATACATACCTGCTAAATATTCTACACATCTTTGTAAATCATTTTTTATTATCTTAGGAATTTCCAGAGTATTTATACTTTGTGCACGTTTATTAATAACTATTCTTGTTGCAATGGTATATTCACAAAGTTCTTTTAATGTATATAATGGAGTTGTTATTTTAACTTCTAATGATGGGCTATCAGATTTTGGCTGATTAAATAATTTTTTTCCATTTCCTAAGAGATATCTTTTTGTAATATGATCTACAAATTTCCAAGTAGTATTATCTTCTATGTAACCATCAAGGACATAGTGAGGTTCATCATACAGTAAATAAGTTTCCAGTTCAAAATCATCATCAAATGGTCCTTTTTTCCATAAAATAACATCTGCTCCAATACAATTTACAAATCGAACCCCACTTTCACTTTTATCCATAATCTATAACATTTTTAAGACATATTTTTGATCATTACTTGTATTTACTTATCTTAATTTTGATTAAATATTTGATTTAAATAATAAATTAAAAATTAAACTTACAGTTTATTAATTCAGGTTTTTGTTTATGGTATTATTGAAATTCTTAACTAATAGTTTTTGAGTTTTGTATTATAGGGCCTGTGGTAAATTCTACTTTTTTGTTTAAAATATGTTGTTATTACCATGGTACAATTCTATTCACTTATTGGATTTTTGTTTTCACAATGTGTGTTTTCATATGCACAATAAAAATGTAAAAGAAGTCTGATGAGCTTCAATTTAGAAGTTATGGTGGCAAAATTTTGTTTTTCCATAATATGATTTTTAAAAAAAATATTTCTCAAATTGTATAGTTTTTAATGGTTAATCCATAAATAAAATCAACTTGTTTATTAAGTTTTTACCTAAACATTTTTTTAAATCCAAGTATATTTTTAGTATGTGCTTTTTACAGCTTATGGCATTTTACATGAGCTTGTGAAGCAAACAAATGACAGTGGCCGAAGAATATTAGATTAAACAATTTTTAAAACCAAAATTCCAAATTAAGTTTGCCTAATTTTTTACATTTTTATTGTAACTACATGTGAAAACAAAAGTTTTGAAATTAAGAAATTCAATATATTGCTTATAATTGTTCTAAATCAATGACTTGTACTATGATTTAATTTAATTAATTTATATTTTTTAAAAGTTAACACCAAACCGCTTTTACAATGGGAATGACATAAAAAAGAATAACTATATAGTAAAGTAAATATATAACAATAGACGATTAGTAAAGTAAACAAAAGAAAATATAACTCGAGCAAAATACAATTAATAAGAAATGAATACAAAACAAATTAATTAATGATTATAGTTTCTGAGCATGCGGTATGGTTTGTGGTTATGATGGAAGAAAGTAGAGTGACTAGAGAATGATGACTGGTTGTGAGTAGAGTATGAGAGGGAGAGAGAGGAAACTTTAAAACAGATTTTTTAAAGAATATCAGCATCCAGAGACCCATCTAAAAGAGAGACAATAAATTTCTGATCGGCTGCAATCTGCCATTAGGAGAGAGTTTGAATTTGAAGAGTGTTACGGATGAGTGAATAGTCATGATTGGTAACTGGAATCTTGAGGATGTGGGAGGCATATAAAAGAAATCTGTTTTGAACATGTTCAAGGTGAAGTTGATATTTTACAAGAAAAGAGTGCCATATAATAACACTGTACTCAAAGTGTTCTAACAAGTGCTAATTCCTAAAGAGACTGGTAAAAAAATATATACATTTTATGATAGGTGCATACTTTAAATAATGTACCAATTTTTAATTTTCTACACTCTTACAATAATCTAAGAATTATAAAATTGCCTAAATTCAACTTCTCAAGGTGATCCATTTAAACAATTTGTATACAATGAAATATAACAATTTCGTCAAAATTGATTTAGATTATTCTTTTTTTAAATTTAATTAATTGATATATTTTTAAAAAAAATACGTAGGTATATTGTATATACATTTGCATGATATATCATATATTAGGGTATATTTTATTTTATAATTTCAACCAAAAACTATGATATGATTTGTGAGTTTCGTTTGGTGATTATTTTTGTAAAATAAAGTTTTTCCAAAAGAAGTTTCCATTTTATTAAGTTTTATAAAAATGTTTTTGGATTTATTTACCTTTTTTATACATAAAAGAATGGGGTTTTTTTTAATGATACTATTAATCTTTTTGATAATATTTTTTCATAGTTCTAAATACTCGTGTGTTCCCACATCACTTGTTTATTAATTTTTGGTTATAGGAGGTAAATGAGGTTTATATTGTACTTAGATGTACTCTCCCCCTCCATATTATTTTCAAGTTACTGCCTTGCATGCAATTGGTTACTAACTAACATGTTGTCTATAGATTGAAATGTAAATAAATTAACCAAGTATACAGTAGTTGTCATAATCTAGACATCTAGTTCTAGTTTAATCATAGCTAATCTTTCTAGAAATCATGTTACTAGATATTATTACTATGGCCTATTGAATAATTTAACCATTATAAATGTTTGTACATTTGAACAAATAATTCTGTATAATACAGTCGACTTTTGATATAACAACTGAAATCTGCTATTCCCTTGAAAATCTTATAATGTAATGAAAAATTAAATGTATTTTTTGGTTCTCTCGATGCAATAAAGTTTTTTTGGTCAACTTTTGTAATGTACGAAATTTTTATAATTTTGAAGCTTGATCTGCTAGTCTAGTGTATATTAAGTCATTATTAATAACTCAACAAAAAGTGCACATCTAATAAAAATTAAAAATAAATAGGTTGTGTTACAAAGTTTTTCTAGCATTCATATTGTAATTACATTGTCACTATTAAGATGTCGATAAATTTTAAAGTACAGAAATATGCTTTAGTCTTTACATTACTGTTCATATTATATATATATATATATTATGACTCATGTATTTTATAAATATTGTGATTTAACTGTGTATATATTTATATGTATGTTACTATTATTTAATGTAAGTAAATACCTACTGTATTTGTAGTATATTCAATTTAAATTTTGAATTGTCCTTTAAATCTCGTTAAACCAAACTTTTTTATCCGTCCCTTGAAATTCGTTATGTCACGACTTGAATGTATTTCCTATTAATATTTTGATAATTTGATGTTAAAATATTTTAATACAAAATTAATACCTTCAATCTTGTTATTTTCTAGTCAAAGGCCCATTAGTTAATTGTAGTTAATTTGTATATTAAATATTTTAAATATAATTAGTTAAAATTTTTATTTTAAATAATTAATAATCAAAAACCAACTCACCAAAAATGAATGATAAGATTTAAAATCATATGGCCAAGGTAGATAAATCTACCTTAATATGACTGTTAAACGGTGAAAATGTATTATTTTTGAGATAATACTTGGTTTTTACATGGAACTAAGATAATATGGAAAACATTTCTTCAGTCGAATTTTGAAACTGAGCTTTTGAGGAGGTGGAACACAGAGATTCAATCCAAATATCGAAAAGAGATCACAGCCGCGCACGCAACACGCATTCACTCATATATTGAGTGCGTTCTGATTGGACGCTTACAGTGCTCACACTTATGCCCATGCTCATGATTCGTTTCATTAGCAAACAAACACATACAATCGCTTTGCTTACACTTCAAATGTAACAACAAGATATCGCAAACGCTTACGCAGCATTAGTTATTTCGTTCGAGCGTTTGTGAGCACGGATGTATGACAGAGATATAATGATATCGCTGTTGTACTGTGATAAGTGTGAACGCTTATATGTATCAGTTGGAACACACCAGGAACGCTCGTGAGCGCTTGAGCCTTGAAGCGTCCAATCGGAATGCAGTAACGCACCAATTGTAGAGTTGGGTGGGTTTAATTTGCTGATCTGGTGAACTGGAACACAGACTACTTTAGCGCTACCGGTGGTTTTATTTAGCAATACAAATTAAATAATTCAGCAAATTTTGCTTATCTGCTTTCACATCTGTAAAACCACCAGAAATTATGGTATTTTGTACATTACGTTATAACGGACGCAATTTTAAACGAAGAGTCCCTATTATCTTAAATCTTATCATTAAACACTAATATTTCTCAAATTGAAACTTGATTGATCAAAATAACAGAACATTTACATTATTACTTTTAGTCTTTTATAATAACTATTAATTATTTATTCATGTTTTTATTTTAGTTCATTATTTTCTAAAGTAGATGCATACATTAAATAATTCAAGTTTTAATAATACTTATATAATGTAATTTAGTATACTTTGAAAAGTAACATACAGTATTTAAATTCAAGATTCGTCACAAAGTTTAAACAACTAAAACTTGTGTTGATTTTTTTTTGTATCTATTATTTTAATTAGTAAGTGTTATTCAAACAAAATATTTCTAAATGAACTAAAGTATATATATTAATAGTTCTTACATTTTTTAATAGATATACTCCTGATGAAAGATTTTCAAACTATGGATCTCTTAAAAACTCTCTTTTGTATAACCTTTTACTTTTATGCTTATATATGTTATGTGTTCATGGTCGGAACTACCAATAGCTCAGCCAAATCCCAGCATAAGTTGAAATCCAAACACTTTTTTCGGTCTCCCTCTCTTGCTCTTTTCTCCTAAGTTTATTTTCATTACAATTCTTACCATTTCTTCAACATTCTTCCTATATAGGTACATATGTTGTTTAAAACTATGAAATAAATCTATTATGTGATTGATTTTACAATTTTAGAATACAAAATTCAGAATTTTAAAATTTTAACCCTCTGCCATTCTCTAGTTTAAAGCATTTACTTTTTAATACTTAATTTCTTAAACATTCCTTAACTTATATCAAAAAATATAATAATAATAATTCAAATATTATATATATATATTCGTGTCAAACAACCACATAAAAATATAAACATAAACCTAAACATATTATCATTAGTGGCGTATTGATAATATATAATATCAATTTGATCATTTTCAAATATATTTTTTTATAATTAAATAATTACTTACCCATGTTATTATTATTTTTATTACTAATGAAAAATCATAAATACACATGTTTCGGAGGTTACAAATTAATACTCGTGCCAATTCTTCATTCTTTTTACCATTATTCCATTTTGCTTTGCCCATATTAGTATATTGAACATAAAAAAATAAGTGGAAAGTAGGTCAGTGGTGAACTAAAAGTGTTCTAGTTTCACAATTTTTCATCTATGTTCCCATAGATAACAGCACAGCACAGGGATTAAACTATATATCCACTATAAAAATGCTAAAATTATGAGGACATGATAGTACTGTAGTAGTGTTATATTGTTACTGTACTAAAAAATACAAAGATTCAAAAATTATATTTTACATGTTTTCACTTTACACAGTGCATAGTTTTTTGTTTTTTTTTTCATCCATATTATCTAGTTAGCTCATCCTCTTTCAAGCCAATAATAGACCTTCGGACAGTCATAGACATAGACTCTTTATTTTAAATTGTTATCACATTTTTATTTCTGTTTATTATTTATTTTTTGTTTTTCATTTCATCTGTTTAACTAAAGTAACCCAACAAAAATAATTTAATTTTCATACCGTAAATACCTTAGAACCTTTCTTCCTCTTCTAGGTCATTAATCGAGATGACAACTATCATATCTTTTAAGTTAAACCAAATCACATACATAGAGCATTATCTTATTAAAATCGGTTGATTCAATTCAGGGTGCATTGCACGTAAACTCGTATGTGTGGTTTTTATATTTTTGTTTAAATTTTTTTACTGAATTAAATTTACAATCTATTTTTTTTTTTTTGTACAATAAGTAGGTTTGATGTGTAAATAAAAGTAGTTAATAAGAATAATAAGATTAGGGAAGATACCCAGTGGTTTTTTATATTTAAGATATAAAATTATACATAATACCATGAAGTGTATACATTTCTTTGCTAAACTATATTTTATATTTTGCAGTCACCATTGTTGTTATTGTTTTTGGATTGTGTTTGGCAATTACTTCAACAATTTCCTACAAAGTTTGAATTTACTGAAACGTACTTAACCACTCTTTGGGATACATCACATATTTCCATTTTTGACACATTTTTATTTGACTGTGAACAAGATCGTCATCATGCTACTAATGTTTGTATTTTTATTTGATAGTTAATACATGAAATTTACAAAAAAAAATGTATTATTTAGGATGGTACAAATCCTCTAATATTACGGTCAATATGGAACTGGGAAGAACAGTTCTTGGATCGTGATTTAATTCAATTTCATAATCCTCTTTACAATGCCTCAAATGCAAAGGATGAACTATTGAAAGTGTCTACTGAAATTTCTTGTCTTAATATTTGGACACAATGTTACTATAGGTTTTTACCAACTTTAGAAATATCAAATGGGGGTAAACCATTAGTAAGTGAAAATTAAGCCTAATTATTTTAAAATCATTTTTTATATCTTTGTTTTTTTTTATTTTTTTTAGGAAGATATTGCAATTAGAACAATAATAAATGAGAGTGTGAAACATTCTAAATCTTCACAAAAAGTGTGTACCCCACCTAACATAGGATCATTTTTTCCATTTACACACTGGAGATCTAGTACATCGGTTCCTCCTTCAACTTTAACAATTAGTTCTTTATCATTAAATACTAGTGACTTTCAAATGGAAACATCATTGGTTGAAATAACAGAACATTTATAGTATTACATGTAGTATTTTATAGCAATTACTAATTCTTTGTTCAGTTTTTTATAATAGTTCAGTATTTTATATTTATTTTTTTGGCAGGTTAACCTTATATATTATGTACCTTGAATACATTTATTAATTAATTCTAATACTAATACAATTTAATATACACTTTGAAAAAGTAACATTCAGTATTTAAATTCAAGATTCAACTCAAATTTAAATAACTAAATCTTATGTTGTTTTTTTCATCTAGAATTGTAATTTAGTTTTATTATTATTGAATGTTAAGACAATTTATTTATTAATTAATATATGTGCTGTTACCTAACTGTTATTAATTATACAATTATGAATTTATTTATTTCTACACTCTTTTTATAGTTAAATTTTTTTTAATATTATATTTTTGTAAGGTATGTTGTATTGTTAAGTTTATTTTGATATTATATATTTATTATTTCACCAGACAAAAATATTAGTACAAATACAATATGCATGTATGAAAATCAAAATGTGATATAATAAACAGGCAATTTTTTTTTTTTTAACAATATTATAGTTTATTTTACATACTTTTTACTTTTATACATGGTTTATAAGGTTTATTTATAAATAGGTCATTACAATAAACTTAAGATTGTTATATCAATTAAAATAATACAAAATTACAGATTATATTTAAGACAAGGAAATTGATAATTAATTATATGAATATCCTTTTATAGTTTTTATTTACAATCAATACTATAAATATCTAAAACTGATATATTATTTCAGTTGATCATTATAAAAAAAATGTACTTTCTTACAGATTGATCAAATAATATGCTTAAAGTGTAGACATTTGAATAGACTAGTTAAAATTCTATTTACATATTTGAATAGATTATTGAAAAAAAGCTTTTTAAATATATGTTTATTATGCTTCTTAAAACATGATGCTATTTCTAAGCATAGTTTTATTTTCCAACTGACTTTTTAAAAATATAAAACAACAGAATAAATTTACTTCAATTTTAAATAATTTAATTTTGGATACACTTTATTAAAACACCAATGATATATTTATATAAAAAAAAAAACTAATATATGATTATTACAATATTGATATATAAATTTTAAATTGTATTTTATGTTAGACCTACTTATAGGATAACACATTTAATCTGTATCCATTTGTTCATCTGACGATTCTGAAGATTCTGAACTAGATTCATCAGTCGACATGCTATCATCAGAACTAGAGTCTGAAGTCACGGATTTTAATATATCGTCATTACGAATGACATTCCATTTCTTCAATTTTTTTATATCTGCAATAATTTTTATTGAAAAAATATACGTAATGAATTTATTACAATACAACATATTAAATTTACCTAAAGAATAAAAATCGTTAAGTGTTAATGACTTGGAACCTTTTTCCACAATTCCACCAAAGACATATAAAATATTATGTTTAAATGCTATTCCGCTGTGTGATCTTGGAGATGGAGATTCTGAATCTATTGAACATTGAGCTACTTCAGAATCTAGTTTATTTGACTTATCTTTAACTGAAACTAAAAATAAATACCTTGTTAAATAATTATTAGTTAATGGTTATCACCAAAACAATAATAATATTACTATTTTTCATTTTATACTTAATCTCCAAGTAGGTGTATTTTGTTCCATATCCAGCATGAATAAATCATTATAAAATGTACTAGTTAAATCATCTTCTCCAAGTTCTTCATCATAAACACCACCAAATAAGTATGCTCGACTATGTCCAGAAATGGATGTACCAGATAAACTGCAACGGGCAGTTGGTAAAGAACCAGCTTGTTTCACTTTTGACCAGCGGCAATTTGAAAAATCTATATCACCTTCTATACAATAAATTCACAATATTTTTTATTATAAATGAGCTAATCATTAACAATTGGAAACAAAAATAAGAGCTGATACTGAGGATGGGTGCGGCCACTAATGATACATAGTTATTTAATTTATACCTGTAACCAACAATAAACTGTTGCAAAAAAAAAATTTAAGTGAATTCAGTTGCACATATTTGAAAGAACATATTTACGATTTTTATCTAAATTTGATTTTAAAACTTATATTTAACAAAAAAAATAATGTATCATATTTTTTTTTTTCTTAGTCAAGCATTTTCAAGCATTTCTGTTTAGTTTAAACATTTTATTCAAAGATTACCTTTTAAATAAAAATTATGTTTAGAAAATTGCAAAATTAGAATGTCCATACATGGCTCAAATGTTTTAAAAATTTTACCACATCTAATATCTAGAAAAAAACACATTTTTTGTTAAAATTTCAAGGCTCTATAAATATTTTTATATTAAAAAATAAATTTAAAACAAAAAAATAATTATTTTCGTAAAATGCCCTTCGTAAAATGTTCTTTTATGTATTTTTCATTTTGCTCAATTATTAAAAAAATATATGGACATACACAATGGGTGGGCTACTGTTGAAGGTGAGTGTAATTTTTTTATTTATTTATGTATATATAATAAACGGGGTAAACCCTATTCACACATTATACACATATATGTATGTATATATATACCACTAATAGATATATGAAATTACATATTTAGTAATGGTTTACTAACCATTTTAATAATTTTGTTTTATATTTGAGATTTGTTAACAATTATTTTTAAATTTATATTGTTCCTTTATAAATTGAATACTTTAATTAATTATTAATTATTAAAATAATTATTAATCAATAAATAGTATGCAAAATATAGATGATTTTTAAAAGTTTTAGTATAAAGAATATTTTTCTTAATATTTTAGTAAACATAACACTAATATCCATTTACAAGTTATAACAGTCTAAATTTTAAATTATTATAACCATGATAGTAGACTCAGAATTAGTTATAACTCACCAAAAATAAATCTTATATTGGTATTATGCATATCAACATTTTTAGAAATATATTCGTTATTTGAATATGTTTAAAAAGGGGAGTCCCTATTTCAAAATCAAAAATTTACTCATCCAAGATATAATGTGGAGGGGAATAATTAAAAAATAGTGTTCAAATAAAGCTTAAACAATTTTATGATTAAAGAAAAAACAATAGAAAACAAATTCACTTAAAATCCTTAAAAAAAAATCACTAATTTATGATAAATGAAATACTTTATATTGAAAAATATAAACTTACTTTCAGGAGTTAATATATACATATCAATTAAAATTGTTCCTTTGTCATAATCTTTTTTCATTTTTTCCTTAAAATAACCACCATATACAACAATTCTACCATCTTCCATAACAAACATCTGACATCCTGATCTAGGTGAAGGTGCTTGACCTATATTGAAATTTATTATAAGATTCTTAACTATAAAAATTTGAAAAAAAAATATTGATGGCCTTAAGGTAAAAGGGTGTGAGTGACATGTTTTTGAAACTCCTTTTTTTTTTTTTTATTATGGTATAAACGCCAGAAAAGAGCATCGATTGAAATATATTATATAAGATTATGGTGTTAAAGGCATTAACAGGAAAAAATTTTAAATATCAAAAATTGGCATAAGTGTCTTGATTTATCTTTGTTATTTGTTTTTTATATCATAAGCGACGACATTGTCGCTTCCTTTGTTATTATATTTTAGCTTTTTTTGTCACACTGTCGCTTAAATGGAATTTAGAAATGTAATACTAACATTTACATCATAAATGTAATATAAAAAATACACAGGTGATTCTTTAGCGTAAAATGTTATTAAAAAAAAATGTTTATGCATAAATTATAGTACTTGGCGTGGTAAATTTGATAAAATATTATATTGACAATTGATGAAATAATTTTTGTAAACAATTTGTTTTTGCTCTTCTGAACAATTTAATTTTTGGCTCAGAGCCGTCAATATCGAACAGAAAAATGTATTTACCAGATGTTTTGATAGTTTTCCATTTATAGTCTGCTAGACTGAATGCATATATGTCATTAAAATATTGATAGTTATGAGTATTATCCTGAAAACCTCCAAATAATACTAAATGTCGTTTACTAAGCACCATTCTATGGCCACTACGAGCACAAGGTCCTCCTTCAGCCCTTCAAAAAATAATTAAAATTACAACTTGAATAATATAAACTACTGACACAAGTGTATTTTGTATAATAAAAAAGGTATTAAATTACTTACACTATTTTGGTCCAATTTTTATTCTTCAGACCAAAAACCCATAAATCATTATAATGATAAAATTGATATTCTGAAGGACTAGCAAACTCTCCACCAAAAATCCATAACTGCCCATTATCAGCAGCAACACTGACTGCAGAATGAGATGATCTGGAAGGTGGTGCACCAGGAGCATCCACTAATGTCCATGTGTTATGATTTATATTATAAAATATTAAATCATTATACACAATAGTCTAAAAAAAAAATAATAATAATAAAGTAAAACTTAAAAAATTAATTAATGTATAAATTAGGGTACTTACATTTTTACCATTATGAAATTCTCCACCAAATAAAATAATTTCATCTTTATCAGGATGCATAACAAATGTAAAATTTGATCGTCTTGAAGGATACTCAATTTTTGTATCTATAACTTTAATTTTTGCTTTATTTTTTGCCTCAATATGAGCCACTATAATAGATACCTCTTGCTAGAGAAACAATAATTAACATTTCAAGTAATGTAAATATAATAACATAACAAAATAAATAAAACTTTTAAAAATTATTCAATAAATACATTTATTATTTTATGATCATTTAATATAGAAACCATTTTATAGGCATTAAATTTACCTCTCCAATTTTTCCAATATCCTTTTTAATCCTTTGGGCAATCTTTTTTTCTTTTTTAGCATTTGCTTTTTCAACTCGAGATGTGCCTTTTTTTTTATTTTTACCCATGGTGATGTCTTATATTCTATAAATATTTAACTAAGATATAATTCAAATTACATAATATAATATCCAATATTTTTTAAACGGTTATTTCTTTACAGCTATAGAAGTAAATAGTAATATTATTCATTAACATATTACAATAATGGTGTAATTGATCATCACTGATCAATTGCTATACTATAAAAAATAAAAATGGTTACCATATGTATGATTTGTAATACGCTAGTGTTCAATTAAACTAAAGGGATGATAATAAAAGACAGTGATAAACTAAATAACATACTTACTAAAATTATCTTCTCAGTTAAATGTTGTCTTATGAACACTATTTTTTAATTAAAGTAAATAAATGAATGAATGAATGCATCACCTGGAGTATTATTAGTGTATTATATGACCGGTTTCGAATTAAAAATTCATCATCAGGTATATCACAGTCAAAATGTAAAACGCGACTTTTACTTTATTTACGAGTACTAACCATTTTAATAATTTTGTTTTAACTTTATTATTTTATTACTTTTTTTATTACTAAGAAGTACCAACCTACCATATTTCCATATTTTTTTTTTTTTTTGAAGCCACCCTTGTCCCTTGTATTTAACAGTGATAATCATAAATTCATTATTAGTATTTGATTGTCTACTAACTATAATATTAACTATATCCATCTATATGGTAATTGGTAAAAACAATTTAAACAATTAATTTTAGCATTATAGGTATGGAGATCAGACATTCTCTATTTTGTAAGACATTACTCTTTTTTGATGCATAGTCCTATGACCTCAACAATAGAGTTAAGTACATAAAATTGTACTCTTTTTTTTGAAAATATTATAGGCTAATACATCTTTATGATGTTGTGTAATTTGATTATTCATTTATATTTTTATATTTTATGGTTTAACCTTATGTATCCCAAACATCTGCAAATGATTAACAACAGTAGCGACAGCTGAAGAACCACTGTTCGATGAAAAAAAAAAAAACGTTAACATCATAAGCACCAGAAATATATTAACAAAATTTTGTATTTATTTATTTAAATGTTTACCTTTAAAAATTAATTTAAATAAGTATACTTAAGGTTTATTAAAATTACTTAAATTTCTATGTATTTTTATCACAAAGACTATTACAAACTAAATGAGTGGACATTATAATTTCAAATAATTAGTTTTTATAGTTGATAATAAAAAAAATAATAACAAAATAATCAGATGAAAAAAAAATATATAGATGGAGATGAGCTATGGACAAAATGGGTAGAATAATATACACATTGGCCAATTCTTTCAAGGGAGGGAATTTTCTTAATGGAGGACATACATTTTTAAATATTACTTTTTTTTGGATTATTTGTCTGATCACCATATTTATCAACAAAATTTAAATTACATTTGTGTTTTAAATATATACTGAAAATGACCCAAAGTTATAAATTCCACTTAAAAGTACAATTAAGTTGGAAAATAAACCAACCAGAAAGTGGAATTAATATAAAGGAAGAGTGGTTCACATCTGGAAATCCAAATAAAAAATATTACTTTTGGTTGACAATGATGATGAAGAAAAGATAATAATGTTTGCAGCAAACAAGACTTCAATATTTATCCAAATTTAATATGAAAAATGGAAATTTTGCTTTGTCACCTACAGAGTTTATGTAACTTCATACAATTATCATATAAACTTAATGGTATTTAAAACACAATTTACTTATGGGTAAATAAGGAACTATTTAGAACTAAAATATTTTTCTAGATCCTAAATTCATACATGTGATTTTGAAAAAGCAGTTATAAATCAAATAAAAATAGTGAAAGGTGGATATGTTAGAAGTGAATGGTTATTTTAATCACTATATCCAAGCAACACATTATCGAAATCAAAAAATGGGATTATAACATGATTATAAATTGAATGAAGAATTTTCTTTATTTTGCCGATAGTTGGATACATCATATTTTTTACCAGTATTTGATATGACTGAAGGAATGATACACTTGAAATGTATAATTCCAGAAAATACTTTAACTGTCTAAGAATACTTAAATAATACATATGTTACTGGTACATTTAGACAAATTAATTTGGTAGAAGAAAATTGTATATTCTTATATTTAAGAAATTGTATAATATAATATTGTACTAATATAAAAGTATATAATTTGTTAACCATTATAATAGCATATACTATACTATGCGATTTATTATTATTAATTTATTTTAATTTGAAAATTTGATAGTTAATAGATATTTATAAATCTATACAAATAAACATCTTCTTCTTCTTTGCCTTCATCCCAAATATTTTAAGTTAGTCACCCTCGTTCTCTAGTTCCATTTGACCCAATCTCTAACTTTGTATACACCGGCTGTCCTCATATCCAAAGGCAGCACTAGGGCTAAATATTAGAGTGTGCCTATAAGTGATAATGATGGGTGAATTTAAATTTGTTTTATTGAATCATATAAACTGTTTATTCAAAGTAAAAAGGTAAACATAATTTAGTAAAATATATACTTGTTTTTTTTTTTAATTTTATAACAATAAGTATCTTTGGAATGGTATAATAGACTATTAAATTCTTCATTAATTTTTGAAATATAAAAAATGTGTAGTTAGTTCTTGTTCTCATTTAGATAATGAAACAAAATTAGAGCTAGTATGTAGTATTTCCTGTACATTACATAAGTGGGGGGGGGGTGATTCCAGTAGGCATATGGTATTTTTTCTGTAAGGTGAAGATAATCACTTTATAGTTAATGCTCCCATGTTATCTCTACCTGTCTTGTCTAAGAGGCAACAAATGAGGTTGCCAGGTTGACAGCCAGTGTAAATTCAATTAGACAACATGATTAGTTTTAACCAAGACTTGGGCAGATTGTCCTATCTTAGATGTGCGCGGTGACAACAGCTGAAAGGAGGTACCATGGTGCATGACGTTTGTAGATAATGTAGTTTTAATAGGAAATAATCTAGAATAATTTAATAGGCTTGAGGAATGTAGAGTAACACTCGAAGAAAAAAAACTAAAGATAAGTAGAAGTAAAACAGAATACGAGTTTGGTGAAACAGAATAAGACAGTTAATGATAAGAAGTAGTTTTAGGTGAGGTTAAGAGTAAGAGTTTTAAGTATTTTAAGATTTCAGGAGGATGTGAAGTATAATATTAGGTAAGTTGGATAAAGTAGAGAGAAGCATTAAGTGTATTATGTAATGAGAGAATTCTAATTAAGAGAGTAAAATTTAAGATCTACAGAAGTATGGGAAGGCTGATTGTTATATGGTTTAGAGTGTTGAATGGTGGATAGACAAATAGGGCAGAAAACGAGTGTAGCAGAGATAATTAAGAAAATGCTTAGGTGGATGAGTGAAGTGACAAGAGAATATAGAGTAAGGGATGAGTGTATAAAAAATAGCAGATAAGATTTGAACATGTTACATGAGAGAGAAACCTAAAATAGTTAGAATTGTAACAAAAATGCAAAAGGTGGGTGGATGCGATTGAGAATTGCATACGAAGTGGGAGAACGGATCAAGTGAATGTTTAAAATGAGAGTGGCCAACTTCAAATAGTTGGGATGAAGGCAAAGAAGAACGGAAAGAAGATACTGTTAGACAGAATTATACACAAGCTGTCGATCTTCAAAATCCTGCTCACAGGAAGAATGTTATTGTCAACCATAAAGTGATTCCTGACCTACAGAAATACCATAAGCCTATTGAAATTACACACCTATGATTAAACCTGTAATATATGCATTCTACTAAAGTATAAACATAGTATAAATTAAAAATATAAATTTTAAGTTTTTCAGATTATTTTATTTCTAGAATCCATCTACATCCACTATAGTATTATATTATACAGTATATCTAATACATACCTTTGGTTAGTTCACGTTCTAGGATTTATTTCAGTCTATAAAGTTTAATTATAAAAAATAAATCTGTATCTTGTACAGCGTAAATATAATAACAAACGATTTCAACAATATTTAACAAAACTTAAAGAAGAAAATAAAGGAAGCACGTTGTTTTGTTTATAGTGTTTACCCATACACTATAGATAAAGGAAATAATCTCTGAAAGGTAACTGTATCACATATTCTAAACCAGATAGTAAAAAAAAAACTGTTTATATCACTAATAAAATAAACGGTTCTTATCAGTACCTGCTTACTTGAAATAAACATCACAGTTGCTCTACCTTATGGATAGATAATTTATTTTTAGCAGTTGTTACTGTTAACTGCAACTACTCTTACCATTAATTAGGCATACAATGCTGCTATTAACTGTGACTGGTGACTACTATCAATTAGAGAAAATGTTGAAATATAATGTATTATATTATTATGTCCAAATTAAATCATTAAAATTTATATATATACTTTAAAATAGCCATCTTTAATAATAATAAGGTAACTGTGTCGTTTATTCTAAGTAGGCAGGTACTGATAAGAACCATTTATTTATTAGTGATATAAAAATGTTTACTGTCTGATTAGTGATTAAAATATGATTGTTTATAAGATAACACGAGCACTTAAATATTAATAATTAATATTTAACTTGAAATCACTAAACTTTGTTGGCTGCAGGGTGGAAATAAATACATACACTGGGGTTCAAAACAGAGGTTTAATGATAATTAATGTAAGCTAAAAAGAATAAATTCATATTTTAAATTCTAAGTGAAGCAAAAAAGCTTATGGTTTTACTAGGACACTATATGTTAATACTGTTTATAGGGGTCTAGGACACCTCGCTGTGACCGTCTCTAATAACCTCTCTAAAGTACAATCTAGATAACTTAAGCTTTCAGAAAAGATGCTACACGTAAAAATCGGAGCAAGTTTACTAGAAAAAAACGTATTCACAGACTAGAACAAAAAATGAAAAAAAGAAAAAAACATCTTACAAAAAACTTATACCTCCCTTGCTGCATTTAAAATCTAAAAACAAATATGTATAGTATTTTTATTTATTAAACATTTTTCGTATGTACATGTATTGTATCCATTTATAAGAGGTAATTTTTAATTTTGATACCAATTTTTAGTGTTCACATCCACTATTAGGAGTCTATTAAGAGGTTATAACTCCTATTATGTACATACATTTTTGCCGGGGAATTTAAAAGTATTCACTATTGAGAAGGGTCCACTATTAAGAGATGTCCATTAATAGAGGTTTCACTGTATAATAAATAGTTAGTATAAATTTAAATTATTTAGCCGAAAAAAACAAAATATTTTATTTTCACCCGGCATAGGCCATATCGGATGATATTACAATTTGAATTTCATACTTTTATTTTTTTTCGTCCGTATTCGGGTCTAGTTTGACTGTTAGCTCAATTAGTTCATCCTGTTCTACTTCTGATCAGAAATGTTCCAGTTGTGGAATCTATGCTCCTTAGTTATATTATTATGATACTCATCAATGATTTAAATGGGAATTTTTAATTCTAAACTAAACAATTTTTCCACTCTTGCCATTGTTAGTTTTTTTAGGACTTTACCATAACATCGTTGTATAGATCTGTCTAAGGGTCTATTTTCTCGTGGTTACTAATTTCCAATTCAGGACTTCTTTAGCAATTGTGTTAGATTTTAGTATATCTTAGCCAGCTTAGTTTTTGGCTCTAATTACCCCAATTATATTTGGTTCTCCGAAGGCGTTATATATTTCTTCATTTGATCTTATTTTATATCTTTGTGTTAAATTGTTTATTTTTGGTCCACATATCTACCTTAGAAACTTTCTAATGTTAATTTGTTATCATCCTCTATTGTTGGCCATGTTTCGCATGCATATGTTATGATCTTAAGTCGTTAGACTTGTTAAGACATTAGGTCTTTGTAATTTTTTCCTGTATTCAAATATTAATATTTATTACTTTGTTCAATTTTCTTTTTAGTGGGTCTTTTAAATAATTTAATGTTAAATAATTGTCTCTTTCTAATACACTTGTAATATCAGTTTAGCTCATCCGTCTCAAGCATAAGCTTAAAGGATGAGTTTGCAAATTTTTTATTTTATTTTGTATTTTACCTTGAACTTTGTTGTTGTAAAATAAATAAATAAAACGTTTTCCCACTCAAGCTTTATAGCTTGGCCTTTAGGTATAGGTAGGTGGGTAGGTGGTATACATGTTCAGGTAGTAGACAAACTCTTATTTATTGAATTAAAATTGAACAAACGGTGGTTCTTTTTCTTTTTTTAAAAATAAAATCGCTTAATATACCTATCTTAAACTTGCAATAATTTTGCAATATTCGAATTAACATTTCATTGCTATATTGTTCTTATTTTACTCATTAACCACACTTACTGTATTAAATGTCACGTGATTTTAGAATTAGTTAAGATAATATCTAGCCGTATGATAAAGCTTTTTCAATAGCTCATTGGGGCAATAGGGTGTATATCGAATAACCATTTAAATTAGTACGATTAGTTTCAAAAGAATGGTGCTCAATTCTCGACTCTTTAAGCTCACGAAATATCTAAGGGAAGCCAGGCACCGATTGAGAGTTGTTACTACCTATACCGTTTCCAGCTAAATTCTTAAGAGTACACCGGTTTGCGCATACGTGACTAAGCTTTGAGCCTATTTGATAGATCCGAAACAATTGCTGTCGATCGTACGCCGCGCGTTGTCATCGTCGCCACCACCGCCGTGTATATAGCGAGTCATAATAGGTGTGTTCCAGCACAGTGTTATTTTATGTTATAAACTTTCGGCGCAAGCGCAAGCTTAAAGACACGTTCCAGCAGAGCAAATTATTTACTTCTAATAAAATGTTATCTGTTCCATCTGCGCTGTAACATGTTGGGTGCGTTCGTGTAGCAGACTTAGACGGTTACGGTACTTATGCCGTCGCACCTTATACCTATACTGTTTCAGTCAAATTAACGGACAAGCTAGAAAAATTACGTTACTTAAAACGTATATTGTAGCGTTCATTCAAATTCAAACAGCATTTATGCGAGAAAATACGTATAAGCGGTAAGGCTGTCAAAACAAAATGTTATCGATATTTTGTTTTATACGTATGTCGTATACCGTATTGTGTATCCGTGCTGGCGAGGATGATAGGTGGGTGAGTGAATGAAGTGGTACAGATAACCGGGAATGGGAGCAAAAGCGCGAAAACAGACGTATTTTCGTCCGCCGCCAAGTATACTCTTAAGTTGGTCTTGGTCAAGGTATATTATGGCCCGGCAATCGAGTCATTAAAGGTATTCTAGGCCGAGAAGAGCTTGATCGACCACAATATCTTAAAGTACATACCTCCATAATTATTTTGGCGAAATAAAGCGGGATTTACAAAAACGTGCTTCAAAGTCAACCACCTCGTTCGGATTCACTACTACCAACATTTCCTTTTAAGCGCGCCTTTCAATTGTCTTCACTTCATGCATTTGTGCCTATTTATTACCTTTCCAAAGCCTATATAGGAATATTTACGCAATTTGAGAACCATTGAGCTCTCTTATCAAATGCTGTAGTTTTTTTCTATAGCAGAACGTACATTCTTTGTCCCGTACTCGTGGTTTTTCGATTTGTTTCTCTTATTTCCGTGATGCTTATTACTGTTTCCTAATGGTAATTTTATTATAAAAATATTATTAAATTATATCTATTTTCCTACTGTTAAATATATTATCCATTTTATCAAAATTCAATACAATTTTTAAAGATGTCTGACGATTTAGTTACATTTAACGTACGTTATGAAAAATCTCTATTTCAACTGAAAATAAAAACACCCGAAGATGTGCTTGGATTTGTCAAAAAACTGGTAATCTAAATTTTACAATCTTTCAACTCAATATATTATATCCATGGTTATATCCGTCAAATTTTAAATTTGTTTATTATTGATTTAAATATTTAACTGCGATTCGATTTGAATTATAGACAATTCTGTCACTCAAAATTGAGATATTAATCTTTTTTAAATGGTTCTTTTAATTATTTTATTAGATAATATTTTACAAAAAGCCATTTGGAACCATCTAAAATATTCTTATTATTTTAAGTTTTTTAGGTATTAAAGTATTTGTTTATTTAACCACTCAATTTTTTAATTGTTTATTTGTTCACAACACAAATGATTAATTTAAAAGAGACTTGTTAATAATTAGTTATAACTAGGGCCAGAAATATATGCACTAAAAACATATAAAATATGCATACATTTATGCACTGATTATCATTAAAATATGCAAACAAAAATGATTACAATAACTAGTCCTGACTGAATCATCTTAATCTAGAAGTGATTCGATTTTATAAGATAACATATTCCTTATGAACCATAGGTATTTGTGGAGAAAACCAATGAACAATAGTAAAACAAATGAGTTTGAAATACTTAGGTATTTAACTATAATGCAATGAAAAATCATAAAATAAAGAAATATACAGTAGCACCCTTGATTTCAATTTCTATACCGTAATATAAGATACAACCATCCAGATTGTCTTAGCAGAAATATGCAGTAAACATCAAAATATTTAAAAATATGCATTTTAAAACCATTTATATGCAATACAAATTTGTAAAATACTGACATATGACACATTAAAAATGACAAAATATACAAAATAAAACTTTGGTAAAACTTTTTCAGATCTATTAACTAAAATTTAAACTTGTAGCTTATCTAGCTATTTTTTGAACTGTTAAAATAAAACATTCAAATATATATAAATCAGGGCCCTAGTTATAACATTGCCACAAAATTAAAAACGAGTAATTTATTTATTTAAATATGTAAATGCCCTGAGAGCAGTGGTAAGAGAACAATAATTAGTACAAACAAATAAAGATGCAATATAAATGGGAAACATTAATATCCCCCATACTTGATTCAATTGTTTATTTAAAAAAAAAAATAATCAAAAGTTTTTTATATAAGGAACAAGATTTGGCTTTGGCATAATTTTATTTTAGTAAAATTTTTTTTTCTTTTTATCAAAAATGTGTTTTAGGTACATAAGAATGTAAAAAATATACATAAAAATAACATATAAAAAACAGTATGTAAGAGCACATTTTCAATGTCATATAAATGTCACATTAAATGTAGGCTATGTGTAATGCGATCAGTGTTCGTGTAGATAGCATATGACAAGAGTTTCAAAAATATAAACATCATTGTAAAACCAATACATTCAGAATTAAAAATACATTTAACCTTACCTTGTGTATAGTGTACGTATAAATACATTTTTCACTCAGAACCTAAAATACCTAAAAAAAATTTCTGTGAGACCTAACCTAACCTTATAGTTATGTATAGTATATACATCAAATTATCCTATATACTGTGGAACAGTATCCATACAACCAGAAATAAATCCTGTTTATACCACTGGTGAATAATAACGCATGTTTAATAAAGTATACCTAGTTTTATTCATTATTAATACTATTAAATTAATTGTATTTTTTAGAAAAATGAATTACAAGTAGAAGATGCTGATGAAATTATTTTGTTATATCCAACACCCGAAGGAAAAATGGTAAAATAAAAATGAATAATGTAAATTCATGTATAATTTAATATTTATTTAATGTTAATGTAAAACTTGCTGTACAGAATTTTAGTAGAAACTTGATAATCATAGTAATATATGAATACTTTTTATTTTATTTGTTATAGATGGAAATTAAGTCAGATGCCGATATTAACTTTTTAAAGGTATTTAAAATCATTAAATACGTTATTTAAATTATTACAATGATTATACATTAGACGATATTATACTGGTATAAGTAAAGATGCATATTTATTATTTTCCCTTAATTAATATAATTAAAACAAATACTTTATTAAAAAATTATATTATAGCTTTATTATATAGTATTATTTTATATTTCGATATTAAAAATTAAATGTACACTACAATTTTAAATTATTCAAAAAATTAATTAATTTAGTTTCTTATATAATAGGTTCTTTTTATTTTTTTGGTTACTATTACTGTGCCTAAATTAATTCTGTTTTATTTTATATTTTACTTGAACTATCTAAAGCTTACAGTCAAGTCCTATTGTTGTGTATACCCAAAAATAAATAATTCAGTAATAAGAAAATTATAATTTATCAAAAATATCCGAGAGTTTTTTCAGGAAGTTTAACGATTTGCATGGCAGTCTGTTGTTTAAAATGGCCAAATGTAAGCTATTGCCTGAATTGAGTTGTGTCGTATTTGTAGTTCATGCCTTTAATAAAATGACAACTAAATTATAACAATATATTTATATGGATCCTGTGTTGACTGTATTGATTAATTTAAGTTTAATTTGAACAGAAAGATTTGTTTGTACAGCATATAAAATTAATAACTAATATTTAATAGTTATATACATTACATAGTATTTTCTGAGTAATTTTTTGAGTATTCAGGTTTTGGTTGATAAAAAAAAAAATACAGCTTTTCTACAGTATTATCTCTATACATGTGTTCCTCTTGCACAAAACCCTATTAAAACAAAAAAACAAAAAATGAATATTGAGTTATTAACCTAAGGATTGACATTGTATACCAATATATGATTTTAAATCAATTTGTGTGGTTGGTTGAATACTAAACAATTTTAATGGTCAACACACAATGGTAAATTATTATATACAGTCAATAAGTTATGCAAACATATTTTGGAGTTTCCCGTAAAATCTAATGCTGACACTAAACATATGGCATAGTATAAAATATAACTATACAAATAAATGGTTATTTTATAAATATAAAAATATTTCACGAGTGTGTATGATGAAAATTGTATAAAGTTCAATGAGATTTAAAAATAGTTTTGCATCATACATATATTCCAAATAGAAATCTTCTTGAATTTTTGTTATAATGTCTATTCAAAATAAAACTTGCCTTCAACCTAAATAAATCATAATAGATTTTGAGTTAGGTGTAATGTATGTAATCAATTGATTTTTGAATGAAATCCAGATATTTTAATATTACTTATCTTGACTTGTTTATCTTATAAACATTGCTATCTGTACTACATTTTTTATTTTTTAACATTATTTGTCACAAATTTTACATGTATTATGTCAACATATGAAGTATGTTTTAATATATATATATATTATAATAGTTCATTTGTTGCGATGAACATTTTTACTACTCCTTTATACTAAAATTACAATTTTAATGGATTAACAAAAAAATCATCTTCTTTTTATGGACCTTTCAGGCCCACTGACAACACAACATACTGATTCAAGAATTTTCTGTTCAAGGTGTTAACCTACAAGATTTTGATGTAGACCCACCATTTCTCCTTCTCTCTAACCCTTAACGTTTTTTCTCCGTTCCTTAATCCCAATATTATTAGATCATCCTTTATTCTGTCTGCCCATCTTTGTCTGGGTCATCCTCTTGGTCTCTTTGTGTTTGGTTTCTACGCGGTTATTTGTTCAATTAATCCTTTTGATCTCCATTCATGGTCAGCCCAACTTATTCACACACTTTTCAAGGTTCCAACTATGTTAAGTTTGTTATATTGTTTTTCCAGATTTTTATTACTTCGTTTTATATTTTCTTTCATTGTTTCTCTTTGGGAGGAATATTTTTCTTAATATCTTTCTTTCGAACACTTCTAACTTTTTTCATTTGATGTTGTCGTGACCCAAGTACTGCTTGCATATTGGGTTACTGGTTTGACTAAAATATTATAATCTAAAGTTATTTTTAATTTTTCTTTTGATGATCAGTAAAATTGTGTAGAAGTTTATAATAAGTTGAATATTAAACAACCCTATTATTTGGTTTTATAAAATAGTTTAATATCATCAATTTTAAAATAATTTATAAGTTCACTAATTACACAAATAATCATAATATTCTTTTATTGTAGAAAACCAAAATGTGCTATGATGCTGTAAATAAACAAATTTATTGCAGTGCAGAACTTGTTGTAATTCTCCTTAAGAATCTTTCAGATGATTCAAGAGCTCAAATGATGGTAATATTAAACATATATAACGTATTTATAAACATATTATTCATCACAATTTTTATTTTAGATTTTATCTAAAAATGTGGATCAATTAGCATCTCAATTTACTGAACTATCACAGTCAATTGATGATAAACTCAAAAATAATGCAGCCAATATTCTAAAAGAAATTAAGTCAGTATTAATTTAAATATATTTAAAAATCTAGTTTTAAATTCTGAGTGGAACGAAAAAGTTATTAGTTTTACAATGTTTATTTATTTATTTTTTCTGTGGACAACTTTTTTACCAGCAATTTTGTTCAGATTTACAATGATAACACTTTTTATGTAAGGGAATTGGGGATTGAGGTGGTACTTTAGAGAGGTAATTTTTGATATTCCTAATAAATGGAAAAACATGAGAAAACTGGTAAAAGACAAAAATAAATACAATGTTAAACAACAAATATTATTAAAGAAAATGGTTAGTGTATATTTTTATATTTTACCATAATATGACATATATATTGCTGACAATGCAACACTATCAACCAAATTCCACTCAGAATCGTTTTTTTGGTTAGCAGTGGTTAATAATTGTTGATATACAGATATACATTAAATTCCTGCCTATATTCTGCCTTTCCAACTTCCCACTTGCAACAGTGGCTGTATTTGACCTCATTATCTTAAAGCAGACTTTTTTTTTTTTTAATTTAAATATAGTGTGATGTTGAAAAAATATTTATTTGTTATTATAGATGCTTGTTTTTTAAGAATGTGCAGTCTAGTGCTGATAATACACCAAAAATTTATAACTCAGGTATATTATTTGTGAGAAATGAATATTAGTATTTACCTATTTAATATTAAATTTACCTATTGTTAATTTAGAGGAACTACAAGATACTCTTAAACTGAAAAAACTAAAACCCGTTGTTTCACCAATACCAAAAATGGAGAAAGTAAAATTACCCAGTTTTATCGATGATGTAAAGTTTAAAGATTATTATTATTATTGTATTTATTAATAGACAGTTATTTATTATTAAATTATATTATTTTGGTTTTAAATATTACAGAAATTAACTAATGACTCAAATCAGCAAGAGAAATCAAGCACAACTATTGATATTGATACTTTGTTGGAAAAGTTGAAACAAGAAGGATTTTCCAACACTATACAAAATATAATAGCATTAAAGAGATTTGATCAAGATTATGAAAAAGTAGTAACTTATTTAAAATCAAATTCAGCTATATAAAATCAATTGGTTTATATTTATTTTCATAATTACATACAAATTATCTTTCTATATTTATAAACAAGATTTGCTTTCATTTATGGTACTCATTTTTTTTTTTTCTTAATTACAAACAAAAACTATGTTTGGTTAAACACTACTTTTTCATTATATTTATAATATACTTGATAAATTGATATAAAAACTTTTTATAAATTTATTTTAGTAATACAGGTATTTATTTTTTTTTTTATATTATCATATCGATAACTTTTTACTAGTATTGAAAACAGTAATATATGTTCACACCTTGGTTCCATCAGTGACAATTGTGAACCTAGATTTGGTTTGGTATTATATTTTTGTTTTATCCAAGTTCTTTAACATTCCTATTACATCCATCTTGTTCCTGTTCATCGTTATTTTTATAACACATTGTATAACTTGTTTAATTGTATGTATTTGAGAAGTAAATGTCTGCTGACTCTGCCATTGGCAAATACAATCAAATTTTATACAATTTAAAAAAATATAATAAAAATATTTTAATATGACATTACTTATTTATAATATCAAACTTTGTTGAAATTATATTATAAATTATTCTAAAAACTATTCTGTTTATATTTCTTTCTAAATTACAAATACAAAATAATGTAATTTGATAACAGTAATATTATAAAATATTTAGGCTGGGTTGCATATACGTTTATTAGTAATTTACAGAGCCTTTTTTTCACTATTGACCCATTAAAAAAATTGGCTTAGTGTTACGGAGACTGTAATTTCTTGGCAATTGGAACTGTACTTATAGGTCCAATTTTATGTTTTGAACTTTTACAGATTCGTTAATATTTAGTGTTAAGAATTATAATTTCTTTCTAAAACTATTTTATTTCCAGTTTCTGGGTCATTACTGTTGTACAGCTTGGTTGTATACCCCAATTTTTAAGTGTAGTGCCTTTTTTTAAGAGGAAATCGTTTTTGAGAGGTACTTTAGGGGAGGCCATTTTTCGATTTTCTCATCAAATGTAAAAAAACTGAAAAAAAAAACAGAAGAAATTGTCAACTGTAATACCAATACCAAAACCAAATAAACCAAAGACTCTAGCCACTTCTTACAGATTAATAAGTTTACTCCTAACTCTAGCTAAATTATTCGAAAAAAATAATACTCAAAAGAATTATACCTATAATGCAAACTAACAAAATGATCCTAAACTCTCAATTCGGTTTTAGAGCGAAACATTCCACTGTACACCGAATTCATAAATTGACAGACGAAATATCATCTTCCTTCGAAATGATACGATTTGACCAGGTGTTTTCCTGGATGTAGCGCAGTCATTCGATCGAGTGTGGCATGACGGCCTACTGTGCAAAATTTTTTTACCTGCAACATATTTCGAAAACCGCTCTTATTTAATCCGATATGAAAACTCATACTCATCATACTTGTGCATTAAAGCTGGTGTAGACACCGCAATACTTTGTGCTAGTAATGACCCTGACGAAACATCCAACATTCTACAAATCCACTTAGATTCCATTGTCAACTGGGCAACTAAGTGTTTAATAAAAATAAATCCAGATAAATCTGTTTATGTACCGTTTACTTTAAAAAGAACTAACCCTCCGCCTGTCTACTTACTAATGCGAATCTCATCCAATACTCAACCCATAAATCCTACCCGTCAACTCAAAAGAAAATACTGCAGAGATTTGTTAACCTAAAGTAACATATCACGTTGGGTTCCAGCAATGATTGGCCTCCTTCCTCATATCATTCACAGTTAAAATGTATATAAATTATTGTATTTAAAATTATCAAATTTGCTTATTGTGATATAATTATAGTATTATTGAATACAGATTGATACATTCTTTTTTTGAAAGAGAATTTGATTGGGAATAAGATACTTTAGGGAGCTCATTTCTTGATTTTCCCAGCAAACGTGAAAAAATGGGAAATATTAAACAAATATTAAAAAAAATATATAATGTGTACTTAATTATTTTACCATAATTGACATATATTGTTGATAAAGCATCACTACTAATTGAACTTGCTCAGAAAATCATTTTTAGTAAGCAATAGTTAATTGTAGCTTATACATACAAACTAATTTTCCCTCTATATCCTAACTTCCCAACTTTTCATCAACAATAGTGGCTGCACTCAATCATTATTTCCTAGGTCAGCTTTTTTTTCTTTTAAAAATGTTGAATATGGAGCTACAAATTTAATATGTTTAGATGAATTTTGAATAATTATGATTATCAAGTTTAAATTAAGTTGATACTTTTATTTAAAAGTATAAATTATTAAACATGTTTTTATAATTGTTCTTATTTCATTTAGATTAACTTAACTACATAACAAAATAATTAAATTTTTTTTTAAAATTATTATGTTTATTACTATGAATTATATGAATGTATATCAATATACTGTGATATATAATGGTATTTATAATAAATAATGTATTAAGGATACAAATTATAATCAATACATTTAACATAAATCCATTTATTTCTGTCGAAATAGGTAAGTACAATATTTTAACTATAAATTATCTTAAATCTAGAAAAAAATATATTTTCAAATAACTAACACCCTTTTTATATAATTTGTATACAATTAAGAATTTAAATACTTATTATTATATTATACCTTATTGAAAATCAAAATTACTATAATTCAAATTATATGAATACATGTCAATATTTTGTGATACATTATGTTCTTTATAATAAACAACGTACTGTGGATAAAATTCATAATCATTAAATTTTACATACACCATTCCGTTTGTTGATTTAGCCGTATCAAAATAATTAGAAATAATATCTAAACTATAATTAACTTTAACATCTTTAGTTCTTCGAACTAAAACTCGACAAATTATAAACGCACGTTCAATTGGCATTTCTAAAAATGTATAAAAGAAAAATGAATATATTAGGTATTTAATAATACAGCTTAAATACTTTCTACGCCAAACTCCTTTACCACTCAATGGATTTTCCTTCTTTTAGATAATCTAACTATTTTATAAGTATAATATCCAAACTAAATCTTAAACTATACCAAAATTAATAAAAAAAAATATATTATAGACAAAACATCTATTTATTCTAGCCTCGCAAGCTAAAATGTTGTAAGTAAAGATTTTTTTTTTTTTTATAAAAAAAAAAAAATTTCAAAAATGTATTTTGTATTTTCTTAAATCTATAAAACCTTTTAAGTAATTTATTTAAATTAATAAACATGCAGTTATTTGAATAATATTGCATTAGATAAATTAGACAAACAAATATTTAAAACATTCCATAAGAAATATTTCACTTTTTAATGCAGATTTGATAAGTTTTCCTATATATAATTTTACATGATGGAACACAATGGGATACAAATTAATATCTATAACATATTTTTAATAAATAATTATAATTTAAGATTCTAAATACAGAGACAATTTTTCTTTCTATAAATAATTGATATACTAAATATCTTGATCCAATAAAAAAAAGCCAAAAGATATTTTTGTTGAATTTTGGATCTAGTTGGTGCATTAAAGGAGACATTTTTAAAATTTCTAAGCAGTTTTGATAGTAATCTTGGAAAACAGATAAATAATATAAATCACGTGACGAGGCTTTACAGATTTAATTATTATATTTAAATTTATAAGATTTATGTGTTTTACCAAAAATTTTGCTTCAATCAAAAATAAAATGATATTATTTTTCAAGTAGTTTTTATAATAATTGGGAAAAAACATATGTTTTATTTGGTAAGTACTATACAGGGTGTCTCATAAAGATATATCCACTGTAATATCTTTTGAAATAATAAAGATAATCAAATCATGTTTTTTATATTGTAATTAATTTTGTATGCTATTTTTTACAAATATTTGTAGTCCTTATACCTATGAGTGATATATATATATAAAGCATAATTTGATAATCTTTATTGTTAATCTTTATAGATTTTACAATAGGTCTTTGTAGGACACTCTTTATAGATGTAAGTGTTTGACTTAACTGAAATGTTTGAAATTGTAATATCAAAATGCATTGTAAGCTTTACAAATTGGCAAAAAAAAAAAAAAAATTCTGTGATGTGTAATAATTTTTATGAGTATTTTGATATCAAATGTTGACGAAAATCAATATTTTAGCATTTCAAAACATATGTAACCCAACTTTGCTTAGAATCACATTTTGTTATAAATGATGTATTGTTGCTTATATTTTTAAATTAAATAATTATCTAACCTACATTCCCAACATGCTACCTACAACAATCAGTATCAAACTATTAGCTCTTTATTTTAGATTATCTCATTTGGCTAGTTATAAAATAATTAACTTTACAAACCGTTATTAAAATCACGTCTTGGTGGGATAAATGGTTCAGCATAATTAGGATCTGTAATATGATCCATGAGCCATTTTACTGCTACTTCTAGTCCTTGATTAAATGTATAAAATAATGATCGTTTAATAGCTTCTCTAGGAAATCCCATGTTTAGGAGTAAATGCATTACATTTTCATCATAATCTACTTCTACAGATGGTCCTAATTGAATATTAATAAATACATTTAAAAAATGTACAGGTTTAATTATTATAAATGCTTATTTAGTATGATGACAAATGTCATCAAATATAGTTTAGTATTACAAAAAAACATTATAAAACAAAATAATGAAGGAAATCAGTTTGTATACAGTGTCTCATGAAGATATACCAACTGAAATAACTCTGGAAATTATAAAGATAATCAAATTATATATTTTTTATTATTATAAAAATGAGGACTACAAATATTTAAACCTATTTATTTTTTTATATTTTGATAAAAAATAAAAAAAAAATAACTTTCTAATTAATTTTTATAATAGCTGCTTCATAGAGTTTATTCTTCTGAAAATTTTGACATACCAATTGTTTATTTTCACTAAATTCGTGACTTTTAATTGTTTTTTTAAAGTTTAAAGAAAAAAATTTACAATTTATGTGAATACAGCCTGTTACATAATGATAAGTACTTTTCTCTAAACTTTAAAAAATTATTAAAAATCATAAATTTAATGAATATCAAGTTGAAACATCAACATTTTCAGATGAATAATAAACTATAAAATGACTATCCTAGTTATTTTTAGTTTTTTTACTAAAACATAAATATATAAATATTTGTACTTATTTAATTTGACTATCTTTATTATCTCAGGAGATAATGCAATGGATATATCTTTGTGGGACACTGTACTTAAAATTATTTTATTTATATATATACACAATTTTTTAAACAAAATAAATTATGAACTTAGTAAAACATTATTTTAAAGAAATATCAACATGAATATCACGATTATTTTCTAAGAATATATCTTGCAACATTTTTCCTTTTCTATTTTGTAAATCTATAGTCCATTTCTCTACACTATTTTTTAATACCTAATAATTAGTACAAATAATTAAAATAACTTAAAAAATGTATAGTTTTTTGTATATCTACCTTGAGTACGTGATGCATATCTATTAGCATATAAGGGACAATATGAAAAACATACACCTTTCCCAAACCGACAACGATTTGTAAAACGCCAGTCCAAATTATTTTCAGCAATTGATAGAACATTTTTAGTAGCTGTAACGTGATATAATAACCATTCATTAACTGGTATTTTATCATTATTGAATTCCATTTCTTTTTTTCTTAATGTATATAATCCCCAAAGAAGTGGATTTTGTATTTTGTGAACACTAATGACCTGAATTAAAAAGTAGGTATGTATTTAATTTATTTACAAACAGTTATCATTAAAACTCACATCAAACAGATCATATAAGCGTCTAATTTCATCAACTTTGCACAATTCCGAACCAACTAACGGTTCAATTGAAAATGCATTCATGTTCTTTGCTATAAATAATGAAATATATTAAGTTTGAATTATTGTGTTTCTTAACTTTTAATTTAGAGTTAAATATTTAGTTAAACAATTAAAAATAAAAGCCAATTTAAACTTTAATAGTTTAAAAAAAATTATATTCTATAGTAATACCATTAATGGAATATTAATCACAGATTATTTTAAAACTATATCCATATTACTACTGTGCACCTCAAATAAAAGTCATGGTTACTTTACCATGATGATAAAGTTGATAGTTCAATGAAAAAGTAGGTATAATAAAAAAAATTTTATTCATTGACAAAGCCTTTCAGTTTTTAAAGATATTTAACATTATTTGATACCTAGGTAGTTAAATTTATTCACAGAAAATGGTTACATAACCTATATCTATATAAGTACTATTACATTAGTAGATATTTATTTTCAACTATAGTAAACCAATATAGAATTAGATTTATTAAATTAAAATACATTATAATTATTATTTATCTATATGCAGGTTGGTTAGGTTTTAATTTGCTATCAAATTAACATTTGATTTTGTTTTTAAAAAAACAAAGAATTAAAAGAAAACATTTTGAGTTTAGAAATGGCATAAAAATATTTTTTGTAAGTTAATAAATAATTAAATAAAAATAATTGATATAAGTGCCTACCCACCTAATTTTGAAAATCGTTTGACTGCAGGTAGGTTATTTATAAATTGAATACTGAAATATTTTCATTAGGTTTTGATATCAAATTATTGTACATGTATCAGCATCACAATTTAACAATCCACCATAACCGCAACTCTACATTTAGGGAATGTATGAATTATCATTACCAATGGTTAATCAATGACATTAACTAATTATTTACGAAAAACGCCAAGCAAAAATTCACAAAAGTGAGTAATTAAATATGATTAAACTTTAAAGTAGGTGCTAGGTATTATAATTTTAGAACTTCGATTTAATACATGGAACGATAAAAGCATAAAACCTCGTAACTTAATAGGTCTAACAATATTGCATTATATAGATATGATTAATTGTCTCCCATATATATTTATGTTTTCTATATAGAGAATTGGTAATTTTATTTTTACTCAAATGATAACGGGTTTTTTCGTACATTTTCGAATAATATAAGTTTTCTTTATCACATCATAAAATAGATAAAATACATGGACCACGATTTAAGATATACATAGACTAAGATATATCTTAGTCCGTAATCATATATATGTATAATTAATTGTTTTATTATATGATTAAACTTTAAAGTAGAGACTATAAATTATTTTTATTTATATATCTATGTGCGTGATAGAATTAAACTCGTTCCACAACTGTGGACACAATACTATAAAAAAAAAAATTAATTATAAAAATGATAGTTATTGTGCCATCTCTAGTATGGTAGTTGCTACATAAACTCTTTATCAAAAAATTGGTTGGTACAAACCAGTGTAAATTCCCTCTTGAAAATCAAACCGGTGTGAATTTGAGAAATTTATTGGAGTACTGGTGTTAAAGTTAACGACATCGGTTTAATTTTTTAGCACCATCACATGTATATGGTGCAAACTATTTACACCAGTTTTATTGCCTCTCATTTCCACCTCGAAATAATAAACGAACAGATAAATGATAAAAGAAATAATTTAATTGATAACAATTAATATCAAAACAAATTAATTTTTATTAAGTAATTAGTAGTGGGAAATGGGAAGTATAGTATACTGTATAGGTAATACCACGGTCTTAAATTATTAGGTCTGGCAACTTGGTAATAGAATCGTTGTTCTTAATGACCGAATAGGGAATAATGATGCACACATGTCACTATCTAGAGGATTAATGTTTATAATTATTATTTATTAAGCGGGGAACTCACTCTGCAGCAGACTGTAACATTGTAAAACCAATATATTTATGCCTTGTCTAAATCTAAAATCACGGATGATGGCTATACCGGCGCGGCTTTCCATGACAGAGGCGTCCATAAATATAAGTACACGTTGAGGTGTAGTTGACAATATTTCCTTGAAGAGATTACTATAGTGGGTATAGTAGGTAGATTTCTTGGGAAGTTGGTGAAAGTCCAGGTTACTGCTTATAGATATGAGCCATGGTAGGGTGATACTGGCTTCAGTTGTTAGTATGTTTTCTAGTTTTTTCGTACAAATTGTCGAATATGGAATTTGAGGAGGAATGGAGGCCTTGGAAGGTCTTGCCATACTGGCTGCATTTTTGGATGTTCGGTTAGACTATCTTATAGTTAAGGGAGGAATGCCTGCAGTACTGAGAATACTGTTGATGGGCCTAGAGCAAAAAGCGCCGATAGATATTCGAATCCCTGTGTTGTGTTTCAATATTTTGAGGTGAGAAGGTTTGGCTGTTTAGAAAAGGGGGTGTTCCGTAGTCGATCTTGGAAAGTATTAGGAATTTGTGAATTTTTAGTAGGGTTCTAGCCTGGGCTCCCCATGAGGTGTTTAAGAGTATTTTTATTATGTTGAACCTAGGATAACAAAATTGTTTAATATGTTGAATGTATGGGAGCCAGGTAGCTTTAGAGTCAAAGATTGCTCAAAGGATTTTTACTTGAGTTTTGTTCTTGATGGTGTGGTTGCCAATGTTTATTGATATGTTTTTATTTTTATTTTTTCGGCTGATTAGTATAATGCTTATTTTATTTGACGCGAATCAAAAGACAGACAAAACAGCCATAACAACTTTGTGCATTGGACAGGAACCCCTGATCATAGTTAGAATAGCTTGAGTTGTCCTGAAACATTTGCCCAAGAGTGTTGGCTACTTCTTTGGGAGAAGTTGTGAAAAAAGTGTCCTTGAGGAAGTGAATAATGTTCTGGTTGGTTTCTTTTATGAATTTGATTTTTTTCCATATAATTGAGGAGTCGGTTTAGTTATTTATACTGGATACATATTCTTTCCACGATGTGGATTTGCTGCTTTTTACCAGATATCTGGTTTGAGCCCTAGTTATTTTTAAATTAATGAAGTCTGCTTGAGAGAGGGTAGTTTGGAATATTTTGAAAGCTTTATTTTTGTTTTGAATGGATTTTTTGATTTCTTTATTCCACCTAACCTAACCCTATTGTAGTTTTGGGAATTTTAGTGATCATGGCAGTGAATACCCCTATGTCTGCTTCCACATTTTTAGGTGATGGGGAAAGGAACCTTGAGATTTTTTCTTCTATCAGGGAGGAGAAGAAATTCCAATTGGCTTTCTTAATTGACCAACAATATGGGTAGCCCAGATGAGTGTTATCAAAAGGGGAAATGTATTGATATTTTTATGGGTGTGTGGTCGCTACTGTTGTGTGTGTAAAGGAGGGTGCATCATTCTAATTTGTAGGATACACCGATTTCCGTCGTTGAATATCTATACTGGTTTAAAATAAAACCTAACTCAGATCAGTGTCACCACGAATAGGGAAAATAGGTCTTTATGAGAAATTATTGATTATAGATCGGCAATTTATTACTCTTCCGGTCTAAACTTTAAACTGTTATAAACAATAGCTAAAAATTATGGTAAAGATGTACGTTAATTTATTTCTCCTATATGGCCTTATTATTAAGGCTTACTTAAAAAATAAGAGACTAGAATGGGCTGTGGGTCATCCGATTCATACCATCACATTCATCTCATTTCACAAACTTTATATACAATGAGAAGAATTTTTGAGAAACTGTTGTCACTAATATCTCAGGAGTATCTTAATCATATCACTAATACCATACAACTCGCTTTAAAAATAATCTTTTTTTGTAGTTCAATAATTTGATAACATAAAATTAAAAATAGAATTATCTGTTGTGATAGCTAAATGTTATGGTTATATTATTTTATATTTGCTATTTTTGTTTACAACAATTAACAATTCCATATCTAAATGGCACGAGTAAGTGAGAACCAAACATATATAATGGCAGATTTTTTGATTATGAACCTGAAATTAATCGAAAATAAATTATTGTTGTCAAATGAAATAATAAATAACATAACTTTTTTATTAATGATACACCATTTTAACGTTTTTTTAATGTCATGAAGTCACACTCTGTTAATGATATAACGCACGCATTCTTTGGACAATCAAAAATCCTTCATTAATTTGTAGTCATTCAAGAGGAATGGATCTTCAGTATCTTTTGTAAATAAAATGACGCAACATTGAGATAATGAGTAACTTAAATTTTAAAAATATAAATTCAAGATACATAATAAAGAAGTAGGTATTTATATTTACCGCATTTGTTGTCGATTTTGGATTTAATGTCTTCTTGAATTTGTTATTCCAAAAAATAAAGCCATTATAGTATAAAAAATACTTGTAGGTGTATTATAATATAATATATAATATTAGTGTATATAAATTTAACTAAATATAATCAAATTTAATTTTAATAAAATGCTCGGAACATTCCAATCACATGATAACATAACACATAAATGTTAATTATGATACTATGATAGCTCTTATTATAATACTCTGGTAACTTTTATTTTTTAAAAAGCGAGATTTATGAGATTATTTCGGCACATTTTGTAAATATCACCATTGTCATCCACTTCACCCATACTAATCATTTCATACCACGTTTTTAAAACAACCTTTTATTCACGTCATTCATCTCATTTCATTCGCTGATATCATTTATCTAGAACACCTAAAATGCATGTTTTCATCTCATTTCATCTAATCTCATCACTTTCACTTATCAAAAACCGCTCCCCCCCAGAAGACATGACAAATTGAATTTGTATTGAGAAACTGAATGGAAAAAGGTCGAGGGATCAACCGATACAAAGATAGGAAGATATGGTTAAAACGGATATTACTGGATATCACAAGGAACAAAATTTAAAATAAAAAAAATTTAATAATATTAGCGTTAGAAAAATCCATCAAACATGGTGGGACACACTTTATTAGCTTATTATAAATTAAATTATCATTTAATATTACTATCTAAAATAGTTATAATACAACTAAAACTACCGTGTGACTATCTACTAGTGGCATTACCTAATACTTAAGTTGTGTTATACATGTGACCGATATCAAGTACTACAGATCATGTATCAAGCATGACAACATTTATTATTCATTAAAAATAATGATCTCTGTAATTACTTAAAAATTCAGACACCTAATCAAATCACACTAATTTTGATTTATTTCTTTCAAAATGTATCCACCATCAAAACCCTTTAATTAATTGTCCAGAGACATATCAAACGGACCTAGCCTATATTTATTTATCTAATATATATTTATATAATATATAAATGTCAATGAAATAAAGTATAGTCTATTGGGTGACACTACCGAGTACCTTTCGATTCTGTTATTTCTGCCAAAAAATATTGTCTTTATTGATTATTCCACTGTAAAAGATTACAAATATAAAATGTTTTTCAAATGAAAAAAAAAAATTGCAAGAATATTGTAATACCTATTAAAAATTAACTACATTTTAATTAAAAGGTAATTATGGAATACTCTGTAAACATCAATTTGTAATTTAATTGTAAATTTAGAGAGTTGCGTAGGATAGGTAAATTACTTATAAAAGAGAAATTTTCAATAATAAAAAAAATGAATGCTAATATAATCACTAAACTTTATTTAAAATATTTTATCTTTTATTTTTAACTTTTCTTTATAATTTTATATGACAAAACCTTAAAAATTATTATTTTGGACATAATGTTCTTAAACCTATCACAATACATAAACAATTTATATAAAAAAAAATATATCTTAATTATAATAGACATCACCATTGCTTCAAAACTATATAATTTATGCAGTTAACATTCTGTTTGATAAATGCCATTTAAATTTTAAATGGAATTTTTTCAAAAAATTACAGAAAATATAGCAAAATCTTCACATATTTAGCCATCTTTCAATATGTATTAAAAATTAAAATATGTTTTTTTTTTTCAATTAACATGAGTCTTAAGTTTAGTTAAATTATTACATTTTTGGTAATAATGATTGTTCACAGCAACTATATATTTGGTAAATAAATAAATAATTTATAAGGTAAATATATTTTTGGATATAAAATAGTTTCAAAAATAAAAATAATCCATAAATAACAAAATTAATATGTATAAATACTATGTAAGTCGTTATAAAAATAAACAATTATAATCACTATATTCTGAAATCAAATAATAGATTGTTTAAACCATGGATCAGTGCTGCTATGACTGAACATTGGATGGTAAAAAATTATTAGTTGTAACTTTAGGCAACAAAATAAATTAGAACACATATTGAAAGACAACTCAAAGTCTAATAAATATTTATCATCATATTCATTCCTAATACAAAATTAATTTAATTGTAACAAAAAATATAACAAATCAGAGACCAAAAAATTTACCAAAACTGAGATTATCAACTTGAGGCTATGTTATAATATAATTGAATTATTATTGCTCTAAGTTTAAAATATATATCTTCTTTTGTAAATACACAGCTCAATGGAAGCAAATTTAAAAACTGACTTAAGTTAATTGTTGCAACATTGGAATGTTGAATTAGGAATGAAGTTTGGTAAAACAAAAAAAAAAAAAAAATTAGCATTTAAGCATTCAACCGAATTAATTAATCTATTTTTTAATAAATTAATCATAAGTTATTATAAATTTAAGTACTTGGACTAAGCAATTATTTGTAAGCCCAGCTTATGGACATTTATCGTTATTCAGCTTTAACAAGATCATCGGTCGCAGCAGCCGAGGCAACCTCAGAAAATGACTGTTCTAAACATTGTTTTAATTCTTGATAGCTAACCACTAATATGGTTTTTTCATCACGTGAATACAAACAAATCTAAACAAATATATTATTAATTTCAAATAATGAAAAATAAAATTGATTATATTTATAGATATAACTAACTGTATCTGAAGATCCAGAATCAAGTTTGTTAAGTGTCTGTACTATATGAGACATATCTAACCATGGGCGTCCTTCTTCAGTCACTTGATGAAATAGATAGTCCCTGAATAATTTCAACATATATCGATCACCAGTTTCTGACCAAGCAGGATCCAAGTTAAACCTACAAATAAAATTTAATGGTTAAAAAAATTTAAATTATAAAATGAAATTTAAATAAATTCAATACTCTGGTCGTTCATTAATCGATCCAAGTTTCACCAATAATCTCAATAAACGCCCATTCTCCATTTCTTTGGATAGCTCGGTTTCTAAATTGTCTGAGTGATTTTGCACAGCATCCAATTGAGTATAAAATCTTGCACCAATCATAGGCATTAAGTCTGTAATATGCCGCCTTTGACTACCCAGTAAATACCTAGGAAAAATATTAAAAAACAATAATATCTAACGTTAAGTCTTGGTCATGAATTCAGAAATAAGACCTTATCAAATGACGAATATCACTACTATATGAGCGAGCCATTAGATCAATTGAAGTTAAAAGATTGTCTTGATGTACAGCTATCAGAGATCGACAAGCTAATGCTAATAAAAGTTTTCCAAAGTCTGACATATCTTCCTGCTAAAATTTTTAACTCACATCAGTATAATATTAATTTTAGCAAACAAGAACTTTAACTAACTTGAAAAGCAATAATATTTGGACTGGCCATGTCATTTAACAAAATATCCATTATGGCAACACAATTAATTCGCAATCTAGCTCTGGAGTTTACATTGCCGGTCACTAAAACCCTATTTAGACAAAGACTTCGTAATGCTAAACCAGATCCATGTATTACACGAAGTGCTCCACTAAGTTGAATTGTATAATTCCATAACGTATTTTCGGACAATAATCCATTACTGAAATAAAATAGTTTTTGTTTATTAAGATATGCTTAAAAATCATAGGGTAGAAGAAAACATCTTGAATAATATTTTTAAATCAGTTATGATCTGATGAAGTCTCACACTTCATTAGTTGGAAGTTCATTAGAAATAAGAAGAAAATAGGGATATACTTCACACTATGAGTGGACTACTGTTATAGGTGAGAAATAGGGAAGGTAGAGGGAAATTTGTGTGTACACAACAATTAATCATTGCTAAAAAAAAAAAAATTCTGAGCAGATTTCAATTATAAATGTTTTGCAAGGCTATATTTACAATTTTTTTAGTTATTACTAAGGTATTTCTAGGGTTTTCACATTTATTATGAAAACCCTTGTGAAAATCATCTGATCTTCATAAATAACCACCTCAGTTTAATTTCTTTTCAGAAAAGGTGCTACATTTAAAAATTTGAGTCAAATTTCTGGTAGAAAAATTGTTCACAAATGAAAAAAAATAAAATATTATTGTAAGATCAAAACATTCCTTGTTCCGCTCAGAATCTAAAATATTTAATAAATTTAGAAATATAAGTAATATATTAGTTGACTGACCTTTATATTTGTTTCAAATTTGTGTGATCGTGTTATGAAAAAAAACAATCAAATTATATTTTTTTTAAAAAAAATTACTAATAGGTAGGGGTAGTATATAGTGGTAAGGAAATATTGTAGCTATTAATTTGCACCTACGATGAAAATAGTGAGGTAGCAATTGCTAACCCTAGCTATCCTGTAATGAGGTCTATGATAATATCATTTTTACTATTTATAAGTTATAATTTTTTTAAAGTTTAGACCAGAGAAGTAAGGAATTAAATTATAAATTGATAACTCTTCCAATCTAAACAATAAACTGTTTTTTTCTCATAAACAGTAAAACTGATATCAATGTTATTTTAGTTTATACTTACACTGACATCAACTGTAATTTTTAGAATAAAAAAAAAAAAAAAAAATTCAGATACTAATTATAATAATAGTTAAACAAAACAAATATTGAAATTTAAATTAATAAACAAGTAAACTTATGTAAATATAAAGTAATAATAAAATAACAAAATTTAAAAGTGAAAATGATAACACATTATATTTGAATGTTTTAAACCAAGAATAATAAATTAAATATAGTTTTATAGCACTATAGAAGTAGATAAAATGACAAATTTAATAATATTAACTTAAACTCATTAAATATACATTCATATATTATGTAATAACATATTTTTTTAAACATTAGTATTAATTATTGTTACAAAAATAAATATAACAATTTGTACAATCCACCTAGTCTTAATATAAATTCTGTCAGTACCCTGTAGTTAAAGAGCATTTTAATTTACAACAGTGGAAACATTATAAGTGCACGATAATACGTGTCATGGGCTAATCACAGCAATTTCCGCAGTACCCGTACTAACAATGCAGTGGGAAGATTATCACACGCGTATTGCCAAAATTAGTTTGTTTAATTAGGAAAAATGGGCGTCACAAATTTTCGTTTTCTTGCAACTTTCTTCTTAAAATGAATGAACAATTTGTGTATCAGACTATCGAATGTTACTCTGATATTGATGATATTGTTTATCGTGCTAGAATAAGTTGTTCTCGTTCTCTTTTGACGAAAAAGGCGATTGAAGACATTCGTTCAAAAATCAATTGAATTCTGTTACGGAAACAGAAAACTGTTGCACGAAAAATGAAAATCAACACATGATCGGTTTCTCACATAATTTGAAATGATTTAGGTATACGTGCATACAAGCGATGTACAAGCAATTTGTTGAAGGACCAATTAAAAAAAATAAGACTCAAAACATCAAAAAAGCAGATAGACTCAAAAAAATTTAAAACATTTTTATTCACAGATGAAAAAATATTCATCGTTGAAGAAAAATACAACAAGCAGAATGATAGGGTATATGCAGTCATTATTAGAGGCCAAAGAAAAGGTTTTGCCCGTTCAACGAGGCAACCATCCTGTTCAAGTTATGGTTTGGTAGGGTATGGCATGGCATGGTTACACAAATTAATTTCTGTGAGAAAGGGTTTAAAACTGGTGTTTGTTTATCAGAATAGTGTCATAAAGTCTTTAATGAAACCTCTTAATGATTCATTCTTCAAATTAATTGATTGGGTTTTATAATAGAATTCAAATTGATTAATATATATATATATATACACGATTCGAATTGTAATTATGTACACTTTCTAAATATATATACAGAATTTTCGTACGATGGGACAAATATATTGTTGACAAAGTACCTCTGTCAACTGAACACTACTCAGAATCGATTTTTCATTAGCAATGGTTTATTGTTGCTTACAGATATATATTAAATTCCATTCTGTATCCTTCCTTTCCAACTTCTCAATGGCTGGACCTTTGCCCATTATCTAAGGACATCTTTTGTTTGTTTATTATGATTTGGTTAATAATTTTTGTAGACTTAAAATTAGCAAAGACCTTATCTAGACATGGTAAAATGTCCAAAACATTTTAACCATTTTTGAGCTATTTATAAATATTTACATTATGCAAGTTTTTTGCATAATTTATATTCAGCAGGTACAATATGGATAAAATTGTTAGAACAAATGGAAATGCTTGAAAATTTGACAGAAGGATTGTTACTTTAGGGTAAAAAAAAAGATAATGAAATAAAAATAGTGTAATGTAGAATAAATTTGTAATAAGAAATTAAATATCAAATTTTGATGAAAATTGTAAATATTACGGCCTTTCAAAACATGTACAATTTATAGTTTTATAGAATAAAGTCGACCTGTTTCAAATAAAATAATGAATAAACAATTAATATTTTTATAGAACATACCTAACAATATTCCCAGGAAGTACAAAACTCTAGTAATAAAATTAAAATATATAAATATATTTGAAAGTAATGTTGCTTACATCCTTTTACAGAACACTACTTTATAATTTGTTGATTTATGACAAATGTTTAAAATATCTAACTGAACTCAATGAGAAAATTTGAAGGAAAAGCATTATTAAATTTATACATTATACTTTTGTTTTATTAATTTCATAGTTATTGTATTAATAATACTAGTATTAGTAATACTGTATTATTATACTGATGACTCAACATAAAACTTAATTAAAACTTGTTATAATTAACATTATTATCATTACTAATTAGTATTTACCTATGCTGATGTCGTAAAATAGCATTTTTTGTGTGACTATAAGGTCGCGGTGCATTTGGATCTGAACTAAATGGATCATTATAACCATTCAACGTTTCATGAGAATTGAAATGTCGTGTTTGTAAGGACTCAGAATCGGGATGATAATTATAAATAAATATTAAGGCTGAAAAAATCAAAATAAAATTAATTTTTAAATAAATTATAAGTAACAAAGTTATAACGATACAAGTTACTCACAACTGTCATTAAAAGCTTTTGTTATAAATATATCCTTTAATTGAACTATATTTGGGTGATTGATCTTTTTCCAAGCTTCAATTAATGGAGCATATTTTGTGATTGTTTGTCGAAAACCTGTAATACACACAATTCAATGTTATTTCATTTTGATAATAAAATATTAAGAGTACAATCTTAAAATAGTAAAATCATGTAAGCTTTAAGCTTAAATCTCACAAAAACTTTTGCATTCATAAAATGATATTTGATTATTGAATTTTACCATGAATTCGTTTTAAACAACATTTCTCTCCTGTTTTGGAATGTGTTGCTCGATAAGTAGATGTACTATATGTCAATATTTTAGAAGAGTGACCAAATATATCTAAAGGATAAACATCATGATAATCTTCAACATTTTCTGGTAAATCTAAAATAAATGTCAATAAGAAAAACGTTAAATTTATATAAAACTATGTTGTTATTATTTTCATATTATATTATCACCATAAGGCAATGATTTAAGAGTCTATTATAAATTATGCATAAAACTTAAGCATATACAAATAAATATCAAAAATATAAACTTGTGATTTTCACTAATAAATAAGTAGACCGAAATTATAAGATTAAATAAAATAAGTATCATTACTATTTACTACTATGCAATTAAAAATATTATGTACCTGGCCATCTATCTGAATCAGGTGAAGCCATAGACAATGCATTTCTATGCAACAAATCTCTTCTTAAGTCATCCTGGGCATATAGTGAAGCAGTTGGTGATTCAACAGACGGCATTGACAAATATCCAGAGGGATCATCAAAAACGTTACCATTTGGTTGATTAGTACCATTAGAGTCTGGTGGATAGAAATATGTTGTACCATTGACATTTTTCTATTACAGATTAAATAATAATAATAATATATTTATAATTTACTATACAGTAATGATTAATACATATTTTTCAAATATTAAAAAACTAATATAAATAATTATAAAATAATACTATCTACCTGATATGCTTGTATAGGCTGAGATTTGTCTTTAGTGTATATTGAAGAACCATCAGGAATATTTAATGAACTAACTAGATTTCTAGGTACGAAATCAACAGTTGGTATAGATGTCTGAAAATTGTCAACTGCCTATCACAACATGTGCATAATTGCGAACATTTTTAATTTTTATATTCTGTGTTTATAATCAAATTAACGTAGTGCTTTAAAACAAATGTATTTATGATAACATCTATTAAAAATATAAGTGTATCTTAGAGTATATAATATGTATAGAGGCAGTGATCTATGTATGGCGAACACAATTGAATAATTTTAATGTGACCAATGAACTAAGAACCAAAATGAACTATAAATAAATACATTTTAAACCTAAAAACTAATAAAGATATTGGTGTTCCTTAATTATTGACTTTGAGTCAATAAAATATTGCTAAGGTTACATTGGTATTGATGCAATTAATAAAGTCCATCATACAACAAACTCTATGTATCATTTACTCTAAGAATACTAATTCAAAATATAGCAAATTAGTAGAATTAGATAAAATATATTTTAAATATGTATTAACTAACCTTTTTCATAGATACAGATGATTGGTTAATTTCTAAATTTGAAAAACTTTTTGATAATGATTGAAACAATGTTGTCTGTGGAGATATATTATTTTGACGTTTCTATAAAAAAAAATTATTAAAATGATACTTTCAAGCATAAAAAATATGTAGTTGGTAAATGTACCTATACTAAGTCAACATTCATACAAATAATTAAATTATAATTAGGAATAAAATAATTTAAGGACAATAGAAATAAAAGTTTTATTTGGAAAACAAAATTTAAATTCTCCATGAAGTGTTAGTTACAGTTTAAATAGTAATTATTTATTATGTAGTTTAAGAATATTCAACACCCAACATTTTCTGTACCTATACATGCAATATATAGTCATATTTTAGTTCAAATTTTAAGGGTCACAAACAAATTTGCTTGGAATGATATTAAGTAGGAATATTTTTTTGGCAAAAAGGTAATAAAAGGTAAAAATCGATAAGACATTTGCTAGGTATGTGACAAGTGATAACATTTTTATAGAAATATATACATGAATATTAAATATAGTTAAAAGTCAAATACTTTGAGATTTAAAGTATGTGAAAATACATGGCTAATTAATAAAATATTAGTACATTGAGTATTGTAAATTTAAATATTGTACAGATACAGAACTATCAGATAATTTTATGTTTTATTTACATTGATTTTATAACAGTGTATTTTAAATGTGATTATGGAATAAATGATGATGTGCCAACGGTTTGTTTTGTTATCAAACTATTTATTCTTGTTTTCAATAAAATATTGATCCTAACAAATATTAAAATACTTTCCTGATTTTAATAGACCCCCCAAAATTTTACATGTTACATGTAACAATTAATCTAGTGATAAGATATAATTTTTGAAAATATGTTCAAGTTATCTAAATACCTGTTTATGATCAATTTTGCCAAACAATAAGATGCTTTAATTTTATATACAAAAAATAAAAATGTCTTAAGTTGCGAGAAAAAATAATTATAATGAAATTATAAATGTAATCTAATGAACCTGCATTATTATTTGATAACAAAATAAAACCTTAGTAAAAGTTTACCTTTTAACAACCTTAGTTGTTGTATCATTAGATTAAGCTTGACATTAAAACTAAAATTAAATTAAAAAATAATTCTAAGTTATAGACATAATGACAAATTATTAATACTAACAAATTAGGTGAAGATTAATCAAAGTTGGATAAATAAGAACAATTTTCTCCTAAGAAACCTTAGTAAAATTAGTAATAAATGTCTACAAATTAATGTACCTAGTTTTTAGATTAACTATTTGAATGTATTAATTAATTATTATTAAATTAGTAGTATAACTTCATGTCATACTCAACAATACTTCATGGTTTAATAAACTTGATAATTAACTACACATTTGTCTTTCCTTTACTTTAGAAAATTGAGGTCAAATTTTATTTTTCTTGTGAAAAAGTAGGTGGGTAGTATTTAGGTAGGTATACCATAAAAATCTTTTAAAATATATAAACCTAACATTTGAATAAATATTGATACATACAATTGTTTTATATCATACATACCATATAAGTAGCAAGTTTTGATTCTTCGGGGGGGGCATTCTGAAGTAAATTGTATTGTGTTACTAGAGCCATTGGATCCATTTTTGATCATATGTCTTCTCACCTAAAAAAGAAAAATAAGAAGTATCAAAATAACACATTTCAAATTAATAACATGAAACATTACAATTAGGTCTTTAAAATCTTACAAAATAATTGTAATAAAACTGCAAGGAAAACTTGTAATAATCTTCACCTGTTGGAATGTTGGTAAAAAGGCAATAATCCTTTATTTAAAAATTCTCTCAGGTATTTTAAATAATATTGCCTAGATCAGGCCAATCTGTGTTTACAAACATGAAGTTACCAATTCCTATTTAAGGAAAATAAAATACAAATATTTCAAATACACTCACTTAAGACAAATATCTCGGAAGTCCAAAAGTCACAGGTTTATGTTAGTTATTGCATTACTTTTGTTTCAAATAAAAATGGGAATTTCATTTAGATGGATGTAGATGGTTAATCAACCGATTCTATTTGACTAATTAAGAAACAAGTATTAGGTAATAGAAATGATTATCACAGACTATAGAATGGCAAATCATTTTTGGTACAGTGGCAAATATAAAGCTAACTATTCATTAATTGATTAAAAAACTCGAAACGCATTAACGAATATTCTATTAGTACACTAATACGATCACTGAGATCAAACAATTTTTCAGTAGGTACCTAATATGTGCGCGTTAACACACTACACAGCTGCTGTTTGATGTTTCTTCGTCTCCTTCGTCATCGAATGGTGTGATATTATTTTGTTCGTTCTTTCTTTTAAAAGTGCACTTTGTATATGGAATTATACATTATTTATTATTATTATATTCTCCTCCGCGCCAACAGCTGCAAAACATTATATTACCTATATTTCTTTAAGCAGTAGGAACTTGCACTACTTTGTTATTGTTTTCTTCGCAGTTTGCACTTAGAAATTGACTCATGGAAGAAAAAATATGTGATAATATGGTTTAACTAGTGACTATTGTCCATCAGACATTAGTTAGACTCGTCATTTCTCAATTGAAAATTACAATTTATAATGAAAAGGTTTTGATGAAGAGCGCGACTTTTAAGCTGAAAATCGATATTTTAAATTTAATCCGTTTATTCATTTTAGATTCTGAGTAGAGTGAAGAAACTTATTGTTATACAAAGATGTTTATTTTTTTTTCTCCGTGGACAACTTTAACCAGCAATTTTGCGCCAACTTATAATGATAGCAATGTTTCTAAAAGAAAATTCACTGAGGAGGTACTTTACATAGGTTGTTTTTCCCCAGTTTTTTTAACAAATGTGAAATACCGAAAAAAAACCTGGGAAATCGGAACAACATTAAACAAATATTATTAAAGCAAATATATAGAGACTACTTAAGTATTTTACTTTAATATGGTACATATATTGTTGGAAAAACATTACTGAAACTTCGCTCAGAATCTTTTTTTCATAAACAATAGTGTTTATTGTTGCTTTCAGATAAACATTAAATTATCTATAACAGTAGCTGCACTCGTCATTATTCTAGGACGTCTTTTTTTTACAGCTTAGATTATCTAGCAATAACACATTTCTACTAGGGAGATCAAAACAATTAATTTGTTATTCTGTGTTACTCTTCAAATTACTAAACTATAGATTTTATTAGATGGTAATGTTTCTAAATGTAAATATTTTGTTATGTAACATTCAGGATAAGAGGGTACAATAAACAAAATAAATACCAATTAATATAAATAACAGAAAAAAACTATTTACTAAATAGGCACATTCTGTATAAAAATTTACGAGACAAGAATTAGAACAGTTATTTTGAATTGTTCAGACAATTCAGAGATATGCGATTCTTATACAATAAGTTTCACATTAAATTAGGGATATCACATAAATATGGAAAATCATTCAGTTTGTATACAATTATCCAAAATGATTCATTGTTAATGGAAAATTTGAACCTTATTGGGCAAAATAAATAAAATGTGGACTATTTTTTTTAAAAATATACTTATATATTTATACATAAATAATTAATTTATTCATTCTAAAAATCGTTAAAACATGGATGCTGAATGTTTTACAGTAAATATATTGGATAAAATAAATATTAATTAAAAACATTTAACAAGAATATATGTTAATATATTATGAACAATACATACAATATTAATATTAACAAACAATATAAAAATTATCAATACGTTTTATTAATATTATAGTAATACTAGTTAGTATATTTATACATAAATACATTTTGAAAATGTTGTTCTTTAGGTAATATACATTCGTATTAAAATAGTTGCATATGAAGTTCGTATATCAGAAATTAAGCAACAAAAAATAAGTTTAAGTGGTTTATGAAACTGCCCAGTCTTTTATCCGATCACCTAATGCTTTCATAGACTGTAAGGTTTTTGATTTATGTTTAATTTTACATAGCTCAAGAGAAAATTCAGCACATCTGTGTTCAAACACATCTTTATTATCAATGATATTATGCATCTTATTATTTATGAATGTTGTAAACATTGCTGTTTCTGTAAACCATTCCAAGAAATTTCGATGAGCACTATTAATACCCGCATCAATGAATAATTGTTTCTAAAACATAATTATAATTTATATAAAGGCTATACAGTTTATTATAGTAAAATTAACAACTGTTTATTAGATATTGGTATATTATTAGAAGAAAGTCTATTAAAATAATGAACAAGTAAAACGGAAGGATACTACTCATAGTCTATTAACTATGTGCAACAATAATTAATCATTGTAAACACTTTTATTACATTTCTGAGTAAAATTTGTTGATAATTTTAAATTGAAAATTGTATTTATTTCCAATTATAAAATAAATTACCATTGTTTGTGTTTTTAAAATTAGATAAAAAAATTAAGATATTCCACTCTACTTTTTTTCCTTGAATACTAAGTACAACTAATGGAGAACCTTGTATCAATTTTTTTTAAATTTTTAAACATACAATGTTTATTCACATAAAATAACCAACAAATTTTAAATCTACCTTAGAAATCTAACCAATAATCAAAGAATGCCAACTTTATATCAGGAACAAGAAAATAATTTAATAATTATACCTGAAATTGGTAATGTTTGTTTTCTGGATCTAATATGATGAAAGTCTTATAGTGGCCAATTAGCTCAACATACATCCGTACAAGAGATTCTGAAGCAAGAATTGCTTTTGTTGAATGATCTAATTCTACTTTTAAACCAATTACACTTTTTAAACCTTTCGAGATTCTTGATGGAATGACACTGTATTCATCTTTTACTTTACGTAATGATTTATTTATATCCAAATCAAAAATAAAAACCTAATTATAAATAAAAATTATTTTTAATTTAATAACAAGATGTTTATAAATAATACAATGTTTTACTTGATCTTTTTCGCTTAATTGCGAAAATATATCGGATTGATTTTCTGTTTTTAATAAACCAATGATGTAAGGTGTAGGAGCTTGAACAAAATCAGCTACAGATACCATTTGAGAAGGGAGAACTGATATAAGAGTATGTTGCCAAGTAAAAGGGTACAAAGAAGTTATAAGCCCTTCAATACAACTCGATAACAAACTAAAATATAAATTGAAAAAAAAAAATTATTCAATTGATATTTATTTTACATAGCAATAACAGCATATCTAATTATTTATAATTCAAATTTGTTATTTTTGTTTGAAAATTATTTAACATAGGTATATAATTTATATAAGATTGATAATTCTAATAATTCATTTTTTGTATATTTTGAAATACTTCAAATTTTATCATTTAAAATGTTTGTAAACAATCTGTGCACTTTTAGTTTTTTTTTGAAGGTTGAACTAGTATTTTATATTTTTAAAAAATATGTACTTTTCTCTTATTAGATACACATGAATTGGAAAATACACTCAACTCAATTTCATAAATCAAAACTCCTACAACTCTACTGTCAGACACTTTAGAGCCAAAAGGAGCATTTACAAAATCATTTTAACAGTATATTATAGATGCTTTACTCAGTTAAAATTTGTTTATTTAAATAAAATTTAAATTTAAATTTTAAATTATTTAAAATTATTTAAATTATTATTAACTCAATAATTAATTGAAATATATAGTAATCACTATTTAAAATGTTTACAAAATTGTAAACATTTATCCAATAAGAAAATATAAAATAATTTAAATACAAGAAGTACGAGCGCATACATGTTATTTGCAGTTACTAATTATAATTAAGGAACATATATGACCACCTTCTTCTCCTTTAATTTCATCCCAATTATTTGGAGTTGGCCATGCTTTTTCTAAACAACTACTTGAGCAGCTTTCCCCCCTGGTAAACATTGACAACTATATTTTCATTAGATTTCAAAGATTACTGCTTCAGATTCCTCTCCCCATGACTGGTTCAAACAATCTCGGTCTATTTTTTCTCATTTTGTCTACTATCAAATCTACACCTAACTTACCTTTTATGTACTCATTCATTATCATATGTTTTCTCATCACTTTACTTATCCATCTAAGCATTTTTATCTCTACTACACTCATTCATAGTTATATTTTTCTGTCTACCACTCAACACACCAAACTATACGTCATAGTAAGTCCTACCACACAATCTTATATTTAACATGTTCATGAAAGCCACTGTTCTTTTATACAAAAGATCTAAGGTACTTAATACTCTCAATTTTATTTATAACTGTCTTGTTCTGTTCCTCCAAACTCATTCTCTGTTTTAATTCTACTTATCCTTGGTCCTTTTCCATTAAATGCTACTCTCTATTTCTCAAGTTTATTGTTAACTTATTCCAGATTTTCTCCTATCAAAACTATATCATTTGCAAAACATCATGCATCATGGTACTCCCTCTCACCTGTTGTTCCCACACCCATCCGAGATGAGACAGTCTGCCAAGTTCAAACGTCTCATACTTTTACAAATTTTACTTTGGCTATCAATTTGACACAACCTTATTTATCATCTTTTACAACAGGTAGATGTACCGTGAGAGTATTTTAACACTATCCCATAGGGAGTAACATAATATAGCAATAATTTATTATATTTCTAAAATAGAATTAGGTATAATAATAAACATATAACTAAATAAATATAATAAATATTTAATTACTTAATAAACAGATTATTACCTAATTGATTTGCTGAGAAGTATTAATTTTCTTTCTAATAACATTGTTGCTAATATTTGTATAAATGTGTTTGGTTTGATAATTTGTAAAAGTTTTAACAGATCATCCTGTTCTTGTCGAATATCAAATGGTCTTCGAAGTTCTCCTTCATTTGAAGAACTTAAAAAAATATAAAACTTTAATAATAATTATATAAAATTTAGAAAAAAAAATCAGTTTATTATGAGTGTTTTGTACATTGTTACAAAGCTCCTTGTACAACATAGTGTTAGTATTATCCACACACAACCAAATAAAACTAATAAACCAATATTAATAAGAATTATTTAAACTTAAATTTCATGATAACTGCGTGAACATACTTAGTTCAGATCTTCAAATTTTAGATAAGTTCCTAATACAATAGAGGCTCACCACAAATTCCAGTAAAACCAAAACCACAGTTTTCTATCTAAATAATAAAATAGCAGACTATAACCTGGAAATTACCTACTGAGAAACTAGGTTAAAGAATGTACTTCACCCAAAATATCTAGGTGTCACTCTGGATAGGACACTAACTTTTAAAACCCACTTAACCAAAGCTGCGTCTAAGATTAATTCCACATCAACATAATTCAAAAATTGACAGGTACAGATTGGGGCGCTGACTTCATAACATTGAAAACTTTCACTATTGCCTTAGTCTACTCTGTTGTTGAATACTGTTCTTTGATTTAGTTAAATATTACACATGCCAAGAAGGTGGATATCAAACTCAATCAAAACATGTGTATTATATCGGGCATAATCAAGACTACCCGTTCTCAGTGCCATCATCCCATTATCAGTAAATAGCGTGACTTAAATTATGGTCAAAACTCGGTAATAATACCGCCCATCCAATCCATGAACATTATAAATTCTGTAATAACCTACACATACGCCAACTTAAGTCACGCAAACCTATGTGGGAAACTGCTATTAAACCCAACACTCCTAAATATGACACAGTATAATGCTGAAAAGATGAATGGGAAAAATCAAAACTAATTAACTCTTCCATCATTAAGAGTTCTTCAAGCAAACAAATTAGCTTCAACTTACCACAGAGAATCTGGATAACCTTTAACCCGATTATGCACAAGTCATGGAAGAGTGGTGCACTATGCTGCCACACAAATGATACTTCACTACTCTCCTCGCACCTAAACTTATAATTGGAATATCTCGTTAACAGGTTGACAGAAATCAAAAATGTTGTCATCAACATTTATTTAAAGTAATACTTCATCTATTTATAACATTTTTAATATAAGTTCTCATTCGGCAAACCCAAGGTGGTATAGCCACAGGATACTCATTAAATGTTGTGAAAAATTTACGTATTTGAAAATATCGGGTTTAATTACACTTAAAAATTCCAAAAATCAGAATTTAAATATATGCAAAATTTAACAAAAAAAAAATAAAATGGAGTGAGCACAGTGAATCACCCTATATATATATAGTAGAATCTGCTTAATGGGAAAAAATTAGCAGTCTTGAACGAATGTGAAAGTTTTAATTTAACTCCATTTATTGGAGACAAACCAACAGTTATAAGGGACATAGTCTAATCGATACATACCTACTTTTTTTATCAAAACTGTAATTATCTAATCAGTATGTCTATTAAATTGTATGTATTTTATTTTTGTTTATTTCTTTTTCTCCAACTATCAAGTATTCCCTAAAAAAATGAGTAGACTAGCCTACGTACACAATTATTTCATCAATTTCTCGTCCTTTCAGCACGATGCATTTTACGTATGTCAATGGTTCTTTGTGCTATAAATGTCAAACATTCAAAGGATCAAAAAAAGCTATGGATCATATACAGTTATATGTTGTTGTAATATGACAGGCATAGATAAAAAAAAATTTGTTGATAATCAGAGTCCATAAAAATAAGATGTTTCGATTTTCGGTGTATTCAGTTAATCAGGATATTTGGATAATGGGGACAAAAAAATTAACGCCCTATCAACATGTGTCTCCATTTACATGTTATAAGCAGACCTTGAAAATGCTCAGTTTATGAAATGTACAATTTTTTGCACAATTTGTGAAATGTGAATAATAAAATTACTCATTCTATGAATTTTACAAACTATCTTCACATTTCATAAGCATTTCACATTCAGAATATTACACATACAAAAATTTAAAAGACTATATGGTTTTAAACAAAAACACCTACATTTTATGCAATGAATGTAGTACATCAATAAATTACTAATGGTTTTTATATATAAAAACTCCTCAATAGATTTCGATCTGGCCACGGATACTGTGTATATCTTATGAGTAAATGGTGATACGGACATCAAGTAGCTCTGTATGTGGAAATACTAACCAAAAAATGACGCATACCATTGAAGAATGTCCCTGGTATTTATCGAAAGGAGGATTATTTAACTTTTACAACTTATAAAATAGAGCTACAGAATGGTTGGTTAAGTTACTGTTGGACTAATAACTCCATAAAATGTTAAAAAAAAAAAGAAATTGCAGCAATTAATTATTTGTTAATATCTACTACCAATAGGCGTGTTTTGATGATGAAAAACGTTTTATTTACTGTATAATATTTTTTTTTATTTAAAATGGATGGAATGATTGAATGATAGCCTTATTAGTAGATTATTAGTAACCAAAAACAGAAAACGTATTTTTCAATTGTTTGATGATTCAGTCAACCCTGTTGCCGAAAAGTGCATTTGGATATCAAACAATTATAGTAAACTATGTCACCAAAATTTGCCTAATGTTATCTTTATTATTATTATTATTATTATTATTGATTTTTATTACTTCATTCCATTTGTTTTATCTTATATATACTTTATTGTGTGTTAATATTATAAATCTATTATAAGCCATATGCTAAATAAATAAATATCTAAAATCAATGGCATTTATTTTCTTACAACTCAGCACTAAGACTTGTAGAATTGTGAGGTATGTAGACAGTAGAACCCGGTTCTGGAAACGGCTGATCATATAATAATCCAATAAATTGTTTCATATTAAATTCAGATAAACCATGTCTTGACTCAATTTCATGTAATACCTGTAAAATAACATTTAATTAATATCATATTTATTTGTATTTAAGTTATATATGTTTATTATAGAAATATTTTAAACTAGGTTTCAGGACTTGTCACATTTGCATATTCTTTAAATAATGGCTGTAGAATAAACTAAGATATAAGTTTATTTTAAAACACAACGGACTGAAATAAAAATTTGATAAATTTTGGCAATATAATTATTATATAACCAAAAAAATAATTATTGTTCTTTATAAGATATGTTTTATGTTAAGTACATTTATTTTAAAGGTAAAAACTATTAAAAAACGATTTTTTAACTATTTGATGATAAGCCGATGAATATGTTATGGCCTGATGGTGTTTACATGACAATATCTAACATTGCTCTTTATATGATTAAGTCTGCAAATTCAATAAAAACATAGTACTCAAAAATGATTCACAATGAAACCATCCGTATTCTAAATTTTAGTCAACAAAATTATTATCAATATCTCGCATTCAAATTTTCAAAGATATTGTCCTTTTATGACCACTGATGTCTGAACCAGTATGAACAAGGTGGGGTATATGGTTTCAAGCTGTTCTTTATTATTGTGAAACATTTTAAAATTGTAGACTGTAAATACTAGAAATATGCCAACCAACAATTGCCATGCATTTAAATTATCAAATCAGAAAATGTCTTATTGTACCAATCTACTTTACAGGGTAAATATTTCATTATTTCAAAATTTTTGAAAATACTATACCTTTTATTCATTGTAGGAAAAGACGAACATTAATTACATTAATTAAGTTCAACAAATTAGAGAAAACATAATTTGCTACCTCAAATTTAAACTATTTTTCTGAAGAACCAAAGTGCATCTATACACGAAATATAGATGCTAACAAGTTGAATGAAACAGAAATTGATGTCATTTGAGAACACAATTTTAGTAATCATCTGTGGGCCAGTATATGATCATGATTCCAGTTGTTGGCGTAGAAGAAAAAACAAAGATATATGCAAACTGACAGGAGTACCAAGGATAGAACATTTTGTGAAAGAATAAAAAATTAAATAGTTCGGACATGTGATGTAGCACTCAAGCTCAGAGAATCTGAAAGCTGTGGTAGAATGAAAGCCAACAAGGAAAAGGCTGAGAGAACATCCAAGAAAACAATGGGCAGATGGAATAAGAAAGTATTTGGAGAAATTAGGTGTAACGGATTGAGAAGAAAAAATAAACAAATGTGAATAGTGGAAGGAGGTGGCGGTAGGCACAGAAACTCTCGTAGAGTTGTAATGCCAATTAAAAGAATAAGTGTTAATAAGTTATTGACAAAATATTGTCTAAATTAAAAATGTAATAAATCAAATATTTTAATTGCTATTAACAAAAATTCAGTTTCATATTTTGCTAATTTCATGTGCATAAATATTTTCAATTTGTGTGCAATAAGTTCTGAACCCTATTTAAAACTTTAGATGATACCTTAAAATAAAAACTGCTGGCTTTAACTGAAGAATATATACAATACACCAATGGTAAACAATAAGCAGCACCTTCTGGCTGTACTCTATAACAATAACCATAGTAACGTCGACCATTTTCATCAGTTACAATCAAAGAATATGTTCGACAGTCGTCTGCAGTAAATGGCCAAACATGTGCATCAGGAAAACATAAATTTTCGATTTGTTTTGGTATTTCAACCTATGGTTACAAATATTTGTCAATAATTGTGTTTATTTAAAAACACAATGAAAATTACTTGTTCTGGGTATTTATATTTAATATAAGGTAATTTTTCTTTAGTTGAACTTAAATCTAAACCAATCAATAGAAGAGCTTGAAAAAGATGATTTTTATCTTGAATAATAGTTGAGCATGTTGACGTTATTTTTTTAGCCACACGTTGTAAATATCCTTTTCGCTCTAATGTCTGCTCTCTAATTTGTGTATCTAAAAAGATAAAAATAATTATTTACATGGAAAATATTTATAAAATGTAACTTCTATTTAAAGAATATGTCTATACATCAAGTTTTTGTTAGAAATTTCTCGATTATACTACAATTTTTTAAAACATTTTTATGCTAAACTTTACATGTAAGTTAAAAGAATACTTTTAATAAAGGAAATAAAATGTTAATGCCAATAAGAATGTTTATATTTGTACATATAACTATATTTATGTATTCTATCAGCCTAATAAAAGTATAACAAAACCATGTACAATACATACAGGATATAGGATTTTTTTAAGTTTTACATGATTAATACAAACTATATACCTAATCATTTAAATCATCCAAATTATGCAATTAAATTAATTAACTCACATTATATGTTAAACTTCTGTTATAGACCAAGAAGTTTTATCATAACCTATGAAGTGAACATTGAAAAGTTAAAACAATAATATATAATAGTGCCTTACATTTAAATAAATAAAAACTTTACAAATAGAGTAAGTTAGTTTTTCATAAACAATTAAAAAAGTTTTTGTTTTTTGCATAAATTAGAAAGATAAATTAACTAATTTGTTTACCATTTATATTATTTATTGATCCGCTAGAACTATCCTCATTGTTACAAATGGATTCAGAATCGCTTTCTTCTATAAATGTACCATATGCTTCATTCATTAACATTTGTATCTTAGAAAAAGATTCATAATCATTAATCAAAATAAAATAGTATAAATTAAAAATAATTTGATACAACTATAGATACTTTTCTTTCATGGCTAATGGCTACATTTTTGTTTAATTTTGAATCCAATTCATCTAAAGTATTAATTTTTAAACACGAGTCAGATTTTTTCAAATTATTTTCAGAATTATAATTTGTTATCGGTGTAGACTGAATAAAATAAAGAAATACATATAAATTAAGGTGATATTAATGCTATTCATAGTTAAAATAAATGTATTAAAAACTGTCAAAAACAAAAATAACAATCTTAAACTATTATTAAATTAATTGATATTCATAACTTACCATATAATGTAGATTAGATTTATCAGAATCATAAGCCCACTCATTACCACTGGACTCATGACAATTAACAACGCCATTAATATTTAGCCTTGAGTAAGGTTTTAGGAATATTGGTTCATCATATATATGTTCAGTATCACTTTCATTACAAGATTTTATGGTTAAATAATTGTGTTCATCTGTGGGGTATATTTTTAATGAATCTGTATAAACATTTTGATTTTCCAAACATTTTAAAGATTTTGCTAAATTAGATAAATTAAATTTTTTAGAATTTTTCTTTGAATTAGAATCTTTTCCACCGGATTTATCATCTTTTGTTCCATATGTATGAGCATTTTCTGTAACAAATTGCTCCAACTTTTGTAACATAATTTTTGGGTCAGATTTAAAATTTGTATGAGATTCCATTATGCATTGAAGATTTAAATTTGGATCGATTTGTTTGTCATGAGCAAATGTTCTTGGTGGTTTCTTTGGTGGAGGACCAATTGGTAAAGGTGTTTTCAATGTATGTTCAAAATTTATTTTTGGAACTTTTGGCTTGCAACTAATTGATTTATTATTCTCCAGTTTTTTTTTCAAACATTGAATAAGTTCTTTTTTGTTGGCCACAAATTTATTTTCCTCGTGTCTTGTAAATAGATCTAGGCATAATTTTTGATTCGAGTTGTCAGTCTTATAATTATGAGAATTAGTTTGTGAGATTGTATTGCACTCGCTATTATTTGAATTTGTAGTACTACACTGTTTAAAATTGTTTGTTACCGCCAATGATTGTGGTGATTGACTGACCAACTTTCTTGAAATGTTTATATCTCGTCGGAATGCAGGAGTTCTTTTAATATTTCTTTTGTTCACATGTTTCTCGTGTCGTTTATCTTCTAATCCATGAACGGTTTTCTTAGTACTTTGAAAAGATTCAAATTGTTTCTTCAATACATCTACAGTACCTATGTTCTCTGCATTCATAATTTAAATAATTTCATTTGTGAAAATTTCACATTTTATGATGACTGATGAGTAATGAGCAAAATTAATTCAAGAATAAAAACCTTAGCGACAAACCGACAAACGTATTGCTTATTAAAAACATAATTACAGACGTACGTTAATTACAGTATTACATTATATTTTAATCATGAATAATTATCAATAGCATCCAAGTGAACATAATAAAAATAAAATCTTTGGTACCCAACCATAGATATTAAAATAATATTTTGTATCTGTGTTGGTACCTAACAAAACAAGACAGTCTTATCTATATGAGTTCTGGAAATATTGTTGATAGGCTCAAGTTCAGTGAGCACCATAGGGCATAAAATGGTCACAAGCATAGATAACAGAAAACAGGCTCACAATAGTCATAACCTTATATCATATGAATATAGTTCACAACTGATTGATGATTACTTATCGAAATCGAATTATTCGATAGTTTCTCCGAATATTAGTCACTTAGACACTTCATTGTCTAATGTCTTATTAATGACTAAATAAAACTTTATAATATTATTTTACCAAAAAACATAGATGTACAGTTTTTTCTTTTTATCATGAACCACAAATTATCTTGGAGGATTTTAAATAAATTTTATTTTTGCTTTTTCTAATCATTATGGAATCGTCTAAGCTTTATTTTAAAATCATTTTTAATTTTTTACCCCTACTCCATATACCTTAAATAAGTGCATACTTTTGGTTTTCAAATTCCCTCCCCCCCTTTTGGAACATAGTTTTGAATAAAGAATATTTGTATAGAAATTTGGAAATATATCACACACATATCATATTTACCGTTTATGAGTTATAACAATTTAAAGTTTAGATCGGAAGAGTAGGGAAGGGTAACAAATAACCTACCTATGACCCATCAAATGGGGGTTTTTATTTGAAAATGAAAAATATGAACTTATTTAAGGTATATGAAGTAGGGGTAAAAATTTAAAATGCTTTTAAAATAAACCAAAAAACGATTTCATAATGATAAGAAAAAACATAAATCAAATAAACTTAAGATCCTCCGAGATAATTACGGGTTCATGATAAAAAAATCACTTTGTATAAATTAACTACAGTACATTTCACGAAACTAACAACTCCGCAGTGGCGCTTCCAGTGGCAGATTTTCGTGAGGGTTTCCTAAACGTATGACTAAAAAACCGCGGTAATTTAAAAATGATGCGGCAATCAACCATCGAACAGCTGGTTCTGTTGATATGAATTTTACCTTTCACTGCCAAACATTTTATAACAGCTATATATAATATACAATAAATAAAATAATTGATTTTATTCATATTTTTTAAAAACCGTGCAGTATTCCAAATTGCCGCGTATTTTGTGTAGGTTTGAGAAACCACGGAACACCAAAATTTTACCACCGGAAGTGCCACTACGGAGTCGCTAGTTTCGTGAAACATACTGTAGGTAGCAAACTCTATACTGGCTTGACAACAATTTGAAGTTGTCAATAATTTATAGGTGGGGCAAAAACGATTGTAAATCGTTATAACATCGATATAAGTATTATCGATTTTTATATTGATTCGATGTTTTTTATCTTATAATGGACACAGTGTAATAATAAGAATAACAACCGTTAAATATCAATTATATTCACTATCGTTTTTGCCCAACCTGTAAATGGCGTCTGACTTCATTAGTAAATACGATTGTTCTCTCTAGGTATTTTATATATCTATGCCAGTTTTATTATTTCTATCTGTGATTCTATACTTACAAAAAGTCGCGGTCTACTAGCGTCCTCTACAGTCATTATTACAAAACTATACAATATTAGATAAATAATTTCTTTTACAATAATAATAACAATCGATATGTTCCTCAATTCATCTGTGATGGCACTATGAATTATTAAAAGAACATCGTTTTAAGCAGTGTTATCATTTTAGATCATATATGGAGCCATAGCTCATTATTTTGATCATAGATAAGCACACATAATTTAATTTTGATCTACAAGTCAGTGAAGGTTTATAGATCTAATAACCTTGCATGTTAACGACGAATCGCTAGGTGAGTTGCCTTTAGTGCGCATGACAGCGACCTCAGTAGTGGGCACAAATCCGTTCTTCCCCACGAGATAAGAATCTGAAAATTCCAAAAAAACCAGTGTATCCAACGTTTGGAAAAATGTTTTTACTAATACTTCAAGTTTGCAAATTAACCAATAAATACATCATAATGAGCTTAAACATAACTAATTCATATTATTGTTAACTTATTCACTATCAACTATCTTATTATTATTTATATTTCCTTAGGAATATAGAGAAATTTAATGTACATCTGTACACATTGATTGTTTAATCATTGCTAACGAAAAACGATTCATAGTGGATATCGGTTATACATTTATTTATTTATACATATGTACACATGGAACTAGCCTAATTACTAAGACTCGCCATAGTTAGCTAAAAAAATACATAATAATACATGAATAATCATAGAAAACAATAACCAGAAAATATAAATAAAAAACATAGAATCTAAAATAATATAAAAATACTTAGCAAGGTAAATTTGGAATTAAATGTTTATCTGTAAAGCAAAAATTAATCATTGCTAACGAAAAACGATTCTGACCGGAGCTTGGTTAATAGCATTGTTTTTTCAATAATACCAATCCCCTTGTCAACATCCAGTTTGTTCATTAATTTGTACATAAATTGTTCTAAATCTAAAAACTTATAATTCAAATAATATACAAATTAAGTAAAATTGGTAGTTTAAAAAAAAAAAAATGCATGTCATAAAAAGCATAATAATAATCAAAAGATCGAAAAAAACTATTTTGTAGTATTGGCAAAATAAACCAAACAGCTATATTATCTTCATTATTATTCCTAATAAAAATATAATTGTATATATATATATATATATGGCATAGAGTAAGTTATTAAAAAACAAAATTATTTTAAAAATAAAAAATGTATCTGTAGAGAAATTACAAATATAAATCTATAATAAATAAATTAAAAGATTTTGTCCACATATACGTTCATGAAAAAAAGAGATTTGTGTCTGAAAAGAATAAGATTATATTCTAGATCCGAAAAAAAAATCGATTTAATTAATTTTATTTATTAATCATTATATTTTTATATCGACAATCTATGAATCATATCAATTATACATTTATACCACGGTTTAAGACATACTTAAATCTAAAATCATTATACCTATTGTTATCAAAGAATGGTTAAATACCGAATGATACAGAACTTGACTTCTATCACGATTTAAGATATCTTAAGCCGTGCTTCTATGAGTTTTATGAATAAACATATTAATGTCTACGGTTGTATGGTTAAATTACGATCTTAGATTAAACTTTAAAAGCAATTAATACAACTTTTTTGTGTAATCACAGATATCGTAATAATGTGTTACCTATACCTGTGCACGTAATTGAAATTAAAGTTCAAAAAGTCAAAAGTCTAAATTGTATAAATGATAATATTTATATTAAAAGTTTTAACGTCTCAATCTAAAATAGTCAATATTGAATAACATGGATAAATAGAAAAGTCGGTATCACAGAAAAAGTAGATTGACCACCTGTTCTTTATCAATAATGTTATTTGGTAATTTCTATTTCAATATTGTTAATTATTAATTTATTAAATATTAAATTATATTCAAATAAATGTACTATTAAATATTTTGTATTAGTTTAAATAATGAAACAATAAGATTTCAATCAATCTAATTTTATTATATTCATTTCAATCACCAACATTTTTTTTTTTAAATAAAAATTTTTTATTAATTATAAATCAGAAAGTAAGAATTTCAAAATATGTTACCTAGAGGAAAGAATGGTTATTCTTGGGAGTTTAACTCTGGAAATCAAGATAGTGAGGTAAGACTAAATTTATTGAAATTGAAATTAGTTCATAATTTGATCATTTATAATTGGTGAGGTAGAATTGATTATTAAACATAATGTACTTGATCAAAACGTAATGTATCATTTTAACATTGGTACTTGAAATATTCTTGATTATTGATTTTAATTTGATAAGGTATTTAAGTATTCCAGATAATTAAGATCATTACATGAAATTTAATTAGCAAAATGAAATACATTTTAATTGAAATTATGGTATAGACAATTTTTTTGAAAACCTTACATTATGAGTCAAATTTTAGTCTATAATACTCATAATATTATTGTATATAAATATTATTAAACAAAATTACTTAATTTTAAACTGATACAAATAATGAGGCTGACAGTCGCTATTCAAAAACTAAATGATAATATTTATAAGTATACGCAGACAATTATTGTAAAAATAAATTACATGCTTAAATGAACTATTTTGATACTTATACTAATTTCTCTTAGTTGGTATAATCTACCTAGCTAAGTGTGAATAACAATTCATATTTAGTGATGTATCTAATTTTATTTCTGTATAAATTATTTTGAAATGTCAGTTAAATAATATTCAGAACTTCTATGGAAATAATTTATTTTTATTTACAAACTAAACAAAAGCTATTAAACTTCCACAAATATTTAATTTTGATACTTTTTTAATTCCATTAGGTAATTTTGTATTTAAATATTATATTGCATTAAATGTAATCTATTATTTGATATACTAATCTACTTGTATATTTTTAACAGTTAAATATATAATAATATATACCGACATTAAGTCACATTGTTATTCTGTGAGTATCATTACACAATAATAACAACAAAATCAAAATAAGATTTAAAAAAAAAAAATATTAATTTAAACTGTTTATAAACATTGTGTGTGATATTTAGGTTAAGACAGATTAATTTTTCAATCAGTTATGTATAAAAACAGAAAACTTGAATTTATTTTTTAAATTAATAAAATAGAATACCAGAATATGAATACTATTATGTCCATTGGTATTAAATTTCTACACTAGAGAAACTGAAGTCAAAAGCTTGTAGAAGCTAGACCCAATTTGATTTTATGATAAAAGATTTATTTTGGGTGTGATAAAAACATGCAGAGTATTTAAACATTTTTGGGGGGCTATAATTAAGTTTTGGGATGCCATTCGGCCCCTTAATTCTTAACATTTCGAAAGTCTATGATGACTTTAGGAAAAAATTAGGCTCTAAAAAGTATTATTTCATATGTCCCTCCACAACAAAATCCTATACACGCTTCGGACTATGCCACTGGACGTAGGTAACTGAATAATCTAAAAATTAGTTGAGTTTATCGATTTATTTTAATTGCTCATATTAATCAATATTATTTGTATCAAATTATTGATTGTTATTAGCCATTGCTAGAAAGAGAAACTGAAGAACCAGATAATGTATTATTTACATCACGTCCAAATACATCAACATTTGTAGCTGATATGCTTAGTTCACATTCAAATAAGATGAATAATCAACACAATCAACTTGACCTCATATCTAAATCAGTAAAAACTCTGAAAAATGTTTCAGAAGATATTAGTGATGAGTTGGATCACCAAAATATGTAAGTTGTGCTCTAGGTGAAAACTAAGACAACACTCAATTTTAATAATATATAGTGTCTCATAAAGATATTCATTGTATATAAAATATGTTTTTGTAATAAAATTTGTAAAATTTTTAATTAAAAATATAAATAACTGTATATCATTAATGATTTATATAATATGTGCATATTATTATATTAAAAAGTTAATTTCAATAAGTTATACAATAGATAGATATTTATTTAGCTTATATCTAGTTTATAAAATACATATTAATATAAATACATCCTCTCTTCCCTTTTAAAATGAAGATAAATAATTAAATTGTATTATTATATTATTGAATATTTCCTTATTCCTTACTGAATAATTTATGGAAATTTTTTTTTTTTAGAATGCTTGAGAACCTAAGTTCTGAATTAGACAAAACTGAATCAAGATTAGATATTGTATCAAAAAAAGTGGCACAAGTACTTCAATTATCTGATGGTAATTAAACAAATTTGTTGTTGTCATATTATTAAATTAGATGTAGACAAATTGATAACTTTCTGTCTGTCTATTACATCACACAACCTAACAGTCATGTCTTACTTTCAACCTTTATACATACCTATCTAAAAAACATATTTTTGTTTGTCGTAAGGTCTATTTGAGATTGACTTCTCTACAATTTAAATTTATCCCATTTTATCCACAATAAAAATTAATTGATAAAATCAGAAAGTTGATTTAAAGTAGATTTAATCACAAATTAAAATTAGTTTTCAAATTCATTATCATAGCATTAAATTATTCAATGTGGTGTATTATATATAATAAAAAACATAATAATGTACTATTTAATATTTAAAATGCATACAAGTATCTTTTTTTGACAAAGTATTGTACATTTGTTTTTTATATATAAGAAATTAGCTAGAACTTTACTACTATTAATTATTTTGTAATCAATCATTTGAATTATTATATTTTATTAATTATAAGCTGTTTATGTTCAATAAATGTTTCAGATAGACGACAATGGATGGCAATTGGCATTCTAGTGGGAATTATTTTAATAACTATCATTCTTTTAATAATCTTGTGAGTTACAGAAATATTTTTTATTATATTTGGTGAAAGACTGATTTTATTTGTTATTAAATATTATATTTTCAAATATTACACTAGTATAATTTAAATTATAATAAATGTTAGGTATACAACTTGATATATATATAATTCTAGTCTAAATGTAAAAACTATATATTTTATTGTTTCTGGATAAAATTAATTATTTATTTTATAATTTCATATTTTTTAAATTCAATTTTGTCAATAAGAAATTATTTTTAATAATTTTTAAGTAAATAGACTATTTATTCCTTTTATGCTTTACTATTTATTTTATTACTTGGTCAATGTAAAATATTTAATGGAAATTTTGACTTTATTTTGTTAATATGTTATTTTTAAAAATATATTATTATAAAAGTTTAAATAATACTATAATTATAGTTCATATTTCTCTATATAATAAAAAAGATTTTCATGGATTTTATTTTTATCTGTTACAAGCCTTTGGCAACAGGGACAGTTTTTTCATTGAGCGTCACTTATCATCTTGATAACATCAAATATTCTTAAAATCTTAAACAAAAATCTGTTTCTGTAATAAAATATCCTAATTGTATAAATATATTTTCTAATTTGTTTATAATATATTTACCCATGTGTATACTTAATTGTTTTTTTTTTTATTTAAGGTTTTAATTTGATTAGCTCACTACATATTGTAGTAACTTGATTAGATGTTACATGGTCTACACCAATGGTCTTCAACTTTTTTTCCTCGCAACACACTTTTTTTTACTATACATTTTTTGTGACTCATCATCTATGCTATCTTTGTTAGCCATGAAAAGCAAACAAAAACAAGCTGAATTGCTTAATGTCTTAATATGCCACTGTAGAAGTGTTATTATATAACTGAATAAATAACAAAATATATTTTCATTATATGTAATGGCGAAAATTAGTATGACTATTTTTACATAAAAAATTCCATCTCGGCTCAATTTTACACAATGCAATCCGAAAATCATCTTCAGTTTAAAGTCTATTTCTTTTTAACATAGATATATAGCTAGAAGTATATAGTACGTTATTTTTTAGTATAAATAAAATTTACTTTTCACGACCCAATATTGGGTCGCGACCCACCGGTTGAAGACCACTGGTCTACACAACACATGTTAATGCCACCTTATTGTGTTAGCAAATAGGTCGTAAATACTAGAGTATAAAAATGGTATTAGATAGGTACTAGCTAATATAATATCACAATATTAGTAATTATATTTTTATATCTGATAAACTTCTGATATACTCAGAAAGATTTGCTTTGTATGTACCTACCTAAATTATATGTGAGGGGACACCCACCACTCTTTAAATTGAGCTCTAATAAAGTACTTTGCCACGCCACTGGGATATTGTATTGACTGAATCTGAATTATTGCAGTAATATTATTTTTGTATAAATAATAAATATATTTTTATTTTTAATGTATATAATGTATTTTTATTGAAAATTAAAATAATAATCAAGTAATTTTTTTTAAAAATACATCATATATTTTCAATGTCATATCTGCACCACAAGATGCCATCTGTAAAATACCTTCTCGGTATCTTATATCAGTTTTACATAATAGTGGTTGAAATTGAATTTTCTTTACTGTTAAATGATGTCCAAATCTGAAAATATAGTAAACTAAGGAAAAATATAAATATAAAGAGTAAACTAACATTTAATTATAAGTTTTTTTTTCAATAAATCTATAATTTTATATTACGAATTATTGGTATTAAAATTTAATAAAAGGATACTCATTACATAAATCAACAATTTTAAGCCAAGGAGTTACATGATTTTCCTCACAATTCCATTTATATAAACCAATATTTCCACAATCGGTACCAACAGCCAACAAATAGATTGAACTATAGTTTTCAATTGTAGTTGAAGCAAAAGCTACAGCTGAAAAACTCTTTTCTGGAACTACTAAAGGATCAGTTTTGGCACAGTATGTTATTTCAGTGTTATCACTTTGATTATGTTGACCCCAAGTTACTAACTTTCCATCTCTGGATCCAGTAGCAAAATATAAAGAATCATGAGTCCAAGCACAACACCATATTATTCTTGTATGAATGCTAGTACGTTTATTTGATTTGCTTATGATAATAAAAGAGTTTTTGTTTTCATTATATGAAAATAATGACCAAGTACGGTCACGTGAAACCGAGAGAAGTTTTGTACTATCAGGTGAAAAAGCCAGTTGAGTAACAGTTAAATTATGCGATGTTAACTTTTGTACGAGTTGAAAATTGTTTAAGTCCCTATAACACCAAATTAAACATTTACAACCATACAACCAATAATTACAATAAAAATCAATACTATGAAAGTTATATTATAATTATTTTCCTTGTACTGTAAGGAAGATAAATGAAATGTTTGAATAACTATTAATTGATATAAAAAAAATTAATTTTTAGTTACCATATTATAATAGATGCAAGCTCTAAGGATGTTGCTTTTGCTGCTGAGGCTAACCATTTATGATTAGGAGAAGATGCTAAACAGTAAACTTCATAAACATGACCATAAAGTTTTTGTGTTTCGGGCCATAATGTATTTTGAACTAAATCTTCTTCAGTAGGGGGTTCTAAAAATGAACACATTAATATAAATAATGTAGCCTAGTTATTATGATTATTTATTTTACAATTCATAGAATTCACCATATTAAATTAATAAAATAATTGTGTAGTTAAGTACACTACTTATCTAAATATAAATAATACATAAGGAAATAAAAATTTTTTTTAAAAAAAATCAAATTTATAAATAGAAACTGTCCCAAATTAAATGTTAAGATAATTTTCTCCGAATAGATGTAAAATAATATAAACTATTTTATTTTATAATTATTACAATATTTTTTAATTACTTAATTTACTTTTATTTATTTGTTTTAATCAGCCAAAAAATATATTATATGAAATAATATATATATATAAAAAAAAAAGTTCTGTAGTTTTGCAATCAAAAATAGTTTTTCAACTATCAAAAATATTCAAATATAATTTGTAATTATATGATATATGTGAGACATGTAAGACATTATAAATTCCTATTTGAATTTTGAAAGTTGAAACTCCCAACACTAGTATGAAATAAATATTATAAAAGCTAAAAATACAATTATAACTATTGTCAGTACTCAAATTGAAAAATTAAATAAAAGGGACTATAAGACTAAAAACGACTATACGCCTTGACGGCGTAGGGAAAGTGGCGCTCGCATCGCCCAGTGTACCTCCAGTACACTCCAGTAGCCATACCCTGACCTTAAATGGTCGGGTTAGTCTGGTCCTCCAGGTTGGGGGTTGAGCGCAGGGCTAACAACCCTGCCTCGTAAAAATGCTTTGTTCAGGATCCTAAGAACAAGCCTCGGACTAGATTTAATGGAAAAAGACATGGAAACGGAAACACGGAACTTATTTTTGGAACTTGGAACGTACGAACTCTTCACAAACCCGGTGGGGCACAAAGTATGATTAAGGAAGTAGAAAAATATAATTTAGGTGTAGTAGCTCTGCAGGAAATAAGTGTAGTAGCTCTGCAGGNTGTTGAAAATAGAGACTAAATTTTTCGATATCGTATTTATTAACGTACACGCACCCACGGAGGACAAATCACAACAAGAAAAAGAAGATTTCTATACTGAAATAGAGCAACTACTAGAAGGGATTAGTAATAGTAAAATAAAAATTGTACTTGGAGACATGAACGCCAAAATAGGGAAAGAGAGGTCATATAGACCAACTATTGGTACCCACAGTCTACACGACATGACTAATGACAATGGCACAAAAATTGTGGATCTGGCTGTAGGGAAAGGTCTTAAAGTCAAGAGTACAATGTTCCCGCATAAGAACATACATAAAGGGACGTGGGTGTCGCCTGATGGTAGGCACGTAAACCAAATAGACCATATATTAATAAATGAGAGATTTGCCAATAACATAATGGATGTGAGAACATACAGAGGAGCTGACTGCGACTCTGACCATTTCCTAGTAGCTAGCAAACTTAGGGTTAAGCTAAAAACAATGAGTAGGAATGTGAGACCGGAAATTGTCAGGTATGATGTTGAGAAACTCAGGGATAGTAGGAAAGCTAAAGAGTTTCAAGAGAACTTACAGAAAATGGCGCGAGAATTTAACTCAAATCATGAAACAGTAGATGAGCAATGGAAAATAATTAAACATACCCTTGGAAATGTGTCGGAGAAAGTTTTAGGGAAAGCTCATAGAACGAAGAAACCATGGTTTAATGTGATATGCCAAGAAGCCCTGAAAAGAAGGAAAATAGCAAGAGAAAGATGGCTAAATGATGCTAGCAACCAGGAAATAGAAAGAATCTTTAGAGCTAAAAGGAAAGAAGCCCATAACATTTTTAGATGTGAAAAGAGAAAGTATGTTCAAAATGTAATAAGGGAGGCAGAACAAGATTACAGATCACACAATACACGGCAGCTATATCACAAGGTAAATAGCTTTAAAGGCGGATGTAGAAAACAAGAAAAATTTCTGAAAAAGGACTGTGGAAGCCTAGTGACGAACCAGGAAGAAATAATGGAGAAATGGGCAGAATACTTTGAAAAGCTACTCAATTGTGAAGTACCAGTTGATACATTTATATATGGACAAAACGAACCCAATGATGACCCCTGCCCACCCCCGTCAAAGGAAGAAATCGAACAACAGATCAAAAGACTCAAAAACCACAAGTCACCCGGGGAAGATGACCTTCAAGGGGAAATTCTAAAGCATGTGGACAGCTTCATGATAGAGAATATATACTTGTTAATAAAAGAAGTGTGGGAGACGGAAATTTTACCGACAGATTGGAGAATTGCATATATATGCCCAATACACAAAAAAGGTGACAAACAAGTCTGTAGTAACTATAGAGGAATAGCGTTGCTAGATACAACATATAAGGTATTATCATATTGCATCCTGGATAGAATTAAACCTCTGGCCGAACAAGTGGTGGGGGACTATCAATGTGGATTCAGGCAAAATAGGTCAACGACAGACCAGATATTTATAGTCAGGCAGTTATTCCAGAAGAGCTGGGAATATAATAAGGAACTCCATGCTATCTTCGTTGATTTTCAAAAGGCATATGACAGTATAGATAGAACTAACATAACCGAAATTTTGAAGCATTTCCACTTCCCAAGGAAAATAGTTCATTTAGTTGAAGCTAGTTTAAGACAGACTAAAGTCAAAGTCAAAGTAGGAAACGCAACATCGAGGATGGTGGAGGTAAGAACCGGACTTAGACAGGGGGATGCCTTGTCGCCAGTACTTTTTAATTTAGTATTAGAGAAGGTGATCCGAGAAATCAATATTGGAAGAGATGAAGGAGTAAGAATGGATAGAACTTGCTTTAGTCTGCTCGCCTACGCGGACGATATAGTCTTGCTAGGGGAAGAGGAACAAAAAGTGGTAGAATTATGCGGCAGGTTAATAGAATCGGCAAAGAAGGTAGGGCTACATTTCAACATAGAGAAAACATAGTACATGAAAGTTAGTAAGGAACTAGATAACCTTCAGGTAATCTAGACCATAACAGTTGGTCAGTACAAGTTCAAAAAAGTGGAAGAGTTCAAATACCTGGGCACGATTCTAACACAGAAAAATGAATGTCAAATCGAAATTCAACAAAGAATAAAAATGGGAAATAAATGCTTCTATGCACTTGGTAAACTACTAAGCTCGAAAGTCCTGTCAAAAGAGGTTAAGACTCAGCTGTACTTGACAATCATACGACCAATAGTCATGTATGGTTCACAATGCTGGACGTTACAAAAGACTGAGGAGGACAGATTAGCGGTTTTTGAAGGAAGATACTTCGTAAAATATATGGACCTATATATGACCAAGATTTTCAAGGATGGAGAAAAAGGCATAATCAAGAACTGACGGAGCTTTTCAATAGACCAAATATTATAAACGAGATCAAGCGGAGTAAGCTGGAATGGGCAGGCCACGCAGTTAGGAAGCAAGATTCAATGGTTCAAAGGGTACTCCAAGAAAACCCAAGGAAAAAAAAGACCACTGGGTAGACCAAGGCTACGCTGGGAAGATGGAATTAAAAAAGATTTCCTAAGTGCTGGTGGAGTGGAATATAATCACATGGATTGGAAGGAGGTAGCAGAGAATAGAGAAGAATGGGGAAGGATTTGTTCTATGGCAAGATGGTCTCAAAGGCCTTAAAAAAAAAAAAAAAAAAAAAAAAAAAAAAAAAAAAAAAAAAAAAAAAAAAAAGACTAAAAAAAAATTTGTTGAATTTAAAGATCTTAAGTTTGGTCTAATGTTCTTCGTGCCATACTTCCCTTAGACTAATTATTCATTTTTCTGTGAACGTTTCTAGCACATATATTTTTTTGATTTTCTTTGTAGTTTTCCTAGCAATGGGAATAAAGAAAAACACATAATACATTTTGGGAAAAAAACTGGAATATTTATGCTATTAGATTTTATGTTTTGTTGATATTTAATGTAAAATAACTGCAGAAACCTGAACTTTCACCAAATACTTATATTACTCTTTCTAAGAGAAATGTTAAATTTTCAAAATAATTTGTCAATTTTTGAGTTATGTGATAGATTATATAGATACATTTTTTTGATACAGTGAAAATGTTTGAAATTTTAACACAGGGCTTATCATAAGTTGTAATTAGTGATTAAAACAGTTAAATGTTTTTAAAAGCATTTAAATTTCAAATTTTTATGTTAATATGCATTTTGATTAAAGTGCAAAACAATGTATCTTCTCATGTGTTCAAATAATAAAGATAAGCTACAATTTCTAAAAAGTTTGAGTACTGTCTACAGTAAAATAAAAACAAATATAAGTAAAACTAAAAAAATTGGTAAAATTATTTGATTTTCTTTTTTGTATGTTTTTAGAAATAATTCCTCTAATACTTAATAATTTAACATTATAATAATAATAATATTTAGTAATTTTATTTGAAACTAACGCTTTAAAGTCAACGGAACAAAATAATGTTCAGGATAATCTTTCTTTTTTGGTTGATGAGCAATACTTTTACAGTCTTCTTCAGATACTGCTTTATTTGATAAGCCAAGTGATGGAACAGATGCGCCAAGCGGATATTTCATAATATCTAAAAAAAAAATTAATAACTTTATTAGCATAAAATAGTTAAAAATGCATACAAACATTTAGAAATAACTTTTTTTTAAATAAATATATTTTATCGAGAACTTTCTTTTTATTATTTACCAACAGAAGGGAAATTAATTTTTGACAGCTGAATCATATTTTCTAAAAAATTGGAAGGTGCTTGAAATGTCCGTATAACTTTTTCTTCAGCTGAGGATACAAAACTTAAACTAGATAACATAGCAACACTGGACATATTATATCCGTGAACTTGTGGTCTTGCCATTTCATGCCAATTCTGAAAAAAAGGATTTATAAATCTAAACATTTCCCAGACTAATTGATAAAATTAATACTTACAGAAGGTAAAACTTGTTTATCTAGTTCATTTGATTTTAACCATTGTGCATGGATTCTGGTTGTTTGATCTGAACTAACAGACACAATATATTTACCTTCTGGATCCCAAGCAATATCCTCAACAGATCCAAAATGACCACCAATTGTAACTCCAGGAGCCCAAATACCATCACTATGCTACAATTTACAATCAAATAACCAGAAGATATTTTACTGAATATTTTCTTTATTTTCATCTTACTTTTTTCCATAAATGAAATGACCCATTATATCCTTGAGCCAAAATACAATTACCATCAGGTGAAAATTTACCCCCATAAAACCCCAATGTGTTACCACCAACTTCCCCTAATCTAATAAAATCCACCCAAAGACCACTATTTTCATCATAAGTCCAAACTGCCAATGTTTTATCCATAGACACTGAAAGTAACTCCAATTGGTTTCCTGAAATATAATCAAAATAAATTTCTTGAAAAGTACATTTTTTTTTATTATAAACCAGCAATTATGTCAGATGATTTCAAGTGAATTTGATTTCTGTTTTTTCTAATCATTATGGAATCATTTAATCTTTATATTAAAATCACTTTTAATTTTTTACACCTACTCCATATACCTTAAATAAGTGCATACTTTTGATTTTCAAATAGAAACCTACCCTTTTAAACACATATTTGAATAGACTATTTTTATTGCTGATTCACAATAAAAGAATCACCTTGCATTTTACATTATACTTCAAAAGTGTATGAAATAATAATCAAATCCCTAAAGAATATATTAATTATTAGTCAAATATTTAAGAGAGTTAATGTAGCAAAGGTTAAAAACTATCAAGGTACCACAGCGCTAGAAAAATGACACAATATATTGTCTCTAGGACTTTTGAGGAGATTAGAAGTAGGTACCTTATTGATAATAGAGAGATCAATAAATGGAAAACCAACAACAGATCATATTTTCAACACACATAAAATTATGGAGAAACATTATCAACATGATCAAAACCTATATAATATAGTCTTTGCAGATTTCAAGCAGGCTTATGATAGAGAGAACAGATATGAGAAACTTTGAAATACCTGAAGAGTTAGTTAAAATAATTGAAATTTGTAACTCAAATACCTACTGTAAAGTTTGTTACTGAGGAAAGCTGTCCCACCAGTTTTAGGGAAAGTCCAAATTAAAGAAGGAAAAACGTGGATTTAGAACAATTGTACAAAAGACAAAACTTTTCAAAATACCTTAAAGTGAAGCAATTATTGGAGTAGGCAAATCACAATTGGAGAGTCAACGGAAGTTTTATTTCAAATGTACTATCTAATAACCTAACTAAAGAGAACCCAAAAGTCTAAAGAGGAGGCGACATCACAAATGGATAAATAATCATTAAAGAATAAAAGATATGGATGGCAGTGTAACAAAAGATATGCAAAGGAATCAATATAGATGGGGAAGCATGCATGTAAAAGATTTTAAAGGCCTATTAAGTAAAAAAAAAAAATTGTATACCTGAGCAAAAATTTGGTTTCCAGTGTACTCCATAAATCCATCCATCATGTCCAGATATAACAGTTTCTAATTGAATCACATAACTACAGGCAGAACCATCTTGCTTAATTATATTCAAGTTTTTACTTTCTAATTTTAATACATTATTAAATTCTTTTTTTATTTCAGAATTGTTATAATTATCTTCAATAGTAAATTTCCACAATCTTATAACAGAATCTTGAGAACCACTAGCAAGGAACAAAGTTCCTGAATTTTCTAAAATATAAAAACATAATACAGGTATATTTTTTATTATAACTATATTAACTAACTAATATATAACTCATACAAACAATTATCTTAGTTAATAAAGCACCACATTGAATATTGAAGTATTAATAAATATTGTAAATATTAAAAATAATATTAGAAAAATATTCACATAAATATATTGTAACCGGAATTACAGAGATTACTATTTGAAAAACAAAGAATGCAACTGTACGTTTCAAAAAAATAAGAATACATAATTTGTATTTTTTGAAAAACACTAAAGCATTTAACATACAATCGTATGAATTATAAATATCTTAATTTTTTTTTAACCAATCCTGAGGTTGGTCTACAACTCCCATTCTTTATTCTAATTGATTGCTTGCTCTTTTCTTATTTCTCTAAACGTTTTTACCCTTGCATCACTTTTTATTAGTCCTATATAAGAATTTCGAGGACGTCCTATTGTTTTTTTTCCCTCTATCATACCCTATATGATTATATTATGCAGTTCTTCAGGGTGTCTCAAGACATGTCCAATCATTTCCATTGTTGTGTTCTAATCGTATCTATGAATGTCCATTTTTCCTTTATAGTTCTTAGTACTTCTTCATTTGTTTTTCTCTCCATCCAATATGTCACCTTCACTTTGTGTTATCATCACAATATTATCTGCAAATTTTATCATTGAGATATTTTGCTCTCCAATTTTGATTCCAATATTAAGTCTTGTTAATTTTGCTTTTACTTCATTTAAAGTTTTTTCGATGTAGAAAATGAAAAGTGGAGGTGATAATGTACATCCTTGTTGGACTCCTTTTTTTATCTGTGTGCTCACAGTTATTTTTTCTTTTTCAATACTGGCTGTCTGACTTTTGTACAGAATTACACAATTGTACATAATATGAATTATCTTTAGGTCTTATTGTCAAATTTTAGGTGTTAAGCATGCCACCTGGAGTATCTCAAGGTGGCCACCTTTCCCTATTACTTTTCATACTATTTATTAATAATGTAAACAAAATTATTTGTCACAGTACACTCCTATTTGCAGATGACTTGAAGCTATTTTTAGAAATTTGCTCTGTACTTGACTATCACCTACTTCAAAGTGAATTAAACGCATTAGATGTTAATACTTGTTTGGACATATATTTCTCCAAATGTTGTTCTAAGTCTTTTTATAGAAGTTGTACTCACTTGGAATTTAAATATATGCTACACAGCTCCTATCTTAAAATTGAAGGTAATGTGGTAAAAGATCTTGGGAGTTATTTATAACAGTGACCTAAATTTTTGTTCCCATATAGATGTATCGTGCTGTAAAGCTTTAAAATATTTCTGGAAATACCTGATAGAAAAATTGTCCAAAAAAGAAAAAAAAAGAAATAAATACCTTTGTAAAACCATAAGCTACTTCGCTCCACTCAAAATCTAAAAGTTGTTAGACGCATTTGCGAAATTAATTTCCATTAAAAATAGGTTTTTTGGGCACCCCAAAAAACATAATTTATATTTATTAGATGTAGAGTTATAGAGTGTTTCTAACTAACGATTACACACTATATTTATATATATATATATATATATATAGGTATGTCCTAGTATATAGTGTATGTAATGGACTAGATATATTATTTATAGAAAACCTTAATTTTAATTTATTTACAAATTAATGTATTTTAAATGGTGTCTGGACAAAATCCCGCAAAATAATAACAAACTAATATATAGGATAAGCCAAATTACAAAGGAAAAGCATTTTTCAGGTATTTTTCATTCACATTTTACCAGGCTTGACTGGCAAGACCAATAGTAAATTTCAAAGATACGAGTTTGAAGTTAATTAAACAAAATTAGTGTTTAAGGTTGTTTTGTATTTCTTTTTAAATTTAATTTAAATTGTATATCAGTGCAAATGTTTAAGATTCGCTGCTTATACTGTTAAAATTGACTGGCCTCGGTATGACTACTCTCTTGTCAAACACGCCATTGATTTAATGAACTAATTAATATAAAAATATCTATTTATAATAATTCACAATATTAAAATATAGTACTTAATAATAAATAAAATCATTATAATAGAGTTATAACTATAAACTAACTATAAATAATATCTACCTTCAAATACAAAATCCAATGAACGAACCCAATCTTCATGTCCTATTAATGAATGGCTGATAACAAATTCTGAATTAATATTGCTAAAATCATTTATATATAACTGTATTTTGTTGTTTGATAAACCACAGGCTAATAGAAGACTATTAGAATAGGGCAATATACTTATTTTAAGAGACAAACATAATATATTATCACAATTAATGGTTTGAAAACATTGTGTATTATCTGAAAATAAAATAATTTACCAATAATTAATAAAATGTAAGTGTAAATTCTAAAATTAGGATGATTTATTTACAAACGATATTCCAAACGTAGCAAGTGGGTCATATAGCAAAAACATGTTCAGGTAAAACAAACCTTAAATTAAAATCAATTTTTTGAGAAAAAATACCCATCTACAGATGTAGATAACAATAATTTGAAGAAAATTTCATTAGTGATTTTTGAAATATAAAGTAGACATATAAATTTAGTTATTTTTAAACAAAATTATAATACTTTTGATGAGTTGAAAATAGCTAAAAAAATGTGTTTTTAATGTAAGTTATGAAAATTATAATACGTACAATATATGCTAAGGGGAAACTTAGTATCCATACTCCGTCTTTAACAAATATGTTAATTTTAAAATTTGCTCTTACTAATTATAATTATAATCAAATATTAACTTAATACCTATTTTGCACTTAATGACTATATTTAAATAAATGATAATGTAACAGTATACAATAAACAATGTTATATAATCTTTGATTTAGTATTAAACAAACCACTCACCTTTGTTTTTATGTCTTATCCAAACTTTAACAGTACAATCACCAGCAGCAGTAACAATATAAAGAGCCTCATTTGTAAGTCTTAAGGCATCAGTAATTGTAACAACATCAGAATGACCTAACAAATTTTTTTCATAAAATCAAAGCAAAATTAAATTAAATTTAAAAAAATAAAAATTATTCATTAAGAAATTAGGTATAAAAAGTATTAAAATTTAATTTATACTAATTGTATAGTATTTAATTAGGTAGTTCAATAATTGAGACTGGATAATTAGAACTTCTATTTTACTTGATTATAGCAAGAAAATTTAATGGTATTATATTTGTCAAAATAGTTTTAAAAATCTATAGGTACTACCTAATAATATTTAAATAGATAACAGAAAACAAACAATTTTTATAGAAGTAAAAATATTGCTGGGATGTTATAAAACATATACAGGTACATTTTGGTACATGGAGTTATGCTCATAAACAATAAGAGAATTAAATAAATAAGTTATTGTTTTGTTGTACCACTACCAAATTTAAATATCTAATAAATTAATTGCCAAAATATTGTAGAATATTGATATTAATACTATTATAATTTATAATACATTTTAATAAAAAATAAAAATTACCAATTAATTTTTCATAAGTCCTATAATTCCCTGTTGGAAGAATATCTTCCCACAATATAGCGGTATTATCAGTAGAACAAGAAACAAAATCTTGTTTTTGACAACTGTTATTAGTATTTTGTACCCACTTAACACAATTTACTCGCATTGTATGAGCAACAAATGAAGAAATAACTTGTCCATCACATTCATTCTGAAATTCAACAAATATTAAAATTTGACAAAACATCAAGAAAATAAAATTAATGTTTACGATATAGAACTAACTATAGGTAGGTATGTAGAGTCAATACAGATAAAGGTTATATGTATTAAATACAATAAATAATTATTAAAAAAGTATCATTATTAATTAATTTATTAATTAATCATTATTTTAATAAACTTACTGTTATTTGAGGGTCATATAAATGAATAGCATTACATGAACCATAAATAACTAATCCATTCGAACTCCAATCCAAACAATGTGGTGTTCTGTTTACAGCAGAAGACACATATACTGTTTTTACTAAATTATTGATATTTTCAAATTTACACATTTTTAAATTGAAAAAAAATATAAATAAATTCTATAAGGTTCTAATATATTTTAAATTTAGAATTTATAACAATAGAGTAGGCGATATTTGGTTGAAATTTATATGACAATATAGTTAAATAAATTATATAATTAGTAATAATTAATTAATAAAATAGGTATTGTTATTCCAGAATATTAATTATTAGGCACATGTCTCTTATCAACTAAAAAACTATAATCATACTACAGATTATATCAGTACCAGTGTATCCTGATATCATATATTGAAATCCTGTGATATTCCTTAAAAATCATTATTTTTTCTGCCAATTAACCTAAAAAACCTTTGATTTTCAAGAAGTTTAATTAGTTTTATCTTCAATTATATTAACATGTTCACAACTAATCGGCAATCATCACTAATCAATTTTAAGATCGTAACCCTAAGTATGGTTATTGATAACTCAGAATTACGTACAGACTTTATGTAATATTAGATATACTCTTAGACCATATGCTATTAACGTCATAAATGATATGCTATTGACTAAATATTTGAAATAAACATAACTAAGGGGAGTTGGAACCATAAGCGTGCACACGGGTAGGGCTAATTGGTCTTTAGCCCAAACTGAGTCTTTTTTTTATCCGTGGATAAGGTACCTTATGAAGTTATAACTAAAAAGTATTTATAGACCCTTTCAGTTTTTAAACGTTTGTTTTTATCCGAGAGACTATATAGAAATTAGGAAGTAATAAGGTGTTACAGCCGTAGAAAATTGATAATAAAATAAATCAAAATCAGGTATTTACACGATTATAGATATGTTGTAAGATGTGATAAGTATTCGTGGATATTAAACATGATTAATATGATCAAAATAATATTATGTTTTATCCATGATGACAAGTATGAAATATTATAGTCGATTCCGCACAGGACGCTTACTGTAGTTCGCCTGATTTTATTGGTTGTACATTTAACCGCCAAATTACAAATTATCATATGATATGAAAACAGATATAATTTTGTTGGTTATCACTAAGATTGATAACATTGACTTGTAAACATTACCCAATCTACTATCTACTATGGTTAAATATATAAGTATGATCACAATTGTTTATTTTTTAGCTTTTTATGGAGAGAAAACTCAGCTGGCAGTGATATTTAGTACCAGCTAGATTGAAATAAAACAGGAATCACTACCAGTGACGGCCATTGTACCTGTGTATCACAAAGTTGTGATTATACCTATATATTTAGCCATGCCATCTACATCATGACTGTTGGCTTCAAGCACGATGTGCTTGATCATCGAGACTACAAGTATAGGCACCGAGTCAGGCATCTATTCTAGTATATCTGTGCTTTATTTTTACATTGAACTTTAATCCTTAATCGGAATCAGTAAAACAAACCGGTTTATGATTTCGTATTTCTTGCTAATTATAGCTATATAAAAAAACAGTTCTAATACATCTTAATTCGTGAGTAATATAAATACAGGAGTTGAATAGGCAACATTTTGTACAAATTTGGAAACTACTGGGCATTCTTATCAAATATTGATAGCGGAATGTACGTAATACGTTTTAAAATTGTCTAGTTTCTGTAGCCTAGACATAATATATAAAAAAAGTCTATATTTGTAAGACTGTTACTACATTTTCTACAACCGTACTTCTAATCTAGATTTCAACCAAAATGGAAGAAGACTTAAAAAAAATATCTTTTTCGTTTAAACGTGTATCATCTAAACCCAAGATATTACCAGCTATGTCAAAAACTGATACAGAGAAAACTGTCCAGTTTATTGAATGCGTTGATGAGAAATTTATCAAATGTGTTGGGTTAGTTGAATGTAATGACGATCATGGTGAGCTAGTTATACCAATGCAACATACAATTAAACGTTATTCGCCTACCAAATTCATTGAGACAAAACAAAACAGCACCAAAAACCAAATTCAAGAAAATGGAGCACCTACATTGGATGAAATAGCTGTGCAAGCAATATTGTCAGACGTTCAAAAAACAGAAGACCAAGAAGATAAAGATGAAAATAATACAAAAATAATTGAACTACCAAGTATAGTTAATCCTCCTGAAGGTAAGGAAACATCTACAGTTGAAGATTATGAGAAAATACCTGTTAATAAATTTGGATTAGCCATGCTTCGAGGTATGGGTTGGGAACAGACAAAAGGTATAGGGAAAAGTTCAAAAGTAATTACTAATAGTTTACCTGAGCCTAGGCCTAAAGGAATGGGTTTAGGTGCTGATAAATTAATTAAATCTGTGCAGAAAGAACAAAATTCCGAGGAAGAACTGAAACTTACACATGGGTCTTATGTACAGTTTGTACTTGGCAGATTAGATGGGCAATATGGAGAAGTTATAGGTTTTGACGAAGGAGATTCAAGAACAGTGGTGAAAATAGCTCGTACTAGTCAAGTGGAAAAAGTGAATGAAACTACATTTCGTTTGGTAACCAAAAGTGACTATGATAAAAACAGTAAAGTCATTAATATTAAAAGATACAAAGAATACCACGAAGGTAAAACTAAATCAGATAACAGTGATAATGAAGATGGTACACATTCTTATGAGAGAAAAAAAAATAGTATACCAGACATTTACAGTTCGAGACATCACAAAACAAAAAAAAGCAAGCATTCCAAATCTCCTCATAGGAAACATAAATCTGACCATAACAAACATAAAAAGTATAAACACAAAAGGTCTTCTTCTTAGTATGTATATATTATTAATTACTATGTATCATGTTTTCATTAAATATTTGTATACAAATTTGAATTCAAATTTTCACATTCTGTTCCATATAACATATTATTTTAATGAATAATTTTATCTTACATCTATACGTATCTCTACTATCTACAGTCAACTCTGTATTTTTACATTGAATTGTTAGTTATTAAAATTGAACTATTAGAAAATTGTATTTCCTTTTGATAAATAAATAAAAGTATGACATGATTACAAACAATATATTATTAAAGAGTTTGACCATTTTTAAGTATTAAAGTTAGGACTTAGAAAGATTTAATGTGTTGCGCTTAGGTTACTCTGATTATATTATTTTATGATTATTATTATTTCAATATTTAATATGTTTGATTTAAAAGGTGTTTGTAAGGGTCACAATACTTTGGTGCGTAAATTTGTAGTGTTACTTAAATTTTGAGAGAAATTATGTGATATTTGTTACACCAATTATATAACCATATTTTTTCATAGAATCTATATAACCTAAATCCACAGTATACTATACAGATTCGTTATGTTAATTCAATCATGGTTTGCATTGACAATAGCTAACCAAATAAACAAATTAAACACAGAAAAATAAGTACAAACATTTTTCTTTTTATTTGTATTAAAATGTTGATAATACTTCACATTTATAACTCAGTTAAACACAAAATGATATTTTCTGAAAATATTATATTGTATACTTTCAATAATTATACAATACTACACTTAGGGAATACAAGTGCAAACTTGATGCATATATACTATATCGAAAATGCTATTAACATTTATGATTTTGTTAAATCTGGTATACTATTAATTGCTAGGTATAAGTACCAGTTATATGTTATTAAAAAAAAGTCAATATAATAATTAATAAAGCTAATAAACTAAATTGCTGCTATAAGAAAAAAACTTACATTAATAATATGCGTTTAAATAATAACTTAACATATATAAATACCTATTTTATAAAATATATACAATTTTTTTTGATATAATCTACTGAAAATAATTCCCATAAAACTAATTTAAAACAAAATAATTTTTCCTAATATTTAACCTGTCAATTTATTCTAGTTATAACAAAAGTTAAGCGATGCAGAAATATTTCTGTAAAAATAATATATATTGTTCTTTTTCGTCATAGAACAGTCATTAATTAATGAATTATGTAAATAATAAACCGTTTTGCATAATAAAATAATGTATAAAAAAACGTAACTATGATAATGATACAAAACCATATATATTTACAATAAGTGTTAGTATTAGTGAATAATTTTTTAAGCAAGGGGCTAAGGTAAATTATTAATAACAGGGAAAGGGGGGAACGCTTTTTTACAGTTTTATATTACAAAATATTATAAAAAAAGCAAATTATTAGACAAAAAATACTGATTAAAAACAAAAGTTATTTTTATTTTCTAAGACATGATAGTTGACATCAATATAAATATAAAATAATAGTAATGATATTACAAACACTACTTTAATTTTGTTAATCAATATTTAAACAATAGTAATATCTGGAAACTTGATCAAAAAGTTTCAATAATGACTAAAAGGAAATGATCAGTCAAATTGATGTACAAGACACCAATTTAAAAACTAATTTAAAATCAGACTTGTTAAGGAGGAACGTATGGTGGAGGTTTGCGATATGATGGAGTTGAAGTCGGTTTTGATCTGTGATTAGAACCAACATTTGAAAACGGCGGTGGAGGAGGTTGATAGGGTGAATCTTCAGTGTCAGCCAACAGAGCTGTAGTGGCCATTGGTGGTGATCTTTGATATTCAGGTGGTGGTAAGGGTGGCTTTTCTTCTCTCATAATTATAGGAGTTTTATTTGTTGGTTCCAACCGTTCGTCCAGTTCATCCTATCACATTATTAACATTAATACTTCAACAAAACAATATATTTCACACAATAGGTAAGCCACTGTTGTATTTGAGACATTAGGAAGGTAGGATATAGAAGGGGAATTTAATATATATCTGTACCATTAAACATTGTGAAAAACAAAAAACAATTCTGAGCAGAGTTCGGTAAAATGTTTTAAAAGATCGCAATATTTACAATTTTTGTCAAAATTTAATATAAAAGTTTTGAATTACTATAATTTTTTTTTGATCACTGTTAAAATTTAGCCAAAAAATTTTAAAGAATACTAAAACATTGTGGTGACAGGCTAATAATATAAGTTTATTTTTTTATTTTATTTTTTATGGATAATTGTAAAGTAGTAAAACAAAAGTTCAGTGCAATGTAGTAGGTTTTTTTATGAAAACCTTTCTAAAACATTTTCAATTGAACTTAGCTTAGAATCATTTTTGCATATAGATATAAATTAAATTAATTTCTATAAGTATTCTACCTTCTCAAGTTCTCACATACAGCAGTGGCATGCTATTAGCAGAATTAGCTCTATTTAAAATTAATAAAGGCAGGTAGTCATTTTTAAACAATTTGAAAAATTACTACTAGTAATGTATGGTGTGAATTTGGATCTACTTTTCTAAATGAGGAGTAACTTATTATTATACTACTGATTCTTACTTGAAATATAACTGGAATACCACGACTTCGAAAACTCTGTCTTTCATCTTCCCCGATCCTTAATTTAGATGATGGTCTTCGTCGATACAATAAACAAGCTAATAATCCAGCAATCAGTATCATGATTAAAATTATGATGGCTGGAATAATGTATGCTGAAAAATACTCGTTAGATTTATCAAATAGATGAGAAATATTGTCATCGTGTGGTGCAACACTGTTGGGATTTTTTGGTGGCCGTACTTCGGTAAGTCCTCCTTCACACATACCAGTAGGTGTGACATGAGCTCCAATTATATTAAATTGAGGACTCATAATTTTTGTCACATTTACTGTTAATTTTTCTTCTTCATTTAATAAAATCTGAAAACGTCAAGACAATAATTTAAACAATGAATCATAGAATATTATGTAAAAATCATAAAGCTTTTTTAAAGTTATCATTAATAACTATTGAAATAAATAAAAATATCAGATAGTGTAAAAAGTAAAATAAAAACAACAAAACAAGATGAAATGCTCATGGTCCTCTTATGGTTTTGCCTATGCCTCGGCATAGGTACAAATCGAGGGTGGTGCTAGGAGCTTAGCTCCCATATAATGGTTATAGTTCCTGCCCAAAAATTAACGATTTCACCACATAGTACATTGGAATTATTATCATAAGGTGTAAAGAACAACACAAGGGCAAAAAAAGTCATCCTCCCCCAAAATGTCAAACACTATTTGCGCCTAGAGTTTTCATCCTTTAAGATGCAATAGAAATTTAATAGTAGTCTAGGACTCATAGAATCAAATGAATCAAATATCAGTTCACTACATTTTTATCACATTTCAGCAGCACCTTCAAAGCAGAGCACCATAGTGATCATTTCAAATCGAGGAAAATTTTTTCTATTTCATCCTGTTTCTATTTTTACATTCCGAGTCTAGCGCGGAATGTATAGATTTTACCATAAAGTTTCTTTTTTGTCTATAAACTACTTTAATATCACAAAGAAAATAAAATTAAGTATAAGGTGCCTAGTACCATTATAACATTTGATTATTTCTCTTTTGAACAAGCCGAGAGTGTTAAATATTTAGTAGCTAATATAAACCATAAACATAATATACAAGGTAACAAATCAAGGTTACCATGCAAAGAGCAAAATGCTCATATCGAAACTCCTTTCAAAAGACACCAAGAAAAATTATACATTGCTTACTTACATCCCATTTTCATAAAAAGCAGTATGATAAGAGCTAAATTGTGATAAGCTGTTGACTTCTGTGAGAAAAATGTTTTGACAAATATATGGACCTTTATTAAACTCTAATAATGGTGTATACAAGCAGAGAAAAAGTTAGACCCATACTATATAACGTACCCAATTTTCAAGATTTTCCAAGGTCGAAAATGTTAGGTTAGGCTTGTCATGTATCGAATACAGACAATAGATTATGTGAGTACTTATTAATAATCCAAGTGAAAAACGACTGGTGGACAGAGATCGATAATATTTTAATTAAATGTATTTGATATACTTTTTTAAAACTAATTTTTTTTTATTTTACAATTTTACATGATTTATAAATATTTGAATAAATTATTTAATAAAAATATATACATTTAAATTTGAATTATCCATTGGTTTTTAATTAAGTTTAGATACAATAACAACAAAATAAAATACAATTTAGATCTTGAAACATTTATTTCTAAAAAATTAAAAAAAAACACTTATTACACTTTCGGGACGTTTTTTTTTTTTATATTTAACAACTACAAATTTAAAAGCTTAGGTATTAGGTTATTATTTAAGACTTAACTTTATTGTATGAAATATATTTTAATTACTCAAATATTAAACACTTAATTAATGAAATTTAAATATTTAAACATAAAAATAAAATCTGATTACGCAATTTGTTGTCATTCTCCGCACTCAGTAAACGCAACTAATAATCAGAATATTATGACATAACTCAATATTATCGTTCGTCATCGTTATCGGCACCCCTTCCAGGTTTAAATACCAACACGTAATGAAGTCCGAAAATATTCGTCTCAAAATAATTATTATTTTCGTGATGTCAAAAATATAAAAAAATTTACATAACTAGGATCTTCAGGTCTATTATGACCTATGAAAGCTGTAACTCTTTTTATACGAAACACGTAATAATTGTTGATAACGAAAGACGTAATATGTAGTTTTGTGCATTGTGATAACTGATAAATTACAATGCATTCTATAGTGAAAAAAGTGGGATCTATTGAAAAAAAGTTAAAAACAAAATATCACGGGTCTTTATGACCTGACGATACCAGTCAAGGGTAAACATAATACCTGATTTATAGTTTTGGAGGTGTTTCAAATCAAATCATAATTTTTTTTTAAAACGGAGGTAAATAAAATTTTAAAAATGATGGTGCCAAAATAAATTTCAGCAAATTATTAGTTTTTGAGCAATTTGGATTTTAAATTTCAGTTATTCAATAGTTTGGTACAAGTAATTTGATACAATTTCAATGTATTTCATGTGTAGCGCAGTTTTTATAAGGTGGGTAGAGTGAGTTACGAGTGGGTTCTGCGGTGAAATCCAATTAACACATCAATTTTTTTAAACTTGTTTTTCGTTTTTCAAATTATAAATTTTAAAAATATAACACTGATGAATGTATATAATTTATAATCTTTTTATTTATTAAATGTTCGTTAAAAAAGAGATTTTGCACAACAAATCCAATAAAACACAAATTAGCCAGTGTATATAATTTTGTACGAAGTTAGCCCTCTGTATAAGATAGGTAGCTCTATGTATAGTGAAACCTCTCGAACTCCAGTATCTCGTAATTTCTGCATGTCAAATTTTTTTTCAATCCCAATTATTTAGTATGGGGTGTAATTCTTTTGGTAACTCGAAGTTTCGATAAGTCGATTTTTTTTTTTTGGTTCCTTGAGACTTTGAAATACCGAGGTTCTCAATATACCGAGGTATAATACAGTAGTATTATAATTTATGAAAAATTAGTGTTTATCTAGTGTCATGGGCCAATACCTAACCATAGGAAATGTCATATTTCCAATTTTAGTGCCAGATTTTTATAAAAATTGTAGTTTTTTTTTTTTTTTCTTAAATCCAACCGACGAGCAATAAAAAGAAGTATTTTCTAAAAAAAAAAAAATTAATCTCTAAACCTAGAAGTTGTATATTCTTGGAAACACATCCATTCGATCGAAGACAATTTGGTCTTAAAAAACCCGTTTTATAGTAATTGTCGGAGGAGGAGATGCTGTACCTTCCAGAGGTCTCCCCTGTAAGTAGTGCTCCTATATTCAAACGATCGAAGTGAACACTCAGATTGTATGAAGGAAGCACGAAACGAAACAGCATTAACCCGACAGCCAAACGTCCTAGGACCTTCTGGATATATCGGCGAAAAGAGCCCTTTTAAGGGCTACCTTTCCAATAAAAACTGCAGACCATACGCAGACTTGTTCAAAAATACAAAGTACAAAATAAAAATAAAAACAAACTTAAGCATAATGAAGACAAAATAAACAAAACTAATGATCAAACAAATAGCAACAAAGGGAATCGTAGAGACTTAATAATATTAGAATCGTGCAATTAAACGTGGAAGAACTTACCAGACCTAAGTCAGAAATCATGGGGAAAATATTCCAAGGGGCGGACGTATTGACTATACAGGAAACACACATTCCTGAAGGTGAATCAAAACGACTATTGATACCTGGTTTCCGTTTAATGGACTATATAGGTCAAACAAACATGGAATAGCAATTTATGTAAATCAACAAATAGACCAACAGCTAATTAAAAGAACGAAAGGAAACCAGTATTCTTTCGGAATAAGCATTGGGAATATCACGATGTATAATGTGTACAAACCACCTTCAAGCAAGTGGTGCGACTCCGTGCTTTCGTCTTGTCAACATTCGGGAATTTTCATAGGAGATATCAATAGCCACAGTACTGAATGGAGATACAACGAAGAAGATGAAAATGGTGAGAAACTTGTCAACTGGGCTAATATTAATCATACTTTTCTGATATAAGATGCTAAACAAGGCAGAACCTTCAACTCAGGCATATGGGGTACTACTACGTCCCCAGACCTATGCTTCGTTACAAAAAGTGAGTTAGACCAACCCTTACAAGACGTACAATATTGAATAAGTTCCCCAAAAGTCAACAGTATCCAACTTTAGTAGAAGTGGGAATAAACCTAACTAGGAACAATAAACCAGAACTGCCTACATGGAACTTGCGTAAGGAGAACTGGGATTTTCCAAATATATAGAGGATAACATCAATCGAATAGAGCCAGTTCCAGAAAATTACATCAGATTGATTAAGCTCCTCAAGACGGCAGCATCGAAAGTCCATACCTAGAGGACACGTACATAATTATATTTCATGCTGAAACAAAGGAGGCGAAGAGGTTCTCAGAGGATATTAGGAAAACAGGAATGAAATCTCGGCTAAAAGACTAACAAACTTACTTGATAAGGAGAGAAGAAAAGATGGATTAATGCAGTAAAGTCTGGACTTTTCGAAATCAAATAGAAAAAGTTAGATAAAGTATTAAACGTCAAACAGAAAGAACAAGAAAAGTTCGAAATAAGGAAACTACTTGTTAATGAACTCTCCTTGTGCAAGGACTCGCCGCCACTAGTTGATACTTTTACTAAGATCTAAGTTGACATAACCTTAAAAGCTGTTAAAAACGGCAAAGCTGCTGAAGCGGATGGCATCCTACTAGAATTTCTAAATAACCTAGGGGTCAAAGGGAGAAATCGGTTAGCTAAATTAACAACAAATATTGCAAATTCCGGAGTCTTCTTAAAATTATGAAGAGGCTAAAGTGATAGCCATTTTAAAACCGAGGAAGACAGCAAATGACGCCAGCAACTATAGACCAATCTGCTCTGACACATGTGGACAGATTTAAATAAAGCTAGGTCTAATCAGAGTAGAAGTAAAAGTCTCCTACACAAATGGGACATTCTCCTTTATGTTCGCGAGGAGCCGAACAAACAATACAACACATCATTGAAGAGTGTCCTAATACTAAGTTCAACGGGGGTAAAACAAGACTGCACAAAGCCGAAGAGAATGCAGTAACATGGATAAATAATCTGGAGATACGTTTGTGAAGACGCCTGCCTTTATATAATTATCCGAGTAATATTTCATTTGGAAATTGTCATTACTTTAAACATTAGATATAACTGTAGCTATCCTGTTATGTTGCTATGTTATTTTGTTATTTATTTACTTGTCGTTAACATACTTATACTTATTCCGATTTATATTTATATCTACTACTTATTTATTTATTTGTTATTTTTTTTTATTTACTTATTTCTCTATTCATAAACTTATTTATGTATTTAATATTTTATTCATGTTTTTGGACCACATTTTTTCACTCCAGACACCTGTGTTCAGGGTCCTTTTTCTCTAGTATTCATAAATCTAATCGCCAATCATGGTTAACAATCAAGTATAAATATAATCTTTATTATCTATGTCAAAATACTATTGTAAATTAAAGTAAACACAAAGAGTATTCTATAAATTGTTTATGAACTCCTTGAAAAAGTCAAAAGTCAACTATGAGTCTCTCTCGCACATAATATGATTGTATCAAGGTGTTATACACAAAATGAGTACAATACATTTTCTATGTCTATAGATTGGACTGAGTAAAAGACGACTAAAAGATTAATAAATGGAAAGAGTAATAAGGACGCAGAGGTCAAGAAAGCTGAAGAGCTCAGGTAGAAGCAAAAAAAAAACTAAATAAACACCAATTTTCTACCACAAATCTCTGATCAAAAAATAACCAAGAGACTTTTTTTTGTTTCATTTTAGATCTAGTTGGCACATAAGGTAATTTTTTGATTTTAATAATTGGAAAAACTGTACAAATCTTTTATCAGACAAATATTTACGATACAATGTGGATATTACCCATGTCATTATTTATAATTTGTATGGTTTATGTTATAAACCAGCAATCGAAAAAACGACAAAAGATACTTTTTGATGCATTTAATGTTGGTTAGTAGTAAATTGTATTAATTGTCTAACCAGTTTTCATAATAGGGAAAACTGAAAAAAAAAGGTAAAAAAAAAAAAAAAAGGAAATGGGCCATACAGTAATTTTTACTGTTTTAATGGTTTCATTATTTTCAGATAATAATTAAAATTTAAGATTTACATGCAACTATACCAATGTTAAATAACACATACTTGTCTCAAGTGAAGAATTTTATCTTCATCACATCGATCAATTTCCAATGTTTTATTGTACCATGTCACCATTGTCATACCATTTACTGAACCAATTCCAAGAACAACAATATTAGATGTATTTTCATCTTTAAAAAGTTTGGCCACTCTTTCAATAAAAGTTTTTTTTAATTTGGCAGAATTATTAAATTCTTTAAATTCTGGAGTTTTAAATATTATATCAAATTCAGCTGACGGTAATGGTTTAGTTGAATTATGAATAGTTACTACTAAACTATCATGATATGAGTTACCTCCTTTATCAGTACAAATCTAAATTACAGAAAATAATTTAACAAGATAAATCAATTTTTGAAAAATAATAAAACTTACAAGTTGGTATTCTGAAAAGTTTTTATCACCCCACAAGGGAATTCCATAAAATTCTTGATTTTTAGCATCAAATTGTAACCAGCTGTTAGTTGGAACTTGTGTACGATCAATTGTCATCAAAGATAGTTTTAGTCTACGCGAAGAACCATCTTCCGGATCATAAAATGTATCCTAAAATATTTATATATTAAATGTAGGTATATTATGCAAATTCAAATAATAAGTAAATTATGTACACAATCTAATTTCATTGGTTTATTTAGTTATACTTATCAAAACCAAAAATAAGTTATTTACCTCTGGTACTACATAAGTTAATAGTTGTCCATAAGTGGCATTAATAAGATCAACTGGATTGCGTAGCACAGGCGTGAAGTTGTTCTGATTAGGACGTGGAAGTGTTGAAGCACAATTTCCTAATCCTTGCCAACTAAAATCTTCCAAAACAACTGAAGAACCAAACAATTTTGTAGATTTCATTTTACTACTCTTTTCAGGTTTTAAAACCTATACACAAATAAATTATTATTTTATTAGAGGTTATAAGAAAAATAACATGTCCAACATACTTCTAAAATTGACATTATTTGTTCTTTAGGACAGATATCGCGAGGTAATGTATCGTTAGTCCAGGTAAATAGAATACTTGGTCTATCCTTATTCGTTGCCAACATAGAGGTTCTAGGCCAGTCTAAGACTGTAATATCTTTAATATTAGTCTCGTAAATAGCACTTATTTTATCAATGATATCTAAGCTCCAATTAACTGGCCGAGTCCATGCTAATGAGTCTGGCTTTAAGCGCATTTGCAATGTCAACTGGTGATTAATAGCTCTTAAATGATGCAATTGCTGGACAACTAATTCTAATGTATTGTTTACAGTTAGTTTTCCAGAATCTTTTGCTTCAAATACTACTTCCCATTTTGATACATGGTCCTCTAATGGTCTATTAAAATAAAATATAAATTTAAGAAAAAATATTATAATGACTTTAAATATATTTATTACGTACAAAGCAAGTAAAATTTGTTTTTCTGCATCAAATTCAACCCATGATAAAAGTGATGGATCTGTGTTTAACATTGTCAATGTTAAGTGTTTAACATCTCCATCTTCAGGATCATAGAACACATTGTTTGGAATAGGATACCTATTAATATAATAATATTAATAGTTTTGAATGTGTAAAATATTTTTTAATATTTATTTCTGCAAATATTTTACCTTAAAGGTTTTCCAGCTGTAATGGGAAGTTTAGGTAGCTTTTGTTTAATAATTGGTGGCATGTTAGGATTTATACCATTTATTGAAGACACAATTGAAGTACTAATAGAAACCTCAGTAATATCTTTTAATTTTTCAGTCTCTAAAGTAACTGATTCATCATAGGTAGATATATTTTCACCAGGTAGGGTTATTGGACTCATATCTACTGATTGCTATGAATAAAATATTAATATTTAATAGTTAAATAAAAGTACCTAACAATTAACTGATAAAACATACACCCAAATCGTGATTTGAAAGAATGGAAGACTTAGGCTCAAAAAATATAGGGGTTGGTTGAATATTTTCATAAGACCCAATAACTCCATTTGAATCGAATGTTGGAGATAAATTTGTACTCTATGAATATTGCAAAGATATTTCAATTAAATCCAAAAATCGAGAAAATATATTATATTATTAGTTAAATTATTTACTTGAACAGGCTCAGTGTTAATCATAATGTCTTTTGGAATAACCAATATTGATTCATCCCTACGATGATGTCTATGAAGACGATCAGTAGCATATTGATCGAAAATAAATACTGGAGATGGTTCAACAAGTGTTTGTCTTGTATCTGGAATAATTTCTTCATCATCATCAACATCATCATCAGATTCATTATCTTTAATAGTGTTTTTGGTATCATCAGATTCAGAATTTGTTGAAGAAGATTTGTCATATTTTGCACCAGTTAGCTAAACATTTTTGATCTTATAATCTCATATTGACTAAAAATAATAATAGTAATTTTACTTGACGACGGCCTCGTAAAGGGTTTAATGAATTTACTAATCTCCAACTAGTAACTGGTAATTGTAGTACTTCAGATAATGTTCCATCAACTGCATTACTCTGCATTTGACGTACATGATCCATATGTTCTGGCCAAATATCACCTCCACATCCAACCTACAAAGTATTAATTTTTCAGTTTTGTAACAAAAAAATTTGATTATATTTAATTATCATTTTATACCTCCCATAAGACAAAAGATGTGTCATTGAATTGATGGTTTTTATGAGACTGTCTCTCAGATGATTTTAGAAAATCTATTAACCAGGAAGATACACTTTCTTGAGGCACTAATAGTACAGCATCCTGAAAATAATTTTTTTTTTAAATATGAACTAAAATTCTAAACAAATTTACTATTACCTGAGGAAGATTTAAAAATCCTGCCAAATTTTTCAGTGCAATCAACCTCTGTAATGGTTGAATGCTCTTAAAATTCATACCAATAACAAGGCAAAGTAAAATAGAATCTTGATTACTTCCGCACTTTTTCTAAAAAATCGTATTATTTACTACAATAATATTTATAGTATGCCAAAATAAAAATAAGATAATACAAACATTATTTCGAACATTTTTCCATTTTAATGGTGCTACTCTAATATAGGCAACATTAGAAATTGGCAATCTTCGACTTTTGTCTCCTGCTCGTACCAATAGACGATCACGGACATCTTCAGGTCCAGGTATGCCTTCAAGCTCACCTATACCTGGAAGTGATTGAACCAACCAGCTTGGAAGCCCACCACCATCTTGGCCCACAAACTAAACAAAGTAAAATAAAATATTAAATTGATTATGTTTCAATTGTTTCATTATAATTTTATCTAATAAATAGTGATTAGGTTAATTAATAAAAAATAATAATGTTTTCAAAATTAATACAATAGATATGTGCATAGTATATTTGTAATATTTAAATTAAAAATTACAATTATAAAGTGAAATAAAGTAATATATTCCTATATTACAATTATATGCCTTATAATGTATCAAATATACTAATTTTTCATAATAAAATAAGAACAAAATTATTAAAATGAGTAATACTCGTAAATAAATATAAAAATGAATACATAAAAATAAAAATAAATTAATTAATGAGTACTATTATGATAAGTGTATTATAAACACTTATTATTTAAAAACTCATCATCAGGTATATCATTCGTTCATTTTATTTATATATTTATTTATTATACCTATTTTTCAACAAATAAAAACAAAAAATGGTGTTAATATTAATTTAAAATAAATTATATATATATATATATATATATATATATATAAATATACATAATTGTGCATTCATTAAATATATCAATTTTTTAAAAAATTATAAAGTTTTCCAAAAAAACTGGGTTAATTTAATTCAAAGTAAAATAACTAAAAAATTACAATTTACATAGGTTAAAAAACTTTGTTTGGTTAATATTTACCATACAAATTTTTAATATTATATTTAAAACTGTTTAAAATATGCTACTAAATCTGGAAATAATATAAGCATCTATATGCTCGAAAATGTCAAATATGCAAATATATGTAAAATAAGTTTGTATATTTGAAATCTAGACTTCATGAATCAAATTTATATCATATTAAGGTATAATTTTGATTTTGCTAAAAAATCTAAAAAAAATCTAGTCATAAACATCCAATCTCTAGTAATAAAAATAATATTTGATTATATTATGTTTTTATCATTTATGAACATTATTCAAAATAAATTAGTGATCCACAGAATACTGTCGGACAAAATCTTGCCAAAAAAACAAATAGGATGAAATAAATTACAAAGTAAATTTTTAGACAAATTTTTTAATTCACTTTTAAAAATCATTAAATGAATGTGTTTAAAAAGTTGTTTTAAACACTTAAAATAATTTTTTAAACGTAATTATTTATACATATTTTTTTTTCAAATTTGTATTATTTTATTTTACTTAAGTTACAATTTAATTTATATATATATATATATATTTGTAAACTTCATGTTTTGTATAAAATATATACATAAAAAACAAACCTTCATAAAATGTACATTTAATGTTTGTAAAAACAACACAATTGATACATAAATATATAATTATAATACAATCATTTAAAAATATAAGTCATAATTTGTAAAAAAAAAAAAAAAGGCTGTCCTGTAATAATAGTTCAGTTGATAGTGTTGCTTAGGCAACAATATGTCATATTATGGTAAAATATATACATTATATTTTTTCTTTAATAATCTACTTATTTTCTCAATTTTTCCCATTTATTGTGAAAACTCCTGGAAAAATCAAAAAATGACCCCCCTAAATTACCTCCCCAGCCAGATTTCTTTTCAGAAAAAGTGCTATCATTGTAAATTGGAGCTAATGTTCTTCGTAAAAAATTAGTTCACAGAAAAATAAAAACATCATTGTAGAACCATAAGCTTTTTTGCTCCATTCAGAATCTAAAATACATGAATATACTATACCCCCAGAATGGTCAAACTTTTTTTTGGAGATCTATTATGAATATTTCTCCTTTGATGATTGACTTCCTAACAAAAATGTATAATTATAAAATACTGAATAGTAATTAAAAATAAACATAGATATGCAAATAATAAAACTAAAATGTATAGTTAAATAATGTTTTATCACACTTTTACTAAGACTGATATAATACAGGGTGATTTTTATCTATTTATGCAACTGATATCGATAAATTAAAAATTCACTCACAATAAATATATTTTTAAATTTTTTTTTATGTAGTATCATTTGGTTGTAATAATATACCTTATTTTGTTCTTTTGGTTGTCATAAAAATTGTAAATTTTTGGTGTTTGAAAAATGAAAATCTCAAAGGTCAGTGGCGAAATAACCTAGATATTAAACTAAAAACAACATTGTTTTAGGTGAAAAACATTTTAAACTTGAAAATATAGAGATAAATAAAAAAAAAGATCAAAAAGCAAATGTTGTTTTATCGGTAAGTAAAAAACTTATGACAAAGATTACGAACATCCCTTTTCTCACACAGGTTTATTCAACCTTCCCAACTTTTTGTATATGTTTAATATTTATGTTAAGCCCGGTTCACACAATCAAATATTTTATCATACTATCCATATCTAAAATTTTGCAATGATTGGTCAAATATAACATTTGCAAATTTAATTTGTACAATAATTATCATAGGTAGCATTTATAGTAACATTGATTATTGTTTTATGCTCAATGGTAGTATAGGTACTAATCATATCTATACGTACGATCGTAAACACAATGCAGTTAAATTTCATCAATATCATGGTACTAAATCATTAGGATATTCTTACTTTAGAGCTACAACATGAGTTACGAAGGTGAAAAATTAATAAAACTATACAAATTATGGCAACTAAGGAAATTGTTCAAAAACAAATGTTCAAGGTTAAAATTTAAGTAAATAAGTAGGTAATTATATAAGTACTTTAGTACCTACTTTAACTTTCAATCCAGACTTTCAGTCTAGCAATACATACTTTTACTCTCTTCAGTGTCATTGAATACTAATTTCATTTTATCTAAAATTCTGAATAGATAATAAAATGATTAAATTATAATATATAGACAATGATAAAATTAGTTATCAATTTAATAATCCAATATTTGATTAAACTGTCAAATATTTTAGAGATGTTTCTAAAATATTTGATCGTGTAAACCGGGCTTTATTGATGTTCGTTGTTGGTAATTTGAGAATTTAGAATGATGATTATTATTTTTTTTCACCCTAATCTCAAAAATCAAAGTTATACTTGTTACGTTATTGAAATAGCTCAGATTCCCGGCCTTATCTTATAAAACTGCACTTATTACAATAAAATATTAAACATTAATTATCTAAATACAATAAAATTATATTACATAATATGAAATAAAAAATAGTTTTATATGAAGGATAAACATTATTTGTGTTCAAGGACATATTTAAACAGTTATTTTAAAACTGAATATTTAAAATATTTAATCAATTATTAAACTATACAATATTAATTACATGTATGTTTAATATTAACATTCTAATATTAATTATTGACCAATCGAGCAGGTTTCAACATCACATTTTTTTTGAATAATAATATTATTATTACTAATACTTCTCCATAGTATTAGTACAAAATACAATTCATTGGAAAAATAACATTGTGCTAAGTTATTATTTTTAGGTTCTTATTATTTATTACAATTCTAAAGCATTATGGACTTAAGTAGCATTCTGGTAAAACTAGAAAAAATATTAATAAATATAAAAATAAAAACAGCTAAAAACATTTGCACAAGTATAAAAAAAAGGTAATTGTTAATAATAAATACTATACTTCATTCAACTTGAGAATATACCGGGTGGCGGATGAAAACATGTCCGTTTTCACGCATGAGTTTCTACTCTCGGTATTGATATTGCTTCATCCACTCACCACCTTATCCAATGTGTATCTGTGAAACTGGTATACTCTTAAGTTGAATAGACTATATAGGGATGGCAAATCCATGGTAAGCGAAAAATTAAAATATTTTTACTATAATATATATTATATAATATTATAATAGGTAAAAAAATTTGAGTATACAGCTTTTATTGGTCAATAATGATTATTCAATTTTATCTGTAGATAAAATATTAATATATAATATATAGTATTGCATTTAGTATATTATCTATGTTTATTGTGAGTAATTAACCTACCTCAGCAAACACTAATCAGTACAAATACGTCTGTCAATTTGTAAGTGCGTCGTGCGTGTTTCGTGTGCAATTATTATATTTCAGGTAAAATTAAGAATATTTAACGTTGACATAATAAACAAAAATTTCAAATATTTTCCTAACCTTAAAAAGTTTATTTCGGAATTAGAAATTTTCAAGAAACATGATATTAATCATCTTATCCAAGAATTTTTAAATATTATTGAAATAGCTATCAATGAGTTCTCTACATGTTTTACTTAGTTTAAAGAATTTGAAGAAACCATGAAAATTATTATTTATCCAGACACATTGTCATTAAAAAAACTCAACGTAAAAGTGTTTGAATGGTTGAATTTAGATAATTTTGAAATGCAGCTTGTAGATTTTCAGTCGAGTACCAAATGAAAAGAAAAATTTGTTATACTGAGAAATGAATTAGAAGAAATTCAGCGTGATAGGGCGAAAGGCAAATTGATTGTAATCATAAGGAACAAGATTTTAAAATTGTGGAATTAAATTTCAAAAGATTATTCTGCTTTAAAAATAGTAACTGTTTTGTCTATTTTTTCTTTAACTTATTTATGCGAGTCACTTTTTTCAGAAGTGAAATTTATAAAATCTGATTTAAGAAACCGATTAACTGATGAATGCAGTGCCGCTTGTACTTTATTAAAAGATACTAATTATAAACCAAATATCAACGAATTGGCATCAAATATTCAACAACAAAAATCACATCAAAATAAATAATTAACAAAGTAATATTATTATAATTGTATGTACCTAAACTAACCTTTTTTTTTATACTAAATTATACAATCAAATTATGATAATTTTTTTTTATAATATTGAATAAAACAAAATATTTTTCATGGCACGTTCGAAAAAAAAAAAAGGTAATTTTTGACACATAGTGTTTGCCACCCCTAGACTATACAATGAAACCAAAAGTAATCAAGGAAATAACTCATTTAATTCATTCAAAATCAGATAATTCCTGTTTGTTATGTTACAAAAAGGTATAAAATGATATACATAGATCCATAAACTTATATAAACTTAATTTATAAGTATATACATAAATATGCTAATTACCGGGTAACAATTTTATGTTTAAATAATAACCATACATTTTGAGTTATCAAAATTAAAATGTTTGTGTTCTGGGTTTTTTTTTTTCAAGGAAATTGGAAAAATTAACCATTGATAACTTGTTTTTGGTTAAAAAAAAAAACATGCTGTTAATTTTAAATTTGAATTAATTTTAAAAATTGTAAAGGCACAAGAAAGATACTTTAAAGCAGTGACACAACCTTCGAGCATCGCATCATCCTTTCAACCATATATATAACTAGTCTAATAACCACCTAAACCCAGCGCCCATATGTACTAATATTAAAGTAAATTATAAAGTGAATGGACTTATTATCAAACTTAGAGGTAAGAACGTTATCTATGCAACTACACTGGTTTTTTTAATACTATTATTTTTTAAGCAAGATATAAAAAATTTTTAATTGTGATATTTCACATACTAATATTTCACTTAAAAAATAAAATATCAAAATATAAAATCAACAGTAGGGCACATTATAATCGTCTCACCTGTAAGTAACACAAATTTAACTAACAACAACTTCTGAAAAGATATTTGCTTTTATGCTTTTGTAAGACAAAACAATACATACAAGGTGGCATTCTCCTAATATAGTTATATAAAAAATCTCAAATATTATACTAGAGACTAAAAAAAAATAATATTGCCTACAGAAAAGTATTCTACTATTTTATTAGTAAATACTTAATAGGTATTAATAAGGCTAAATATATTTACCATGTGATGGGTAGATTGGTTACCCAACTTAACTATTAACATATAGTCTTAGTAAAAGAGTATTTTTTAAATATTTTAAGTAACTGTTTGTAACATTTGTTTTGAATCTTTACATTAGCATTACTATTATAATAAATAGGTAATCAACATTATGATTTTATTTAATTAGGTATCACAGCTGCCACAAAATTCTATTTTGAATTTCTCCCACCTCTTTCATGTTTTTTCCAGGATATATTTGTCCAGTTTAAAAAAAAATTAATAAATAATATAGGTATACAACATGTATCTCATACAAATAATTGTAACCTAAATTTGTTTTTAAAAATTGAATACTGTTTTTAATAGCGAAATGAATAAATATAACAATGCCTAATAAACAATGAATAATTATTAATTTAATTATTTGTATTATTTATATATTATATATTTGTATTATGCATAATTTATTCAGGAACTAGTAATATAAATCAACGTATGGATTGCATAAATGACACAAACATGATTCAATTTATAACGTAATATCATATACAATTAATTAACTACATACCTACCTATTATCCCTAGTGTATTAGTCATACATAATATATAATATTAAAAGTACAAAATACTCACGTCAATAGGGCCAGTATTATCAACAACAGAATCGTGCGAAATTTTGAAATAGAACAGCTTGCCGACGGTAGCTACTGGTTCAGGAATACTCCACCATTTGTGTTTGACGTCGCCGGACTTGTGTGCAAACGTCAGACACAACCATAACGAAAATATAGTAAAGAAACCCTTCATCATTTGGACACTAGAATTGAAACAAATTGCCTAAATTGAGAATAGGTTGTATTTAAAGGGTTACGCGCGACATATGGCACGGCATAGAACAGCCGTTTGGGGTCAAAAAATAATATTCTAAAACATAAAAAGATAGGTTACATTCGATGACACCCACACACGGGGTCGAACAACTGGCAAACATGTTACCCGTGGACGGGATTGAGGGTGGCCCATCGGTCGCAGATGAGTTTGACAGACTCTCAGACAACAATAACGGATAAAATGACGTGTTCGCGTGAAAACTTACTGTCTGTTGTGGTATTTGGATGCAAAATCAGCAAATATTGCAGCCTGAGAAGATTACAGTGGCGCGCGGCAGTATAAACAACACCGGGTGACACGGCCTGACGTCACGGTCGTAAAGTAATGGACTAATGGCCGATACCCGTAATCTTCATCTTCTACAGCCGTAGCAACAAAGATAATAAATAATAATGTGATGGCCTAACTATTAAATATTATAATATACGGCCGTAACGTGAATACCGTTCCCACAGAAATATATGTTCCATAGTGGTAGTACGTGATGAGGGCGGTAGTGGGCCGGATGCAGCAGTGGTGGTACCGTACTAGGATATAATGTGCACCGGGTGGGAGGTACGTGGGATGATACAAGAGGGGATAATAATAACAATAACATAATATTCTCCAAAGAATTCCCAGACAAAGTTTGTGATTTTCATTAGATTTTAACGCCTGTTAGCAGACCCACCTAGATGGCGCGCTATATACTGTTGATACATTTAAGGTTCTGAGCGAAGTGAGTATCCAATTTATTGGTTTTACAATGATGTTTATTTTTTGTACTTTAGTACAAATGATGTGATAGTATTGTTAGGACCACCCGGTCTAATATAATAGATGTAATAAAACGTAGTCATTAGTATTCAATTGATATTGTATCCGGAAGACCTCGATTGTATTTTGTTATATTATCATTTTGTGTTGTAAGTAATTAATTAATATTATATTGCGTAATAAGGAAAAGTAGTACAGATATGTACTTAGAATAGTAACTGCCCAAATTAAAGGTTCTTAAGGTATATAAAGAGAACTCGGGGGACACTAGTCAACCAGTCATTACCGAGTGTGAAACAAGTACCTATGTATTTGTCATATCTGTGTAAATAATAAACTAAGTTTAGAACAATTGTTGTTTATTTTCTTAAGTTTAAAATCCAAATCCTTATAAACTCGTTTTGAGTCTACTTGGCTCATAACAGTATCTAGAAATTCGTTGGTACAAACCGGTATACCATGTTGATGCCAATTCGTTCATACCGGTGTGATTCGGATATTATGGTACTATGTTATCTATTCTATGTTAGTATTTTTGAATAATTCAAACATTAGGCGGCTCTCACACCGGAGCAATAGGCAATGAGCAACTAGCAATCGGCGATAAGCAATAATATTGCCATTTGAATAATCTTGTAGAAAATAGTGAATGTTCTCACACCAAAGCAACACGATGTTTGCTGTTGCGAACTTGTAACAACACGTATTGCCAGCGATACGACTGTCGTGTTGCCGGTCGATATTTATTGACAGTGTTGAGCAATACGAATTATTTGTATTTATATTATATTATATTAATTCGTGTAACCTTATTTTTAATCTTTCTTTATTTTAATAAAATTAAAAACGTGTGATGAATCCGTGTTGAACAATATCCATGTCTCTATGATTTCAATCGGGATGATCACAGTAGACGAAACGTAGCTGAAAAGGCAAGGAATTCAATTGGAACAGAATTTAAATTATCAGGTATGTATATTTTATTTAATACTAAAGAATTAATAAATTTGTTCATCTATATGTTATGTATAAAAATAATAAATATATAAGAAAAACATAGTCAAGAGTACTTTCTATCAATTAATTCTAGTAGTTTTATTTTTAATTACACTGTGTAATTTTCTTGCCAAGGCAATGCATTTTCCGGTTTCAAAAAATACTTTTTCAAATAATCTCTTAATTCGTGTACAGATTTATTACTACAATGTTTATTGTTTGATTGTAACGTCTGTATTCTCTGATTTTAACTTATACTGAAAAATGACCCTCAACTATTTTAATAAAATTGTGTAGAATATATGCAGCCTTTATAACTGATTGCAGTACCTTCATGACACATTATTGGTCTCTGAAATATTTCAAATTTTCACACTAACATTCTAAATGCGCATTCCACGCTTTTTCATCCACGTGACATTCTATAGTTATATATTCGTTTTTCATTACAGATTTATATTGAGAGGAAATGCTTAATCAAAAGATGAAGTTTAAGTTCATCTACATACACATTTGAACCATATTTGACAAGTTGTTTAAACTCTAGGTTAATCCAATATTTACGGTTTTTATTTATCTCCTTCTTCTTAAGTACCATCAGAAGAAAACATCGTCCTCATCAGATGATGACATGGTTGTTACCGCGTTGCTTCTATTTGAGAGCTGGGGGGGGGGGCAATACGTATTGTCTGTTGAATATTGTGAGTTACTACAGATATGTAGTTGCTCGTTGACTATTGCTCCGGTGTGAGAGCCGCTTTACTGAATTTTTTTTCGAAATAGTTATTCTAGTGATACTAGAATGCTGATTGATATAGTTTAATAACAGTACAGTTTGGATCACTACTATAATACGCGTGACAGCTGAAATGAAAATAAAATAAGTGTCTATGCAGTTCATTTTTTGATAATTATTAATTATATTCAATACTTACGTTCAAAAATATGATCATCTAAAATGCACCAATTTACGTTTGATGCCATTATTATTTTAATTATTTATTTTTTAAATAATATTTTAAAATTAATTTAAAAAATGTGAACATAACAAACATAGAAAAAAGATAATAACAAGTAAAACTTGACAGAGTCGGTCGGTTAGTGATAGTGGTGCGAAACCGCCACAGAAAAATTTATAAGGTTGGATGAATTTCAGAAGAAATCGGACAATACCAGTAATGTAAGAGCAATGAGGATTTAAGTAGGTAGGTATCTATTATCTTATCTAATAGTTTATTATTTATTATTATTATTTTTTGTCGATCGATTTTATGCCTAACCTAACCTATCCAGTGTTTTGTCGGAACCGTATTTTGTTTGATCCGCATTTGGTCGGAAAAATATGTATAATAATATATATATATATTATATTCTAATATTTTACCGCCTCCACATTGTAATCTGATGACGTATGCCAGTAGTTTTCAACCTTTTTGGGTCTACGGCTCTTCTGATTTCGAAAACCAAATTAGCGGCTCTCTTATGAATAATAATTATATAGTAATACATAAAAAAAAAAATAAAAAAATGTACTGTTTATATTTATTATAGACGTGGCTCCCTTAATAATAAACCACGACGCTCCCGGGAGCCGCCACGCACAGGTTAAAAACTACTGACGTATACAATATTACATTTCGATTATGATGATAACGGTTTGAATAGAATATTTATTTTTAGATTTAATGTAAACAATAATCACAATAGATTCAATTTATAGGTATTAAATTTCATGGAATTTATAATATTTAAATTGACCACACAGCACATACACTTCTTCCACTGCAGGCCACCGGTCAGTGATTCACGATATAAAAAGACGTCTTGGATAATGGTGACGGGTGTAGGCTACTGGTATAGATAATTTTAGCAACGATAAACCATTGCTTACGAAAAAACGATTCTGAGTGAAGTCCAGTTAATTGTGATTATTTGTCAACAATATATATGTCATTTTATAGTAAAATAATTAAAAAGGCTTTATATATTTTCTTTAATAATAATATTTGTTTAATGTTCTATAGATTTTCCCAGTTTTTCTACGTTTTTCCTGGTTTTTCAAATTTACTGAAAAACTTCAGAGAAAACCGAAAAATGACCTCTTCAAAGTACCTCCCTATTGAAATCTCCTTTTAGAAACATTGCTATTATTAAAAGTTGTGCACATGAAAAAAAATCATAATATTTTAGTAATTTATTTCGTTTATTTTCTCGGTTTTTTTAAATTTTATGAGAAAACTCTTGAAAAAATCGAAAAATAACTTTTCTAAAGTACCTCTCCATTCCGATTTCCTTTCAGAAAAGGTGTTACACTGAGAAATCCGAGGAAGTCTTCTGGTAGAAAAGTTGCTCACAGATGAAAAAATAACAATAAACATCTTTGTAAAACCATAAGCTTCTTGGTTCCACTCAGAATCTAAAAAGCGTCTTATGCTCTAACACAATTATTTTATGTAATATATTTTTCAACCAAATGAGGGAGGCTCGTGTCCCCCGCAACCTTTCCCTGGATCCACTACTGTATCATATTTACTATATTACACATTTATCATGGTTTATGTTCATTTTTATGTTAATCAAATTATTAGGACCGACCATTATTTAAAAACATTTTTTTTTATTAATCATGGCATCATGGAAACAAATTTGTGGGTTTTGGATATAAAAAAATAGAGAAGCTAAACAAAAATATATTGATAAACAATTAGGAAGTTTCACAACATTTATATTGAAATCTACAGGAATTCAACAATCAAATTTAACTGTTATTATTCATTATATATTAATAATATATTAAAATTGTGTATTATATATTTTGCTTTTGACGGAATGGGTGGCATTATATTTTCCGAAGGGCGGAAATTTCTCGCGGCGGACCTGGAGGACAGTTCTTGATTTTCTGAGGTTTTTTCGAAATAATCAGGAAAAACTGAAAGAAAATTATAGGTAAAACGGCAAATATTTACGGTGCGCCGCGACGTTACCGTTTTCATTGTGTTTATACGATGTTTTATACCAGAAATATTGCTCCAACCTAAAAATGACAAGGGATCGATTTAGATACTCTGTAGATAAATTGTTATATTTAACAGAAATACTTGACAATTTGATAGGAGGTTCATTATCAGTATTACTTAGTGGTACTTAGTTTGATATTATCATATTTCTTTGGTCCTATATATTTTTACCATATGGTAGGTATTTTATCACACGATACCACAATAAACAAACTATACCATATAGTTGAATTTGTTTAGTTAAACTTTTGACCATTCAGTTACCATAGAGTAATAGTTACTCTAAGGTGGTTACATATATTGTCCGCAGAAAAGCGATAACAAAAAAAAAGATAAAATATTATCATCAGGGTACAATATTAATATAATTGATAAGGGATTTGATATCATTGGTATAAGCACTAGTGTTCATGGTATAAACATAGAAAACGAAGGCACACGATCGTTAATCATACGATATGGTGTAGTGTAATAGTGTGTACCGGTTTTATAGTTATCATTTATTGGTGATTTTGAATTTTTCGATTTATTTATTGATACTAAGAATAGTTCCAAAATATTCGATTTAAAACTTTTATCAAATGCAATAAATACAGTAGCTATATCATCATCAGAGTGTGAACGTGTATTCAGTTCTATGAATAACATTATACTATGAAAAGAACTGCATTGTTTACTAAAAAATATATTATCGTTATTATATATACACTGTATTGGTCCTCTTGTAAATTTTTTTTTAACCAAGCTGTTATATTTCATTCTAAATACGCAATGGTAATAATCGGCTGATTAAGAATGTTGTCCAAAAAGAAATGTAAACGATGAACAACACACTTATCAAAATATGTGTTCTCTTTTGAATAAAAATCAATAATTATGAATTTTGTTATTTATTTTGTATATTGAATAAACATGTTGATTATTATTTTTTTATTTTATACTACAATAACATGTAGGACCTACATATTACTATCAAAATATATTTGGAATTTTAATATTTGTAGTTGAAAAGTGGTATTCAAAATGCTGGTAAGGTAGAACAGGGCTTTGCCCCCCCCCACGTGTCTGTTTAAATGACTGTGCATTTGGAACATAGTTTTTACATCGTTGGATTGAGCTCCTCTACTTAATTTTTTCCAATTTGAGCACTGATGATATCTATATTGTTGACGCGCGGGGTCAGGAAAAAAAGTAATATCATTGGTTACTACTGCATGTTATATTGTAGATACCATATAATTGGTAGGTACCTACACCATAATATAATACTATTGACTATATTATATATTCAATGATAATATTTTAAACGTTTTCATAATAGTAATTATCTGAGCAAGCAATCGAAATCTGCAGTCCATTATCGAATAGAAGTCATTTTTGGCTACTATTGTAGTGAAAGTACGAAATTTATAAAAATCAACTTAAAATAAACCTATAACATAATACCTATACACTCGTACAGCACACGCCGGCTGCCGTCGTCGTTATCGCTGCACTGGATAACGACTATTCAATAACTCCAAATCGCACACCGATTGTTGATACTTGATAACAAAATATATTGATAATCATATCGAAAATTGTTAAAACGTTGTAACATATCATATATGTTTTAAATAAGTACATTTTTTCATAGACATCGACATATTTTTTACACTCCATGGAGTGGTATATAATATCATGCATTTTCTTTTTAAATTAAACATTTTTTTTTTATAAATTTATTACGAATATTTTATTATTGTACCTACCCAAAACTAGCACGGGATATTCATCGTATAGTTCTTCAATCTTCGATTTAGTTTTTCTATTAATAATACTAATTAATATTATTTAATTACTTGTTTTAGATAATTTCGACTAAGTTTTTTCTTTTCATAATATTGTCATATTTTATAAAGAATATCTAATTGAAAATACATTATGAATATTATGATACAGATGCTAAAATAATCTTTATAGATTAATCTCATATATTAGTGTTTATAGATAATAGAAGAATATTATTTTATTATTCGTGTCAATGGTAATTTTTATTATATTTTTTTATTTATTACATGTTTACGGTGACTGTACTCGCTCCAGTATGTTATAATATTATTCTTTATCCCGATGGCTTAATAACGCCATAGAGTACCAATATTATGCAAAAATTGGCAAAACCTGGAAATAACCATTATTATTATGATAAGTTATAAACGTTTATATTGTTAAAACGGTCGGTTTTCCCGCGAAGACTACCTCGCATCGTCTGTATCATACTATTTTTTTTATAATATTACGACTATTGTAGTTATCACTTGTAAACACATCATTAGCCACGAACATTATATTATACGAACGGAGTCGTTTTCACTAATTACTATACTTACATTGAAGCCATTAATCAGACAATAATTAGTTTTCGGTTCGTTCACTGTACGAAATACACAGGTAAGTAAAAGTATCATAATTTTAATATAAATATGAAACCATTTTACATGATCATTTTCTATTTTGTAAGTGTTATAGATAGTTATTTATATTAATATGTACAAACTTGTATATATTATTTTATTTTATATTTTATGTAACATAAAGTGGATTCAGGGGTGAATTCTAGTTTAGTTCTCATGCAATTTTTTGGTTTTTTTTTCAAAATGCTTTTTTTGAAGTTTTATGTACAAAAACTATACAAGTAAGTATGATAGGTAAGTTTTGATTGTACCAATGGATTAAGCATTAAAAAACACAAATTTTGGTAAAAAAAAAAAAAAAAATTTTAAATGTTAAATTTTAACTAAGAAATACGTGAAACGGAAAACCCGGATTTATGTAGTTTTCCCCCATAACTTCCAAACGAAGTTCGTTCGACTTATTTTTTTTATATTTTTAATGTACACGCGAAAACCCATATTTTGAAAAAAAATCGCGTGGGAGTTAAATTAGAATCGTTCAGATTCAGGTAATGTCATCCATCGTTTAATACCGCCCACCTTGATCTAACTATATATAACTTTACAACTGTTTAACTAATATAACTGTCACCATTTCATATGATTATATACATTAGATATAAAAGAATAAATAAAATTATATAATAAATTATAGGGCGCTACATATATATTTGTTGTTTCCGTCTTACAAATGCATAATATAGTTAAAACATGCTTATATACAGATTAAATAGCCAAAATTCGCTTAATTTTTGTTCTAGAGTTAAAACAGGTGTTTTACAAAAGGTATCTTATACCTACTGTGAAATTAAAAAAGACCAATATTCTGAAGGACAAGATGTATTTTTTCCATTTTTTCCAATTATAACAGCCAGTTTACCATTTATAAATAATAACTTTTTTCACATTTTTGAATTTACTAAATCGTAAAGTTTTGCCCTCCACAATATTATTTTCTATTAATATTATAATAAATGCTTTACTCTAAAACCAGAATTAAGCGAGTTCTATGTAGGCTTCGTAAGCATGTTTTTACTGTATATCGTGTATTTGTAAGACGGTAACAACAAATGCATGTATAGCATCTTAATATTACCATACAAAGTCTAATTACCTATTAAATTAACTTATTGGCTATTGTTATTGAATGAGATATTTTTAAATATATCTGAGGTCTTTATATAGTTTTACAATAATTAAAATAATTAGGTACCCATAAATTAAGAACTAAGTAGGTATTAATCTATACTTGTTATCTTACATAGTTGGTATTTCTTGCTTTTAGTTACATTACCCATAATATGGATGATTCAAGAAAAGAAAAGGTTGTAATGAGTCATATAATTTATAAATATCAGTGGAGTAGCGAAGGGAGTGATCGAGAGACAGCCGCCTCTTAGTTGTTTAATGGGTGGTGGGTGCCACTGTGCGGATGGGTAATAATTTAGTTTCACAATTATGAATGACTAATAGTATTTTCATATTGTAAAATTTGGATTACAATAATATTATTTTAATTTTTATTAATTTTTTTTTTAAATCTAATTTTAATAAAAAAAAAAATTGTCACTATAATGATTTCAGGTAAAACTAGTTCAAGCTAGGCTTCGGTGAGTATTAGAAAGATTCGGTTAGAAAGTTTACTTATATTAGCTCTAAAAAAAATGTTGAAATTGATCATAATTGATATGTCTTCTGATCACTTAATGCAGAATTTATAAAAAAAAAAAAATATTAATCGATTGGTTTGTAGGTAGGTGGGTATCGAAAAATATATTTCCTTTGAAAATATTTTAGTTCACCACGCCACTGATAACTATTATAATATACCTATATCTATCATTTATCATTTGTTCAGAAATCAGAATCAAAACTATAATGATTTGACAATTGTATACAATTTATGTATAATTTTTAATTTTGAGCGAATAGACCATCTTATATTATAATGTCAAAAGGTAAAAATTACGATAACTGACGGAAATAGAACAAAAAGATGTTGAGTGGAAAACCCACAGACTGAAAGAGCATAGCACCCATTCTTCAGACCGTATTGATCTCCGTTTTTCAATATTATATTCTGAACACTAAAAATGAATCTTTAAAAAATGTAAGTTTTAAACTTTTTTCTCTATTTTTTTTTTCCATTTTTAAAATTGGAATTAAAAAATCGGAGTTCAATGTGGCCTGTAGAATGTTGTTGTTAACCATTAAAAAAAATGTTTATGAAAATATTGAATTGATAATGAGTACTCACTATTTACGTGAAATAATTTTCATCAGTGAAAACAGGCCCAACTCCTTCCCTCTAAATGGGTTATAGGTAATAGATTAGTTGGAAAATCCATCTTTAAGGTGGCAATGGAAATGTTAAAAAATTTTTTTAAATTTTTCAAAAATATACACCTAAAAGTGATAAGATAAAACATATTTTGTAACAATCGTAACAATTTGCTTTAATTATAAGTAAAAAGTTAATAAATATATATTTTTTTTTTTAAAACATACTTAAAAGTAAAAAAAAAAATCGTTCGAAAATAAAAATGTTGATTATCATATAAGACAGACTAAATAAAAACATAGCACGTGCATTCGTAAACAATAATTAAATTTCATAACTTCAGAAATTTGGATGTAATGTGTATTCAAGTGTTCAGCCATTAACGTTGGTTTTTCAGTGATATTTTCCCTAAAAAGTACCCCACCTGTGAATAATATACTGGAAATTTGACTATGTTGGACTGGCATTTTGTTATGTAAAATTACTTTTTACAATCAACTGAGTATAAAAGCTAGCATATTTCACACTAAGTTAAACGATGACAAATTTAAAGAATAAAATAAATAAATTTATAAAACTTATATGTTTATAAGAATGTAATACAGTGGTCACTATTATACTGGATTACTTGAGATTGACTGAAGATTAGACTGGAAGTCTATTATAAATTAACTTGGTCAACATTTTTCAAAAGATTATTTTTTTATTTTAGATTTTGGGTACAGCAATGTATTGGTTTTACAATGATGTTTATTATTATTATTTGTTTTTTTTGTTATACTGTGACAAAAATGTGTACCAAAAATCTTGCTTCGATATATAAGTGTGGTACATATTCAGAAACAAAATTTTATCTAGATGATACTTTAGGGAGATCAATTTTTTGATTTTCCAAACAGTTTTTAATAATATCTGGGAAAACCCGGGATAAAACGTAATAAAAACGGAAAATTTACGAAATTTAGGTATTAGTTAAAAAATATTTCCACCTTCTTTTTTCCTGTGAACAACTTTTCTACAAGCAATTTTGCTCCGATTTACAAAATAACAAAAATAATGATTTTATTATTTTAAATTTTGTTTTTTGCTATAATTCAATTAAAAATATTTATAGAGACCTGAAATTCAGACAAAAACTTATATTTGTCTTTTCTAGACATAGTAAAATTTTCAAAATTGTTAAGCTATTTATAGACATTTTAATTTTGCGAGTTTTGTACGTAATTTTTATTAGGTAGGTAATCTGTAGATAAAATGTTTAGACTAAAGAGAAATGCTTGACAATCTATTCAACAGGAGGTTCTTTAAAAGTTGTACTTTGCGATCAAAAAAAAAAAATTGAGTTTAATGTAGCATTTTTTTTTTGATAACGGAAATTTAATATTAAATTTTGATGAAAATTATTTAGTAAAAAATTATGTAGAACAAATCTAATCCATTTTTAATTTTGTTTTTTCTTGAACTTATATGTACATTACTTATTTAAAAACAACGGTGAAGTCAGAATTGAGCGGACTGACTTGGTTTCGAAATTATAACTTTTTGAAGTTCTGATATTATGCGGACGTTATAGGCTTTATGTTAAATAACTCAATATTGTCAATTTTATAGTATATCTGTCATAATCTAGTGGTAGTGCATAACTGTTTTCATCCCAGAGTTCAGAAATTCAAACCCCAGTCCCGAACACTTTTTTGAAAATCCACGTCGGGTAGGTAACAGGGAAAAAACAAATAAATTTTGTGTCCACTTAGATACTTAAGCCATTTAACATATATATATGTATGTATATGTCGCATCCACTTGGTGTAATGGTATTTTTCATGAAATGGACACAAATTTTATCCATTTCATGAAATGAAAACTCTTATTTTACACATTGTGTAATATTTTAAATTAATTACATCAATATATACCTTTCGTGAAATCAAAATAATAACATTGACACGATTACACGAATCTAATGTTTTTGAATTATAACATATTTTATAATAAACTCTGATTGGTTGTGAAAAAATATGACCAGTTTAAATAAAGTTAAATTTTTAATCTAGTAAATACTTTTTAATACTTATTATTACAAGTAGGTCTGTTACACTTAACAATCTAGCGAAACCTGCTAGGAATAATATCTTGGTCGGTTCTCAGTAGTTTTCTAGAAGGGTCGGGAGAGTTGCTTTATCCTCCGGTCTTGCTAGATTGCACAGGCCTCTCCTTGGTGTTGGATATTAGTAGCGTCGCTGATTTATTCGCGGCTCGAAGCGTACATATACAAATTCTCACTGGGCGGATGAGTGTCGGTACTTCCCCACTGAGGTCGTAAGAGATCGAGACTATGGGTTCGCCTCTCAGCGTGGTTATTCGGGGATCTTTTTGCACGTTCCAACCGTTAGGTCGTATTGTGGGATGTCTTTGATGAGCCCACTTACCTCTGGCAACGGAGATTGTGTTATTAAACGTGATTCGGTAAACTCATGGTCACCTCCGGTTTGGTCTGATCATTTATTCTGTCGGTAGTTGGGTGTCGGAATATTTCCGATTTTTGACATTTTATGAAAAGTAGTCCGGGTAAGCTCCGGTGTCGATCCATGTTCGGCGCTGAACGGAGGGCCCGGTTTCGATCCATGTTCGGCGCTGAACGGAGGCCCCGGTTTCGATCCATGCTTGGTGCCGAACGGAGGCCCCGGTGTCGGCCGTGGATTCGCGCCGTGGCCGATGCCGTGCGGTTGGGTTTGGACGGGTTTGTGAATTTCGTTGGATAGTGGTTAAATAGCCAAGGGCCACCTGCCCGACGGCAACCGAATCGTGAGCAGACGACTAGGTGAATCGGATAGCGGTAGCTGGGACCGCGCTTTGATTTGATGCATTGATATGTATCCTGGGTTGGCCCTGAACCTTAACGGCTTGTAACTAGTTTTAAGTGCTAATACACTGTCCATGGTTGTACCGTTGCATTTATGCATAGATCAAAAATTGGGACCTACTGTTGCACTTAACAGAAGCTTTAAAACAAGCACACCGTTTCGTTCCACATTGACGTTTACAAATACAATTTAAAAACCTTGTTCCCCAGAAATATGTACTATTATACTGGCAGTAAATGATAAGGTCTATGTTGAAATGACCCATTTTAACGACTACTTACATTTTTAGGTTGGCTGCTAAATTATCTTCAATCATCAATTGAATCTCATTTTTGGTAGGTGATTTCCCAGGTTTGTCTACGTAGTAAATATTTAATTTTTCATAAAATTCAGAAAATGAATCAAACTCTATTTTATCTAAAATAATTATTTCGTCATAAATGGTGATCGATCGCATTAAGTCAGAAGACGTGCTGGCGTCATATAAAAATACAAATAATATAATACAGAACTTTTCCAGAATGCCAATCGCACTCTTACAATTGATTTGATTATTTATCGAATAATACTATCATAGTAGTTAATGTTATTATAGTTCTACAGTACCTACTTAGTATCTTAATTCCTACAATTTAAAAGTATGATTCGTGTGACCATGTTAATGTTATTATTTCGATTTTACTAAATGTTAACTATTGATATAATAAATTAAAATATTACACAAAGTGTAAAATATAAGTTTCCATTCATGAATCGTTTTTCGTTAGCAATGATTAATCTTTGCATATAGATATACATTAAATTCCCCTTTATATTCTATCTTCCCAGCTTCTCTTCTACAATTGTGGCCCATCCATCGTCCGAAGTAAGTCCATCTTTTGTAAAAGGATTTTTTTTTTAAGAAAATCATGTTTTAAAAAAAATTGTTATATTATTATTTTGTAAGTAATAATGTCGTATAGGTTAGCTATATCATTTTTCGTAGTTCATGAGAATTTTTTTTTTCTTTTATTTATTTCAATATTAAAAAGACGAACATACTTCACACGATGGGTCCACCCATCGTGAGAAGTTGGAAAGGTTCGATATTGAGAGAAATTTAATGTATATCCGTGCCTAAATAAATTTAAGCATTGCCAATAAAAAACAATTCTGAGTGGAGCTCGGTTAATAATATTGCTCAGGGGCGTCTCGAGTCAATTCCATGGGGGGCAACAATTTTTACTCTTGAATACCACCGCTTTAGTCAACAAAAACTTAAAACCTTTATGTCTGATGTCATTTCAACTTATATTAGTTTTAAAGACTGCAGATATATTATACAAATGCAGTAAAACAGTACAATTTAAAAGTTAAATTAATTTTTTTCACATTAAATAAATAATAATTAAAATAATGATAATATGAATAACAAAAATAATAATAATAATATTAATTATTATTAATAAAAGTTAGATGACTTAGTCTATAATACTTTTATTTTTAGCATTTTCAATCGGTTTGATCAACAATATTTGCTGTATAAATGTTTTCATTTCGATAAATATTTAAAAGTAATAAGCCAGTTAGCCTCTGCTCAGAAAATATTTTTTTCACCACAGTATGACTTCTAATGAAACTTATGTTAAATTCCCAAGCATTTCTATTTGGTCTGGCAATTTTATTCACAGAGTACCTACTGAATAAAAATTACATACAAAACTTGCAAAATTAAAATTTCTATAAATTGCTCAAAAATTTAACCACATCAAGAAAAAGCAAATATAAGTTTTCTATCCAAATTTGAAACCTCTACGAATATTTTAAATTGAATTACAACAAAAAACAAAATTGAAAATAATAAAAGCATTATTTTTGTACATTTTTTCGTTTTTCTTACGTTTTATTCAGTTTTCTTGAATTAGGGAAACTGCTTAGAAAATCAAAACATAACCTTCCTAAAGTATCATCTAGTCAATATGACAATATTTTCTTTCAAAAAAGGTGCTACACTTATATATTGAAACAAAATTGCTGGTAGAATTTTTTGTCAGAGTATTAAAAAGAAAATAGAGCTGATACTGGGGACGGGCGCGGCCACTGTTGTAAGTGAGAATTTGGGAAGGCATGATACATAAGGTTATTTCATTTATATCTGTAAGCAACGATAAACCATTGCTTGACGAAATAGAATTCCGAGTGTAGTTTGGTAATACATAATTAGAAGAGCCGTAAAGTAAATCCAAAGGCAACAAAAATAGTATTTTGTGATTTTTTGATTAAATCATTTTTTCTGGTAGAAAACATCATCCCTATTTTTATAAAATAATGAATTCATGAATTTGTAAGTTTTCTTGCGATTTTTCCCATTTAAGTTCTTTTATTTAAAAATGGCGTCGAAAATTAAAAATGCCCTCCTTAAAGTACAATATAGACAACTTGAACTTTCAGAAAAGTTGCAACACGTAAAAATTGAAGTAAGTTTTCTAGGAATAAACGCATCCACAGACTAGAACAAAGAAAGAAAGAAAAAAAATAAACATCTTAGTTAAATCAATAGCTTTCTTGCTACGCTTGGAATCTGAAAAAAATCATTATTGTAAATCCAATAGGTATACACTTAAAATCTAAAATTTAAATTAAATTAATCATTTCTAATGTGTATTCTAAAAAATATATTATATAGTCTTACAGTGTTCAATCAAAGAATTTCCAACCTTATAGGGGGGGGGGCGATCGCCCCCCTCGCCTCTCCTCAGGAACGCGCCTGGGTGACCACTGCTATTGGTGACAAGTTAGGAAGGTACGATGTAGAGGAGAATTTATTTCATATCTGTACGCAACGATAAACTATTGCTAACGAAAAACGATTTGGAGCAAGATTTCTTTTTCCATTTTCCCAATTATTAAGAAAACCGCTTGGAATATAACAAATTGTCCAAGATACCAACCAGATAAAAGTTCCTTTCAGAAAAAGTTCTATACTTGAAAATCAGAGCAAGACTTCTAATAGAAGAGTTGTTCACAGAAAAATTAAATTAAATCAATAAACATCCTAGTAAATGCATAAATTCATTCTTCACTACGTTCCGAATATAAAATTTATCACTTACCTATATTTCAAAGAATATTTAAATTCATAAATCACAATGCATTCATATTAATTTCCTTCAGTTTTTTTAGCAAAATTGTTCATCAATCATATGAAAAAAGTAGTGGTGAGTATTGTTATAAGCTGATATTGAAGATATCGGAGTATCAAATATCTGGTTTTTTTTTTAAACCGATATTTAGGAGAATGTCTCTGGAATGAGAAAAAATATGTTTAAAACTCGGATTTTCAACAATGTCCAACCTAAAACCTAACCTAACATATTAATTTCAATATCATCTCATGATTTTTTTCAAATATATTGGATCGAGTATCGCTTTTATATCGGAATATCTGGAATCAGAAAAATTTCATATCAGCTTATCAATAAAAACAGAATTTTAGATAGGACTTTTAAATAAGAATTTTAGATCTTCTTAATCAAATACGACACTTTGTAATATGTTGTTAGGTTAGGTTTTAAACAATTTTTAATAATTTCAAAAAAACTATAAAAACAGAAACAAGTTAGTCTAAGTTACGTGTTATATAGGATACACCTACACCTACTTAATAAATAGTACTTTATATTTATACAATTTATTTCATTTATATTTTTATTGTAATTCATAAAATATTAGTCCACTTGAAACAAATTCGAAGATGTCACCAATTTTGAATCCGTGTGTTTTATTTACATGATATATCTATCAATGTTTTTTTTTTTTTTTTGTTAAATTTCGTATTTCATCTAAAATCAAACATTTTGAAGATCCAAAAATTAAAAGAAACCTATATTAAGGTATCTAAGGAAAATCTATACATATATAATATACATAAACAATTTTACACCAATGTACCTATATTTACCTACCGATTACCCTAAATGTTTTATTTACGTGAGGTACAATATATAAAGTAAACAGTTGGTTTTGTCGACAATAATTCGATAAACATATTTTTGTAACTGAAAAAAAGAAAAAAAAAACTGTAAACAATTCATAGCATAATTTTATAATAATAATATGTAGGTATATACATTTTTTTATTTTTTTTTTCGTAAGATTAATACTTGCTCGTATGATATTGATTTTCTCGAGCCAAAAAAAACATATCTTACACAGCATACACACACACACACACACACACACACACACACACACACACATACATGTGCACGCGCATCAAATACTTAGTCAAGTTCACGAGTTTGCCTGTTTGCTTTTATTAGCGCCTGTTACTACCGCTATTGTTGCTATCATCTTCGTCATTGATTATGATCAATTTGGGTTTGGTGTCTTGTACCACAGTCTGATGATCGTCAGTGGAATGATGGTCGTTATTATTGTGCACACCACTGGACGAAACGATTTCTTCCTGGGACATCTCACCTACAACGACGCCACCGCCAGCGGTGTGTTTCTTTTGTATTAGGTTCTCGATATGAAATGCCAAGTTATGTGACGAAACTGTATCTGTAATCACGCTATGATGTTTCTCTGCCAACGACTCGGCAACGGTGGAGACCGCGACGCCTGTCCTGCCAGACAATTGGAATTCCGGGTACACGGAGAAGTGGTGGTGGTGGAGGTGAGCTTGCGGTTGCTGCAGCAGTGACTTTATATCCTGTTGGTTCTGCACCAGAATCGACGAACCATGAAAAAACAAAATAAAACACGAACGTTAAAACATGTCTAGATGAACTAGCTGGACCATATAGCGAAAAGAAAAACAGACCACTATTATAAATTAATAGGAAAACTAAAGAAGTAATGTATAGCCAAATATGTGTAATTTTGTAGTGAAATATCATGGCTATATCTCAGGAAAGAGCTAAATAAACAGAATGAAGCAATGAGCTTCATTGGCCTCTAAAAAGCTAGTAAAAAAAGAATAAGAAAAGGATCATACACGTTATACCGGTTGGATGACTAAACATTTAAAAATCTGCTTACAGTCTGGTGGTGGTTGTGTTGCTGGTAAGGTCTGTGCCGACGCATCCGCCTCCGCCTATAATTTCCTCGCTCGAACATATCGGCTGCTGCCACCGGGTCCAGGGTCCAGTAGCTACCCTTGCCTCCACCCATGTTGTCATCCATGCCGGTCCGTCCCCTGGGTATCTTTATGAAACAGTCGTTCAAGCTCAGGTTGTGTCTGATGGAGTTCTGCCAGCCCTGTCTGTTTCGCCGGTAGTATGGGAACTTATCCGTGATGTAATTGTAAATTTCACTGAGCGTCATTCGCTGGTTGGGCGTGGACGTAATGGCCATGGCGATCAGCGCTATATATGAATAAGGCGGTTTTTCATTACATCCAGCAGTGGCAATATCCGCGGCTACTACTGCAGCCGTTGCGTTCTGTTCGACCGGCTGATCAAACAGACTGATCCCTGCAGGTATCTATATATGACACACACAATAATCATAAAGTCATTATATCGTTTATTGTTTTAGGGATAAACATTTTTCAAAACGATTCAGTTTCGGGAAAATTATATTATAAACAAAAGCTGACAAAAAAGTCAACTTCGCCCTCCCTATACGTTAATGAATAGTTTTTAATACCTCAGCCGAAACCTTACCATATCATAAGAAATTTCTTTTCTACATAAGAAAATAAATGCTTGTTTCATTGTGTTCCAAAGTGTTTGATACATAATATTTATTTAAATTATAAGTTATTATTTAAACGTTATTATTATACTATTTATAAATTTGAGCCAACGAGATTTTAGAGAAAATTTAAATTTAAATTTCTTAATCGTCATCAATAAAAAAAAGTACACGTCATCATTATCGTAACAATTTTCCAAAAGTCTTACCGTCGGCATTTGTGGTTTATTATCTACAAAATTTGTACTGCTTTGCAATCTTAGCGACTCTTGTAAATATGGTAAAATTCGAGATTGCAACATGTGTTGGTAATGCTGCTGGTACAGTATAGGGAGCTGATGGAACAGAGCGAATGCTGACAAGTTTTGAGGTACAGGTGGCAGAGACGCTATCGCCTCAGCCAACATGTTCCGCTGCTGATGGCTTTGCAAACTAGTATCTTCGTTCTTCATGTCCACAGCTGTAGTACGGCTTGGATCTTCCGGTGAATGGGGTTGCCCCCCACGGTTCATCTGTAATAGTATGCAAACTTTAGTTTATGTAAATCGGTAAAAAAAATAATTTTCATTTCAGTTGATACACATATAACACATCTTATATATATATATATAACACATCTAAACTTCTTAGCAGAGCAAGGAATCTATTGTTTTTACAATGATGTTTATTTTTTATTAATTATTATTATCACGTAGAAATGTATTCGCAGGTAAATTTGGCATAAGTGGTCAAATGGACGTAGACGTTTAGACTCGAAAACATTAATTAGACGCTGCCGTTTAGATGCAAAAAAAAAAATAATAATAATATAATTTATTAATTATTTTATTCAGATCGTCCAACATTATTTAAACAAACATTGTTGCTTATCAAATACAAATACAAAATATATTATACATAATATAAATGTATGTTTCAAGTTACTGTACAGATATATTTTGCGCTATCCCTCTCTATTCATAATTTTCAACAATTTTTAAATCATTTCATCAACATCTATCTACTTTTTGATTTATTAGGAGGACTATTTCCTGCTTTTAATTGATTATAATAAAAGTCTCTACCGGCTTGTACTTTATAAAGGCACATTATAAAAGTCCACACACTTGAATTATTAACGTCCATCTACATATTTAGTCTTCTATTTGCAACTTCAGCGTGATTGTTGGTTCCGTTTTTTCCATTCAAAACTCTAGTATACATATTCTAAATATTTAGTGGAGATAAAGGTAATTGATGATCTCTTCGATTTATATTAGTTTGTCCCAGAAAATTGTCTTCAAACCAATCTAGTAAGGGTTGTAATTCCTCTGGTAAGTATTTGGAGAGCAATTCAATAGCCAAATTAATCTCAATAAATGGTATAAATGCCAATGTTTCATTAAAATTTAAAAATCAGCATCATTTCTTTAATTTAAAACAATTCAAACTAACCATACATTTCAGTATTCACATTTTATAGATTTTATTATAGCTTGTTCAAAATCACAGTATATTGAAGTAAGGTTTAATCCAGACTTTAATTGGTGGCAATTTTAAATAAATGAATACATGGTTTTTGGAAATATAATATTTTGGCGTATAGAAGTGGCTATATACCTCCCAAAGTTTTGACAAGTATCACAAAAACTTAAAATAAAAAATGTAGTAATTTTAAAGTCCCACCAGAGTAACAAATATTTGAATTGTAAAAAATTTCTAGACTACAGTTTCATCCAAAAATTAAACGATTAACGACTAAACAATTCTCGCCTCGTCTGGTCTTCTATCGTCAATGATACAGTCATACCTGCTCTGTATGTGTATTTTAAAAGAGTTGGTTAGGTTAGGTATTTCTAAAGATAATTCGGTGATGTATTAGGTGCATATTTTGTTTCGTTTTCGACGTAGGTATTACTTTTTTTTAATGCTAGGCTTGATGATGTTGCACCTTAAAATAAAATTCTAAATTCTAAAATGTATTTAAATACCTACAATTTAAATATTTATTATGAATATTTTTGTAATAAATATAAAAAAAAAAAACAATAATAATATCAATAACCTTAGCTGTTTTGAATAATCTAGAAATACATTTATTGAATACTATTGATGATGGTTCCATAGTTTTAGCCGTGTTATTTTTCTAATGATTAATGGAAACCGTTGCCTCGACTTTTGTAGCCTCCAAATCGTGCATCAATGCGTTTCAGTACTTCTAAACTGTGAATTTCTAAATAAACTCGTGTTTATATAATTTATATATATCGCCAACATTTTTTAAGTTAGTCAGAACTTAGTTCATCAAATATACATATGTATTATATGTTCAGTAAAAAGACATTGTTCACTATTTGATTTTATTAAAGCTTTATAGGTACTCATAATAGTGTTTAAAATCAATAGTAGGTGGTTTTTATCGATTCTTATCGATTTAGATAACGTCAGATAATCCTTATCCAAATAAAATGCATGTTATACATAACGTGTATAAATGAAATTATTTTATTTATTTTTGCGTTCAAATGTACTCGCCCTCATATGACCACATCTAAACGTCCGCTTTCAAATGACCACGTCCATTTGTTCCTATTCCGGAAAAAACGAATCTTTTTTTATTTTGGCGCAGATGGGCTGTACGTTGGTACCCAAAAATAATTACTTTTTTTTTCTCAAATTGACAATGCCAATTGTATCATTTAAATCTCTAAATATAATTGCAAATTGATTAGTATACAACATTGAAAAAGTGATTCCTGTTACAAAATAATACAATTCTATATATAAATATCTGAGATGATTATAATTAGGTATAATTAATCTAATTGTAACATTTTTTTGCGTACGGTACACAGACGTATATAGAGGACTATAGTGCATGTCTATACAATTACAATGGTATACAAATATTTCTCCACGAACTATCTTCGTGGGGTCTTCCTTATGCGCTCGCGCTTTATAGTAGTCAATTACATTACTATAGGTTTTATTAAATTACTGCAGTTATTTTTACCAAAAACCACGGGTTATATTGATGTTAAAAATGTACCCCCCCTTCCCATCCAAATTTTTTTATGGATTCTGTCTAATTTTCAAAACAATGAGTTATTATTTATTTACTATTTACATAGGTAAGGCAACAACAAAAATTGTTGTTCTTATAAGTTCTTTTTATTTTATTATTTAAATATTTAAGTATGATTCTTTTTTGTTGTTGCCCTTCATGTAACAGTCGCCTTGGAGAAAATCTATTATTATAAGTGCGTGATTCATACATTACAAATTAAATGAAAAATAAAGCAAATGCAATATTGAAGTACCTTGTATATTTATAATAAATTATTATGTAGCATTAAAATTGTATAGAATGATAACTTTACTTTGGCACTTTAGGTGTAAATGGACTAAATGAAGGTATACCTTCTAATAATACCTATAGGTATTCTTCATACTGTAATTGTTATTAATTGTACTAAATATAATGTTATAATATGTTATATACTGGTATTTCATAATAAGTTCATGACCAGTTTCTAAAAATAATTTCATTAATCAAGGAAAATATAATTTTATATATGTATTTTATGATCTATTTAGGTGTGTACACTCATTATCTCGAAAAGTATTAATTTTTTTGGAACGTGTTTTATAGAAAAATTTAAGAAACAAGCAGCTCTACAATTTTACATTTATGTTATTTTTTGTCACCCATATTTTTGGGGTTAAAACCACTACCTACTTTTGATTTTTAATAAATAGTAATCTATGTTAAAAGTTCCATAAATAGATGCCGTATTATTTAAATTATATTTTTGTATTGACATTTTTGGTTTAAATCAATCTGTTGTCGAGATATTCCACCTTTAATTTTGGGTCGGGGGAGAGTAGTGGAACATCATTTGTGTGGAGAGTGGTGACACCGCGGCGTTTTAATAATACTCACTATCCAAACTGAATAGTGGAATTTCTTGTCAATTCATTAAAGGAAATGAAAAATATTAACGTTAATATTTATTTTAACTAATACTCCATCTATTTAAGATATTTTTAATACAGGTTGCCATTTTAAAATTAAAAGTAGGCTGTGGTTTTACCCCCAAACATAAGAGTGGCAAAAAATAAAATAAATGTAAAATTTTAGAGCTGCTTGGTTATTAATTGTTCTATAAAACAAATTCTAAAAAAGTTAATTCTTTCGGAGATAATGAGTGTAACTACTTAAATGAATCACCTTGTATGTCCATAGTAAAGTAAAATAATTTCATATAATATATGTATATCATAATTTAGGGATACTTCTTAGATTCTGAATGGAGTGATGAAGATTATAATTTTACCATAACGTTTATTTCTTTTTATTTTCTACCAGAAATATTGATCCGATTTACAAGTGTAGCTTTTTTCTGAGAGGAAATTTGACTGGAAATTTTGAATTTCCCAGGAATTTTCCTAATAAATGGGAAAAATCAGGAAAAAACATGGGAAAATTAGGAAAAACAAATATTATTAAAGAAAATATATAATGCCTACATAATTATTTTACCATAATATATGGCATATATATTATTGACAAAGCAACACTATCAACTGAATTAGTTTAAATATATGTTGGTGTTGACATTATTGATTTCCATCAATTCGTTGACGGGATATTCTATTTTTAAGTTTCGGTAAGGGAAGAGTGGTGGAACACTATTAAATCGTCGCGTGCTTGTCACCATACAAATGAAGCACCACTACTCTTCCCCGCCGAATCTTAAAAAAAATAAAACTGAGAATAAATATACCAATGATGAAAATGTTTAGGGAAATGGGTAAAGTGACGAGAAAAGATAGGTTAAAGAATGAGTACATATGAGGTATAGCTTAGGCGTTACTTCCATTGTAGACAAAATGAAAGCAAATAGATGATTTGGTATGTCATGAGAAAAATAGATTTAGAATCAGTACGAATTATTATAAAAATAAACGTAGATGTAGAGAGGGGGAGAGTAAAACTGAAAAATAGGTGATTGGATGCGATTTAGAATGATATGAGTACAGCCAGGTTCAGCCAAGAGTTGAGAGATCAGATTAAGTACAAGTTTAGGATGAGGTTGGCTGACGTTAAATTTTTCGGAGGAGAAAAAAAAGATTGAGTAAGTGTTTAAAGATCATGATACCTAATGGGAAATTCTTGAGGTAAATACCAATAATTCCATAGCTGTCCGTTTACAGCCCATAAATATACTTTAATAAAAATTATATTTACTATATTTTATTTATGAAAATGAATAAATATGATGTTAGTTTTTTTTTCTCTCAGATTATCGTATACTATACATACGGGTGTAAGTCCTAAGTGCTTGTTGGTGAAATAAACGGTATGATTTCATTAAAATTCTATAAATATTGCACAATAAAAGGTTTGGGTTGTCATCAATCAGTTGTCAAGTTTACCTCGCCCTATACATGTATATATTATGTATGTATATATATAGATAAGATATGGTTACGTTAAGTTGTTTTCTTTAAAAACTGTTACTGTTTATTGTTTATGCTGCATAATCCAAAACTAATATTTAGTGGAAACAAACAATATGTATTGAGCATTTTAGGTCGTTGAAATATTATATACCTACGCATATCGCTAAAGCGGATTAAACACATCGGCTTGTCTTCAAATTGTATAAGAAACTGTGTGCGTATAACATTATGCCTACCTATAAATATTACAGCAGACTATGTTTACTTAAGAGATAACACATTTTTTTTTTTCTAATAACATAAAAATCTTTTCGTTTAATCATAACAATACGAAAATATAATACGTAACTAGGTATATATTATTATTATTATTATAAAACGTACCGATACCGATCTGCTGCGATTCCAAGATGCCGTCCGTTTGCTACAGGTAAACAATAATACGAGTACCTATATACTTGTGTTATAGTACTATATAAAGTACTCACGATTCTGAAAAAAAAAAAAATCAGTTACCCACATAATATTATCTATTATTTCTTAAATTGTTGTACATTTTGTTTGGTATTGTGTCAAATTTGACGAGAAAAATAAATCCATATGTTCATTATATCTATTAATACATATACATTATTATTATACTACTGCAGTAGCCTTTTATTAATACCTATAATACACCAATAATTAAACCCGGTAATCCGTCAATGGTTGAGAACTACAAGCCAATCAAAATCACTTAGCATATGTCTAAAATATTAGAATCGTTAGTATTACAGCCAATTAAGCCGTGTATTAACAATATCATGATCGACAAGCAATATGGTTTCTGGTCGAACACCAGCTACATCAATTACATGTAATATGGTATTCGTGATTGATTATACATATTATTATTATAAATTATAATGAATGTATTTCGTCGTCATGAGCAAGTAAATGCAATACACTGACTTTTTTAAGGCATTTGACCAAGTAAATCATGTTGTTTTCGTCAAGGTTCAGCGGATTATGACTTTGGTGAACCCTATAAACTATAGGCTATAATATCCTGGATTAGATCTTATCAGTCAAATAGGTATCAGTGGTTTAAATTACATGGAGTTAAATCGCAAATCACTATACCTTTATCTGGGGTTTCTCAAGGGTTGATTTTATCACTCCTTATTTTCCATTATTAGTGAATACCTGGTGATTCATTTAAGTAGGGACACTTATTATCTCGGAAAGTATTAACTTTTTCCAGAATTTGTTTTCTAGAACATTTAAGAAAAAAGCGGCTCTACAATTTTATATTTATGTTTTTTTTATCCTTATTTTTGGTAATAAAACCACTATCTACTTTTGATATTCAAATAGCACCCTAAAATAAAAAGTCCATAAATAGATGGAGTATTAGTTAAAATCAATGTATTAAAATTTTTGATTTTCGTTGGTCTGTTGACGAGATATTCCACTTTTAAGTTTGGGTTGGAGGAGAGTAGTGGAGTATCATTTGTGTGGCGGTACGGTGCGCGATGTGTTATTAATGCACCACTACTCTCTTCCAACCTAAAATTAAAAATAGAATAACTCGTCAACGACTTGACAATGATAAAAAGTTTCAACGCTCAAATTTATTTTAACTAATACTCCCATCATTTATTTATGGAATTTTAATATAAGTTACCATTTGAAAATCAAAATTAGGTACTGAGCTACTAAGTAATGAACTAATAATTTATCATAAAATTCAATAAATGGTTCTGCAGTTCAATTCTCTGATGAGTCAGTTTGTGATCTTAGTTTCCACCTGTTACATTTAAGAAATATGCTGTAAGAACAAGAAAATCATTTTGCTTGTATATGATTATTTGATTTAAAGTCATCAGCTCCTTTAAAATAATTATATTTTTATTTAGTGAGACAAATACTTGATTTTTTTTTTATGAGATCCGATAGCGGAGTTTTTACATTTTTCTGGTAGGGGTCCTGAAAAATCATATGTATTTTAAATGTTCACCAAATATCAATAGATACCTCTTTTTTAGATAACATTTTATTAAATTTTATCGGTGTCTAGGGGAGGAGGGTCCAGACCCTTGGCCTATAAATCCACCATTGATGGGATTCATCTTGTTATGTTAATACCTTTACTCTACTGGCAGATGTTAACTTTACGATGTCTACTATCTACTCGACAACATAAGAAATTTCATTCTCTTAGCCTAGTGTTCTCATTACCACAAACTACCATTTTAATTGTCCTCTGTACCATTTGATGTTTGATGCATTAGACCAATAAGGACTACAGAGTAATTTTGAAATAAATACGTATCAAATAATCTTATGTATCATGATAAGTATACTTAAGGATATTTACTCGTATTTTGAAAAGTTTTTATGTAGAATCCCGTTTTCTGTTAAATTAAATTCAATAATATTTACATTTTTCATTATGTTATTATAATAGGTACTTAGTAATTAGTAACATAATTATTATTATTATTTTTTAATAATATTATTATAGTGCAATATTTGAATTTTTCCAGTATAATTAGACTGGATACTTTTTTCTATTATATATTATTTATTGTATTATTATTAATATATTTTAATTTTTTTTTTCTACCACACGACCAACGTAATAAATTGTCATTTAATCTATTCACGATAACGATTTACACAGTGGTCGTGTGTACAGCGGTATAATAGTGTTGCAGTGTATTCCCCTATAATATCGAGAGTAATAATAATAATTGTTATTGTTTAATATATTTTTTTGTTGTTGTTTTTCAATACACGCGATAAAAGACAGACGCTGTTGACAAATGTGCCGTTGATGCATTTGTGTTGAATAAAAAATTTAAAAAAACATATACACACACACACACACACACGGTCGACCACATATGAAATAATAATAATAATAATAATAAATAATAAATAATGTAATTATTTATGGTTTTTCGTAAACAATACGTATTATATATGTATATAATTCAGAAACATAATAATAATATTATACATATATTCGATCGCGTACCCAAATCGTCGAACCTATATATTTGTAAAACAATAATATAATCAAAAGTAACGATCACTATATAATATTATACGAATAGGTATACCAAAGTGTGAGTGTATGTTGTGTTTTCATTAATAATTCCGTGGTTAAAAATTATTATTATTCGAACGCCACCGGCAAATAAATAATATTATTAGAAATAAAAGAGAAAAAACTCAATGAATATAATATTTTTTTTAGTATGATACATATACATACTTAGGCCATATAATAATAATAACATAATATTGGTATAATATTATAACACAATAATTCTACGAAGTATCTCCCCCAAATTATATTGTATACCTATTATATTGTGTATCTATATTTACCACAGGTGTGTGATAGGTGTATAATAATATTATAATAGTAGTTATTTGATATTATAATATGTAAATAGTACAATTGTCGACATATATTCAGCTGATGACTTATTCGATGTAAGAGTACCTATAACGCTTTTTAGACCGTTTTCTATTTATTTATTTTTAAATTCCGCATGCTATTAAACTACTCAGATGTTTCTACTTTTTTGTTCTAGGACCATAAGATCTGATCACAAATCACGACATTTTTTACGGTTTTGAATTTGTCGTTTTCTGAATTACGTTGTGTACATGAGGAAAACCTGAGACTAACTAATTTGCCAAACTTCGCTCAATACCTTTTTTTGATCGCAATAATTTATCTTTGCTTTCAGTATAATATTATGAACTAAATCATTCTATATCTTTCCAACGTCCAACCTACAATAGTGACCTAATGGTGTGATGTTCCTATGAATCTGAATTCTTAATTTTTTTGTCCACAATGGCACAATTATTAAAATTATAAAATTATAATATGTACCTATATAGTTTAAATTATATTTCTTCAGCAATTGTATTATATAATAATGAACAATCATGCAATAATATACATATTATATAAAAATAGATACTGATATTTACAATAAAACCCTATTTTTATTTATTTTTTTTATTATATTTTTTGAATCGTTAAAATGAATAATAATAATGAACTTTTGAAATAAACTTTTAAATATAACCAACTATTGAAACAATAGTATGCATTAAATTATGATTCCTTACACAAGTTGATTCGTTGAATATAATATACCTAGTATTTATTACTTATAACTATAGATATATACATTAACCAAAAGCCCAAAGCATCAATATTTGCACTGAAATATTATATTATGTGTACACATAGTAATTTAATTTTTTTTTAATGGTCGTATAATAAATTACTTTTTATCCTCATTATATACATTTTCCACAGCAATAAAAAAAAAAAAAAAAGTAGTTGGACAGTGAAATGCGAGAAACACTTGTATAATGACGAATAATAAATAAACACTGTTGATTTGTATATTATTACCTACCTATATGTATATAATAATATGTTTCTACATTTTATATAATATGTACCAAGTAGATACCTCAATATATGTGTTTATATCAGATCAGATTGAACATTACCCATATGACTTTACAACAATAAATTATGTATAGGTGCATCGTACATATCTATAATTTAAAGTTAATAATAATTCAAATTAGTATACCTAATTTAGGTTTTATTTTTTTATTTTTATAATATAAATAATTTTGATATTTTATAACCGATACTTAACTATAATAATATGATTATTTATATTTTCTTACTTTTTCAACTGGCATTGGTATCCCTATATACATTCTATGAGTTTTTGTAGCCTAACTACAATACGCCACATGTCACTGATCTTGAATTACCTCTCTCCAGTTTTCAACTGTTAAACCTAAATATCGTCTTCCTTCACGTCAATCTATTTTTCCTTGGGATTTCCATTCCATTACAGTCCTAACTGTCGTTTTCTTCTATTCCCATTATGTAACCTAATCAATAAAACCGTATCCTTTGTCCTTTAACGAAGTTTGTCACTGGTGCTAGTTTCACTATATCGTACAGTGTTTTATTAAACCTCGTTCACCCTGTTACTTTATCGATAGCAGTTTTATATATTTTTAATATTATAATTTTAAAGTTATCATAAAATATATTATAATATCAGTGATAATTTAAATAAGTACCTATCTATCAATATATTAACAGTTAATCATATTGCTAGGTGTAACTCTATTATATTTTTTCTGTAACTATACTTAAGTTTTACAGTTTTATAACTCCATCCTTTCATCACTTGTATACTTACTCAAACTATAATTAGTTTCATTATTTATATATATACCTACATACGTATGACGTATAGCATATACCTAGTTATTTTTTAATTTTTATAAAAATAAAAACTTAAAGTTTATACACAAAATTAAACTATAAATAAAAACAGACGATGATAGAAAAAGGGATATGGTCGTAATTATGAGTTTGATATGCAAATACAACATAAACGTCTAGTTCACAAGTAAAATATTTTTTATACAAGTTATTTTTATCCGGGATAAAATAAACAACAAACAATATAAACAATAATATTTAAGTTATAATAAAGTTCATATAATGTCAAGAGCACATGTTTTTTTTTAAATTTGTCTTCGTTAATAATTTCTCAAGAAATATTTTTCAAATCGAAATGAATAACAGAAAAACGAAATTTAATAGGTAAATAATTATAAAAATTTAAATCTTGTGTAAATTTTAAACTAGGTAATATAAAAATATTTAATTTGTTAAAAAAAAAAAATACAGGAATTACTTATTGCAGGCAAATCAAAAATATATTGTGTTAAATTCTAAAATTATGTAATTCATAATAACGATTAATTTACAGTGAAAAAGATTGATTCGAAGCATTGATCGTGACATGATTGAAATGGTTTTGTTAACATCATCGATATAATAAATATTATGTATTAGAAACAATTTTAGAATATTACGTCATATACCAAACACAACAGATAAGTACAACATTTTGTTTTTCAAAATATTCAAGTTCTCTTATAAAATATTCAAATTTGATACTTCATGTTTATGACTGAGCTTTTTTTTTACACAATATTTAAAATAAGGCAGATTCGGTTTGTGTCGTCAGAATAACCATTATAAAAGGAATTTAATAATATATTTAAATAAACACATAATATCCATGTACGTACCCATAGTATATAATATTTTTATTAGTATCGGTATGATAGTATCAATTATTTTATTTTAGTTCTTATTCAAGAACTTTGAAAAATATAAAGTCATAACAATTGATGATATAAGTAATATATTATACTTTTTATAGGTAGGTATCTAATATAAATATTAAATTATATCAATAGGGTAGTAAAATTATACTGATGAGTATAGGTTATGTTAGCATTAGATCATATTAAATTTAAAAATTAATAACAAAAAAAAAAAATAATAATAATAATAATGATAATAATTGTTTATTAGATTATTATAATAGAACAATTATATTATCTGTAGGTACATTACTAAATTACTCAAGATGAAATATATTTTTTTAATGAAACTAAATATATCATTAACGCCACAAAAATGAACCAACTATTCTGAGTTTTGGTATAAAATTTGTCGTATTTTATAAATAAATCAAATATATATACTCTTAATTCTATAAAGTTGATTATAATATTTAAAGCCCATAACCGAATTTAAATTAGTACCTAATGTAAACGGGTTTAGAGGTCGTATAGAAACAACTTATATTTTTCGCTAGAAGATTGTGTCTGTACGGTTACTTCTTATCTATAATAATATGTCATAATGTAGATTTTGAAAAATGTATTGAAAATTAATTAAAAAATTAAGATAACAATTAAAGTTAATATTAAAACTATTAAACTCTTGTACATATTATATTATCATTAAACAATAATTTTTCAGCCTATATATTATGCTTAAAATAGCAAATCGAAAAAAAAAAATGAAAACTGGGAGACAAATACCTATTATACTTGTACACACGTATCAATGTATCATATTATTATAACCATGTATAATGTGTATATTATGTATATGTGCACAAATATGCCACAATACATAGTATATCTCTTCATTTTAATTTTAATTATAATACCGTATATTATGATAAATATATTTGTCGATTAAAATTATTAATTTGTAAAATGTTTATTTCGTAAAATATAATACAACTACATAATATGCCATATACTATACATAATAATATATATAAGCGTAAATTGATCTTCGATAATATCATCTATTTTATGTCAACAAATTATATATAATTAGTACCATATAGTAAATTTATTATAATTAATGTTTTATAAATTGAAATTAAGGTTTACAGATTGTCAAATATTCTTTTCGGATTGGTTAAAATAATAAATAAATGATAATTATTATTACAATTTACAAATAATTATATTTATATCTAAAGGTGTTTTAGCTATTAAATTATTATTAAAATAATTTTTATTCGTTGCTGCAGAATTCTTAAATGTAATACTTAAAACATTTGAATCCATAATTGCTAATAATATTGGTACCTAATCCAAGACTAAAATCTATGTATACCCACATAGTATTATATCTGTAATCTGCCAAAGAATTTCAAATACAATTTGCATAAATCTAAAATCAGGTAATAGGTACCCACTTAATTATTTTATGCTATACGACTACGTAATAAGCGTATAATACGTATACACTTTTAGTTTCGTTATCAACTAACAATGTTATTATTTTTTCATTACCTTATCATCAAGTGCATAATATTAATTTTCATGACATTGAAGACACTCGAAAAACGTGCGTGCGTTTACGAGTATAGTTTAGATTATAAAATTGCAACAATGCCATTTAAGGATTACGTGAAAATCGAAAATTGAATTAATTCAAAATAAGAACTAATCAAGGGCTGTAACAGATTCACAAATTATACGGGATACAAATACACCTTATCTTTTATTTTATTTTTTGAACATTTTATTTAAGGTTGTAAATATATTCTTATAAGACAAATATTTACTAAAATATAGATAACATTAAATGCATATAAATTACCTATATATTAATCGTAATAAATGTTTTATTCTCATGGTACAGTGTCTATTGGTTAATTTGATATTAGTAACTAACTTGATGACGATATTACGTACAACGTGAAATTACCCATCTAAATTAACCCTCTTACCTATACCTATTTGAACTAGCAAAATTAAACAATGTAATTTCTCGGTCAAATATAGTGTTTATTCAAGAATTTATTAGGTTGATAAAATCTTGATCTTTCCGGGGGCTCATTAAGAAGTTTATAATACCTACTACAATAATAGTGCACCTAAACTTAATATCGTGAGCAAGCATAACCAGTACTCTGCAATAACATAATTTGGATATATTTGTAGTTTACAATATAACTTACCAAGTATAACACTATCCCACGTTGTGTAAGGTATTATCCAATGTTATTATATTCATAACAAATGCATGGAACGCAATAATAATGATAATCTGAAAAAAGACACCGATGTATCATAGACAATTACAAGTTTAGCTACCAATTTATAATGTATTTCTCTGTAGAAAAGCTAGTGGAACGAAAAATCACGACCTACCCGAAATTTTCTCGTATGTCATTTGTTATAATCTGAAATAGCTGCAATGAAATAGATTTAACTCGCTACACATTACACGATTCAAAATATTTTTGGCGAATTTAATTTTTAGTTGTTTTTGTGCCGAGAACAAGTATTAAAATATGCCTATTAAATCGTTATAATTATAGCGCCATGTAAAATATGAATAGATACCTAACTGCATGATAAAAAAAAAAAAAAATACACTATGAATATTGAGAAACTCCTTTTTTTGAAGTCTGTAATAAATTAACTAGCTGAAATTATCAGTGGGTAAATTAAAGAATTACGCTACCAAGATATTGTTACTTATTAATTGAGTATTTCTAAACACATGTTTTACTTGAATATAAAAATATTATATTTATATTATATTATTAATTGATAACGAGTCTTAAATTAATACAAATTGATCGGTGTAAAATTACAAATAATATATTAGGTAAATCATTAGGAAAACTATTTTTATGCAAGAATAACAACTGGAGTTTATTAAGATTTTTATCTTTAAAAGTATAATATAATTATAATAATAATAATAATATTACTATAAAACGAATTTATACACGTATACAAACTTATGTTTCTATAAATGACACATGCTAATAGAACCACAGAGCGAAATATTTTGCGGACATCACCCTTACACATTTTCAGACGTTTACTTCAAATATAAACCCGATTTCAGGTTTAAAGCTATATATATTTTACCTAAACTTAAAGTATAGCTAATATATACCTATAGTTATTATAATAGAATTACCTATTGAATGTTCAAAATAAATTATTTTATGATATTTGATCTAGTTGGTATAAGATAAAAACTATAAACCAAATATCGTATTCTTAAAAATAACTAATACTGACACGATAATTACTTAAACAAAAATTAAACCAATGAAAAATAAGTAAATATGGTAAGTAATGTACTAACAATAATGTAATAAAAAAAAATTCTGTCTTTCAACAACAAAAATGGTGATCAATTATTATTTCCTTCGTGTCCTGAAGATGTATGTTTTGAATTCACTAATTTACAGCATTTACACGAGAGTAATTCGTTTTAACAAAAACGATATACCAAACTAACTAAATTTGAAAATAATTACTTGGACAGAATATTCTCGTCGATTTATAAATAGGAAGCAATGATAATAGGTATTATATGGGTATGAAGAACATATTTATATACGTCTGGTAAGCACACTGTTAGGTACATTATAAGACAGTGTATTACTTTTTAATTTATACCTGGCCTTAATTTAGAATTTAAGAAAAATGTATTGCCAAATGGAAAATATGGCATTTTTAATTGAATTAATTGTTAGTATCATATATCTTATTACAGTGCGTGATAACGACTTACCGGAATATTCGAAATTATGCGCGGACACCCCGGGTGCCAGATAGTGGTGTCCGTTTCGACTGATGATTATATCGCCAAGTTGTCCGAACGCGTCCAAATGACCACCGCCGCCGAGGCTAAAAGAAGCGGCACCGGTGTAATGCGATAATATGTAGCGCAGCGAGTGCCGGTGCTTCTGCGTACGATATAGCGTCGTACGACGAGTAAACCGGTGTGTACGCGTGCGATCACATGCGCGCGCGGACGAGTGTCACGAGCGACGGTTCGTTTTAAACGCGGTTTCTCCCGCCGATCG